ATAGTCGCTGAAAATCATTTTATAGTTTACACTTTAAGAATCATGCACACAGAAATCAGAAAATAAGGATTGTTCTTGTGTTTTCTGGTAAAGCTCTCTTTAATTTTCAGCTGATCCTTAGTTTTCTGTAGAGTTTGGATTTTTTTTGTCCGCCTTGAACTCCTAATTAGACATATCGGCGCGACATTGCGCGCCCTTTTCCAGGATTGAAAATTTTCGTACTACTCTTACTTCTTGCTGCGATATTGCGTGTATCTTGTATAGTTGTTAATAATTTATTATTCGCTGTGTTCTTGAGAGGCAGTCTCGTGGTGGTTTTGTGGCATATTTCATTCCGCGAGAGTTGATTTGATGCGATCACATTATTCTTTTTGCCCCGTCATTTGTTAGTCCGAAATGATTGATTTTCGCAGAAATGTGGCGAATTAGTCATCATTATGTATCATGATGCACAGTTGGCTGCTTCGGCTCCGACGCCGTCCTGCTCACAACCAATTTCACCGCCATTGTTATTGTCAGTCGATATTCTTATCACACGACTACTTTATTTGATACCATTATTCGACGCAAAAATATATGTGTAGGTCAAAATAGAATATGAAAAAAGGGATAAACCAAATTAATAATACAAGCAAACCCTTGAGCATAATTTCATGTTGTTTTTTAACTGCGAGCAGGAAGAAGATAATCGAGATTTTAGACGATCAAATTAATTTTTCAAAATTTGAGATATTGTGAACTTGTCAAATTCCGCGGCAAATTGTTCTTCGTTCTTTTACCCCGAAATTTCGTTCTTTTGTGGAACGTTGATTCTGAGTTAGACCGAGAGTTTCAAAGAATTACCAAAGCTCATTGTGAAAGAATTTAAAAATAATCAATTTGGGGTGTGTTATAGAATTTATCAGCGCGAAAAATAACAACATCTCAATTTTAAATTTTTAGCTTCTCGTAATTCTAAAAATTGTGAAATGGAACTCCTCTAGAAGATTTGCCTTTTTTTCATCCGACTCTTTTTTTGTTTTTTTAAATACCAGAATGTCAAATTGAACTTGATGAAAATTCAACAAGTTTTTGAAAATATATGTTCATGCATAGATGAAATTTGAACGTTAAGCCATAAGCCACGGTATCTAAAATAATATTTTCACTGAGCTTCTTTTCAAATATAGAGAACAAAACGAACTGAAATTGTTGAATTTTTTGTAGAGGCTAATTTTCAAAGTTATGCATGCCACTAGTAGTCACAAGTCGAATTTTATTGCTTTCCAATCGGAGGCAATTTCCGAAATTCAAACTTCCAGTATCACAACCAACTAGCTAAAAAATAATACACATCATTCGCATGACTTTGTCGAATTCTAATTCGTCGCTTTTTGAATTCGATCAATGCTTAAAAATTTTATGCAAATTCCGAATATCCTAAAATAGTATGTATATGAATAATTATCAAATGAGAATACAATAAAATGCATAAGTATGACAAAAAATACAATATTTTGTGAGTCGTATCCCAAATATTTATAATTTTTTTCACATATTTATATTTATTTTGGTGTTCTAATGATTACATTATTTCTCAATTATTTTATTTCTCTCTAGTGGTCAATTTTCCAGTATTTATTTTGCAGTTGGGAGCATTCACAAAACGTGATCAAAAATTAGCAAAAGATAAAAATTGATATTTATTGCATTTATTTGGGTTGATTTTAAGCGCTATTTTAGATTTAACAAACTAAATTCCTTTTGAACTATACGGATGCGTTTTTTTCGGCGCAATTCAGCCTCCTAGTTGCCGGGATGAATGCCATTATTTGGTCGTTGGTTGTTTGAAAAACCAGGAAATTGCAAAAAAAAACGTCTCGCTGCGCCAAAATCCACTTTTCTTTACAATTATTCAGGTTCAGTTTGTATTTTTTTTCGTTTTTTTTTTCAATCTTCTCAGTTAGCAATTCAATGAAAACGATTCTATTGTCAATTCTCATATTTCCAAGGGGGGGGGGTCTTTCGGATCAATTTCATTGGTGAACGAGAAAAATTTTTGTGGTACGACTCACTAACATTCTTGGTCAATTCTTCGCTCCTCCTTATAGCCCCCCCCCCCAGAAAAAAATTTTTTTTAAAGTAGCTTGGGGAAGTTTATTTTGGGACACAATTCTTGGATTGTCACAAAATCGAGAACGAATTAATAATCCGTTCTAGAATGCACTTTTACGTCTATTCCTCTGGTTTTGATGATGAAAACTGATGGTAAGCTACTGAATATTCATGAAAAAAGGTCGGGTTCAAACCTACAAATTTCTCGAATCTCTCCAACTTTCTCTCTCTCTCTCTCTCTCATCTTCTACGATGTGCCAACTCTTCAAACCCCCCTTTCACTAATTGTTTTTCTTATTTTCTCTCAAGTACAATCAACGCAAGTCCATCAATGCAAAAATAGATGACAAAGCTAGAAAACAATTATCCGAAAGAGAGCCGAGCGTACGGGAAACAATCTTCCAGCCGAAATGCCGTCGGCAACTCGATGGTGTGCAATTTGGACACTGGTGTCATAATAGGGCCCCCGCATGGCCCTAATTCGTCCCATCCATCCAACGAACTTGCTCCCAATGCGGAGCGCGCGCGCACTCAATACACACCCGCCCTACACATACGCACACAAATGCGCACCCCCTATTCAGTATTGTGTTCGGCTAGTAGACGCGTAAACACTCGCAAACACGTGTTTTGATTTTTTTTTTGCCTTCATGTGATTGTTGCATTGTATGCATGCCGATTATCTATGTCGAATGATGGCTGGTTTCGGTTTTTGGCGTCGCCTCCATTCCGTCCCATCTTATTTGGTCTTCTCCACGTCTCCGTTAAAGGTGCCAATTAAAGCGCGCCTCACATTTTATGTGATGCTCAGCGGTGCGCAGTTAAATTGACGCTTTAATTGCAGATATTAAGGTGGAGGGGTTCACTTTTTTTATGTTGCGATAATCCAATGAGTCACGAAATAGCGTAGAATCCAGCAAATCTAATCCAACAACTCACCGAAATTTTTTTTTGCCTATAATATAATGTTTTGTTTTTTTATGTGCATATTCAATTAGGCCCAAAAATCGCATTGCTGAATTTCTCATAAGTGTTTTAGGGAGCATTACTATGCCCAATATCAAATTACCATTTTCAAGAGTAATTCGATTCGGCGGCCATTCTTTTGCAAAAAAAAATGAAAAAGAAGAAGCAAAGTTTTCAAGGTTCTACGAGTTGATGGAATGTGATTCGACCTGTCTGGCGTTCACTGACGTCGTTTTGACTTGACGCGTATAGTCAGTCCAAGGTCAAAGAGCATGCATTAATGTTACCCCCCCCTCCCCACTGTTCGAATGATTTAGGTAAATGTTTGCTTTTCACAGAATTTTTTTCTCAAAAAAAAAATAATAATAAATGCGTGTCTCAACGTTATCCAAATTTTGACCAATTCACAACCGGCATTTATCATCACCACAAAATTCCTTTGGGAGCCTCGCAAGAGGCACCGACGAATTACTATGCGTTAAAAGTAAATGTCGCAAAAATAGATAAGAACTGAATTCGAAACAAACCGTGGCAATTTGAAAATATATCGATAATTATAATAATAACAATAACATTAATATATAAATGTAGGCATTGTTTTTTTTTCAATATAAAAGTAGGTGGCTTTAAAATGAAAATAAAACATGGTCGTTTAGACTCGTTGAATTTGCTCTGCATGTCTGCGCACTCCACTAGGTCCTTGCTAACTTTTCTCATTAAAACCACAATAAACTATCCATTTTTCCGATGAGCATTGACTAACAAAAATTCAGAGCTAAATAGAAATTAAAGCCTTTTTTTTCAAATTGCTAATCCGCTTATCACGTCAGCAATGTTTCCAGCCAATTTCTCAATAATGTTGATGTTTTTAATGCATTTACAAAACAGTATGCGCGATTATTTTCACAACAATCAACATTCATTTGAAATATTTTTTTTGGGCGGTTTTAACATGTCATCCAACAATTATTTGATTAATTTTTATGCAATTATTTTGTATCGAAATATGTGAGAATATCGCTTGGGATGTCACACCAGTACAACTAATCAACGCGCACTAGTCGTCAACTTTGGTGTGTTTGCGGACATCGCACCGCAGCAGCGTTCACCTTCACAAAATCCGCCCCGAAAAGTCCCGTGTTTTAACCTACTTCTATTTGATCAGCGTTCATTTTTTCCTCGTTTTTCTCAGTTTCTTGCCGCGCTCATTTTCAATATGAAAACTTCACCTCACATTGATTGATGGCTATCATTACGCGAGCTCTTACTAGCGGCATCACGTGATTTACTGATAAAGCAGTACAAATCAGGTCTACCTTCCTGTCGCCGAACAAAAATCTTTTTTTTTTTTCGTATGTGCTCATTTGCCACATATATTTACGTCTGTATATGTCACTCGGATTTTTGCGTTTTCGAAGCCATAAATCGTGAAACGTTTTTTTGTTTGCTGAAGAAACCACGACAAATAGGGTGAAGCGAGAAAGAAACTAAAAGTGAATTCTGAAGGAATGTTTGTGTTTCAGTTCCCGAGTTTCTATTTCTCCGACAAAAAATATATGCACGCGCACATATTGAGCCCCATCACATGGCGGCGAAGAGGGTGGAGACGATGGAGGAGGGCACGCCTGAGTATAGGAGCAATATTGGGCCGCGCAACGCCCATTGACACTAATTGAGAACAGCTCATTTTATTTGAGTAGGTCCTCTTTCGAGACCTTGCTTCTGCTTCAAGAGACAAGGTTTTTTTTTTCGCCAAAAATGGAGAGGCGCACAAAAAAAAATTCGATTAGCATTCGTTCATTTCATCATTTCGTCCTCCCATCGTTCCGTCCACTCGTTTCATTTTTGCCTCGTCCATCGGCTCGTCGCTATTCCGTTGTAATATCGCTCAAAACCTTACAATTGTTTCCTTAATTTAGAACTGTGGAAAACCTACTTCTATGGTTATGGGAGATGAAGACAGAAAAACGGGAACGAGGTAATGGACAATGCATTACCAACAATCAAATCGAGCGCCAACATATAATTTGCAGGGTATTTAAAAAGACGAGCCCGAATGGCAAAATAACCACTTATCTTGGAAAACGAGACTTCATTGATCGAGGGGATTATGTGGATTTGATTGGTTTGAATTTGGTTCAAAATTTTCCCTAGATATATTTTTTGCAGATGGAATGGTTTTAATCGATGATGAATACGTAAAAGAGGGAAAGAAGGTAATTTATTTTGATGATAATTGCTTTATTATCATTGCCATTTTCAGATTATTGCTCATTTGCTAGCTGCATTCCGCTATGGTCGAGAGGATCTCGATGTTTTGGGGTTGACATTTCGAAAGGATTTGATATCCCAACAATTTCAGGTTTTTTATTCGCTTGTCCAATTTTCTAAAGTAATGTTAAATGGTATAGGTGTACCCACAGGATGAAAAAACGCTACGACCGCTCACTCGATTACAAGAACGTCTCAAGAGAAAACTAGGACCAAATGCGTATCCATTTTGGTTCGAAGTTCTTCCGCGAAGTGCATCGAGCGTCACATTGCAAGTGAGTTCGTGGTTTCTTTTGCTCCACTTTCCATTACACTTTCAATTCATTCAAAATATTTTTTTTTCTTCAGCCGGCACCAGGAGATACTGGCAAACCATGCGGCGTCGATTACGAGCTTAAAACAACGGTTGGAATGATCGATCCAAACGGTGAAAAACCTAAAAAGCAGTATGTCAACGGGTTTATAGAATCTGACGTGATCCAAAATGTCTTGAAACGTGCTCGTTTTCAGGAACAGCGTGCGATTAGCAATCCGAAAATTGACGTATGCTCCGTGGGAGCCGAGACCGCAACCAATGATCGATGTCTCGAAAGACTTTATGATGTCGACAGGACTGCTTCATATGGAGGCTTCATTAGACAAAGAAGTATAGAGAACATCAAGTTTTCTTGAAAAAATATTCAATAACGTTTTAGATGTATTATCATGGCGAATCAATTGCTGTCAATGTACATATCCAGAATAATAGTAACAAAACAGTGAAGAAATTAAAAGTAGTTTACCATAGAAGCACATGCTTGAAGAAATTTTTGAATTTTTTTTTAGGTTAGTGTCATACAAATAGCAGATATTTGCCTTTTTACAACCGCTTCTTACACCTGTGAAGTCGCCAAAATTGACAGCAAGTAAGTATATACAACGATTATTAAAGGGTGGTTATCAGATTTTGCAGCGAGGGATTCCCCGTCGGTCCTGGCGCCACGTTATCAAAAGTTTTCTTGGTGTGCCCATTACTACGCAATAATAAAGACAAACGCGGATTAGCGCTTGACGGACAATTGAAACACGAGGATACGAATCTGGCGTCGAGCACAATGTAAGCACCACACGCGGTCTGCCATTTGAAGATTGTTCGTTTTTTAGACTTGACGGAAAAACGACAAAGGAGAATTTGGGAATTGTTGTTCAATATCGCGTTAAAATCCGCGCCGCGATTAGCGGTCTTGGAGGCGAATTGTGCGCTGAATTGCCTTTCACCTTGACGCACGCAAAGCCAGCTGAAACGCCGGAAAGAAAGGTACACTAGTGTGTTTAGAAGCTCATATATTGAGGCGAATGGTGCCTAACAGAATATGGCACTGCCCTATCTAATTTGAATGAATTGAAAAGTAGAAAACGCAATTTTTTGCCGAGCGCAATTTGTTTATTAATGGGCCATTTGTTTGAGTTTAATTTGGCTTGTTGATTAATTAAAAACAAATTTCCCAAGTTGAATCCCCCGACACAAATACATCATATTAAGTGGAATTGAAACTGTAAAAATTATCTGGCAATTGAAATGTCATATAATTAAAATTTTGCTCTCAGAATGAAAAGATGTTTCAGGATCGCATTCTTAATGAGAGACAGCCAGACAACAATGGATTGAAGGAAAACCAACTTGACATCGACTTGATTCAACTCAACGATGATCTGTACGTGATTATGAGAATCTAAACAAAAAATCACTTTTAACATTTCAGGGAACTCAAAGATGATGATGACTTGATATTTGAAGACTTTGCCAGGATGCGAATGCAGGGAGCTGATAGTGAGGACCATCCATCGCCAAGTACTCAATATCCAAACGAAAGCCTGCTGTAAACCGCCTCAATCTTACCCAGATGAATTAGCAACTTTAATACAAACTAACTTTATTGCAACGAGTTTGACTATTAATGCTTCTGAGTGAACCAAGCATCTACTTATTGTTATCATGTACATTGTATGATTGACCAAGATTTGCCCAAAATTTTTACATTGATTGCCCAGAGAAAAGAAAACAATATGAGAACACGCGAAGTAAAAAGGAAAAGTACTATTCAATTTTAAAGTCAGTTTTAACACGCTCTTTCACTCACGGTTCCCTTTTTTATTATTCGTTTTCATGTGATTTACCCTGAACACGATTTGCATAATATTTTGGACAGTTACTTTAACTTATCCAATTTTTTTCAATTATTTATTTCGCGCGTAACATATCAATTGTTCTTTGTATTCAAATAAATCTGTGTATTTCCGAATTGATAATGATTACATAATGGTATTGATAAGCCAATTGCTACGATATCGCGTGCCATTTCCATGATAAGAATAGAAAATGGGGAAACTTGAAGTGCTCTTGCGCGTCAATTTTTGCATAACGACGCTCCGTCATTTGCGTGCGTCGCTCCGTGTTTAGTCTAATCTCACTGCAGCCAATAAAATCTCGTCGAGTTTCCGTTTGTCGTTCGACACCGAAATTGCTGCAATGCTTAATAGTTTATTTATAGTTAACACATCTGGGTAAGTTTTCAATGTTTATTAATCATTATTAATTGCTATTTTTGCCGATTCAGTGATGTTATTCTCGAGAAACATTGGAAATCCGTAATACATCGATCGATATGCGATTATTTCTTCGATCTCCAAAAGAAGGTTAGCATTAATTCATTTTTTTACGATGTGTAATTGGTTTTAGGCAAGCAGCCCTGAAGATATACCTCCGATTATATCAACACCACATCATTTTCTGATTAACGTGTACCACAATCAATTGTTTTTACTAGCTGTAGTCACTTGTGAAAGTAAGTCACCAAAATTGTCGTTGGTTAACAGCTCATAATATTTTAGCACCTCCGCTTATGGTCATCGAGTTTTTGCACCGTGTTATACAAACGTTTACTCAATATTTTGACGAATTCTCGGACTCATCAATGAAAGAAAATTGCGTTATGGTTTTTGAGGTTTTTCTACACTAGTCCCTACTATGATTACACTTTTTTTAAACGTTCAGCTTCTCGATGAGATGTTGGATAATGGGTTCCCGCTAGTCACCGAGATGAACATACTACAAGATCTTATCAAACCTCCCAATTTTCTGCGAAACATCGCGAATCAGGCAAGAGCGAATGTCGAGAGAAGAAAACGCCGAGATTGCACGTTTAGGTTACTGGACGAACGAATTTGTCGGAAACTCTGCCGACCGGTCAACTCTCAAACATTCCATGGCGACGACAGGGTGTCAAATACACGAATAATGAAGCCTATTTTGATGTGATTGAGGAAATTGATGTGATTGTTGATAAGCAGGGTTCGACAGTTTTTGCTGAAATTCAAGGATACGTGAGTATTTTAAACCACCGCAGGTGAATGAATTTTCAAATTTTTGCAGATTGACGTGTGTTGCAAATTATCAGGAATGCCAGATTTAACAATGACGTTGATCAACCCGAGATTGCTCGATGATGTTTCATTCCATCCATGTGTGCGCTACAAACGCTGGGAGGTAAGTATAGGTTGAAGTATACATAAATTCTTAGAAAGGAAATCATTGTCGGATGTTGATTTCCTGATGACGGATGTGCTGATGGAGAGTTGGATTGGAGGGCATTGAAAGGAATAGTGCGAAATAATGAGGGACACTTCTGAATTCTAAAAATAAAAAAATCCAGAACAATTTTAATTGGAATCCTCACAGGAAATGAGGTATAGAAAGTTCTTGTCGATAGGTTATATTGAAAAATTTTCAATGAGGGGGATCGAACCAATATAACAAAACGCAAATTTTCCATAAAAAGTTATCCGAAAACATAGACTGCTGAAAATTCAGAAAATTTCTTGAAAATTAATTCAATTATCGTTGATTCGCATTATTTCGATATAAAGACTGTTCAAATACATTTGCTTAATTTTGATCGAATTGTCTTTAAGTTTTCTTTCAATCGATATCTCTATTTTCTCGCAAAGTTTCATTTCCGCCCTGCCAAGAGCTCTAGAGCAACATGCCGTCGGGTTTAATTGCCGGCGAGTCGCATTCGCCCTCAGGATACATTACGGATGTATTCGTTCTGTCGTCCCCCGCGGACTTCCAATTAGTTTAAAACTAATGATTCGGCATGGATTCTACTGCTTTACACCGAATGTCGCTATTTTTTACACACGGCGTATGTCTAGCGCAATTTGTACTTTTCCGGTGGCTCCGTTTTTCTTAGTAGCTTTGGAAGAATCGGACAGCAACTGGTGATTCACAAGCTGGCCGAAGCCTAGCTTTTCTGAGATGAGCCTTGTGAGCAAATTTGCTCCAACGCAAATCCGGATAGAAGCTTCTGGACCTAAATTCAATTGGCCTAAAATCCTAAAACCAGGCACTTTCTTTATCCTAAAAAACTGCGCTCAGCCACTTCACTTCCAGTTTATTTCAATATAACTGGCAACAATTTTAGTCTTTCACGAGCTCTTACCATTACTATTTCAGAATGAAAAGGTCCTTTCGTTTGTGCCACCTGATGGCAATTTCCGACTTCTATCATATCACATAGCTGCGCAGAAGTAAGACGATTTTAAAGAGAAGCAGCAACTGAAATTTGATTTCTTTTTTTTTAGCATGGTTGCCATTCCGATTTACGTACGTCATACGATAATATTGAAACCGGTCGGAGGAAAAATCGAGCTGACAGTTGGGCCGAAGCAAAGCATGGGAAAAATCGTATGTCGAATCAATGACAATCTGATGTGAAAACTAATAACATTTTTTTTTTTCAGCTTGAAGATGTTGTTCTGGAAATGATAATGCCAAAAGCCGTTCAAAACTGCAACGTAATACCGACGCATGGCAAAATAAGCTTTGATCCGAATTCGAAACTGCTGCATTGGAATATAGGAAAAATCGAAGTTGGAAAACCGCCAAGCATGAGAGGAAGCGTGTCAGTTAGTGGAACTGGTCAAGCGGAGAGCCCACCAATTACTCTAAAGTTCAAGATCAATCAGATGGCTGTTTCTGGATTGAAGGTATGATTAAAAATGAATACTAACCACAGAAACCAATTTTTTACCAGGTCAATCGCTTAGACATGTATGGCGAAAAATATAAGCCATTCAAAGGAGTGAAATATATCACAAAAGCTGGAAAATTCACACATCGCACATAACTCGACGCTTACATTCAACTGATCTCTTTCTTACCGTTTTTGGGTTTTAAAGCATGCTAACTATATTTTTTTTACAAATTGCACTTAATATGTCTAATTTATAACTCTATTTATATGAATCTACTTAAAAATTAATTTGTGAATAAATAAATTTTTTGTTCAAAAACATTCAATTTATATCGATATCTCGGTTGTCGTTGACCGTCCCATCCAATTATCTCTTGTTGTATTTGTATTTGGTCAGATTTTAAAAATTTATTACAGATGTTGAAACCTTCTTTGATCTTAGTCGTTCTGATTGGGACTGGTTGGGCAGTCACAGTTACCGAACATATCGAACTAATGCGTTTTCCACCAAAACTTGTGACCAAGGAAACGATCCTTAATGATTACGAAATTTTGTCTGATGAATTCTACAGACCGGAGGACCCGACCAGAAATGAGGTTATTCAGTTGGCTTATGTCACACCAGTAAGAAATAGTAAAATGTTGTGCGTTCATTCATTTATTCATATTTTCAGTGGAACAACAAAGGATATGATTTGGCTAAGAAAACCGCTCACAAACTTTCGCACGTTTCGCCTGTTTGGTTCCAGGTCAAACCTCTCATGAAGGGTGAAACTCTCGACACTTGCTTGATTACCGGCGACCACGATATTGATCGAGGTTTGCCTTAGAGAAAAAATACAGTGCACACTTGCTGGAATTTATTACAGACTGGATTAACGCACTACGTGGGAAAAATAGCAATATCAAAATTGTTCCGAGAATCATTTTTGAGGATTGGTCGAGACAGCAAATGGAAGTGCTTTTGGTGAACACACAATTTTCAAATAAATGCGCTAGAGTTATTTCTGATTTCTACTTGGTTAGTCGTTATATTACTTGCCGTCTTCTATTTATGGTATTATTTCAGAGAAACCAATTCGATGGACTTGTCGTGGAACTGTATACCCAGGCTGTTGTCACCATGCAATCATTGGAAGTGAAAACGTGTGTTACGGAGAGAAATCTGGAAAAAAAAATAACCACAATTTAAGATTCCTTGTTGAAACCATGGAGCAATTAGCTAAGGTCTTCCACAAATCGGAGCTTCAAGTGATCTTCACGATTCCGGCACCACTCGATGGAAAAATGCAGCCAAATCAGATGATTGATACCGACGAGTACAGTTCGCTTTTGAAAGTTGCCGACTATCTTCAGGTTAGGAATTGATCTCCAATTGGCGTATCTTTAAAATTAATTTAACCTATAGATAATGACGTACGACTTTCGTGGTCCAAAGTTGACCGGAGTTGCTCCGTTCGAATGGGTTAGTGAAAAATACTTGTAATTGTGAGAAGAAAAATTGAAATTTGAGGTTGAGAGCTGCTTGTTCTATCTTGATCCCAAACGCTCGAAAAAAACTCTTCTCGGAATCAACTGGTATGGATATGAGTACACTGAGAAGCATATGAAACCAATCATCGGCGATCAGTTCATTTCTGCGTTGAAGGAAAAACCGATTTTGTTCTACAATTTTGACGAGGAAGCGATGGAGCATCGCTTGTACACCAAGTACGGCTCTTAAAAGTACACGGTGGAGCACATTTAGAATTTTTAGGGATAAGGAGGTGATTTACTATCCTTCCCTTTCATCGTTGGAGCTCCGTATCAATTTGGCGCATCGTTCCGATGCTGGAATCGCCATTTGGGATTACGGACAGGGTTTGCCGTATTTCTCCAACTTGTTGGTTTAGGCCTTTATTATATTATATTATCGGGTTGAGTGCATTATCTCTCTTTTCATTTATCTCAATTCCTCTCTCTTTCATTGCCAAAGAAGAAAAATGCGTGTCGAAATACCAATATAAAATTACGGTCGGTAACTAATTGTTTTTATTTATTTTTTGACTATTCGGTGCCTAACTCGACTCAGTTGCATTCATATTTATCTCAATGTTATTTGGCATTTGGAATGTTTATTAATAAATGCTTCTTCCCGAAAGATTTTGGAAACAAAATAGTGTCGTCAAAGAATATTATAATGGCAAAAATAGAGTATAATTGTGCACCGTCGCACTTTTTCCGGTGTAATTTAATATAGAATTGAACAGTGGGAATTTGGATACCCTACTCTGGATTTCCAAAGCTAACTTGCCGTTTTTTGCTAACGTAATATGAAAACAATTACGCATTTCAATAAATGAAAATTATTAAAACAAGAATGTTTAGTTTTCCGAATTTCGAACATGCGATATATATTCAAATTTCCGTCCTGATAATTTGTGACTCCAAAGAATTGAAGAAATTGAGTTCAACTGCCTAAAATTTTTCAACAAGTTTATTTTTTTCTGAAGACGACTGCCATATTAAACAATTTTTCTCGTTGCTCTTAGTGCATAATAAGTGCCTTTTTTTTGAATGATCTTTATTGCAAAGAATTTGCAACACATGTGCTCCAAATTTGTCATTTTTAAACAGATTAAATGGCTTAAAACAAATGCTAGTTTTGAAATTAATTGCTCACTGTCATTCTATTTATTCGATACAATTATTTAAATTGCAATTAACTCAACGACAGGGAACAGATAATATTGTTTTGACGTCAATTATCGAAATAAAAATACGATTTTTTCAGGATCGAATATTTCACAGATTTTAGGGTATGGGTTGAAAACCCGAGGAAAACAAAAAAATTGTGGGTAGAAGATATTCATATTATATGGTGACAATTATGGAATTAGGTGGAAAGACCTTCATAAAGCGAGAGCGCGTGGACGATCGATGGATCCGCCTTGGCTCCCTCTTTGAATTCCTCCAGAGTCAGTTGAGCATCGTTATTCTATAATTTTCAAAATGGAATCACTGGTTTCAATCGTTCAATTCACCTTATCCATCATTCGGAAGATTCGATCAACTCTTTTCTCTGGTGTGTTCTCCTCCTCGGGAAGTTTGACGCTTGTTCCAACCATTTTGTAGATTGAATCTACAATTGAAAGCATCTCATCTCGAGTTATGTAGCCATCTTGGTCAAGATCATATAGCTTAAACGCCCCTATAATTTTAAAAATTGCTAATTTCTGGAAAACAATGGGTGTTTACAATGGAGCTTTTCGTCAAGATTCCCACGTGAAGTGATTGATAAGGCTCGTATGAACTCATGGAATTCGATAGCGCCGTCTTTATTCTCATCAAACACCTTGAACACGAAAGAGGCAAAATCCGATGGATCACCTTGAGGGAAGAATTGTTTGTAGATCTTTTGGAAGCCCTGTAATCAATAGAAATTTTTAAACTGGTATTTGGTCTTTTATTTCTCGGTTTACCGCTTCTGTGAGCATTCCATTCGGACAATCGCGAACAAATCCCTTGTACCATTGGCGGATCTCCTTTTCGGTGACTGAAAAATGTGCAATAGGGATTGCGAGTTCCAAAATCGGTTACAATAAGTTTGCTCAGCGAGTTCCTTGATTTGAGAGCTCTTCAGTTTGCTGCTACCTTTACCCATGTTTAAACAGTAACGACACTCGTCATCGACAGTCTTCGTATCACACTGAAACCAGAGCGAATGAATTGGCTGAATGAGAGCAGCAAAAAACAATGTTGTGAGAAACAACGAGAATGGCTTACACTGCATCGCATTATTTTTTATGGAATTCTAATGTAAGGTTGCTAGGTGTCGTGCTCGACATACTCGATTCAAAAAATAGAAGCATGACATTAATGAGCGTCATAAATAACTGAAAGACATACAATTTTTGTGCGCCAATGGCAGTACGGATATTGTTTAAATGCCGTTGTCATTAAGAATTTCGCGCACACCAATCGTAGATCAACCATTGAAATAAAGGAGATGTGCAAGGCACGCGCAGGTGGAACCAAAAATAGATTCAGATTGGTTAAATTAACTTAAATATTAGTACACAAACTCATATGAGCTAGCTTATAATAAGAAATGCGCGATATGTCATTTAGTAGCGGCAGGTGTCAGAGCCAAGCGTGAGAATTTGATTTTGTACTCAATTATCAGGCAGCGTTTGCGTGAAAGCATACTTCAAATAGTTCAAGCAGCATTTATTTATAATGATTCCCTAGAGAATACTGGAAACTTATTTAAAATGCGTTCGGCAATTAATATGGTTGGTTGATAAAAAAATTACTAAAAACGAATGTGAAAACCTTTCCTTTCAGAGGCGATTAAATTTTACAAATGGAATTATTTAGTCTTTGTTAATGCAGGAAAATGTTATAGAAATAATTCATGTTATATTCATAATATATTGCTATAGAAACATATTATTGTTAGTAACGTTGAAGGGCTTAGTGGGAAAATGGGGGGAAAATAAATAAAATGAGGGTATTTGTGAGATATGTATCAGTGCTTAAAATCTCTCATAGCAACGCTTATCATAACTAGTGGATTATCTTTTTGCCGATGACGGAGTCGGAAAAAATGTACTCGTGACGTTTCATTCCAGAAATGATGATAAACGTTGGTGGGAAATTTGTATTCTCTAAAGAACGTAGTTTCACCAAAAATTTCGAATTTCCACAAAATTGGCATTTTATTGAAAAATAACAAAAAATGCGGTGACCTTTTGAAGTGTCAGCAACGTCTAATTAAAAGCTGATTCAAACACATTGCTCAAGTGAGCTTCTGAAGTATGCGTGTATATGTTCACTATATAAAAATGAAAGGCTGGTCGAAATCTGGAAGGAAATTCGCTATTCGGTTAACCAGATTTGCCATTCATCTTATTTTGCCGCTACCAATCTTTCGCGTCGTTTTTCTTGTTGATTTGCCGATAAGAAGGGCATATGAAGGATACTATTTTGTTGAAAAAAAAATATTTTTGAAAGCTACGTAAACATAGACATGAATGAGAATTAATTTGAAAAAAGCCGGCTTTTAAAAAATTGAGTTTTTCTATTCTTGTGCCAAACGCGATCATTAATAAAGAAGCTTTTCATTATTAGTGGACGTGGGAATGATTCACGAAAATAGGTCACGTCTAGCCAATATGATGAATTAAAATATTCCGGCGATGAAATAGAAAAAAAGCCTGCGCTTGGTTTCTTGAGCAGAAGGAGAAAGAAAAGAACTAATCCGATTTTCCCCCGCCAAAATTAAACATAAGTGTGAGACCAAATGGGAAAATACATGCAAATGCGGGGACATCGAAATTTGATACAATTTTCTTTGACAACATGTATACTTTACTAGCTATAAACATGTTAATTGAAAGAAAGGAGAAATCAAGTTTTTGATAGAGAAAAAAATTTTAAGAAGGAAAATGATTCATAAGATTTCCGTCGAAAATCGCTCCGTATTTAAAACGATATATTAGTAATAATATTTATGAAAGGGGTGAAGGAGACGAGAGGAATGGATATACCGTAGAAGTACATCTATTATGAGAGCACTAAATATTCTGAGCTACTGAATGCCAGTTGAATGTTGAATTTCAGAGAAAGATAATCGTCATCTATGCAAGCTGGTTCCACTGTTCAAATTAATATGTAATTTTTAGCACAAGAATGCAAACATTATGTTCCATATTGTGATGGATAAAATATTTGAGTAACAACTGAATAGTCTTATATTCATAGAAGCTAGGTATCAATAGAAAATTTTAAAGACCATTAATGCACAATTAATATATATGTGTTTAATTAGGTAAGATACTAATAAAAATAAAATTTATAGCAAAATCATTTGGTCGTTCTAGGACACCAACAAACATATTTCGATTTGAATTTCCTCATAAGAAAGCAAAAAGCCGAAAAGAATGTGCCAATCAAGTAGGCGCTCAAAGTTCTATGATAGTTTTGAAGTAGGACGCAATGAGTGAGGAGGCAAAATTTGAATTTCGTGGCGTTTGACTCCTCTCTCTTTTTTTCACTTAGTTCATCATAAATAACCTATAGCAGACAAACTGAAAAGAGAAGGCTTCACTCTATTTAGTGAGCAATTTTTTCGACACGGGGGCTTCGTCAAGTAAAACGAAATGAAGAAATGTGTTTCAAACGAAGAGCATATGGCCCAGATAAAGATTGATAGATGACATTTTCTATGACTAATTACAGTAATCTTTAAGTATTATAGATGGGGTAGCCTAGTTTTTTCAGATAAACCGTTATTCGGAAACACGCATTCGTCTGATTCGGAATAACGTTGAAGTGATTTTTTCATTATGAGGAAACCGTAAAAATAAAAAATTTTTAAACGATTTAAGGATATAATATGTCAAAATGAAATTCAGCACAAAAAGCTTAAAAATTTCAGCACAAATTAATTATGGTTCTGCACCACAACATTTAATAAAAATTATCGAATTTCTAATAACCATCAGAAAGTGGATATTATTAGGATTATTGACTTGTGAAAATAAATATTAATTTGGTCTCTATCTAAATTTTAAAGAAAACCATTTTTTGAAGACAAAAATAGAAGCGAAACGCGTTCAATCATCAAAACGCGGGCCGGCTGGATTTCATTATGCTCAGGGCGATAAAAGTTGAGAGTGCAATTCAATCCGGGAAGACATATTTAATCATTTTGCATTCATTCATTCATTTGGTATGCTCGCCGCAAAAACTCATTCATCTTTCTTCTCGGTTTCTTTTTTTTTCAAAAAGTCTCGAAAATGAAAAGAAAAGAAAGGGCAAAAAAAATGGCAGGCACGAAAGAATGGCGAAACCAGATTGTATTGGAATACAGATGTGTCTTGAAGGGGTGGGGGGGGGGCCACATGTGGCTTCGGAATTAGTGCAATTTGGCAAATATTTGGGTATTATTATATAAATATATCTCAGCTCATCGAGGGATTTTTGCAGAATAAGAACATTCTTAAATTCTATTGGATGTTGCGTGTTGAATCAAATGAAAAAAAGAAGCCAATTCTACTTTATCATACAAACAACCGTTTTTCTGCTAATATATGTGCATAGAAGCCCGCATAACAACAACAACAACAACAAAAAACAAAGAAAAGTTGCGTTATTCAGCTAGTGGTTTTTTTTTTGAGGCAAGGTCCAACAAACCAAGTGATGTGAAATGGCGCAATTGGTTCGAGATATCGGAATTATTTGTGTTTGGTTGCTCAGGAAATGAGTTTGTCGTCTAATCCGGATTTCACATAATAATAAACCTAGAGAAACGGAATGATTGAATATTAATCTGTTATTTCATATCAACGGGAAAACGTTTTGCGTTGTGAATGGATGAAAAAAAAAAGAGATTTGGTAGAGGAATGGATGTTTTAATGTTGAGGTACATATCTGGTTTTCTTAATGAAAATTGAATTCAGTTTCAAAGAAGAAATTTCCGGAAGAAGCTCTTAAATTAGAACACCTGTCAAATATTTGGAACTAAATATCAAAATTGCTCTTTGGTAAATTGAATTCTGCAACATTGGGAATAAATCATATCACGTAAAGCAAATTAATAAATTTAAAATTATTGCATTTACTAGGCTTAATCGTCGAATTAATTTCAAATTAATAGAAAATTTACTAGCTTCTGCTTGCCATTTTGAAAGTTAGAAAACGTAGAAACTAGATCTAAACTAGATTCTCAATTCATTAAAGTCTCGAACGATGTCAATGATTCTAAATGAAAAAAAAAACGCGAAATTTAGAGGTACCATGAGCTCCAAACGTAATGCTTAATCGAAAATGCATTCGTGTTTTTTTTTTCAATTTTCTTATTTACTAGATATATTTGAAATATATATTTTTTTTTATTTATTTCAAATATCCCCGCTACTTAGGGAAATGCACTCAAATTTACATACTTTCATTTTTTGCTCTCAAGGGCAACTCGTGCACATAATAGCTGGAAATATTCATAACCTTCTGGTCATATGGTAAATTTTTAAATAGCTTGAAAGAAACGGAAAATGAAAAAAATGAGAATTATTCATTATGTTGTCATTTATAACTAATATATTTGTTGTTTTTGTTGTTGTTGTTGTTATTCAATCGGAATTATTAATGACTGGAATTGATTCCATTGAACAATAAAGAAAAGATGTGAGCATTGCGAGAGAATGAAGTGGCCTCAAATCTGAGGGATTGATTGAGCGCGGTCTAATATCGGATGGAGAGTACATTATGATTACTACGGTATCTAATTTTTCTCTTCAATTTATATTATATACTATAAATTTAAGATAAATGGATTATACCAAGAAACGGAATTGTTTGAAAGGAGCCTAGAAATTTTTCAATTTTTAAAGAAATCCTTAAAGTCACTGGAAAGCAATATTATTGTAGAAAACTGATCCAATACTATATAAGGCTTCAAATTAGATTCATCTTTGAACTATGGTGAATATTAAACAATTGATAATTAATCCGCATGTATATATATATATATATATAAATATATAGTTACCGTTTATAACATTAGAACGAAGATTGACATCTGGCAAATATAAATAAATTCGATAAGCAGAATTTTATGTGTCAAACTTGATTTGTTGGAATTTTCAGACTTTTCAGTAAAGTCGCACAAAAAATGGGAAAACATTTCATAAAATATAACAGAAAAGCTATCATTTTAAATATTGAATTTTGGTCTTATTTGATATTTATCTCTAGCTATTTTTTTTAATGTTGTCGTTCATTTGAGGGTTGCAGACGCCTCATCTAAAATCTACATCAAGATTCGACGCAAATAAGCCTAAATCGTACACTTTGAATGCAACAGAGCAGGGACTACATTATTTCAAATCTAAAAAAGTGACTGGCTGAGAACACAAATAAAAACAGGCGAAACGCCAAATTAATCCGCAGTAAAGCTTTTCCATCGAAACACTGTGAAGAGTATCAGATTGCAGTTGTGCCGAAAATTTGCCAATATACAAATAATGAAAAAGTCAAATAAATACTACTACTACTACATATTTTCGAGGCGTAAATTAAGCAATAAGGCTTCAAGCTACATTTTTTTGTATTAAGAATTTTTGATGTGTGTCCAACAAAACAATGCTATGGGTAGGTCGACCGAAAGTTCCCTTAGTATCCATGAATGCTACGAACAAATTCAGTGAACTTCAATCTTCACATTTTTTTTAAAGAGCATATCGTATAGTGCAACTGCGTGGAACGTATAATGAGCAGAAAACTCGAATAATTAGATGCTCTTTCAAAAAAGCGGAAGTCTCTAATTTGCCAAGAATACAAGATTTGGTGTTTGATTATTGATTAATAGTGTGTGAAAATAATTTTTTGAATTAGTGAAATTCGTGATTAAAAACCATTAGGTTGCACGTCATCAAATCTTTACAAAAAGGCTTAATCTTTATATAATGGGCAAGTTTCTCTCAATTATATATACATATAGAAATAAAAATACTTTGATTTCGCATAAAAAACATCAGTTAAATATTGTAGTCACCATTACCATATAAGTGAACAACAAATGTCTGAAAAAAATGTACTCGTATTTATAAAAGAATTGTATAGAAATTAAGAAGAAAATGTGATTATAAACAAGGATATTGCATAGAAAAGCTTCTAATCTTGTGCAAAAGCATAATGCAAAGCTTGAACGAAGCCATTAAGGTTCTTGTTTTCCGGGGGAAAATTTTTTGGAACTTTATACGTAAGCTATGATGTGCTTAGTTAAGAAATTGGTGTATTAGAATGCCTAAATCGTCATATTAATGGATCTAGCAAGGTTTTTATCTTTTTTTTAAGATGCTTAAAGCATTTTAAGATTTTTTCCTATTTGAAAATATTTCGAAAAAAATTGATAATATAGTTTTACAAAATATAATTATCACAAATTTCTAATCAATTAAGAAATCAGAAATTCTTTTTTTTTTAATTATAAGAATTAAACTGGCATCATCTCGATTTTAATTAATTATTAAAAAAAAATGACAATGGTCATTTCTGAAAACCAGCCGCCCATCAACGTAATTGTCCGCGAATGCGCAAAAATTTGAATGCCACACACACAGACGCAAATTTGTATGAAAAGAAAACTTTCAAACAAGGAATTAAATTAATAATTCATTCGTAAATCAAGTGAAGACGGCGGAGAGAAGAGTGCAACTCAACTTGGAGAAATGAAACAAGAAGAAGTATTTGAGTACATTACTTTTTTTTATAAGTAAATATATGTGAATGAATGTGTCTTTTGGACCCGACATGAAAACAATAGGTGCGTTTTTAGGTTTTTGGTACCTTAAATGGTTATTTTTAAGTCATGCGGATTAAGCGCAAAAAATAGGTTAGAAATAATAATAAAAGCTCTGAAATGCGAACATTCCCGCTAATATTTCATATACTAATTTATGCATTTTTGCGTTTGTTGGAACGTTTTTTTCTGAATATTCAATTTTTGGTTTCAACATTTGGCTCTACTGTTTATTATTGATTTTTAGAAGAAATGAAGACGAAAAAAATTCTTGACGTTTCTTGAGAAAAAAAATACGCTAGTGGATATTTGACATGTCTCTACATAATTGTATTAACCTTGTTTTAAATAGAATCTCGTTTGCTTTTCAACGATCAAAAAGCATTTGGTATGCGTGTGGGACACCCCGATGTAAAAATAAGTGTCATTGAACTGATATATGTGTTTTAATTATGTATCGAAGAGCTATCCAAAACGCAAATTCTAACATACACCATTTTGTCATTATTTTTAAACTATAGTTTTCTAAATGAAAGACTAGCCTGGACGCTCACCACCATCATGATATTATCTAAGGGTCTACAACCGGAAATTAGAGCAGCTATTTGTGGAGTCGAAATTTGATTTAGTGTTGGCTCGATTTTGTGGTTTGATATTGAGCAAAGGAAAAAGCAAACAAATATTCTTTTTCGCCCAATAAGGAAAGATAAATTAACTAAACAAAATTTTAAACACATTGAAGGAAGTGAAATGAAGTGAAATTCGCTTTAAGAACTGTCACAAAAACGTTTATTTTATTTTTATTTTGTTTTATGTTTTAATGAAAATGAATTTCAGCTGTTCATTTGAATTTGAAATAAATTAGAACCTAGGGGACATTAAAAATAAATAGCCGTAAATTTTCACATATGGTAATTAGAGAAAGGAGGAAATCCATTAATTTATTCTTTCGTGATGCCCTTGATAGTATCTTGACATCAGAACCTTCTAAGATAGAAAAATTGTGGTGAAAAGATTGAATTTGCTGATAGACGCAATAAACGCGAATTTCAGCAGTGTCTAGCTTTCTGAAATTGTGCCGCCATAAAAACGTAAGAATGAAAAGAAGACTAGGTGTGCGCAATGATATTAGCACAACGTTGTGCTTTCGAGAGTCGTGTTCCTCGGATGTGCCTCGTTTCTCGCAGGTTTCATTTTGTTTGACTTGCAACTAATCGAAGCTTTAAATTAAATGCACTTTTAATGTAAAACAACATTCGTTTTGCTGTTTTAATTTTATAAGCTAAACTTTTTTTTTAAAGATTTCTATACGATTCCAAAATAATTCGCAATAATTTATAACCTGAAGAGAAAATTTATTGGAGGGAAATTAAAATTTATTCGTTCAATCTGCGTATTGTCGGTATCAATTTTGAAGAACAACAATGATTTTTGTGATTGCTTAATACAATGAAATTTTTTGACAAATTCCAATCTAATTGTTATTCTTAAATTGTTGGAGTCGACTGAAAAAATGAAGTTGTGAATTTAGTTAGAAAGGGAACTTTTATACAATGTTCCAGAAATACAATTTTTTAATTCTGGAATACTTAAATAATACATCAATTTCATTATATCAAATATCTAAATAAAAAACACCAAAAATTTTTATGTTTTAAAAAAATCAATCTCAAAGAGACCGTTTTGATTCGATGTAGCAAGTTCACACGAAATTTCCATCATTTTTTCTATTTTGCCATTAAATTTGTAATTCGAAATTTTTATTATTAAACATTATCCACAAACGACTGTACATAATTTATACAAATTTCAAAAAGTTGCACATTAAAAAAGTGATAAAAATGTGAAAAAATTAAAAAAAAATGATTTGTTAGATTATTGTTCATTATTGTTAGTCGACAATTTTTCCAAATTTCTCCAGCGGATCAGCTTCGGTGTCTTTCGTTTGTAAGTCTTCTTTAAGAGTGTCCGAATTTCCATGAATTATAGCGACAACCGGCGAGCCTGAACATTATTATTTCGATAATTTTGTTTTAATCAGAATTAATATACCATGTATACTTCCAAGTTGTGGTGGTCCTTGAGAAGATACTGGGAGTGAGTGACTTGGATTAATTATGAGAATGATAGCAAGGATAAACTGAATAAATAGAAACAGATGTTTCATGCTGAAATCTTGGCTGACTGAAGAATGAAATAATTGAGAAGGGTTTCGTTCAACTTCACCTCCTTTCCTCCGCCCTCACCTCTCCCACTATTTCTGTCAAGTGTCTCCGCCCACTTTTCTCTGTTTCAACGATTGATTTCAAACCGACATAATAAAAACGACTATTGCCGGCGCTCTCTAGCGCGACACACGATCGTCGGCGGCTGCGTAGGCTTTTTTTGGGGTGGGAGCTAGACATCAATTTGATAGCTGATGCCTGCTGACACATTCAACACAATCGAGGCGCCGTCGGTCTTGGCGTGTGACACGGCCCGAGACTCAACGCATTCATCATTGTATTATCACACCGGCGCCTTCAGAGGCGATCGCGATTCTCACCCGTTAGTTATCGGCTGAGGTCATTCGGCTGAAATGGTTTTTTTTTGCGAAGTGTAAACGAATTGTTGGTAAGTGACTGACTGGCGCCAAAAAATGTGATTGGATTAGGAAGTTCGATGCCGAACACATCATGATTGTGAGAAAAACAAATAAACTTCCAAATATAGCGCGAAAGCAACTGCAGAATTGGACTTTGACCTTGCATAAGAAAATCGCTGAACTCTGAAAAAATAGTAACCTTGAGAGATTTCACGTGAGTTCTGCGAAATGAATTCACTCGTGCGTATCCCACAAACTACTCACATTCAGTTAACCCTAGAAATCAAACTCGTGATCTTAAATTGAACAGAAATATTTAGGTATTGTTGCAATAGAAATTTATTGAGCAACAACCATGAAAAAAAAATTGATATCAGTTTAATGTGAAAGAAGTGTCGAAAAGATTTTTGGTTATGACCATATTCCAAATTATGGTAGTTGTATGCAGCTATATGTAGAAAAAATGTAGATTTACGATTATCACTATAAAAATGTGATAAAATACACTTTATTTTGTGATTTTTGAGCAATTATTTCCAAATTTTCTTGCTCACGTCACCATCAAACTATTTTTTATTGTTTTCTAATATTCGATTTATTCGTGCAAAACTAATGATAGTGGACTCCAATTAGTTTTTTTGGTGTTAAAAATTTATTTTGAAGTCGTTCTGAATAGATCGACATTAATATCACGTACACCTAAAGGAATCTGCTATGAACGTGTCAATGCATTCACTCAGCAAAAATTGCTGACTTTTAAGCTTCTATTTATTGCAAAAATCTGTTGATGAATACTTTTTTTCTTGAATGTGTAATGCATTGCCAGTGAACAATGGTTGTCTCTTTAAAAAAGTCATGAAATAATTGACTGTAGAATGATGATAATATTAGTCTGGAATTTTTACCGTTTTAAAGAAATTACAAATCGAAGCCATACTCAAACGTTGGTCTCAAAAAATCTTCTTTTAGAAACCATTGTTATCAATTCAATTTCCTATTTGTTATTCATGTGATGGATTGTTTTATCAAGCGTTGTCAATTGAAATTGATGAATTGCTTTTAAAATTGCTTGGCGCCAAACCAAAATACGATGGTTTTTGAGAGGTTTTTGCATCGCCGGTACTGCTTTCCTTTTTTTTCAGAACCACATTTTGATTGAATGGTTTGTTCGTCAATCAAATCGCACAGTCGCATTAATTTTAGGTCAATGACTTCTTGACTTACAATTAATGTAAGCGAAGCGCGTAATTTACAAAATGATTGCTGCAACAGAGAAAAGTGAAAAGGAATCGGCGGCTTCGAATTCGATTGTTCAAGAAAGCATTGCCAATGTAATGAACCAGAGGAACCTGTATTGAAAACCTGCAAATGCATTATTGTTATTAACAAATCCTTTATTAGCATTAATGTCAAGGATGCGACATTAGTCAAGACTACTCAATGTTAAAAACTTCTGGAAGTGGAAACCATTTCTCTCATCTCGATATCTTCGTTGTGCACCCGGCGATTTCGGTCGTTGTATCTTCTACTATTCAGAGGGACCATCTAAGATTACTAATTTCTTGTATATTGTTTCCAAATAATCACTTCGTCTTGATTCTCGGCGAATCTATCATAGAGAACAGCGGTCAATTCGCATGCAACAGCACGACTCTGATCGTTGGCATATCCAATAAGCAAAAGACCGTCTGAAATTGTTTAATATAATTGATAAATAATTATTGTTTGACCTCTTCGTAGGTAATCCTTGAATTTCTCAATCTCGTTTTTTCTGATGTATGGATATAGCTGAAACCGAAACCAACATGAGTCTCGTTAAATAGCAGTGTTGCTCATTACCATCTTCAAAAATCTCTTGACATTTGAGTAGCTACGAATGCGCACGACGCGGATCAGATAATTAATAGTAGCGATTTCGACAAGGACAAGCCAGATGCTTGACATTACTTTTAAATTTTTTCATCAAATATGGCACACTTACAAGATGAACTTGAACACACCATTGATCAGAACATTTCCAGATATCGAGCAGTTGAGAAGTGTCATGGTTGTGCCATTTTTGTCAATTGGCAGGTTGCAATAGGTCACACGGTTAAGAGTCCAGGAATGTGTCATTTCAACATCCGTAAGAAAATAGAAGATATCCTGAATGTGCGCATTGAAACCGTTGCGAGTATTTACTCAATTTAATGACCTCAATAAGCGGCAGTGTTTTCGGAATTCCGCTCATCAACATCAAAAGCAAATTCATTTGCAACAGAACATTAGCCAAGTAGATCAATCTTACAAGAAGCGCGGAAATTACAACCCTATGAAAGGTTAGAACTTTTTGGTCTCGCAAAATAACAAACCAGTTGAGTTTGTAAGCATCGATACGGGCCATTATGAGATTGGCCATTTGCACAACTCTGCCACGTCTTTCGGCAACGTTCATGAAGGTAATTTGTTGAGAGGTTTCGCAGATGAATTGCACCGGAAGATCTGACAACAATATGTTTATAATTGAAATAAGGCTTCGATAAAAGTGTCGGGAATTTTTTTTTATAAAAACGACTCACACAAGAAACGTTGCAAAACCATCCATGCTAATTTTCCAATTATGAATGAAAGCCCTTGGATCACGAAGAAATATGGCACCCAGAACGATTTGTCCGCAACGGATTCATCCAACAACTTGCGCGTCATATTGGCATTTTTCTCGATGATGAAGCACATTCGCGGATCGATGTACTCCCATTTATCCGGACAGCTGATTGGGTTGGAAAGAAAAAGAGCCATGATAATAATGAAAGACCAGCTAAACAAAATGAATGGCGTTATTAGCCAGTTGAGGACTTCGGCGAACGTGTCGGCAATCGTGCATGGCAAGATTAATTGTAATTCTTGCAAGAATCGAGGCATCACCTGAAAGTAAAACGATTCAACGCGAATGTAGATTGAGAAGCAGAATCTAGAAAAGAGAGGAATATGATAGGCGACGGCGAAATATGAGTAAACTTTATGAGAGTTGTTCATAATTTCTTGCACTTTAGGCAACAATTGATTCAAAAATTATGAATAGCCGAAAATTGTTTGATAGAAAAACATTCCAAAACGTTTGTGATTCATTGAAAATTACAAGAAATGATTAAAACCCAATTAAAAATCGTGTGTCACTTCTTCAAAACATTCATAAATGTGCGAACTTGCGCGAAAAAAAGTTGACGCACTTTTCTATGAGCAGTGTTCAGAAGAATAATAAAAGAATAACAAGATGTTGAAGAAGGAGTAAAAAAAACCGTGAAAGCGAAAGAAAGCGAATGGCCTGACCATTTCGCGTGTGCATTCTCATTATTTTTATGATTCTATCAGTTTTATGCGATTCTTCTTTATTTTGCATCTGTCATGTTCTTCCCTTTTTTTTTCATTCCTTTTTCGAGTTAATTGAGCAGTGAGCGAGAATTGAGTTTATAACGATTTATGAGTTGGTTTAAAAGATATTGCGGTATTTTTGAATGAAAAGTTATTCAAATAAAAGTTGGCACTGGGCAAGCAATTCATTCAGAAACATCCGTCATTGTAGTGGTCGGAGAATCTTGTGTGAGGCGATCTAGATCATTGCTCTCTTCATCCCAATTGATAACAAGTGGGCTCAAAGGGAGCATACTAACGCCATCATTTTGGAATATTGCCTGAAACGATGACTAATTTGAATTGAAATACGTTTGCAATATTTCTTTCCTGGACCCTTATGTTATCATAATGCTCATATATTTTGAATATAAAGTCTGCGTAAGTAGTAGCGCCGAGGAATTCGATAATAGACAACATGTAAAGGCCATCTGAAATTCGAGCTTGAATCATATATTCAATAGTATTACCTGGTCCCAAATACTGTTTGAACGTGGCAAATTGATCATCTCGTGTTGATGGATATCTCTGAAATTGTTTTCGTTAATGCTGTTGGAGTGAAAACATACGGATCTTAAAAGTACGTTGATATCATCAAATGCCCGCATTCGATGGATGGTTATGATCAAATCCTTGAAATTAAACACTTCGATGCAAGCAAGAGTGAATCTAAAAATGTTAAAATTTTATTTCAAACTAGAAGATTCATGCTCACCCAATCACTATAAGCATATTTTTGCAAAGCACGTTTTGGGCGAACATGCAGTTTACGATTCCGTCGGAATGAGAGCAACCAACTCTCTCTGGTAAACTCCAACTGTAATTGATTTTGATCCAAACGTGACTTGTAAGGATAGCCTAAAATCGCTTTCTTGAATATTTCTGAAATCGCTTTCTTAAAAATAACTGACATTCATCATTTTCACAAAGTGATCCTTATCGTTAAGTGCTAACATAATGATCCACAGTCCAATGGCATTAATGATTATATAGAGCAGTTTTGTGGTGATATAAGTTACGGAATACCTGTTAATACGAATATTTAAGATTTTGTTTAATGTAACTACCAATTTCTTTTGCGATAGTCGAGGCGATTAGTCAAAATGACAATCATTTCCTGAACTTTATACTCCTTCTGTTGAACGCTCAGCATTGAAAAACTGCGAACAGATTTGAAAAAATATTTCGCTGGCATGTCTGTAAATAATTACAATTCGTTCAGCCTCATTTTTAAAAAATTCGACTTACATAATAAACTTTGCGAAAAATACCATAAGAATTTCACCAGTATCAATAAGATACTCAGAAGAATAATAAGATACGGTACCCAGAAAGGCTTGTCGTTTAGTGAGCTACCTGGTGGGATGTTCTTGTTGTTTATAGCAAACTTGTACTTTCCTAGGGTGTAGCATTTGTTTGTATCGGAAACAAGCATTCCGTCAGAACAAGTGACGGCATTCCCAAATAGAATTATTGCACCAACTCCCAGCGCCAAAACACCCATGAAGATTGGTGCCACCAGCCAGTCAAGTATGTCGCAGCATGAATCGGTAATGGTAAATGGGAGAATGCGGCGAGTCATTTTTTTGATACAGCGGTGCATCTATTAAAATTTATATTATTTCATAATGGCTGGGAAAAAATTATTGAAAAATTCGTGTATTTAAGAAAACGAATGTAGAGAAAATGTTGAAGGAAGACAGAGGAAACGATAAGAATCATTAGAATGAGTCATAGTTTCGAGAAGCAGACCGAATCGCCTCAGGACCAATAAATTCGAATGATTTGGGTTTGGCGCGTACAAGAAATTTCGCGTTGAGAGGCACTGAAGACTCTGCTGACTCATTGAAATCACTCAATGCCTGTCGTGGGGCTCTCTGTCCATTTTCGTTGGTTACCACGATTATTTTATGCGTTTTTGTAGCATTTTATTGGTTTGTGTTACCCCATATTCCCGCGACATCTAATTCTATGTTCGCTCGTATTTTTTTCTACTATCTCATTTTCGTTTTAGGCGATACCTCGAATTTTTCAAACATGAATTCCGTTGGAGATGTCAATGGAAAATACAGCCGAATGGGCCTTAACTCTGTTCGCATTGATAAAGCTTCCTTTTCATTCAAAATTTTCAGTTCAGCTTTGTTGAAGCGCATTCATGCTTTTGGGCAGGACAAGCGGAACCCGATGCCGATATTTGGGTCGGGAACGGATTCGTTAAAAATGGCATATTTTCACGTAGTTACTCTTCCGTTTATTATGCTGCTCATTGTGGTCGCAGGCATCACGCAACTCATCTACCTGCTGTATTGTAAGTAAAAGTTAAAGGAAATAGAATAAAATGGTGCAAACTGGTTCAGCTCTCAAATTTGCTCCGCGACGACCAATACTGCCCATTTTCGAAGCAATCAATCGTCGTAACCGGTACTTTTAATGTCTTTTCAATCATCACCTTATATTATTGTTCCGCAGATTCGTTATATTTTGCAATGTGTGAAAAGTGATTTTCCTTGCTGATGTGTTCTGCTCAATTTGCATTTGTAAAACAGGAGACGCCCATTTCAAAATTTAAGGTTCATGCCAATATCTCTATAAACACTTTTTAGACAATTTCAGCTACAGTTTCATTTTTTTTGGAAGAAGCTTTCTACCATAATTATATCTAAAATCTAAATTGCAACATTAAAGTTATCAGAAAAGTAAGGACAGAATTCAGGAGTTTTATCATGCCCAAAATGTAAAAAAAAAATATATGCATATATTAGAGTGAGCATTTCGAAAATCAGCAACGAAATCTAAAATCCGTTGGGATCATTTTAATCAATTCCGCTACCTATCTACTTACTGTTGCTCTCACGTTCACATTGAAGAAAAATCAAGGTAACACATTTGCATATTTTGAATATGAAACGTTATATTTTTACAAGATGTACACAGGAGAGACAACAGAAATTGTAGTAAAAGGGATCACATTTAAAGTTTTTGATATCGCTTTAAGCAATACTACATTTAACCTCGCGCTCTGGCACACATTCTTTTTGTTTCTTCTTTAAACCAAATAATTTGTGATTTTCATGATTTAATATAATTTTTCAACAAAATCCTTATAAAAACAGATACTTTCACACTAAAATATGGGCACATTTTAGCAAAAAAAACTCCACTAATTAATTTGCGAATGAATTAGTGTCGATTGCGATATTAAACTTATCAAGAAAATGAATAAAATGAGACAAGTTATTCATTCATTTTTTTGTTATTCCATTATTTTATACATTTTCAATGTTCTATCGATTTTACATCGCTCTATTCTCTTGACATTATTGTTCCTTCGCTGTCCACATTTGGTCTATAGTTACATTTTAAAAACCATTTTATGATTTTTTTTGCGGCATTTCATTGCTTGTGTCTCGCATTTTTTCACATCCGCTCAAAATGACTATAATTTATTAATATTTTAATGCGAATTTCAGACTTTTTTTTGGACAATGCCCGTTTTATTTGCAAGTTCGATTCCGTTAGAAATTTCGTCAAACGACATGTCGGCATGGTTCTGCGTGATGTTCGCTGTTTCCATATTTCCAATGTTCACGAAATTGGCAATGATCCTTCAAACAAGACTTGAATTGATGATTGGGCAGAGAATCAACGAAATTTTATTTTTTTCGTTATCGAAATCGGACAGCGTTAGTCGTTTTACGCGGCGTTTCTACAGCTACACAATATTCATCATCGGAGCTTTATTGGGAAAATCGATTATGGAGCTCCTCGAGATGATACTCTGTCAGTTAGTTTTTCAGTTAAACGTTTGGTGCATTGAGATATTAAAGTACACGATTCTCAAATTTTCGGCGTTCATTATGGTTTTCCCACGAATAAAAATGATAGTCCTAGCATTTTTGAATGTGATTCGATTGGAAATTGTGTGCGAACGGAATCCCTTCTCTGTGAAAATCATATAAAATTTTTTAAGGCTTGAAAATTGTGCCAATTGGTGCGACGCCCCATTTATATCGTTACATCAAGAGGAACAACAGGTTGGTGAAAATTACTCATAATTGCATAATACAATTTCATTTCACAGAAGCTTGATTGTTTATATTGCATTCAAAATAGTCCTGATTGCCGATCTAGCAGCACTGATTTACCAAAGCGTTGAGAATTTAGGAAATTACCCTGATCAATTGTATGACTCAGAGGTTTGTATTATAGATTTTCAACGGTTAGTTACAGTAATCTCAAATAACTTGTTCAGCCGCTTTTTCTCAATGGAAAATATTTCACCACAAATATCACACTTATTCGATCATTCAAACTTGCATGCGACATGGCATTTTCGAGAAGCAAATGCACTGCACTTGAAATTTGCAACAATTCCATCTTGAACGTTGAATTGTTGTATGGTTCGAGCTCACATCACCCAGAATAATCCCTAATTTCAGATTTCTCGCGGTGTTTATTCATATGTTTTCAAACTTGCTGGTTTTTAACCATATTTACAGTTTCATCACATTGCGCTATTTTCCGGTATTTCTTCGATTTTATTTTTTAATTGCTCGATGGTTAATTATTTTAGCGTTATGGACTCTTACGATATGCTAATGAAAGAGAAATACATCCAGGTAGACACATTAAAAAATATATTTAATTATTATTTAATTATTCAATCATTTTTTCAGAAGTGATATTAATGTTAAGATCTCGAGCATATAGAAATCTCACGTATGTTATCGGAATGTTGCAATGGACATTTGGCAACATGCTTATTCAAGTAAGATTTAAAAAAGCGACACCCAAGTTATAAACTGGATTAAAGGGTCTCAAGCAAGCGTACAAAGCGGAAAAGCGAACAATTGCGATAAACGGAAGTGTTTTTGAAATTGTTGACATAATTCCGTTGAACAAGTCTGTCAATATTATAGATCTGCTCAAAACGTTGTAGAACGCGAAATTAATGTTTTGAAAAATTAAAACATATTATCATATTTTTTGAATAGTCTTATCAATATAGCCTTGTTTCGACAAATCAATAGTAACATCATATTGTGAGAAATAAAAAAATTTTGAAAGAGCATAAAGATTACACGCCAAAATAGTTTTTCACGATCATTTCATGAAAGTAATTTATTATCTATCAAAAATATGTAACAAGAATAGTTATTAAGATATATATATATATATATATATATATATATATATATATATATATATATATGGCAATGTGAAATACCGTCTGATAAAAAATATGTTAATCCAGTAAACAAGGTCCTACAAAATGAGCGACACTAAATATAAAACGATTGAAGTGTACCAATTGCGATTGTGCATAACCACAAAATTTCTGAAATTTTAATAATGTCCAAAAAACAAACATTCCAATCTTTTTGCTCTTTCGAATCACGATCCAGTTTTCCGTTGTAAATAGTGATGAAAAACTGAAACAAATGTTAGCGATTCTCGTGATATTGCTACCGGCATCATCATCGTCTCCTGATTTCATTTCAAGCGAGGTGAGGTAGGTTTGTGTAATAAAAAATTACGACATGACAAAAAATGACTGCCCACTCTTGTGTTTTTGAAATGTCGACGGAAAACCTAAATAGGCGAGAAACTTGATTTGGTAATAAAAATCAACATCTAAATAAGGAAAAATTTTAATTTTACGAGCCAAATTTCAATTAATCGATTAGATCACTATGTGTGTAAATGTTTTGATATTTGCGCTTTGCTTTATGAATTTTCAGCTGAAATAATTGAAGCCGACTATAAGTATGAATGACTGTATTCACAAATGTTGTATTACAATGTATTAATTTTACGAAATCTATGAGAATAACTCTACATACATACTTACATATATGCTCTCATGTTTTATGCTTACTTACTCATACTGCTCTTAGATTTCTGGAATAGTATTTGAGCATTTTATTATTTCTATAAAATATTCTGACGTTTTTCTTTATGTATTTTTTTTCTAAAAAAAAATATTAAATATCACACATTCTTAATTTTCTGGTGGAGCAGACATTCTTCTTACGAAACCCACATGAATTGTCCATTTCTCTCGGATCTCGAATCCCTTCCCAATGTTTAAGAAAAACATTTTCGTGACCAGTTGGTAAATTTTTTTCAGAATCGAACAACTGTCCTCTGATCTGCAATAATCCGTATAAATAGAAAGTAATGCACAAAGAGTTCAAGTCTCACCAACATGTTTCGAAGAATTCTGCTGTGCACGCTTATTGCTACGACAGCCTTGGGATTTTCCGATTTAGTCGATTTGTATATTCGTAGATATAATCAGGTGGAATGCAACTTGTCCGATGATATCAAAGATTTGTGGTGTTCTTGGGTCAGAATTTTTTTTATTCTAAAAAGTTACCATTTACTTTAAGAGTTATTACTTCATGAAATCTGCAAATCTGTCGGCAAATGGCATGTCACTTTTTATTACATCTTGCCGTAGTTTTGAGGTATGATTTCAAAGAAAAAATTCCAATTCATTTGAAGTCACTCAATTTTTAGAAGTGTATCGAATCAAAAGCTTGTGGAGAGGGTGAAGAGGTCGAAACTAACAAAAAATTTGCCACATCAATTGGAGCACTATGTAATATTTACGATTTTTTAGAGTATCGATTCAAGGAATGCGGCTTGAAGGTTTCATGATTTTTTCAAAAAATAATCGATATGTATTTAATTTAAGCTAAAAAATGTTCAACGTGGCACGTGTTTCGATGATTTCATGGAAAAATTATATTATGTGAGTGATTTTATGCACACGAATAATTTTTATATGTGAAATATATAGGTAGATCAAAACACAACTAGCGACGGATTATTGCCGATATGCAAAGGATATTATGGAAAAGACGATTGCCTCAATATTCAAATCAAAGAAAATTGCGGCGAAGAGATGTTTATAAAGTTTGAAGAAAATGTCATCAAAAACGCCATGAAAAGCGCAACATGCGTCGAACGTGACGACGATTAACTAGAAAAACAAAGGCATGTGCAGAAAATGAAAGGATAACCGCTACTTTAAACCTTAAATGATATAATTTTTGTATTATGAATACGCGTTTTGCATTCGTTTTTAAAATGCTTAACATGGCGGATCGCATGATTTGGCATGCAGATTCGTCATTGCTCTTTACAACAATCATCTGAATAATCGCCAACAAATCAACATCAAAAATCGTGAACGTCGACGATTTCAGCGCCAATCAATTTATATCTAGAATTACATCGTACTCAGCAAATCAAAGCTTCCAAATTTATTCATATTTATTCAAGCATTTGAATAATTATACAATCAATGAAAAAACGGCACAAACAAATATAAACGACAAAATGTACTAATAAACGATAAAACACCCTCAAATTGCCTACAATCGACAAGAATGAACCATTCCATTTATGGACAACATATCAACTCGGTTAACTAACTGATATGATTGAAAGCCAATCAATAAATCGTGGAATAATGAGCTATGAAAAAATTATCAACCAAACTTTTTATGACAAAATGTACTAATAAACGATAAAAACATCTTTCAATTGCCTACAATCGACAAGAATTCGATCCATTCCTTCTTTGGATCGTTCCGCGTAAATAGCGAAGAACTTCTAGGCTTCCTATGATCACAAATCGACCAAATAACATTAGAGTTCGTTCTGGTGCAGAGCACATCTTATTTTCTTGTTTTCTGAAAAATACAGACTTCTATATGATTTTAGATAATGCGAATTACTTTCCACAACTTTTCGTGGTGGCTTCGCCAACGACGACATTGGCGAAAAAAAGGCCACCACGGTTATGGCATCACAGTGATATTTTTGTTTCTTTAAATCGCCGAATTGACCGCAAGTGCTAACCGGCGTACCAGCATCCTCGTTCTTTCTTCAGCAGAGTTTCAAAATGAACAATCCAACCAAAATCGAGAGCTCATTATTAGCTTCTTATAGTAAAGGTGCAGAGCACCACTCATTTTCACGTTTTCTGAAAAAAAAACAAATTTCTAGATGATCTTAGATAATGCGAATTACTTTCCACAACTTTCCGCGGTGGCTTCGCCAACCACACCAATGGCGAAAACAGGCCACCACGGAAAGTGGATATTTGTCCCCCAAAAATCACCGGCACAGCCTTTGGTCGATTTCGGGGGGCGACAGCAGCATTGCCGGAGCAAGAGTGGTCCCATCAGAGGGACGTGTTCAGCAGGCATCCTGAGTGAATGAAAGTGCGAATGAATGAATAAATGTGGATATTCGCCGGCCTTTTATACCCCTCCGCGCTGTACACGTGGTCGGCACTTTGCAGTTTGACCAAAAATCAAATAATGTGGTACGCACATACTTAGCCAGAATGCACGTGCAACATCCCAAAAACAGTACTCCGACCAAAGAATAAAATGGTAATTGGCAACAATGGATTTATCGCGGGAAAATAAATGAGCCAAATTGAAATGAAATTTTTGAAAATATGAAACACATAGATATAAGCGTTAATACTTTTGGAAAGATTTGTGTTTATAATAAAAAAAAAGAAATGTAGATCGTCTCAAAATTACTATAATAAGGTAATGCAAAAATAGAAATAGTTTGAAAAAATAAAGAAAATTTCAATATTTTTTTCATTTAAACTTTCTTTATTTTTCTACATTCCTTTCAAACAGTGTTTTTTAAAAGGTTGAAGCGATGATTATCATAGCTTTCAAATTTGGCAGTTAAGTTATGTACAGTACTGGCCATAATGATGCTCGCCTAGTGTTTTTTGAGCATAACTTGCCACAAACGCGGTCGATTGGGCTGAAATTATTACTGTAAACGCTAAACACAGCTGCGCAACTTTGGGAACAACAAAAATTGCATCATGTTGAAAAAAATTTTTTTTCAATTTTTTTAAATGTTTTTTCGATTTTACCAATTTTTCATTTTTTTCAAACTTTGTCCATAAAAATTTCTTCATTTGAAATTTGAACTTGAAACACGTTTTAAGCAATTTTTCAACCTTCTGGAAAGAAAAATTTCACGGCGGACGTTCAAAAAGCGATCGTCAACGGTCATAAGACAGGGTCGTCCAGAAGCCTTCTGGCTCAGCAGTTCCTGTGCTCCCGAAGAAGAATCCAAAAAGTTTTGCAACGATTAAGACAAAATGTACGATTTTTTAATTATTCTGGACTATTTCTAATCTATTGGGCTGCATTTTTGTTAAGAAATCACATGGTAGACCTTGCAAAACAACTAGGCTCCAAGATCGGAACATCTGCAGTGCTTCAAGAGAAGATCCTGGACGGACTTCAGCAGATATCCAGATGCTTGTGGCAACGCCAAATGCTTCAATGCCATCCAGAAGAACAATTAGACGTCGTTTGGGGAAGAATGGATTTCATGGAAGGCGCCCAGCGAAGAAACCATTGATCAGTGAGAAGAACCAAAAGACGAGGGTGGCATGGTGCAAGGATCATCTGAACTGGGGACGATGAGAATGGGCCAAATACATCTGGAGTGATGAATCGAAGTTCAACTTGTTCGGAACTGATGGAATCAAGTGGATTCGTCGACCTATTGGAGTCAGATTCATGCTAAAGTATCACCTCCGAACGGTGAAGCATCTTGTAGGGTCTGGGACTGCTTCTCCGACACCGCCATGGGACCGCTCCGACGTGTGAATGGAATCATGGATCGGTACCAGTACAAGAATATCCTGGAAACCACAATGAGATCTTGGGAATTGGGAAACGTCGGACGTGCATTCGTTTTCCAGCAAGACAACGACCCTGACATATGTCTGGACACGTAAAGAATTGGTTCCAACGTCGCCGCGTTGATGTTCTTGCATGGCCATCAGAGATTCCTGATCATAATCCGATCGAACATCTCTGGGAAGAACTGGTACGCATGGTTAGAGGGCTCCGAGCATCAATCGCCGACGAGAAGTTCGCTCAACTCGAAGCCGCATGAAGTGTCATTCTGATGCAGTGATCCGCATCCTCTTGGACTAGATGCCTCGCAGATGCCAAGCAGTTATTGATGCCAAGGGATACGCAAACATGTATTGATATATTAAAAACAGGTTTTCTAAACATTTGTAATGTTTTCGGGTTTCTGAGACATTCAAATCACATTGTGTCATTTTTTCCATTTTCCGCATTTTTATGAAATTTGTGATTTTTTGAAAAAAAAACTTTCCTGCAGTATGCGATACCAATCAAACGCATTTTCAACGCGTTTTGAAGATATGGTAAAAAATTTCAGCCCGATCGGCTGCGTTTGAGCCATGTTATGCTCAAAAAACACTAGGCGAACATCATTATGGCCAGTACTGTATGTGGAAGAATGCTGATAAAACCCATTTCGATGTTTTGTTTTGACATTTGAAACCGATTTTTTCACACACACACAAAGTACGCAAATGATATCATATATTCCGGCTGCCATTTTTGTTCGTCACAAAACATTAATATAGGACAACGTAGAAAATAAAGTGGAGAAAATAAAAAAAAAGTTTCAATAAAGAAATAAAATTTATTTTTCTTTATTTTTCATATTTCTTTGTTTAAATTGTTTGCATTGATCCATTTCTCTAAAGGCATTTCTATAAGAAATTAAACATCAAAGTGATGCTAAATGAACACGACATGCACGTTTTTACGTTTAGAAGAAAAAATAAAAGTGTTACATGTTGACTGGGCCAATTTTTATTTTCACATTTGAGCACGTGTTATAGTTTTGGTTGGATTAATTTGATTGAACAAATATATACAAGTTCATAATCTAAATTAAAAAAATCTGAATTCACAAACCAAATCGTTGTTGGGATGATGTCTTCCCTCTTAAATAAACTCAAGTAAAGTGACTTCTAACACAAAAAAATATATGAATTCGGAACAGACGCCAGTTATGCGGATAAAAATAAAATAGAGAATGTTCAAGTTTCAATGTACGATTATCGGAAATTTTAACATTTTCGACAAATTTGTATCCTACGAATAAAAGCGCCTAGCTTACAGTTTTAAAATTCAATTCAAATTAAAGAAAAACTGACAGTTCTAAAATTATATAAAACATAAATTTTCAGCAAACCTCGAACAGAACTACTACTAATAAATTAATTTTTTAAAGATCAATTATCGTATATTGCTCGATTATCACATAAATATCGTACAAATTTTATCTAAATTTATTCTGAAAAAATTTTATAAAAAATTTTGAATATGTTTGGTTTAAATTTTCAATATATCAAGCGTCTTTCTTATAGGGCTCTTACAGGCAACTGTCATTGCTCAATAATCAAAACCCTGTACAAGTGTTCGTCATTGTATCAAAGCTACGTTCATTCTAAATGTTACGTGGAATGTTCATTGGTCGCTTTATAAACAAGAAAGTAAGAATTTTAAAATATTTGCAACTCTAGGCGGATCGCACTATTTGGCATGCAGACTTCTCTGTCTCAAGATCCTTTTGTTTTGGATTCAGGAAGGGTTTACCAATTTTTTCTTAATTTTTTTTTCAGGAAAAATCCATTTAAAAATTTTTCAAATTGAATCAGCTTGTGTGTTTTGTAGATCTTTTCTCATCTCTAGCTGTCCTAACAGAATTCCAATAAAAAATTACTTGTTTATTCAATTATTTTTGTTATTGTTTTTAACATCGAATTTATCGTGCAAAAAACTTTGTTATTCAGAGTATTTTTGAAATTTCGACGAAAATCAAATCCTGTAGTTTAGAAGCACACAACATAACGAGAAATCTTCAAGAGAACCTTGCAATTATTTGAAAAAGGCGGAAATATTGCAAATCATGTAATGAATGTCAGAAATCAACCATAATACTAATTTCTTTTTATGAATTTTACTGAGCAAATATTCAATTGGCAATATCCGTTTTTTGAAAGCTAAAAAGAATAACATTTCATCTGAATTATCGCCAATAAATCAACATCAAAGGTCGTGAATGTCGACGATTTCAGCGCCAATCAATTTATATCTAGAATTACATCGTAATCAGCGAATCAAAGCTTCCAAATTTATTCATATTTATTCAAGCATTTGAAAAATTATACAATCAAGGAAAAACCGCACAAACAAATATAAATGACAAAATGTACTAATAAACGATAAAAACACCCTCAAATTGCCTACAATCGACAAGAACGTGATCGGTTTCTCAAAAAAAACTCGGGAAATTAATGAACATAAAGAAGAACTAAACAAACATTTTCAAATTGTGAAATATGACGATTTATCAACCAAACTTTCTATGACAAAATGTACTAATAAACGGCAAACACCTTTCAATTGCCTACAATCGACAAGAATTCGATCCATTCTTTCTATGGATCATTCCGCGCAAATAGCGAAGAACTTCTACGCTTCCTATGATCACAAATCGACCAAATAACATTAGAGTTCGTTCTGGTGCAGAGCACATCATATTTTCTCGTTTTCTGAAAAATACAGACTTCTATATGATCTTAAATAATGAGAATTACTTTCCACAACTTTTCGTGGTGGCTTCGCCAACGACGACATTGGAAAAAAAGGCCACCACGGTTATGGCATCATCCGATCAAAATCGAGAGCTCCTTATCTAGTAAAAGTGCAGAGCACGCCTCATTTTTACGTTTTCTGAAAAAAACAAATTTCTAGCCGATCTGAGATAATGCGAATCACTTTCCACAACTTTCCGCGGTGGCTTCGCCAACCACACCAATGGCGAAAACAGGCCACCACGGAAAGTGGATATTTGTCCCCCAAAAATCACCGGCACAGCCTTTGGTCGATTTCGGGGGGCGACAGCAGCATTGCCAGAGCAAGAGTGGTCCCATCAGAGGGACGTGTTCAGCAGGCATCCTGAGTGAATGAAAGTGCGAATGAATGAATAAATGTGGATATTCGCCGGCCTTTTATACCCCTCCGCGCTGTACACGTGGTCGGCACTTTGCAGTTTGACCAAAAATCAAATAATGTGGTACGCACATACTTAGCCAGAATGCACGTGCAACATCCCAAAAACAGTACTCCGACCAAAGATTAAAATGGTAATTGGCAACATTTTTTCTATTTAAACTTTCTCTTCTACATTCCTTTTAAACCGTTTTTTAAAGGCGATGATTATTATAACTTTCAAATTTGGCAGTTAGGTTATGTATGTGGATGAATGTTGATAAAACCCATTTCGATGTTTTGTTTTGACATTTGAAACCGATTTTTTCACACACACACACAAAGTACGCAAATGATATCATATATTCCGGCTGCCATTTTTGTTCGTCACAAAACATTAATATAGGACAACATAGAAAATAAAGTGAGAAGTTGAACATCAAAGTGATGCTAAATGAACACGACATGGACGTTTTTATGATTAAAAGGAATATTTACAGTTTACATTTTGAAGGTGGCAATATTTATTTACCCATTTGAGCACGTGTTATAGTTTTGATTGTATACAAGTTAAATATATACAAGTTCATAATTTGATTTTAAGAAAACTTTACAAACCAAAACGATAGGGTGATGTTTTCCCTCTTAAAAAACTTCAAGTAAAGTGGCTTCCAACAAAAAAATATATTTATATATGAATTTGGAAGAGACACCATTTGTGCGGATAAAATTTAAAAAAAGAGAAATACACGATTATCGCAAATTTTAACATTTTCGACAAGTTGTATACCTTAGGCAACGTTTAAAAATTCATTTAAAATAATCTAAAATGATTTGCAAAATGAAGCAAAATACATAAATAATGTTCAATTAACTTTTTATATGTGAATTCGATATTTTTTCTTGCGCCATTATTTCCATTATCAATCAGATAAATGTCCAACGTTCGATGAGGGTTGTTATCAGTTCTGTATGAATTTATCAAAACTAATTATTAGATTTCAAATTACCATCAATAGCAAACATGAACGAATGAAACAAAAAAAATTCAATGCCAAAATGCATGAATACAAAAGATAATTGATAATGCAACATTGTGAACAGGTTTTTTTTTTATTAATTTATTAATTGGGCTTCAAACTAATTTTTTACAAAATTATCTCAATAATTCAATTTTTCGCTTCAGTTTCATAATTAAATCTGTATCTTCTTCACTAATCTTATTATCGCGGAAGTGCGAATCGCGCAAAAAAAACCCCTCCTCTCCCTTTAGACCCTTAAATCGAAACATTTAGTTTTTGCGGTCAGCGCTCTTTCAGTTTTCATTAAATAGTTTGAATTTAATCTTGAAAAAATTTAGCTCCAAGGCTTAATTTCGTTCTTCAAAATTTTAAGTGTCGCATCTATTTATTTTTCAAGAAACAATTTTCCGGGATGAAAAAAAAACGAAAATCAAGCGATTTAAAATTTTTTTCACTGAGGAATTGAAAATATTTTATTGGGTTATTTCATTATTAATTCATAGCGAAAATCGACCAACTACTTAAATGTATATTTATTTTGTTTTAAAACTGACAGTTCTTAAATTATATAAAACATGAATTTTCAGAAAATCTTGAATATCTCTACCACAAAAAATTAATTTTTTTAAGATCAATTATCAAATTGCTGCTCCACATCGTACAAATTTTATTTAGAACAAATCTGAAATAATTTCATAAAAAATTTGAATATGTTTGATTTAAAGATCAATTATCGTATATTGCTCGATTATCAAATAAATATCGTACAAATTTTAACTAAATTTATTCTGATATAATTTCATACAAAATTTTGAATATGTTTGAATTAAATTTTCAATATATCAAGCGTCTTCCTTATAGGGCTCTTCCAGGCAACTGTCATTGCTCAATAATCAAAGCTCTGTACAAGTGTTCATCATTGTATCAAAGCTACGTTCATTTTAAATGTTACGTAGGAATGTTCTTTGGTCGCTTTATAAACAAGAAAGTTCGAATAGTCATCATTTTCGCGTGCGACTGCCCTATTACATTCGTGCCTACGTGATTTTTAGACAAGTGTTTTGGTTCTCGACCTCGGATGTTATATAAATATGATCGCAAATCATTGATCCTATTGTTTCGAGCTTAACCATTCAAATTTTCACGTTTATTTCTTAATTATTTCCCACTATTCGTGTAATTTCTTTGAGTTTTTCAATTTCGCTTTTATTTGCGAGCGCGTTTTGTCTAGTCAACTGCTGTTTCTCGTCCCTCGCTCCTCCCCCCCCCCGCCTTCCGTCTCTATCTCAAAGAAGAAAAATTCGCACCGCACGTTTGTGCTTTCTATTTTAAGTTTACTTGAGATTTCACTATATTAGTTATTTTTCGTTTTCAGAATGATTGCCCAACGCGTTTTGCAATGCACACCAATGACTATCGTTCGTTCAACAGTTTGCCGCTTTTCAATGGATCCGTTAGAGAGGAAAATGGCGCAGAAGCGGGTGAGTCGTAGTAGCTTTGATTCTCTTCATTTGTACCTACCAAAATTTACCGATGTCTTATAGGCGGAAGTTGTTGCTCAACAAAACCAAGAGGATTCGATGAAATATGCGACGAAGACGGATTTCCAGCAAAATGTTCAGGATACCCGACATGCAGGTGCCGCTTGCGCTGAAACTGGACAAGTGCCGACGCGATGGCAACGTCGTTTCTTGGTCATTACCAAGCTTTACCCGAATATTGAGTCGATTCCGCCATACGTTCAGTGAGTTGTGTTAGAAATGTTCAAATATTCAATTTTCGAAAATAAGTTTTTTTCTATTTCAAATGTCAAAAGTAAAAATTTCAAACCTTTTAAACTAACAAACTCATTCCTGCAGGTGTTTACTTTGTCAATCTACATTTTCAGCAATGGCACCATGAATCGAATGCACGATCGAATGCGGGTGGTATTCATTGTCGTCGCCACCGGCTTCTTCTTCTCGATCTTCTATGCCGCTGAATTGCTTTTGGATAAGCGAATTCAGCAAGACCGAAGAGCTGGTGTAGTTGTTACGAAAATGTGAACGCGTCTAGCTTTTTCATTTCTACTGGTCAATGAAATTCGTAGAATTCATAAAAATGCTGCACAAATCATATTTATCGGAATATTCATGCTCTCAACAATAAAACAGTTTGCTTTATTTGGTGATTCCTGATGGATCCGTTCAATCGGTTTTTTATTCTTTTTTTTTTTCATTTATTCATGTTTTAATCATCATTTTCAGTATTTCATTAAATATGGGCATCTTCAGAAAGGTTTTAATGAGTGTCTCAGGAGTTCAAGATCCACAAGACGTATGCATTCCCATCAGTCCAATTTCGAAAATGCTTTTGTTATTTAGGACACCAAAAAGGGATCATATCAATGGAAAAAGGAGCACTTATCGGCTGACAAGATGTCGAGAACAATGGATAATTCGGAAAAATACAGTGGGGTAATTTGTGAGAGTCTCAACGAAAAATTGGATCGCTTTTTTAGGTGCCCGCAATTCCCGTTGATATCGGTTATCATGGCGGAAAAGATGTGACGGGAACGAAAAAAACGGGAGTCGTCAGCAACGCCGCCAGCAATCCTGGTGTGATTCTTGGAATGGGTCTCACAACGGCTGCGCTGTTGGGAATGTTCAAGTAAGCGTGTGCGTGACGAAATTAAAATAAAATAATTATCAATTTTCAAGTTACGTGCATTCGTTTAGAGCGGTTTACTATTTATTATTTTTAGTTAAACGGACAACTATCTCTTGAGCATGTTAGATCTCAATAGATTATAACATCATCCATTTACCGCTCCACAATCACATTTGCTTGTTTAACTCCATAGCAAACACAACTCGGTTGCAGGTCCTCATTCCTTGGCGATAAACTCGGAGCTCAGAAAATGATGCAGTATCGTATTATGGCTCAATTCTTCACCGTAACCGCACTCGTTGCCGGTGTGACAATTTTCGGAGCCACGTATGAGGATGAGGACGTGAAGAATTGATCTGCTTTCGGTTTGAAATCTCAATAATTTTTTTCCAATTTTTTTTGTAGATTTGTTCAACTATTAGTGGATTTTTCTTTTTCGTTACCCTTCTTTTCTCTTTTTCAATTATTTCCTTTCGAATCGTCTTTTCGACTCGTTATAATAAAATGTAATTACTATTTTATTGTTTTTCTTTTCGTTTTATAAAGCTTACATTATGTGGAATGAGGTCACATGATATAACATCAGCAACGCTTGAATTTTTTTGAGTGGAATTAAAATTTCATTACATTCCAGTGGATCGAAGAGAGATGCATTTCTGTTCCATTAAATAAGTTCTTAATATTCGCCAACATGTACACATATGTGATAAACTAATGTTTCATAACATTTAACAACACAATCTGATTATTCACATGGCAGATTCCTGATTTTTGATAGTGAGTAGTGTCCATGCGAATTTGCATAATTACTATTTAAAGATGTGTACAAGCTGCGAGCTATTTACCTGGATCAGGTTCATTGCCTAGGTTTCTAAAACTGATCTTTAGAATGAGATGAGACGTACCAATTATTTTTTTTGTGGCAAAACTCAAATAAGGGAATTATTCACTTTATTCACGAAACATAGGTAATCAATTTTGCTTCATTCCTGTTCAAAACATTTGTAAATGTGTTTAATTTTGTGTTCAGCCCTGCATATATAAAATCAGGCAATTTGACTTCTTACTATTGTTGAGTACCATTGGAAATCTAAACAGGAGCTCCATTTTGCTGATAAGGTTATTGGCGGCATGCGGATTTTTAGAAAAAAAAGTTCCAAAAAACAAACTCAAAAAAATTGTTTTTCGGGAAAAGTGAGCATAGAATTTTTAGATTATTTCAAATAGTTGCGGCAATTTCAATCTAAATCGACCCAATGTGTTTGAAACCGTCTCAAATCTATGCCAAATCGTTTTTTAATGATATTATCTTGAAAAGAGCTGCCATCAAATATTAAATGGTTGCTATCTTTAAGTATATTATTTGTTTCCATTAATTCTGCGCCATTTGAAAAAAAAAACGGTTCGCGGTTACTTTTTACGATACTAACATGAAAATGGGCACACATGTAATTTTTCATGCGGAACACTATTTTCACACTGGTTGTTCTCAAAATATCGAAATAATTGGGTGGCGCTCAATTTCGGGAACGCCCTTATATTTCGCGGGTAAATACCTCGCATCTCGAATAATAAATTGAAAGCACATTTTAATTCAGCGAATTTTTGATCATTGCGTCTCATAGTGGGTTTCTTTGACCCTACTCACTCGAGGCGCAGGCGTTTTTGAATAATTTTCTTTTTACCCTGATAGCGAACTGTCCTAATATTCGCAAATTCGCTAAGAATTGAGACATGTAGATAGTATATATCGTATTTATACCAAAAATTTGAAAAAAAGCTGAGCAAGGTCTAGCTGATTAGACAAATGGATTTAACTGTACGCATCACTTCAGAAATAAATCCAAATAGGATTAGCAACAGGTGGCTTGCCTTTAACCTTTTGCGTGTTATCAGTGTTAATCACATATACGGCAGTCGAGTTTCTATGAAGTTATTTTTATATCAACTAATTTTAAACATTAGGTGATTTAAGTAAATCAATAAGTTATTATCGCATAAAAGCCTAACTTTTTTAGCATTTAATTTAAAAAAATTGTCAGATTTCCATAATACAATGAAATTCATACTTGCGACTGGGCGGGAATTGAATGAAAATTTCACTCGACTTGAATTGATCAACAATAATTTATTCAACAGGCACGTCTTTTTTTTGTGAAATTGGTCTAGAAATTGATGATTTGAAAATTAAAACTCTATTTAATTTTTGAAAATCTCTCTTCGAAACATTTATTACGTCAAAAGGGGGTACAATCCGTTGATTTGGAGTTATCGAAGGCGGCTTGCCACTTTTTTTTGCAAACCCGTAATTTAGGATTTACGGTTAAATTAGGTAGTATTTTTTTGTTTATCGTTCCATTCAATCGGATAGATTCATTTTTAGCTGTATCAATAATACTCAAGTGTCGGTTTGCTGTTTTGTTGAACTCGCGCACGCAAATCCTCAACGCACAATGGCAACATCTACAAGTTTGATCTTTTGAAAATAAGCCACTTTATAGTTTGATTGGATTTCAAGCAATTTTAAAACTTTTTCATAGAGTTCAATTATTGAAACCATTTTTATTTGTTGCTACCCAATGAACCACGCATCTGAATATAATTGGGTCAGAAGATATATGCATAAAATACAATTTCTCCAATTTAAAATTCAACGAGAAAATTCCGCCTTACCTGTTAAAGGATTGCTAAAGTAATGACCAATTAGCTAATAGAATGCATTTCAATTGATAGCGGCGAATCACCCTCGGATAAGAATTTTTGATGATTTACCTTTTGAAATGTCAAAGAAAAATTTGTTGAAAAACTATTTAAAAAATATTTATTAAAAAATATTGCTGAATTATTAGATTTGTAGGAAGTTTTTTTTTATGAAGTTAGAATGCCAAAAAAATATTCCTGCTCCTTTTCGTAATTCCGAAGCCGAAAAAATTATTAACATGTCTGATTTTCTTTACTTTCATCGATTTATTTTCTATGAGTCATTTTGAAAACAAATAACAGTTGTCGCTGATTTCCTTCTCATCTCCTATCATCATTCGTCATAATTTTCAATTTTTAGATATTTTCGCAATGAAACATTTTCTATCCACAATATTTTCCCAATATCTTATCAATTCCTATTTTAAATCACGATATTGCCCTGGTTGTCCAAGACGTGTTTTGCACATTTTCTTTATTAAATTTCTTTTTTCACTTCAAAGAAGGTTCAATATTATTTTGGGGGAAGACAGTTTTGCTGCAAACGTAAAAATCAATTTCGATTCAAGAAAATGGTCGCATTAAATTTGAAATCAAACATACATTCAATGTGTAAAATTGCAAAAAAATATGGCAAATAAAAAGTGAATATTGTTGGTGTCATAAAAAAATATTGGCTATGTGCTCTGATATCTCAAGGAAAAGACGCATTAAATATTCTTTCAACGGGCGAAATTAAGAATTCCAAAATCCAAGCTGACTTCGTGATGGTCCCGCGTCGTCCTTTCCATTCTCTGGCACCAATAATACGCATAAAAGTTAAACCACGAAAACAATGTTTCGTTTTTGTATTATTGAACAATTAATTTTCAAATATTTTTCCATTCAATGAAACAAGGCATATTTCCCTTCCGTCTCCCATGACGTTTTCATTTTTTTCGAATTTATTATGAATTTATGAATTGTCGACGTCCTATGATTTCAGAATTGGCTAAATGCCTAAAAGATTTAGTAAGACGTGTGGTGTTTGCTTTTAACTAATTCTTATTCATATGCCCCTACATCGAAACTTTTACTTTTGCTTCATTAAAAAATTTCCTCTATAGCAACCCATTTCATCAACCCGATTAGTGGTCTCGTGCTTTGTTGTCATGGAACCCGGCGGCTTGAATTTCATCTATTTTTGGTTTGCTTCCCGCCGAATTTCTCTCAGAGAGAAGGTCACTTGAATAGCAAAATGCACAAAGGCTTTGTGATAATTCAACAAAGAGAACCGTGACCATGAAATTTAAGAATTCTCTCGAATTTCAAATTTATTTTCCAGTGAGACTTATAAAGGTAGTACTTTTAAATGGTCTCGGTTTTAAAAATTGATGACTTCATATTCCAGAATTTAGATGGATTTCTTATCTTTACAAAATAAGTAAAAATGTCATAGCCAACTAATATTGGGTTTATTGATTTTATCATGGTAAAACGATAGCTAAATCTTCTTGCTAAAATCAGCATGCTGAATGCGTTGGAGACTGAATATTACTGTTGATTTTTAATTGTTCCCAATCCATATTCGGCAGGCTTGTCGCTTCGGTCGGTCGACCAGCATTGACCGAAACTGGGCCAATTCATTGTTTTTGTTTTACCCAAGTTAAATGAATTATATTTTATTATCGATTTTTTTCGGACTATATCCGGCTACGGCACGTAAGGTCCCGGGCCAGCTTCGCCCGGCTCGGTTGTAGAACAACAAGCCTGTTATTAGTCTATAAAGTATTCAATAATAAGCTACGTCTCGGTGAAACTTATCATTTTGAAACTTATTGAACCCAACTATCATACTATATATTTGAGACGTCATTCATCAAGGTAATTTCGACGTTCAAAAATCTAATTGAATTTTCTTTTTGATATGTTCTTCATGACATGAAAAAGTGATAGCCATGTGCAACAGAATGTCATTGATCAAATTGGAAAAAGAAATGTCTAGGATAGCCATGTGACCAATTTTTTTCATTCAAAGCTTTTTTTCTAATCAACTACAAAATTCCCAAATGTTTTCTATTTATAATATTTTTTTCAAAACCAATAAATCAAACCATAAAACGTTGATTTTTCCACTTGACATCGTGCATTCTCGTCAGTGAAGAGCTTAAAAATGCATAAACTGTATTTTTAGTAATGCGCATTTGTTTATATTTTACTTTTTTTCGGTCAAATCGAGACTAGTTGACCTCATAAACTGCAATTTGATATGTCTTTCGCCGACAGTTCCAGATGTCTTATTTCTTTTGAACTCGACATTATTTGCGCGATTCTATCGGCTTCTCGCATTTGTCCAATTTTATGACGTGCGCAACATATGATACATCTGTTGCTGGCGGTAGAGGGTTGATCGAGCTTGTCGACACGCCCACTCATACAAAGCGTCACCGATATCATTGCTCTTCATTCTATTCGATTCTGCCAGTCGAGGACAACGCTTCCAATGTCGTCGCACGCCGATCAGGTATATCTTTTTATCAAGCAGTCTTGAACAATGGGGAAAAATATAATCAATGATGGTAATTGAAGCTAATAAAAATGTAGTCGTCGCGAGTGCCAATATTAGGAACAATTTACGTTAATTCTCGTAGAATGTCGACAAATGTGTATAGAAAAATTGTGCAATTTTTTTTCAAAAACAAAATTTTTTGTACTTTTCGGACACCCACTTTCAAACCTAACTTTAAATTTTTTCTCATTTAATATAATACTTTGTGCACTCATAAGCTGCATTTGATATAATCATTGATGTTGAATTATCATGACCCTTATTGTTTGCTCAGCGCTATAAGGATAGATAAGATCGCATTAATTGTTGGTGTTCCGCGACGAAAATATTATTTTCTACACCAATACCCGCCAACGTGCAATACTAGTTTTTTTGCGCTGCCATAAGTGATTTGGGCACGCTCTCATCATAACCATAAAGTGCACGCGCGGTCTAATATGCATATATATGCATTTACTAGTACAACGACCCATAATCAATTCAAAATTGTGGACGCGTAAATCGTACTCCTCTTCACAAAAATTTCGATCAATGTTTAATATCGCGCTTTTTCTTTCAATAAAACGTGGAAACCATAAATGAGGACGGTTGGAAGCATTCATGACCTTTCTTGGACACGTCGCGAATTATCGAAACGTGGTGTATTTTTTCACGGATGTGTGATAAGATACATTGAGTATTTTCTCACCGTAAACTCTACTTTTGAGATTGTTTGCCGCATTTTTTACATTTGGACAATTGAGAGCCGTCAATGTAAATATTAAACAAAGAATTGATGCCACTCAAACGATAAGTTTGTTAGAGTGACAGGTAGCAGACTTTGCTTCAATTTAATTCGCTTTAATTTTTTTTTGCAATTCCCATTTGGTTTCTCAATTCTTTCCTTTACTGTTATCATAGACATGTGATGGGAGGCCGAAATGAATAGTTTCATGGCTCGCAATATATCACTTTCATGGCGATATTGCGACAATAGTAAGATGACCTTCGAACACTCAATAATTGAAACACGCCGCCAGAATACAGTCGCTAACACTATTTCATGCATTCGTCCCATTGACACCAACACCCTTGTTCACTAGCTCTGTGCTGCCAGAAAATCCGGCCAGACACAGCAACGCGACTTGCTCGCTCTCTCCGCTCTCTTCTTTCAAACGATGCGACGGCCGTCGCGTTTATGTGCATTTTTTTTTTGGGCTACCGCTTTCGTTTTTTGGCGGGAGTTTCAAATTTTTCAAATATTGACTCTTCTCATTTATTCATTTCGGTATTTCATACGCTTCTTTTTGATTTCAGATGGCGGCAAAAGCTACCGAGTTGCAGCCTCTTCATGAGGCAGACAAGGAGAAAGGAGAGGTGGATGCCGCTGAAGAGGTCGCGCCGGAAGATGAGAAAAATATCGTTTTCTTGATCATCCTCCTTCACGGAATCGGAACTCTTATGCCATGGAACATGCTTATCAACATCTCTTACGATGTTATTAATTGTTTATTGTTGCGTTATGCAAACTCATTGTTTTTCAGTATTACGAAAACTACAAGATGCTCTCGAATGCCACCATCAATCTACAGACTGGCTCAGTCACCGGAACACCCAACTCATTCTCGTCAAACTTCCAGAACTACCAGACCATCGCCGCCCAAGTGCCGAATCTTCTTCTCAACTTCATTAACATCTTTGTCGTTGTCAAGTGAGTATTTAGCTTCCGACAAAAGCAATTTATATTGGTTTTGTTTTAGGGGTGGCTTAGTCAAACGCATCACTGCTTCACTGACCGTTGTCGCCATTGCCGTCATCTCTACGATGTCATTTATCTACGTCGACACTTCATCGTGTAAGCGATTCGTCGGCGATCTTTTCGCAACACCTGTTTCCGAGCAACAAGTTAAAAGTGCATTATATTTTAGGGCTCACTGGATTTTTTGCACTCACCATCGTCACTATTATCATTCTCAATGGCGCTAACGGTGTTTATCAGAACAGCATCTTTGGTCTCGCTTCGGATTTTCCATTCAAGTACACGAACGCCGTCATTATTGGAAACAATCTTTGCGGAACATTTGTTACACTTTTGAGTATGGCGACTAAGGCGTTCACGAATAACGTGCTTGATCGTGCGTTCGCCTATTTCTCGATTTCATTGATCACTCTCGCCCTTTGCTTTGGATCCTTCTTCCTATTGAAGACGAGACCATTCTACCGCTATCACACCACCAGAGCGGCTCGCCAAAGAAGCAAAAACGAATCAACATCGGAAAAGCGTGGAGCTTCATACTATATTGAGACGTTCCGTCAAGCGTTCCCGGCTCTTCTCAATGTCTTCCTTGTGTTCTTCGTCACCCTCTCCATTTTTCCGGGAATCATGATGTATATTCAAGACGCTCCCCACGGCGAGAAATACAACTTCCCACTACCGGAAAAGTATTTCATGGATATCACGACCTTCTTGTCGTTCAACGTTTTTGCTTTTATTGGTTCGCTTGTCGCTGGAAAATTCCAATACGTAAATAAAATGGGTTGCATCAAATATAATTTTTCAAATGATTTAGCCTGGACCAAACAAGCTGTGGATTCCCGTCTACCTTCGCCTTCTCTATATCCCATTCTTCGCCATGTGCAATTTCCTTCCGGCTACTCGCACATTCCCTGTCTGGTTCCCATCAACTTGGCTTTATGTGATTGTTGGTGCGACGATGAGCTTCGGAAGTGGATACTTCAGTGGATTGGCCATGATGTATGCCCCAAGGTTTGTTGAAGACAACACCTAAAAATCTATAATAATTTTTTTTAGAAGTGTCGACCCTTCTCGCGCCCAGACTGCTGGAATGATGGCTGGATTCTCATTGATTCTCGGAATCGTTGTTGGTCTTCTGTTCACCATCGTTGTTAAGGCAATCATCACAGCGTAATAGGTTTTGTAATCACAGTTTATTTCGATTTCGAACGCTTTAAAATTGTTCTGTTATTTTTTTCTTGATTGTTTTCACCAAGTGCACTTCACAATTTTTCTGATGACTTTCATTCTATCCATTCTCGATATCTCTATTCCTTCTCGAAATCACTTTCTAGTGATGTTAGCTCTTCTTTCTTTCTATGCCAACTTCTTGTATTTTGTTGTTTCAGTTTTGAATTTGTTCAGTTTCAATAAAGTGATGTGTACCGTTGGAATTCTTATGAAAATCGACACTTATTGCAAGGTGATAGCGAGAGGCGTTGATAAAAGTTGGCGATTTTTCAAGTGAAAGTGATCAATGGAAAATTCAATAGTTCTTATTTAACGATAAGATTGATATTTTTAATGCATGAACAAGATGACCATCATCAAAATTAATGCTTCTTTTTTTACTGAAAAATATCATTCGAAGAAAATAAAGCGAATTTCATGATACATTCCAAAATTTATTTATAATTTTATTATGTAATATAGAAGTACGAGGTGTTCATATACCAACATAGGAAACGGACAAAATGCATATAAAAAATTGTGGTAAATAAAGTTTAAAAAATATTTATTTGATGTATTTTCTCTTGTTTTTATCATTGATTCAAAACAAAACAGAGTTGGAAAATTGAAAAGACGCTGATCGAGTGAATTTCAATTATTGGCAACACAAACAATCCACGTTTTATTTTTCAGCGCAATTAAAAAGGAATAATTGTTTTCAAGATTCAATTGAAAATAATAACAAATATTATGCATGCTGAAAAACAAACAATAGATCTTATTTCAATATTTTTTTTCAAATTGTACAGCTACATTTGTTGCGTTTTTAAAATCCACTTTAATTATTAACAAAAACAAACCGCTTGCATAATTGTGGACCACCACACATTTTCAAAGCGGTAATTCGGGTACCTACCCTGGACGATCTGCAAAGCTAGCTCATCATAAATTGGCGTAGACTGGTCGTTTTTTTAATCAAAAAACCTTAGATTCTTGCTTTTAAAATTTTTAGGCAGTTTTTGTATTATTCTCGAAATCGGCGTCCATTTTTCCATGGACAAATTGAGGATACATAATTCAACTGAAATCGACATCTGAAATTCTCAACATGTTTGACAAATTTATTCGATCAGGAATAGAGAGAAGATGGCAAACTAAATCAAGATGGAGAATCATCAACATAATGCCAAATATGCTTGAAACGTATTATGGTATCATCATCTCGGATTCTCATTTCAAAAACATTTACATGGATAAGCGAAAGGATTGGGAAAACGTTGTCTGATATTCGAAAAGTGCAAGGAATAGGGTAGAATTAAAAGGAAAATAAATTAATATTTACATTACTTGACTTCATGCTATAGAATGTTTTTTGATGCACATTAGTTATACTAATAGTGGAGGGAGAAGATGTATCTAGGAAAAGTAGGCGAGCACTCAATCAAATTAATTGATGGTTCGGGGTGCCACGAAATTAGCATTTACAATCACTCTTCTCGTTTTCTCCGGTTCCGGTCTGCCTTGTTAGCGCTTGCTTTGGCTGGACACCAGTATCCGCGGCATTCAGGTCAAGGCTAAATCAAGATAAGACCTAGATTTCAAAGCCATATTGCAAAAAGTCGGTTTACCTCCCGTCTTGGATGTTCTGGTAGATCTGTTTGGCCGTCTCGAGGAAAGCGTCCTCCACGTTGGAACCACTGAAATATATAACGATTAAAAAGAGAAATGGGAATGCGCTAAAATTTCCGATTTTCGAAAAAGGTCAACTATTAATTTGACGACGTCATCTTATATCGTGTATGAAGACCTTTCATTTAAAAATGTTCTAAAGCTGCCTAATTAACTACATAGGTTTTTATTAGTATAATTTGTACGTACTAAGCAAGTTAATTAGTGTCAAAATTTTTCTACACTGATGGTGAATAATATGGCAAGTTAAGCAACCAAATGGTTTAAACATAATCTTGTTTACGACCATCAGAAATAACTTAGCAATAAAGCTGAAGCATGCAATTAAGCAAGCAAGTTGAGTGGGCAAACTAGGTATTGTGCTCAATTTCTTTAAAAAAAAGGCTCAAACTCCGAGCTCGTCCAGCTCTAATAGGCACCTACGTCTTAGCACTGCATTCCAAGAAAGTCAGCCCATTTTCCTCGGCGAATGCCTTCGCTTCTTCATATGGCACGTCACGTTGATCCTCAAGATCCGCTTTGTTTCCAATGAGGAAAATCGCCTGAAAAAAAGAAAATTGAAATTTGTGAATGAGAACTTGATTTTTTCTTGTAACAATTCTTCTGAATCATTGGAAAACTGACGAAATAATTTTTTTATTGAGAATCAACTGGCAAACCAGAAATTTGCTGTGTGATTAATATTTCGATGCAATATATGAAAATCAAACGTAGTTTGATTTTTGATCTGTGCCTGAAATTGATTTCATTCAGAGCATCTTCAGGATTTGTTTCTCCAAGCAACACAACGTTCAAAATAATTCAATTTTGGTGATTTTTCAATATTTGCACTGAATATTTTGCCTTATTAGTCGTTGAACACATTTCGCAATTTTTAATAGTGCGCAACACGTTATACTAACCGTATTAGGATTGGTGAGATTTCTAGCATCCGCGAGCCAACTGCTCAAGTGATTATATGTCGAGCGGCGTGTCATGTCATAAACCATTAAAGCTCCAGCAGCTCCACGATAGTACGATCGCGTGACGGCACGGAACCTATAAAATTTTGTAAAATTTTTCATTTTTTTCGCTGTTTTTTTTCTTTTCAATACCTCTCCTGTCCAGCAGTGTCCCAAATTTGAAGCTTAATCTTCTGCCCGCTCACTTCAATAATTCTGGTGCCAAACTCGACTCCTATTGTGTGTGGGCAATCTGCCATGACTGAAAGGCAAAAAAAAATTGAATCCTATTGATGATGTGAGCCAAACGTACATTTCTTTTCGGTGAATTGGTGCAATAAGCACGATTTTCCTACACCCATATCCCCAATAATGATATATTTGAAAATATACGAGTAGTTGTACGGGGCGCTCGACATTGTTTGACTTCTGAAATTGTTTACATTCATCAAAAAAAATCGATGAAACTTCATAAACAAAACAGCAAGATTACAAGAACAGAAAACGAGTCACTCGGTCAAGTGACAGCAAAACGTCGATCGATAATACAAATCGATGCGAATCACAGACGAAGCAAGCGTACACAATTTGCGCGAATGGTGAATACGAAAGTGTTGAAAAAAAATTGAGAAAATTGGACGAAAACAAATGAGGTGGCCAATTAACAAATGAGCCGACCAGTTGCCGAAAAAAACAAGCATTATTGATAGGCGGAGGTGTGTGTGTGTCATAAAAACGAAAGAGGGAGGCAAAGAAGCAAAAAAACCGATGGTCGGTGTGTCTCGCTCACGAGAAATGCGTTGGGCGCAGCACGGGAGGACAAGGCCGGCTAGTTTCATTCGCTGGATGGAATATTGTGAGCGACGCGTGTCCCAACCGCGACGCACTCCCTAAACGGATAGCAGAGTGCGCGAAAAAAAAGACGAATTGTGGCGCAAGATGAAATTGAACATCGTACGTGTATTTTTGTCGAGCAATTCACCATCGTTTGACAAATTACTTGTTTCGTTTTCAAAATTTCATTCTTTTTTGTGTTCAGAAAAAAAATAGTAAAAGGCAGGAAAAAAAAACAATGCGCTTTATAAGAGGAATAACCATGAGAACTGTTCGTGTAGAACACGTCAAAATGCAAGTTCCCAAGCAATAAAAGATGTTTTCAAAAAATTGTACATATGTGAATGAATAATTGATTTTTTTTGATATTTGGGTTGCAAATTTTTTTTGCGACTAGAAGGGCTGGAAATTTTCTTTAATTTTAGCTCGTTTAATTCAATTTTTTCGAGCTATAAAAACAATCAAGCACGTTCTAAATAATTTTAAAAGTATAAAAAATTATGAAATAATCAGTTAAAATTCAGAAAAAAAAAGTTTTTTTTTTCGATTTCTTTCTTCAAGAATAAATAAAAGTGTTAGTTTATTTTTGTGAATAATAAAGAATTAATACTAGAATATTATTAATTTAATCTGAACTGTATTAAAACCGAGAGAGATCTCTACAAGTATTCTATTCTGACGACAGTGAAAAAAAATAGAAAGATAATTTGCAGAGACTCTGTACAAAATAATGCGCAGATTTTTGAGTAACTTTACACTTACGAAATAGCTGCATGGGTGAAATTTGTAGCGTTTGTATTGAAAACACAAGGAGAACACTTTGCCGAAAGGCTATAAGTTTACTTTATGCCATTGAGTACAAATAGAAACAAGAAAAACAACTTGTCACATGATTTTGAACCCCAACTCAAGCGATTGGATTTATTTTTTCCTATTAATCTAGTTCAACATATATGTGGTTATATTACTACTATAGTGGATGTTCGGTGTTTGTCTGCTTTGAAGATTATAAACAATCCGCACCTCGCTTCACTTCATCGCATCGTTTTTCTCCGCAATAGCAAGGCATATAATTTTGTATCTTTGCATTTGAAAAACGCGACAGAAAAAAAAGAAATTACTACTAAGATGAAGCATTATTTTAATTTTCAAACTTTCAAAAGGAATGATTGAATAAAAAAATATAACGTATCCAATTGATCTCAGAGAAAAAAGCATGTCATAATGAAACCTGGAAAACTTCATAAATTGAAATTTTGAGAATTTTTTGAATAGGTGGTCACAACATTTTTATAATTTTTCTATTTACGCATAAATCACTAAAACCATGTGCCAGACTCATTTTTAACTAGAAATATATTTTATCATCTTTAATTAAAGATATTCAGCCATCCAAGAGCACACATAGGTAGGAAGGCAAATTCAAATCTGTGATATCGTAAGTTTTTGAGAATCGTATTTGAAAAAAGACTTGAATATTAAAAAAAAATTCCCTTTTTTGCAATTTTAACGATAATATAAATTATTCGGCCAAATCTTTTTGGAATGAAAAAGTTTATAGATGAAGCAATTATTGCCCAATTTTTTTAGTTCTTCTGATTAGGAAAAGAAGTATATTGGTATTTTGTTCAATAATAAAGACATATTTTCTCATCGCCATATGAATTTCCAGGTATTCTCTGAAATTTTCCTATTGATATTAAACTCCTCACTTATTCATGTCACATTTCGACATTTTTTCGCGCTATTTGAATTTCATCACCAGCGGTCAATGTTTCGGACGAACAATAGAATAATCTGAATGTGCATGACTCAGGAACTTTTCAACAATGAGTTTCAAATGTTCAATAAGCATAATGAAACTTTGATGATAAATTATTCGTCTTTTGAATTATTCTGAAAATTTTGAATCCCCCCGATTTTCATTAAACGGTCTAGCATTCATCTCGAATGTTGAGATTTCATAATACTTTGTTCCCTCTGACGTCACTGTTCGTCATTTTCGTGACTAGTAAGTCCCTATTTCTTTCCTATTCAAAGTCCAGCTGGATATAGCGTTCGATTTCGAAATACTAGAATTACTCGGATTGGTACAATCCAATTTCGAAGCATGCAATTTTCCGACGATGGTCGAGCTCATAAGGAGCATTCAATTCAAATGAGTCTCCCCCATTTGAAATGGATTTTCCTTTGATGAGAATTTGCTAAAAAAAATTGTTTGCGGATTTTTTTTTACATAATCCTGTATGAATGAATCACAATAATAAGAAGGGAATTGAATTAAATCAAATATGATTCATTTCTGAATTTCCGATGTCTAATAAATGTAGTCATTATCCAACCAATCAATTCTAGAACTCGATTTACTGCTTTTTGCGTTTTAAAATTTTTGCAGCCTAAATTTTTATTTGCAAGATATAATTAACATAACATTTGCACAATTACAATGAGATTTTCCTAATACCACGCGCAAATTTTGACGTTTTAGTAATCCTGAGAAAAAAAGAACACGGGGTACGTGACTTATAGTGTGACTAATTTCTGAATTTTTCTGAAAAATTGCGCGTGTCGCCAAAAAAAAAGAAAATGAAAGCGTTGCCCGGCTTAATCTTTGCCCTTGGGTCATGCTTTCATGTTCTCTGCGTTGTTCAAGTTGGTTTTGTAATTTAGAGAGCCGTTTTATGTTTTATCAACCTCAACGGTAATTAAGGGAATGTAATTTTGTCATAAATGCTTACCGAAAATTTTGATACAAAATATTTTGTGTCCTTGAACCATATTTCGCCACATTTTTATGAGCAGTGTGAAAACAATAAGATTATATTCCGATTTCAGAAAATTTACAAATTTATAGATGCCTTAATTTAAATTTAAATGAAAGATTTAATTTCAGTCTAACCTCGAAATAATCTCGTAATTTCCACTTCCCGACCCCCCTCTTCCGGACAAGCATATTTCATTCAACAATGATGTGACGAAACATTTACGGGTGTTGCGAAATCCTTTCCCGATTCGTATTGTTGATACTAGAGCGAAATATTTTCGTAGCCTTCATTCAACATTTCAGTTCACCAGAGGTTGTTCCCTCCGTTACGCCATGTGTTTTGTTGAACTGGCATGAACCAGACAATTGGTTTTTCTTATCTTTTTCAACATTTAAAATGAATACTGCGATATCCACCAGGTTAATATTATTTTCTACTAGAGGAAAATACGGCAGTTTAGTGCAAAAATCTAGTAGTGAGATTTTTGATGAAAAGAAAGGTAGTCCGAGGAATGTCTTACGATCTCTTATGATCTTATCAAAGTGCTTAATAATTTGAAATGCAACACAGCAGCAACAGATTTCTTTTGTCGCTTCTCATTGAAACGTGCAAAAGACAATCACTGTAGTAAGTCAACATTGCGAAATCATTTTTGCACTTTATTGTGCACATTGATCTGTATGCCGTTTTGAATTTTGTCCTTATGGACTACAATACTTGCCAGTTGAGAGCTCAGGGTTTTGCACAGCCTGTTAGAATATGCCTTACGCAATTGTCAAATCTGCTTGGCAGCTTCTCGTAATTAATTTTCCTTTACAAATTACGATGTTGAATTGAAATGAAATTTGAGACATAGTAATATCTCTTATCTAATCTTTGAAAACTTCATTCATTATTCTTTCACAATCAAATTGGCACTTTCATTGCTGCGCCAATATTTCCGATAAACATCAATGTTCAAATGTTTTCGTAATGCGTATGGTTTCGCAATACCATTTTCTGCATGTGGGCGAGGCGAGTGCGTCGAAAAACAGCTAGTTTCGCAATACTTTGTGTTCTGCGTCTCCACTCAACACGCTATCGATTCAGCCAAGAGGCATTGCCGGCTTGCGGAGACCGACGCCGCTTCATTATTTCGCAAACCATCGTCTCTCGATAATGCGCACAATCTCGTTCGTATTTGAATACATGTTCCGAGCCATCTCTCGCGCCATTTTTTTTTATGAACATAATCACCAAACCACATTCTCGGATGCAATCACCAAACCACATTCTCGGATGTTTCGCTCTGAATTCCTTTTTTAATATTCAATTTTTTATTATTTTTAATTATTTCAGAAATGGGTGGAAACGAAGAACGCAATTCAGTGTCACGCAAAAGAAACTTCATTCCACGCCTGGAATCTCTTGAGGTATTTTACACCCGCCAAATTACAATCAGCATGGACATCGTTTTCAGGGAAATCCAAACCAGGAGGATGAACACGAGGGATCGAGCAGCAAGATTCCTGCAACAGAAGAGACTCATGCTATTTTTAGTCAATCTAGCTCTACATCATCCGCCAGCCCATCATCGTTTATTCCGGCTATAGTTTCAAACTCCGATGAGACTACTGAGACTGAATCAACAGAAAATGCAACACCGGGAAATGAGAAGACAGCAAACCCTGCGTCTTCAACTACAAAACGGTCACATCGATCAACAAGAAATTCAGCGCCAGGAAGCAGAGCAGCAAACAGTCGCGCTTTGGCTCATCGAGCAAGTCGATTGGAATCAAGTCGAGCGTCCTCAGTTCGAGAATCAAATAGTGAAGAAGAGACGGCAAACCAAGAAAGAACTAACGAGAGATGCCGTTATTCAATCACTATTAGAATACCAACTGGAGTAATTGAAACATTAATAGTGGAAAGTCGAACTAACAACGCAAATTACCTGAACGCTCGAACTGTGGCGACAGAGGCTGCAAATTTCTTCGCTAAAAGAGTTGCTTGCTCATCCTATACAACTGTATCACTGGTGTACTCATTATTAAACAGCATGGTCGATGCAATTGTATTCTCGTCGAGCTTCCATCACCTCAATAATGTTTTACCGCCACCATTCGAACAATTGGTGACAGAAGCTATCGAAGCCTATACTCAACACACGACACGCGGAATACACCTTCCTTCTATGGTTGCCGCTGCCAGACGCACTGATCCATTTTTCCCACTGAGACAGAACATGCCGCAACGCTATCAAAGAAGTTTTAGTCGTGTCGTGGGAACATTGGGATACTCCACGAGTGAAAACCAACGACAACGTCCGCAGGAAGCTGAACAGCAAAATTCGGCAAGCAGGCCTGAAACTGATAATGCCGGAACTTCAACGGAAGACGTTCAAGTGAACAAAAAGCTGGTATGTTTCTAAAAAAATGGGATAGATTCAATACATAATCAATTATTTTAGAACACTAACGAGAGAATTGAGAAATTTATCATTCAAGGATGCGGGCCAACGGCAAAAGCAATTGATATACACACTCGTCGGATTTACCTGGCGACGGTTTGATTCAAGTTGTCTTATTTTTTTTTTGAAACTTTATTTTTAGATTGTTACCGATCAGAGGAAAGAAAATATTGAAAAGTTAACTGAACGTATCAACAACTGTTATGATTACGCGAGCTCACTTCCGCGAAATTTTCCGGATATTAAGTAATTTAGCAACATATCGCCAAATATTGTTCATTTCTCACAGGAATCTCGTTTTGCCACGAGAATGTCGAATGATTGTGTCAAAAGGCCGTAACATTTATTTCACGCCGTGCTCGAAAATGACGGTTCACCATTACGTTGCTGAAAGAGGGCACAATTTGACAGAGAGGGAAGCTCTTGATATTTTTAGAGGGGTAAGCATTTTTGTTTTGAAACATTCGCATCATTCAATCAAATTTTCAGATAGTGGACATTGTCTTCTTTTGTCATAAAATTGGAATTATTCTAAAAGAAATCAAGGCGCGCAAATTGGGTTTGGTCCGCAACGAGACTGTGTTTACTGTGAATCTCGAAACGATTGCCGACTGTCTGCTTTTAGATAATATTGAAGATGATCAAGTTTCGTGCAGAATTGCGTGTCCAGCATATGTCGCGCCAGAAGTAATACAATGCATCGAAATAATTTTCAAATAACCTCGAATTTTGAAGAGAATTTTCTTGAGCCCGACTCATCCGACCTATTCGGGAAGAAGCGCTGATATTTGGACGATGGGCATTACGCTTTACACAATGCTCTTCGGAAAATATCCATTCTTTGGAAAAACTCCGCAAAGTGTGTTTAGGAGCATTCTTTCGAATCGTCTTACATTCCCCGAGAATAGCCTTGAAGAAACAAGTATAATTTCGATTATTTTCTGCAGAAAACTTTTTATATTATATTCAATTTTAGCAATTCAATTGGTGAAGCGAATGCTCGAGAAAAATCCATCGGCTCGACCAACAATTGACGAGATCAATGAAATGGACTTGAATTGTTTGAGATACTACCCTTGCCGTTCTAAGCATGTGATCGCCGTATCAAATGCCAGAAATCAAATCCGCAGACTTCTTCTTGACTGCTATGAAAATGCTAGAGAGGTAATTAATAAAACTAAGAAAATTAGTTGAGTCATTCGAATTGTTACAGTGTCGCAGAGCGGTTTGCTTAGAGCACATTTCTGTGAAACAAATGTTCGAGATCATCACCTATTTGAATCGAAAACGTTACAAACAAGTCGACAATCTTATTCCTTTGATCAATTATCACGAACGACTCGAGGAAACATCGAAACGATTCGCTCGCCTCAATTTCCCGTGCCCGATCAGAATTACGCGAGGAATCGTCGATGATGAGAGTGAGAAAATGTTCAAGATTCGCTGTATGAGTCTGTACACGGATTTCGAATATTCGATTCTAAACGCTCGACTGGCACAAATCAACAAATTGATTAAGAAAGAGCGAACAGGCAAAATTGTGGTCACTCCGTTTGACGGAGACGTTGAATTACCAGATGTGATCGAGTTGGATCATCTTCCTTTGGAGATATTGATGCCACCGGAGATCCACATTCCGCGACCAGGATTGATTATTAAGAAAAACTCGGTGGCTGATAGAGTTTACAATATGCTTCATTTTCATAACGCACTACAATTCCCGCTAGTTAAACACAATGGTCAAGCTTTAAGGTTCTCTGATCAGATTTATCTTGATTTAGAAGCTTAGATATAAATGTTTCACTTTGGAATAGTTTTCGGCTCATTTATTTATTATATCAAATACTTAATGTTCAAACCAGTTCTGATTCAGAATAGTTTCCCCCCACTCCCCGTGTTTAGTTAAACTCGCGTGAATAGCTGTACAATATTCATTCGTGCTTATTCTTTGTATGTATTCTCTTAAATTTTCTCATAACAGAATATCGTCTCTTTACGAATTCTACAGTAATCGATTTTCATTTCATTAGCAATATTTGCATCCTATACACCAACCCAAACCGAAAATTCTTGAATCACCAACCCCGCAGTGGTTATTAAGGATTCAACAACGATTTTCTTTGGATGTTTTTCTTAATTTTTGGAATAAAAATTGTGTTGAGCTCTCTTTTTTATTGAACAAAAGTTGCAGAAATTGCGCGTAAAAATGATGACAATTTTTTCAAGGTAATGAAAAAATAGTCGCTCTATCATATTCCAAAAAATCGTTTTACGGGAATAATGAATTCGAATTTTTGAGAATGCCATCAGAGGATTGCTGAATCTCTTTAGAATATGCTGTTCTGACGGGTGTTAATCCTTGCTGCGTGGGGAATTTAGAGCATCTTTTTTTTTTGTTAAAACGCTTATTTTTATGCATATGACTATATAGTTGATGTCCGGCGACTGCTGCACGCGGGTAGATTTACGGGGATGCGTCTTTCTCTTGGTCTCGCGAGGACTAACTGGTTATTTTGCATCTTATTGGTGAGTTCAATAATTTTTAAATCGAATAACGTTGGAAATTCAAGCAAATGCCAAATTCATCAAGAGAAAATTAACCCTTCACGTGATAACAGCGAAATAACCGTTCACACGCTGTAAGACTTTTTCCAGGCCCGTGCGCGCTTCTACCCACGGTACAGCAGACCCAGGACACCGACTATACATTGTCTATAAATTGTCTAGCTGTTTTCAAGAAGGGTTGAAATAACTGAAACTATACAAAGCAGTCGTAATACTCAAATTGATTTTTAATTAAATGACAATAGTTGCAATTAGCGTTTCTTAACTCTGTTGATCAAATGAAAGCAGAGAAGGGAACAATAATTTAAAACCGAAACATACACATACATAGGAATATTTAGTTCAAATTTTAGTTGTAAAACAAAAAAAAGGTGTCTTAAACATTAATTTTTCTATATACATATTCAAAAAGGCTTATATATGGTAGAATATTCAATAGTCGCTTATTATATAAACCGATCTCACTAACTATACGGCAACCACAAAAAAATGCCGCGTTGACCTGAGCGGCAATTGTCAGCGGCGGAGCTTCGCGAAAATTCGCAAAATTTACCTTGCCACTACAGCTTTTCCGCCAATGATGATGAAACTTTCTTGATAAACTCATATAAGCTACAACGTAGAAATATTTGCAAGTTTTTCTATCTGGTTTACATTGAAAATTTGTTTCTCAAAATGATTTTATTTAGCATCACTAAACATGTATGGAGAATACTTCTGAAAACCATAAGATAACAATCTGAGGCATTCAGGTGTTTAAAAATCCCCAGTTATTGAATTAATATCCCTTCAATAATTGAATTTCGTGTTGTAAAAATAAATCTGCCACACGAAAACTTCGAATTAATCATTGATCCGTTCTATTAATCCGATCAACCTCCATACATAATATTACACATTTTGGTGACAACTAATTTCTGCATATGAGCGCGTCAAATTATTAGCTTCAAACAAAATTTCATATCAACAAAACAATAAATATACCCGAATAATGTTTCAATTAAATTAATTTGTTTCCTCCCATGTGTTGTTTAACAAAACGCGATGAATGATAAATTGTCAAATCGATGAGTTGAGCCATTGCAAAAACGCCGCCAACAATCCCGCATAATGATACTAAAAATGTGGCCAAGCTTCTAAAAGAAAAAATCAAGGTAATTATTAGGATGAATGTGAATTAATATTACTGTCGGTATTCTTGATAATGCACCATTAGCGGGCTAAATTCATATTGCAAAAAAAATCCAGGGAGTCCAGCTTGACCTAAAAACGTCATTGTTTGTTCCAAGCAAATAATGATGATGCTAAACAACATACCCTGGCTAATATCCTTTTTATGTGTCGTTATTGAAAACTGATGACTTTCATCGACCTTTCCATCATAGTAGTCATAACGCGTCGGCACCACTTTCACATAATACTGATACATGATTCCGCCTTTTTCCGATTTCGCCAACTTCCCATTTAATGGATATTCTTTTCCCGGGTAAGCCGGACCGAACGAAATGTGATTAATGGTATGGGTTGCATCAAACTTGTTCGGATCGAGATTGTGAAGATCGTGAACTAAAACATGTCATTTTGCTTGGTTTCATTTGCGTGCTCTCGTTTCTTGTTACGTTACTGCAGCTATGTATTATTTGCTTCAAAAGAAAAACAAAAACAACACGCTGTTTTTGGCGAAACCGCATTTTTTTGTCTCCCATTTAGAGCACAAAAATTCCAATTTTCTTTCATCGTTTGAACTTGCTTCAACGATCAAATTTCCGGCGATTTGTCAGCATAATTATATTTTTCGATTGATACATTCCCATGATTTACAACACTCAATTTTTAATAACAACCCATGCTTTCACTTCCTTCATTCCTTCAGGCTCAGTTCCGCGTTTCTGTGCCTTTATTTTGCAAATACTATCTATTCATTGGCAAAAACAAATCCAAAGTGCATTTTTTAACTGAAAATAGCATTTTGATTACTTACCATGCGTGCGAATTGCTTGATGCGGGTCACCTGGAGCAAGATGGAAATTGCCGGCAACTTTGGCGACCTGCACCTTGCCATACACCCGACATCCTTCATTCTTATGCTCATTGAATGACTTCACCCATTCATCATTCTGAAATGATTTTTGGTCGTTATATTAAATCGACGTGTTGCAAACTGACCTTGCATTGTTCGACTTCTTCAATGTTCACCTGCCAACCTTTGATAGCATAAGCATTTTTCACATCATCACACGTGTTACAACACCTGTTTCAATATGATAATCTCCAAGATTACACTTTTTTTCAACAGACATACTTTCCGTCTGGAGCCGCTCCATAACAGCTTCCACATTTAATCTGGTTGAGTGCTTCCGTTGGAGCAAGCGCTGTCTTATTTTGGTTGATCTCTGAAAGCTTGAAAAAATGAAGGACAAATTTTAAAAATGCTATATTTTTGAAGCAATTTAGACGATTTGAAATGAAAACATTAATTATTTGATTTCCGTATAAAGAATATAAAAATGGAATCCTTGACTTTATAATGAAAAGCTTCTGACTCGTTTTTATAATCGAACATTTTTTGATATTGAAATTGTTCTAGGATCATACCTATCTTCTGTGCAGTATCCGTCATATTATTTCCGTTTTCATCCAATCTCAAACGATAGATATCGTCGTTTATATTTTCCTGAGCTTCGCTTGTTACATCCATAACATCTACCGTGATAACTAAAAGCTTCATCTCTAATTTTGATTTCGATAAATGCTGAAAAACAAACTCACAGCTGCATGCCAATTTGTGAAATGTAATGTCAAACTCGATACTGACGTGCTCATCTGATGTTGATGAATCGACGAATAATTGCTCGTGCACGTTAATTGTGAAAAAGTTACTGGTTTCCAAAAATACGAGAAGACCTATTGCAAATGTCGCAACGAGCGTCACTAGAAATAACCGAATAAATTAGAAATTTTTGCAAAAAAATTTTACTTACCTAGGCCGCCTGATAGCGTTTTTATTCGAAAATCGTCCATCGGCTTTCGATAGGCATCGAATTTTTTTATTGACCACAGGATTGACATTCTGAAATTTTGAAAAATGCGCAACAAGAAAAAAACGACAAATAGAACACGTTTAACACCATGATAGTAAAATGTGTTGGAAAGCGTCCAACACGATGTAAACACGCTCCATCGCACACCATTTGAAAGGGAACCATTTGAATGTGTAGAGTTTCATACTGGAGTGTAACGAAGAGTATAAAAAGAAGCAGGATTTTGCTGAGCAAGTATGCGCAGAATAATTAATCGAGAAAGGAGTTGCTCTTCGAGAAAATCCATAAAAAATGTTTTTGAATGATTTTAAAATTCATAATTTTTTTTGAAATATTTTAAAACATAATTCGTCATATTCTTTGAATCTCGCATTATTGTTATTTATGCGCTATTTTTCCAAGCGGTTTCCTTTGCTTGATTGTTATTCTTAATTGTTTTCCTGTTTTTGATGGGGGGTGGTGGACATTATCGAATGCAGGTGCATTATGTACATACACCGATAGCTCACTTCTCATTTTATGGGCGGGAAGTTTTATAAAAAATTTTTCATAAACATTCCTCATTGGAGGAGCATTTTCTAGATTTGCACGTGCTGTTTCATGTAATGTGACGTTTCTGCTGATTATTCGCTAGTGGTCATCATCTTTACAAATTTTATCGTTTTGAATTATCAAAGTTCATCATAATTTCTATACAATCTTTTAGTGCTCGATGGAGGAGCCCGTAAAAGACGATGAGAATTCGATATTCAAGACGAGATCCTTCCGAACAAGCTTGATTCAAGACTTTGGGTATTGTTTTTTTTATTAATTTCATACATTTTTTGATAAACTTTTTCAGCAAATATGAGACTCGACTTCTCCTCATCACACAAATCGGATATATCCCGGTGGCTGCTTCAATGCTGCTCACGACATTTGCTGAGCCTTCAGAAGTGAGTTGGTCGAAATGAATTATTTATAATTGGATTTGTGTCATTTACACTGTGCTTTAAATATGTGAAATTTTCATTGAAAATTTTTTAAAAAGAATTTCGTGGTCACGAGTGGGGAAGCTACTAATTGAAAAAAAAATCCGCAACGCGTAATTGGAACCTCTCCATTTTGCCTTTTTTCCCAGAAAAATGTTGATTCAGTTTTGGTTTCGAAGGGGTTCAAACTGAATTTCTATTGTTTCAAACAATTTATTTTTAAACCATAAATAGACAAAGTGAAATCACAAGAATACTTCACCCCCAATATTTTTGACATTTCCAAGTTAGCCGAATTAGATTATACTAGCTGTGTTTTGAATTTTCTAGTGAAGAACATAAAATCAAAAAAATTGTGTTTATCGGTTTCTATTTGTTTATAAAACAACGAAGTTCCCATTATTCATTAAAATTTCGAGACTACAATATCTCATATTTCACCAACATGTTCATTACCAAATATTTGCTTAAATGTCAATTTCTTTGTTTTCGAAGTCTGCAAAAAAAGCACCAAACAAAATGTGTGTACTTTAAATTGTACTTTAACAACAAGTTTCGTAAACATGAGTAGGTGAAAGGGTCAATAATGTTGAAACAAGACCGTGATCAAAATAACAAAATTGTCCAGAGCAAATATTATCTTTAAGAAAGGAAATACAATCATAAAAAATGGGGAATTTCCTGGTGTTATCAGGTGCGATTCATAAATAAGTTTACTGGGTTCAAAACGAAGCACACGCGGCTGATTGTTTGTAGTATAGGATGGGACCAGGTTGAAAAACAATTTTTGTTGTCTTAAAAAGAATGCCGACATATCTTCGTGCTCTGGATGCGATGGGTCTACTGATTACTTGGGTTTTCCAACCGACATTCTTTGCATCACCAAAAATTGTTATTCATCGGATCCACCACATTGCTGACGCTATACATTTTTTTCAGCACTTCTGCACATTCGTCACTTCTTCGGGCTTTGACGTAAAACATGCATTCATGAATAATTATTCAGTAAGTGCGCTCTTTAATAGATCATCACGTGTTCGATTCCATTTATAGAATGAATTCTATTCGCTGAGTGTGGAATTCAATAAATCATGCAAATCCTCATCGGGACAAGTCACAACGTTTCTGTCGAGCTTGCTCATGTGGGGCGCATTAATCGGTTCATTTTGTTGCGGCTGCTTATCAGACGCCTACGGTAGAAAACCGGTTTTTGCAGGTAATCGGCGTTCGGAAAAAATATTTGTTCTAACCCCTCTCAAACCAATTTCATTATAGGATGTTTGGCAGCGATTTCAGTAATCAATTTTCTGCTGTGCTTCTCAACATTTCTCTCATGGATTACTGTTGCATGTTTCCTTTTAATTCTTGTATTTTTCTGCGGAGGATATATGGTAAACACAATTTTTAAAGATATGAATGTCTGAAAATTTTCAGGTTACCAATTTTGTTCTCCTCACCGAGGCCCTCGAACTAAGCCGATCGCGTTTGCTAGCGGTTTCCTTAAACGGATGGAGTATATCAATGGTAAAAATAGTATCGAAATTGCCGACAATTATTGAATATAATTGAAGGCAATTACATCATTTTTGGCGTGGTCAACGCGCCACTGGTTCGCCTACCATTCCGTAATTGCACTAATTGGCCTAATCATTACCTTTGTAGCGGTAATCGAATGTAATGCTTCGAAACATCTTGATCAATTCGTTTCAGAAGTTCTTCACACTAGAGAGTTGTCGATGGCTCTCAGCCAAAAATCAGAAACTTCAAGCGAGAAACAATGCGATGGCAATTAACCAAATTAATGGGAAAGATTTGGTCGAAAATGATGGTAGAAGCATTTTTTAAGCTTTTCAATAAGCTTCTCATTTTGCAGTAATTGAATGGTACGAACTTCTCGGGTTCCCCGCGCCAATGCGTTGCGCTTCATCCGGAAAATGGACAACATTGTTTACGTAAGTGTATTCAATTATTTTTTTTGGAATATCATTCATGGGAAATAGATAATTTCCTGTGCAGAATTAATTGAAAAACTGGTTTCGATGCAAATCGATTTTCGAATTGGCAATGATTATCACAACTTTTTTTTACTCTTAGAATACTATTATAAATAAAACATTATTTCGCTGGAACGGAAAAAAACCGCAATTTTTCAGATCCCGGAAGCTTCTTAAGCCCACTCTTGTTATGTTCTACTGTTTTGCTGCGTCGTCAATTGTTTCCTTCGGGTCAGACTTGCGATATTTCCGGTCAAAAGAATGACGTTGCAAAAATTGCAGTTTTTACTTCTCGCTCGACGTCCTTCCGGGAGATCGCTACACAAATTTGGCGTGTATGGGTCTGTTCAAGTTTGCGCTTGGCTTCACCCCATTCTGGCTCTCCAATTTTCTCTCGAAGAAGACAATCGCAACACTTTCCGTTGGTCTTTGCTGCATTTCAGCGCTGCTGATTTTCCCAATGTAATTGTCGACAACCGTAGAAATGTAATATGATTGCGTATAATTTACAGCGAGATTCTCGCAAAAAACAATATTGGTTGGATTGTGAGCATTCTTTCGGTAATCGTTGGCGCCGGAATGGATCCCACATGGAAAATCAATCACCTCTATTCAACTGAGCTTTTCCCTACTTCCGTGCGCAGTATGGGTCGAGGAGTTTGCAATGTCGGTGGACGATTGGGCTCAGTGATTGCTCCTATGGTTTGACCAATATTTTATTTGCTCAATGAAGAGTGAAGTTTGCAGATTGTTTATCTACGATCCTATGATTCCGCCTATCCGTTCATCGTTTTTGCAGTTTTGCTGGTTGTCCAGGTGCATTTTAAAAAAATGTGCTCTCATAACGCTTTCTTTCATTTTAGTGGTTCATTGTAATTTGCTTTTTGCCAAATGACAACGACAGAGAAGCGAATGAGATGGATGAAGACTAACTTAATAATTTATTCCATTACGGGTTTTCAAGTCCCGTTGTGCAATGCTTACATATTTACGTTATTTTCCCCAGTTTTTTCCTTGCAAATCTACGAGGTAGCCCAAAAACAAATCATTCGTTTAAAATCTATTCATTTCATTCAAATAAATTAAATTATGGCATTTATTGGAAACGATTATACTGCAGACAAAATTTGAATAATACGAACAACACAAATAATTACTTGGCAAGGTGGTTTCAAAATAAAAAATGGTCTCGAAGAATTATGCACGGTACGCTAAATTGAGAACATTGCGTGTGCTGTAGAGTGCTTACAACTACCCGTTAATTATTTAATAAGCTGGTGGAGACGAATGTACATTAATATGAAGCTCACTGGTGTTGTAAGTGCCACAAACAATAGAAAACGGAATGTCTTTGTGGTGGGAGTGGGTTATTGAAATTATGCAAGTACGGGGCAAGTACGCGTTGTTGAAGAACTGGTTGAGAATCGAATAGATTATTGTGTGTGAAGAATGAGACGTGTCATAGCGCATTAAGAGTTAGCTGGCTGTTGAGGCGATGGTCCTGAAAAAAAAATGGACGGAATTCCCTAAATAGAAATTGATCTCATTTCAAAAGCAACGCCAACTCCAACGAATCTCTAGGGATGGTGGCATCTATTCATTTTTGCTGGTCCCCAATAAAAAGTCTCATAAAACCTTGGCGTTTGATGAAAAAAAAAAAAAACAATTGAATTTCGACGTTTGCATTGTTCGAATTTGACGAACCTGGGGTGTTGGTCTTCTGCTGCTCGGTCTCACAGTTGGCGCTCATGTCTGAAAGGCGCTCGGCTAGCTTAGCGCCGTCGGGATCGCTGATTTCAATCTGCAATTAATTTAATGAAACCCCCCTCAATTCAAATCTTTATCAATGACGTATTGCATTAATCTTGTATTTTCGCGCCGATAAGAGGCAAATGCTGATAAGTTTGTCTTGTTTTACTACTGCCGCTTGTGCAAACAATTTTCAAATCAAAATAGGCGATCATTGAACACGAGTCAGAATAAGGTTAGACAAACTCGTCTCAAACAAATCTTTTTTTCTTTTTGCTGCTAAACAGATGGGATGAATGGAAAATACACTGACATGCTCAACGAGAAAGATCAAACATCTTGGTACAAATTGCATTATATTGCCAGCCAAAAATAACCCCATCGAAAGACCCGCATTGCATAAATAATAAGGGAAAATTGGAGGGAGCGCAATTCATTTTTCATTTCTAATTAGGATTGCCGAGAAAATATTTGAAATGCATGAATGCTATAAGCAGAAACTTGTTAAGCTTTTGCACGTCGCGTGTTCTCATTGTGAGAATATTCCTTATCAAATTATAATAATTCTAAGATTATATTTACTCATGACGTAAATCGCCCATTTCTGTGGTCATTGAATAAGGAAAGGAAAGGTACGCTGAAAAAAAAAACTCGTTCGTCCCTCATCAATCATTCATAAATAAAACATTTTCGATCATTTATGCAAATTTAGGTGAGATCTCTATAGATGGGAGCGATTTTCGAGGCCAACGAATTTTTTCTTGACGTAACCTCGGCGATTCGTTAGAGTGGATTTCAATGAATTATTCTAGACAAAAACGTACCTCCAGCTGCGGAAGAGCATTTCGGCGGCCGGCGCGCGCAGAAGCGGAGAAGAATTCCAAATCCTTTTCCGTCGCTTCAAGCTCGCCCATTGTCGACGTCGACAGTTTGACACTGTAACAGTCAAATCAATCACACAGATTCAAATATGGATGATGGATCGGTCAATGGCAGGTTGGGGAGGTGTGTCGCGGTCAACATGAATGGAATGCCACGAATGTAATGTTTGGAAAATTGAAATGAAAAAAAAAAACGAAATGCCAGTGAGGGACGAGGGCCCTGGGGGTGACTGAAACAGCAACTAGGGCGAAATGGAGGGAGAATACGAGCGTGTGAGGGCGGAGTGATCGCAAAATGTTGAGAGAAAAGAGTCTCCGCGGGTTGCGGCGAGACGCCCATACACATTCTCCGCTACTTTTTTTTAACCGAGTTCGTCACAAAAAAGGTGAAGCGGAATAGTTTTGAGAAACCCACACGTACAATCTTTCAATTCTAACGTCTCACTTTTTAAAGAAGCTGACTCAGAGTCTGCTCAACTCGACAATTACGTAACAAAAAGCTTATCAACTTGAAACGTTTTGTATGACGGATTGCACAAAAAAAAAACGAGAATTTTGCGAGCGGCTCTTTCAAGCCAAATAAGTTTCAATCTTTAGGGAAAAACCACCAGGAGAATTGTTTGAGAAGAACAAAAAACCTTGAAGTAAGTGGAAGGGGGAAGAGGGGGGGACTCGCATTTATAATAGCAAGCGGAAAACTTCGAGAAAACGCTTTCATAGGTATACCAACCCGCTAATTAGTTTCCACCAAATCCCTTGAGGTTGTGTTGAACTTTACATTCGATTATTTTTCGAATTGCTTGATTTCTGAGAAACCTAATACTAAAGAAAACGAAATGTTTGGAAAACAATTTATCCGGCTCGCATCTCGCGTAGATAATACTTGCTGATTTCACGAGTTGGAGAATGTTTTGCTCCAATTTTGAGCATCGCTGAAGTCAATATAATTATCAAGTGCGCGCGGCTTATTCATAGTTCACAGTATGTCAATTAAATATAACCTAGTTGATATTTGAATGTTCTCTCGACATGAAACAACAGGAAAAAAATGAAAATATAAGCGGGTGGATGAAAATGAGGAATGAGGGGGCTTTCGTCAGAATGGAATGCCATTTTTCGGCACGTCGGACGCCACCAAAAACCTTAAACAATGGACCAACGTAGTGGAACCGGAAAATGATGGCATTTTAAGCAAAACAAAATAAAGCGCTATAAATTTTAATCGAGGCACAAAATGTGGATTGGATTGAATTACAAGTCATGCATTGAATTGTAGATTCTGCGTGTCGTGGGCCCTCCATGCGTGACGTCACATACAAGTCAAAACAGCATAAACAAATCTCGCATCAAAAATTGTTCAATCGGCGCTTCTAAGCCAAATTTAGAATCATTAGGGTTAAACACACAATAATAAATATTTTGACATATATACCTTGTAAATAAATAGCATAACGGTGATGTGTGTTTTTCGTTCCACAGCTTATTCGGAAAACAAAATAGGAAGGCTTCGCGTTTTTTTTTTCGCGAACGCCAAAACATGATTCATTCATTAGTCAGATGGCCGGATTTCCAACAAAATATGATCAAGATCGTCGCAGGATTTAATTCACAAAAATACGTTTTCAGATTCGAATTGCAAATCACCCAAATCAAATTTGCTGGAACACAATGAAGTGACGCCAATCTTGTACTATCAAAGAACTTCTACATTCGATAAACAACACCTTTGAATTTTGTTCGAAAAGACAGTGAAATGGGAGAAGAAAAATCAAATAAACTTGTCACACAAAGTGTGACTCCACTCCGTCTCTAAACATGAAAATTTGAACAATTGTATGCGGTTTGATGTCACGGTGTGTTCACCAAATGCGCTCTATTTGACGGCACTGGGGAGCGATTTGCAAATTGAGTCTTGCGTGTTTATATTGTTTATACCATCTTGTTTATTAACATATTCTGAATCACATGTATTTCGAAGCATAGTTTTACGTCATTCCAGGAAACGTACGGGTCAAACGATGGAAACGCACGTCGCAGGAACATTAGCGCAATTTGGTATGTTATTTTTTGCAAATTTTTAATAGCGCTATTCATGATTTTAAGGTATATCTCCGGTAGTTGCGAAAACGCTGAGCCCTGCTGCGTTGGATTTTATCGTAGCAACAATTTCAACGCGTGAAATAGTAAGCTTTTTCGTTTCGAATTTTTTTCTATGAAACATATTCAATTGTAGTCCGAAACTCTTGCTAAAAATAAGATCGATGGCGACGTTGAGAAGGAAATTCGAGCTCTCCTCCAGCGAATTTCAATGAGAACATTTTTGCTCAACCTTCGCGCTAATATCTTTCGCGGAACTTATAGGAACTGCAGAATTCGCATGGATATCAAGGTGAGATTTTGTTTTTCGCTTAATGCGGCCAAGCAAGTCCAATATGCTAAAAGGCAGGTGTGATTCATATATAATCGGTGGGGAGTGGGGGAGAATGAGCATTAATTAATTGGAATTGCTTGCATCGAAAATGTCAACGTTGTGCCATAAGCTTCAAAAATCATTAAGCTCTATGTCTATGCGAGAACTTCAAAGCTTTTTAATGGCTTCTATACTAAATCCACTTGGTGTCGGCATAAACAGATGGGTTCTAACAATGGGATTTGATCAGGTTGAATAGCGTTAATAACAAAACGGAAATTGAAAAAAGAACAATACAATTTTTTCAGAATTAGTCAGTTTAGATGTATTTTTAACGGGCCAAGATCTGAAATATTTACGCTTCCTGTCAAGTTATTTAATCGTTTTGCAAATCTATTTTCTCAATATCATCATTAATATCCAGATTGGTAGATTGGTGTTAATTGATCAAAAATCAAAGAGCGTGAGATTTTTAAAACGTCTGAGATTTAATTTCGAAAAGAGCGAAACGCCATTTTTTGCCTGAGGCTAGACAATTTTTAATCTATATTTGTCATTTTCGGATGAAGCATGAAAAAAAAAGAGCAAATAAAAAGTATCCCTTTTTTGGAAAAATGTCAATCATATATATGTATATATATAGCTATATGCTATCTTCAAAGGGGGGGGATTTTAGAAAAGATAAGATTACTTTGAGATGTGTTTTTCACAGAAAGATGAAATGATACGAATAACATTTTCTAGATATTCAAATTTTCAGCTTCACACACGTGCCGCTCTAAACGTGAATGACGCCTATTTCGTAATGGAGTTGAGTACACAAAATGAGACGAAAATAATACGAATTAGCCCAAAAATGCTTGCCAAGCTGATTGAGGACGTTTCGTGTGCTGCTCGCCTGATGAGAAACCCTCAAATCGCTGCCTAAACTTGCTTTTCCTTTCCCCCCTCTTATAAACAATTTCAATCGTCTCAGTTTCACTTTTTTGTTGTATCTATTTTTTGCGGGTTTCGATTCAACGATTTGTGATAAATATTGTTTATGCAATGTCGCTTATTTATAGGCTTAGTGTTCCAAAAATGGTGACGGAATATTGAAAACAGTGTAGTCGTTTGCATACAACAGCTGGAGTAGTGACATGATTTTTTGATTCGTTCGCATGAAATTGCCAATTGTTTTCCTGATATCCGACCCCGTCGTCGAATGCGGCGTTGGATTGTCTGTTTGGGTGAATTTAGGGGGTTTATCAAAATTGGCTTCGATATTACCTCGAACTTCTTTTTGTATATAATCGGTCAAATTTTTTTCGACATGATTCTTGCTGAAAATTTCAGCATGCTTATCTATTAATTCCGCCTGGTGTTTCTCAGTTTCTCCAAGCGTTAGAATATCAAAAGTTTTAATGTTGTGCTTATTAAAGTCACAAAACCTGAAATCATGGTATTACTATGCAATTGTGATGGTTTGAATACCAAGTCATTGGAGCAAAATGGCGATCTTCAAATGAATATTCTTTGATTTCTCCAGCTGCGATTCTCATAAATCGATAATACTGTTTTTCGAGGAGGCACACCATATCACCTTTGCATCCATAGCAACGAGTTGGATTTTTTTCAGCTTCTCTGTAATTGAAAATTTTATTGAGAAATTTGTTATTCATAATGATAAAAGGAAAAAATTAATTTATTGTTCTCACCGTATACACTTATCAACAAATGCGGATAAAAATCGTTCCAATGGATCCCTGAGTATCGCGATTTTGGCATTGTATCTGTTATTACCTATTCCGGTAACTTCAGTGGCATTACAGACGTCATACTTCATTCTGAAAACTAGTAAATATTGTGAAATTTTTTGAAAGTGTGCGGCTTACATCGTCCGAAATCTGGCTGTCAACGAAATATTGTTGGTCGTATAGAATTCCTTATTATTGAGGAAACAGAAAATGCTCCAAAGGATCGTTGAGAGATTCTTCTGTATCCTACACGCAGCAATATTGTATTTTTTCGCTAGCTGAAATTTCCACGACAGCATTAATCAATCCTATTTGGATCCATGCACTTTGCGCATAGTCACGTCATTTATCTTTCTTCACTTCAAGGCATCAAACATTTTCTTTTGTACTAGCTTGTGTTTTTTGAATTTAACTCTGTTGTCTTAAAAATTACGAATTCAAGAAACTCTTGTGAACGTTTTACGATTCTTTGTTTCTGTTTAAAGCCAAATGCAAGTCACCATAAACCAGAATGCAAAAGTATTTTTCAATGTTTCCATAGCGAAAAGTTAACGCACCAGGGGTCTAAAAAGTTTTTCGACTTTGTTTTTGCATTAGTACAAACTTTTGTTACATATTTTTCTGTTTTAGGTCGTTTTAAAATTTATTTTAAGGTATATATGATATAGTCATTGAGTATAGCAATTTTTGCAGCATTCATTTTTAATTACAAAAATGATGTCGATGATTTATTTTGTGATCACACTAATCCTAAAAGTATTTGGCGATTTTTCACCATGCTATTTGCCACCTACTATTTAATACGAGTGATCGGAAATCAATGATCACGTCTAGTAAAATAAGCGCATTATTTTGACTAGGTTTATTTGGAAAATTTCTCGATACTGAAATTATATATTTTAAATAAATGACAGAAATCTTAATACAAATTTCATCATGTGCAATAAAAAATTTAAATTAATGAATTTTTTTCTATTAATTAATTACTTTGTACTTAATTTCAATGAATTTTTTGGTGATATTTAAATCATATGTAATCTCGTGAATGTTTTATGATGCTTTATTTCTGTTTAAAACTAAATGCAAGTCACTAAAAACCAGAATGCAAAAATATTTTCAATGTTTCCATAGCAAAATAAGAATACATCTGTTCCATTTTTTATTCAGAATTCTACTAGACAGCTGAAATACACAAATTTATATAATGCTAATAACAATACTGCGGGGTTTCATTTCTCTATTTAATAAATTATGAGTTTTAAACACTCTCACCTATCTACGGATAAGAATTTGTTGGTAAGTATTGTCGGCGTCGTGCGACTGTGGAAAATTGGCTAAATGCCAACAAAGCGATGGCAACTGTCTTGGGGCAAAACTAAATGTGTAGATTTACGGGCCTATCTAAGTTCGACCTTTTTTCAATTTTTTTTCGTATTTAGCCAATTTTTCGCAGTCGCACGAAATCGACAATAACATAATATTAATTCAATGTAAAAAAAAAATCCCATACCACAAAAGAAGTTCGCAGCGGTACATAAGGTGGAACCAGCAATGGATATATAAAATATTCCGAATTATTTAATCTTTCATGGATGTATTTTGGAGTCGATGTTGATAAAGTACTACAAATTGATTTAAAATTTCTCTTGAATACTTGATTTACCTCGGCGATTCTTTTATCGAATTAACGTCGAATTTAGGAAATTTTAAGTTTTCTTTATAATAAGGAACAAATATTATAAATACAATAACAAAAATAATAGTGAATATGAGGAATTGTCGAAACCACATAAAATACATATGTTTCAAAAACCGATCCCCTCTATTACTGAATGCAATCGGTTTAAATGTGAGGTGCGAATTTTTTGGCCAATTTCAATTTCGTCACTCATTTTTCAATTCCCCGCCATTTCTTCAAAGAAATTTCCATTCCTCCAAGCTTTTCGCATAAAAATAGGGTTTTCTTTTTCTTTCAATTAATGCATTGAATATTTGCATATAAGAAACAATGAATCAATGTCAATTCCGTTGACCATGGTTACATCAACGAATTCTTGTTGTCGTGCGCAATTTCCAAACTATCTTTCTATCTGGACCATGTTGTCCTTAAAGTGGTCGGTCTTTTTCCATATATAACGAAACAATGAATATAATTTCCTGTTTACTCAATTTCCACTTGAGTGCCTTTCTTTTTTTATTACCCCCTCTCCCCATTGGTTTTGTTGATTTTTTGTTGTCTTACTTTGAGCAATAATTATGTAGCAGTGGCGATTGGTGTTAGGTTTCTTTCTATGAACTTATCACCCTTCCACTTGCCAATGTTGTTCTCACTCAACTATCGCGTTTCCGACAAACGCAATTTATTGTTGGAAATTGAAATTGGAGTGTTCGAATGCATTACATATTTCAAGGTGTATAGTCGAATTGCCAATACTTTCTTTTTTTCCGCAATATTGCAGACAAAATTGCGGGCTACCCTTCCTTAGAAATCCAACAATTTTGTTCTGTGGTTCAGACAAATATTGTTTATTATTTCAGACGTCAATTTTGCAAAAAAATTGAAGCTTTAAAAAATGTAAAAATCCGAAGAATGATCTACGCTATAATTGGTCTTTCACCTCTTGCTGGAGCAACTAGGCTGTTACCAAAACGAGCATCCTAAGTAATTTTGGACCATCGTTTTTTTTCGGGTTTGTAATTAATTAAAATTTTGACTGAAACAGTTGGGATTTGGGTACCACACTTTATAAAATTGACGCTCAGTATTTTTTTAATTATTGAAATGTGAAACTTAATTAACAAAAAAATCATTCTTTGGCTTCCATGCCTTATTTGAATACTTAAAGAATTGCAAAAAAATGAAGAATCTATATTGGGATTCTTGACAAATTGATCTTGACATTTGTTCGGAATACTACATTTTTGACGTATTACTTTCAGAAATTTGAAGCAACTCATATGAAGCATAAAAGTTAAATAAATTTTTCTTTTGAAGTTAATTCTCCTATTTTGAGCTTTCTGTCTTTAAAAAAATATTGTTGGAAAATGTTGAAATGACTTTTAATAATTATGATTGTCACATATTTTTTTTACGTTGTTTGTTTTTTTTTCCTTCAAAACATTTCTTTAAATTAACCAAAATTATTTTTTGCATATTTCTGAAGACCCAAAAATCGATGTCATCATTTCGATCGTTTTCCGATAACCACAATATATTCCACCAAAAAAATGCATGGTTACGTTTTAATTTGGTTTCAATCCTTTGTTCATGCCAAAACCACATATTTGCTGCCTTTCACCCCTAGTTAGGACAAAGGCGTGAGCCGAGAAAAAAATGTATTGAAAATCAAATTTGGTTTGATTGCCTAAAATTGTGTGCTGCCCCGTGTCGCCACAACCCGAATGCGCCCACCCAACCCCCGTATTTTGCTTCTCCTTCTGGCATTTTGGCAATTTCATTTGTGGTCTGATTTAACATGGTGTTTGAATATGGAGCTTTACACCAACGAAATGGCGTCGGGCTTTCATTCCGCAAAAATGCCATCAGGATTAACTGGGGGCCAAATATCGACTCGTCTCGGATCATCTTTGTTCGGAATTTTGTTCTTTCAATTTATTATTATATATATATATATATATATATATATAGTTAAGCTTTCTTTCTTTTTTGTCTTCAATCTTATTTCAGGAATAAGTATTCAAACTAACCAAGAAAAACAAAACATGCTCTTCTGACGTCATCTTGTACTCAAGAACTTGTTTATCTATTCTTTGTTACAAATTATTAGTAATATTTGTATAGGCTTGTGAAAGACTAGATAGCATATTTTTTAGCAATAACTTAATGAGACTATTTATTGAAATTTAACAGTGTTACAAAATATAAATTTGTTTTAGACCTTTTCAGATATCAATATCACATTCTGAAATGTCAATTTTGCTCAAAATAGATTTTTATCCTTTCTCACGTAAAATAAGTTTTTTTGGACTACGAATCCCATGCATTATTCATTTTTCTTGATATCCCGTGTATCATTTTTTGTTTGAGAGAACATTTTTATGCGAAACGACATCCGAGACTTACAAGCTTTTGGCTCGCGTTGATATTTGAAGTAAAAATGATCAAAACACACAAACTTAATTCTTCGCACTCGAAATTGTTGCATACTTAGGTACGGCGAGTAACACACATATAATGACACATACATTTTCGCTTTCTGTCCTCTTGTAGCAATTAGTTGTTCGTTGTTTCTCGTTTTGGCTTTGGGCGTTTGCTCCTTCGTTGCTTGTTGCGGGATGCCGTCCATATGCATCTTGTTGTTCAACGTTTCGGCTCTTCAATAATTCTTCACAAGCCGGTTCATTTCGGTCTATCTAAAGCCGACTTGTCTCACTTGTCAGCACCACCCCTTTTAAACAGAATATAATTCATTCTGAATTGTTTCTCGTCTCGAATAGCACTTATTCGTGACGAGCTATGAATGTACATATATAGAATATATATGCGTAATGCTCACGAAAGCGAGTAGTACCCACTAGTTTTTTTTTCTTAGGTATAGTTTCGTATACGACAAGCGAATTTTGGCAAAATGTATTTGGAATTCATGGAAACTTGAGGTTGCCTGCAAAATTTGAAGGTGTGTTTCCAATAAACCAGAAGTACATACAAAGATTAAGGAAGTACTGCAAATTTCCGAATGTATTAATAACTCAAGACTTCTCAACGGAAGGTTTCGAAATTTTACATTTTTTTTATCACACTAAAATTGGATTGATTTTGCCATATAGAGTAGCCAAGTTCAGAGATGGTGTTAAATATGTGAATAATATTTAATTTGGGGGTATACAGATTTTCTGAAATACTCTAATTAAGGAATAGTCGTTACACCAATAAACTTGAATGTGTTAACTTTTAGAACTGCAAGTCCTTGTTTTTATCATATAAAAATGTTTGCCTACACAAGTATTATAGTATTGAATTAATGATCAAAGCAAAATTGAAAAATTATATTTGCTTCAAGTTATCCGTTATCGCATCTTCCATAATATTACATATATTGGACATGGATGACAAATTCAGTAGGTCCATTGGAATTTGCACTCAAAACGCATCACAAATGAGTTGTTTGAAATGTTACCTCCGTTCCGTCAAAATACGTCGGAATCCATAAAACTTGCCCCTCGTCATCGTTTGCATTTCGCGAGATGCACACATCGCCTCCACACCCCTGATCACATTGGGCTCCCTTTTTTTCATTTATTTCATTTTGGGCCTCATTTTTCCCGGGGTTTTTTTACGCTGAAAAATCTTTGGGTCGCGTTCGGGCCATTTAGTCGCAAAGAAATGAATGCCAAAGAAGACCTTCTTGATGGCTTCGGAGACCCTTGGATCCCAGTGGGAATTCGCCAACGTTATGCTTGTATGTGCATAGGGCGGCGGAGGACCCAAGCATCCAAAGGATCGCCGAATAGTTGCACTCCCCCCCCCCGTCGCACTTAAAAAAAGAAACACTAGAGGAAACCAAACGGAATCGAGTTGCGGAAATCGTTTTGGTCCCAGCTCTGTGCCCCATTTTTTACTTGTTACTTATGTGCTCTACCCTGATTGATCACCACTTTACCCCAGTGCAAACGCCAAAAAAATGAGTTTGGGAAGAAAGTGTATTGCTGGTCTAAATTTGCATTCCTCAATTTTATTTTCAATCAATTTTCCGAACAAAATACATTTTTTATAAAGATTTTATAGATTCATTAAAAAAAATTAATTTTTTTTTTCTTGAAACTTCCGATTACTCCTTTGATGACAGTGACCTCGGGAAATAAATTATTGTAAAACAGCAAAATCTCGTTTGATTAATTTTCGAAATCAAGATTGATAGACCCATATGGCTTATTTATCAAACATCCGGTTCACATGTGATCGGATTTTTTGAGCTTTACCAAATTTGACGTGTGCCAATTTTTTTAAAACTCTTTTGCGGACTTATTAAGCATTATTTATTATTCAAGTTTTTTTTAATAATTCTAAACATACTATCTTTAGATTCTTACTTTTTTTTCGAAAATTCAAATTCAATTAATGAGTATAATCATCTTTTGAGAATCACTAATCGCTATACAAATGATGTCCTTCCAAAATTTGCATTTCACAAATCAACAAACAAGCAATTCAAATTGCAATATGACACTTTAAGTGTGTACCCAAATCCCGAAATTCTTTCCAAAACCTCATTTTCGCTTCAAAATATTCTTAAAATTCAACTATTCAAATGAGCAGAATATTTATAGTTTAAGCAACTCCTCATATTCTCTTTCTTTAATATTGCGTCATATAATTTGTATTTAATGCTATCATTTTAATCAAACGTCCTATTTAATATTCTCTATTCGTTGTTTTTTTGAATGAGATAATTAAAAGAATTAACATTCTGCTCACGGTTGACTTTTCATTCCACTTTAACGCTCATTGAACTCTTTTTTCCGCTTTTCCGTTTTCAATTAAGGCGTGCCGGCGGTTGTCTGCCGTTTTCGGTACTTACGAACTCGGATTAAGTCGGTTAATTTATCAAGAAATTCTTGATTGCGGGTTGGCTCGGATAATGTAAAGATCACATTTCTCCTAATTGGGTATCATTAGTATCTCGAAATCGATGCGCAATTTTTCAAAAATTCTATATTTCATCAGCCGCAAATATGTAGTTCTCGAAACAATGTTGCCACTGATTCCTTGAGAATTCTCTCATTAACTACTCAAAACGTATATTTTATTCTCTCCTAATAAGGCAATTTATAATTATCGGGGCAATTCGCAACCCATGTGCGCCAGCAATCTAGTAATCCTTCGCAAAGCTTAAACGCCAGTTTTATGTAAATTCGCGATGTGTTTCGTTTCTTCATAATTATTTCTTGTGCGTGTTTCCGCTTAATCCTAGTTTTCTACTCCAATATAAAGACATTCGTCCAATGTTTGAAATTCGATCCAATCTTTTTTTTATTTTAAGAAAGAGAGAGAGCGAGAGATCTTATTGACTTTTATGAATATAATTGGTCTCATTGGTATTGAGAAAATGTCGCGAGATTTTTTTTGAATACCCTTAATGGTCTGACACAAATCACGAAACCTTGTTTCTATTTGAAATCGTAGAACGTAAATTCCGGTGTCATAGATCGAATATCCAAAGCTTCTTATTTCCTGACGTCAAGGGTATAAATAGGGCATTTTTGAGAACTAATATAATCTCGCCTTAAAGCACTTCTAACATCATTTTTCTTTGAATTTGTTCACTATATATTTTTTCTACCTTCTTTGCTCATTCGTCAATTCAATATGAGCTAACGAAAGAAAAACAACTGCTGTGCCTTTAATTAAACAATCCGAACAACATTGGTTGTGCTGGGTTTTCGCTGAGATTAAACCAAAGAGTCACGTGCCTTCAAATTAAGTTTTCCACTTTGAGTCGTGCAGAAAAATAAAGTCTCGCCAGCTCGCAATAGTGCAAGGATTTTTTTTTTATTAATCGTCAATTTCGATCTTTCTCTCGACGCATGTTCCTTTTTCTACTTTTTTTGTGTGGAGAGTGAAAATGCATAGTTTTTTTTTCTCGTCAAAGTTTCTACCAAGTTCATTCGAGTGTTCAGATTTGAACTCAGTTCTTTTTGTTTTTTTTTTCTTCTTCCTTCTTTTTCTTCGGCTTTTTCCCAATTTCTACCAAGTTCGACTTTTTTGCCAACGCAAGTGGTTCGCCTCAATTGATATAATTTGATTCTCCGTCCGATGATGATGATCCAGCAGATAATGAGAATGCCGCGCGAAAATTAGGCACCCCCCCCCTTTCCCCCGCTGCTTGGCACGCCAGCCAGGGTGCAAATAAATTTAGGTTTAGCGTTGTATATATGTCTTTTGAGCAACGAGGAGGAAGCGAGTTGCTCTGAGAGCTAACACTGAAATGGCTCGCAGCCAACGCTAGGGGCTCTGATGCGTTATACTTTGCTACTGAGCTCAAAGAAGGTTTTGGTGGAAAAAAAAGGCGAGGGACAACGTGAGGAGAGGAAGTGTTGGGCTTGGTTTTGGGGAGGTTGTTGTTACATAATAGTTTCATAGTTGGGGAGGATTAAATATCCATGCATTTGCAATATATCCGCCCTTTTCTGCACCAAATCCTCTTTATCATTCCTTTCATAATTACAATAATTTTTCTCGTCGAACGACGTTCATCATCTATTCCATCTATTTCATTTGAATATTCCATTCTGCTCTGTTAGTGTTTTTTTTTTTGAAGATCGTATAAGCAAGTTTGGGTGGGTAAACAAAAAAGGAGGACGAAAGAAAAAAAAACGAGACAAAATCCAGACGACGCCAACAACATGAAATCAGTTAGCATTGACATTCGAAGAAACATTAGTGCAGTTTTCTATGCTTAGGACACATTCCAGCCAATGCCTTCTTTATTTTCCCAATTATTTTTTTGTAATTTATTTCATGGTTGGTAGCTTTCTTTTTTTTATTTGGAAAAATGTAGCCAATTTTTAAGGAGGAAATCAACGCGTTGAGCGGTAATAATCCTCAATAAGAAAATACTTTTATTTGAAGTAGAATTTAAATAATAAAAATCTACTTTCAAAACTTTATGTGGTAAAATTTTTTTATTTGCGAGATGTTCATCTTTATGTAATATATGTCTAAAATAACTAGCTAATCCTAATATCTACACATACGATTGACCGGAAAACTCTGTTTCATTCGAATTCCTATGTCCGAATAATGTAATTGTTCATTTTTGAGGAATTGTATGCACAGATGTCTCATTCCAATCCCCACAAAAAACAATCCAAATCGATGTAAATATATATATATATATATATATTTCCAATAGATTTTTTCTCCAACACTTGATGATTGACTTTTGTTTTTTTCAACACTTTCAAACAATTTTAAAAATTCTTTTACGGTGTGTGACATGTACATTTCTGATTCGCAACCGCTTTTGTGTTAGAAGTGTTACGACCAAAAGCCAAATCTGCAACAAACCTGTAGCAGAGGGTTCACATCAGACGCAAAATATATTTAAAATATTGTGCGCATTTTTTTTGGCCGCAACGGGTCCTTTGCATTGAAAAATTAATGGCTCTCTGTGAAAAAAGAAGTGGGCTCTCGTCTGCAACGCGCTGCCCAATAAATGTCCGCTCTAAATTAATTTATCTCTGGTGGTTTAAGACATCCCCTCGCACCAAAATTTTTTATTGAATATACTTCATATCTCATTAATATTCAAATTCAATATTGCAATTTTTACAGCGTTTTTATTGCCATTCCAATCCACGAAACAAAGTTTTGTTTCTGCTGACGTCATTCTCCATTTTTGGGTATACTAATATTGATATTTGGAGAAATATTTGTGAACCAATTCTCGTCAATAGACTACATTATTTTCCACAAATGATCTCAAAATACCCTTATTTAAAATTTCTATTCATTGTTTCTGAAATTGACAGCATTTTGAGGTTGTGCTTTTCAACACATTTTTGCCATGCCGATATATTCCGCTTATTATATTTTTTTTCATAATATTTCACTTTGATTTTATTGTTTTCATGATTATTTTAATGGTAAAATATCTTAAGGGATTGCAAATTCATTGATAATATTGCAACCGGTTCAATATACTCGACACATTCGACTGTCCTTCTTCATTCGTCGTCGTTCGTTTTTTGACAATTAATCCAGAATCGCTATTCGACTCGCTTCATTATTGTCAAAATTCTTCACGAACTTCACAAGAAGCACACCCTGGATGGCCGCTTCAGGTATGTATAGGGGTATCATAAATCCCACGAATCAAATAAACAAAATGTGCAAATGCTTAAATTTGCTCCAGGACCTTTTAAGAAAATGCTAGATTCGGTATACAAGTGTGAGTCAGTCTTTCAAAAGAAAAAAAAAAAACAATTGGTCTGGACCGCCTCTTCGCTCGCCTTTGGTAATTTAGGGTTCTCATTTCCCCTGCTTGTGAGGGCTTCGATTTGATAAAGAAAGTTGCTATCTTTTTCATTTATCACTTTAATTATTCGACGGAAATTTGTTGAACTTTTTGTGAAAATAAAAAAAAAACTTTTGGTTTTTATTGCGATTAATCACGTATACATATATAAACATTTTAAGGAAATTCTGCATATCCACGCTGAAATCGAATCAAGCTTGCTAGATTCTCCAGAAACTGCCTACTTATTTATACTTCCCGGACCATTTTTTATCCCTAATGCAGTTAGCAAAATTTCGCAAACCCGTTGGGAACTTTATTTAATCCATTAGTATTTGCCTCTTAAGACTTATTAGTATTTCTCGTTCTTCGTCTTATAAGAGAACATTCAAACCAAATAAAAAGGTAAGACCTTTTTATTTGTAAAAAGTCATGTTTATCGAATGAATAATGAATTAGTTTTCGAATATTAATCAAGTGCACTGAATAAAAAACGAGATTGAGTATTTCTGTAATTTTCAGGCGGTGAGGTGATAGACAAGCCTCAGCATGTGGCCGCTAGTCGATGTTCGAAGTCTGACAGCCGAATCACTTGCGCGCGCATCGCTCATTCTTGCCGTTGATCTACTACTCATCGTCACTTCGATTCTGAACATTTCAGTAATCGCATTTACCCCAGACCTGTACGACGTTATTGGGTGTTATTTGGTAAGTGCATTATTCAAAATGACGCCATGTGTTTATGCGAATCCTACTCCGAAAAAGGGCAATATAGTTATGATTCAATTTCTATATATCCCATATGCGTCATGGTGCTGGCCTTCAATTAAGTTTTGACGAAAACGAAATTTTTGGACTTTGGCGAACAGCACACCAAATAATTTTTTTCGGGGAAAGGGGGGGGGATACTTCTCACATAAAATATTCGCGCGCTTTCATTTTATTTTACTCAATTCTCAATTTTCCGTAAGAAAAATAGCGGCAATTTCTCACTAGGCGTTCGCCGACAATCGGCAATTTTCGCATCGTCATTTCCGAAAAAAAATGAATATGACGTTGATGAACTCTGCTCACCGAAATTTTCAGATATCATTGTCTGTTGCTGATCTACTAACTGCCATATTAGTGATACCATTGAGTATTTATTCGACATTAGAAACAAATTGGAGAATTGGCGGCGACAACTCGCTGATATGCAAAGGTTCCGCGTACACTCAAATATCGTTGTTCTGCTCTACAGTATACACATTTGCTTGGATATGCATAGATCGGTAAGCTTAAAGCAGTGTCTCTAATATTGAGTGTGTGAAAGTTTTGCCATCCTTAGATCCTAAAGAATTCTAGAAAATTCCTAACTGTTCAATCTTAAGATATTCTGCGATGATGAAACCGTCGCGATACAGCGAGCAATCTTTGACAAGGTGTAAATGCTGGATTATCTTTAGCTGGATCACATCAATGCTATTATGTTGTCCTATCATTGTAGCAAAAATGCAGGTATGATACCATCTCAGTATTCTTTGTATCCAAGCCAACCCTTAGGTGGTGTTCTTTCCCGATGCTCAACTTTGTGTTCTCGATTGGTCAGCAACATCCGCTTACAGTATAACATTGCTACTGTTAGTGTTAGTTCCGACACTGGTTACTGTAGTGAACACCGGCTATAAAATTGTATCAGCGATGAGGAATCCGGCAGCGGTGGGTTCTTAAATAAATAAATCAGATTGTTTACTGCATTAAAAGAAACACCTTAATCCCGAAAATCCCGGATTATGGTGATGTGATTATACAGAGCAGCCATCTGAAATTTTCAGAAAGAAAAAAATGTCTATAAGTTGTGAGGGTATCTGCAAGCAATATGCAAACAATAAGAATTTATTAAAAACTCTGATGATTACAAATTTTTACGAAAAAAAAACTTTACCCAAATATTTTTTGAAAGGATTAAATTAAATTGTATTAATTTCAGCTAGATGATAGTCAACGAATGGTTATTGAGACGGACCCAAATTTTATAGTAACTATTTTCTTATTTGTCACCTTCATCCTATCATGGCTACCCTTAATTGGTTTGAAGATGTATGAAGTGTTTGTGGAGCCTCATGGCGAAACAGATCTCTCCATGGTAGAATCCCTAGTCAGAAATTACTAGTAATACTGTTTTTCATTTTTAGGTAACATTCACATTTGTCTGGCTCGCCGTCTCCTCGCCGTGCTGCAAGTTTTTGATCTACATGTTCACCAACAATGCATTCAGAAAATCGCTCATTTCGAAATTCATATGCTGCTCTTGCTGTACAAGTCGAAATCGATATGAATACCATGGAATAGGGAATAATTTATATTTGTGATCGGGTTGCACGAGTCAAAAATAATTTTGCTTACGTTAATTTATTGGAACGCCAGAACTCGTAACAGAATCTGATTCCATTTGACCGGTAAAAATAATTGACCGAAATTCTAGAATAACATTACTCACTTTTTTAATTTGTTCAGTTCACATCATCTTTTGGAATATTCCCCCATCCACCAATTTCCTGCCTCAATAAACGACAATATTCTTCATTAAAAAAAAAAAAAAAACAATTTTGTCGTTAAAATTCTGCTCATTTTTTAATTCTTCATTATGTTTTTATTTTTCGTATTTTGTTTCATCGCTTTTGCTCATTTCCTTGTTGATATTCCGAAAATGACGATATTTTCTTGATCACCGTCGTTCAATGAATCTTTGTTCTTTTATCTTGGTGATGATGTCACAACACATAATTAATTACCAAATTTGGGGAGCCGCTAATGGCCGATGTCTGTTTTTGTTTGGCGATTTCTTTTTATGGAATGTTTAGAAAACAACAGGGAACGCCGCGAACATTTTTGGATTAGATTGGTTTTTATAGAATTATAGATTATTATTAGATTTATTATTGCTATTATTATTATTATTATTAAATCATTTGGTTATTCTCAAAATTCATCCAATAAATAATACACGTCTCTCAAAAAAATATGAAAGACACCAGAATCCCACAGTAAGACCCTGAAACACCTTCTCCTAAGAAAAACGTAAAAACAATAAATGCAATGGTCGCTGTGGAGAATAATTGACAGATAAATTAAAGAGTATTATTACAATCATATTCACTTTTGTGAAGAAATCGGCGTCGGTGGCGAAACCGCTTTTTTGAAAAATGATGGAAGAGTGAGTCCATTGGTGCATTTGGAACAGTTCTGAGGCAATTTTCTTTAAAATTTCCAATTTATGTGATTTACCTGGCTGTGAGAGCAGATGAAATAAATCACGACTAGCGTCAATAGAAGCAGTAGGAAAAGTGAGCCGATGGTTGATAGTAGAACACACGTTTTAATCATTGAGAACATTTCACCAGCGGACTGGAAAATCAGTATGTAAAATGGTCTTTTTCATAGCCTACTCTTTAAAAAACAAAATTTTTGTGAAAATTCTAAAATTCACATTTCAAGTTTTAAGACTGTGTTGTTTAAAAATCATTATTGAAAAAATAATTAAAAATTATTATTATATATATGAGCTCAATAAATAAAGAGAATCTCTCAACATTATGAGTTTTTATAATATTTAATCTTTTTACACCATTTTTATGTTATAGAATCTAGCTCGTTGCTTAAAGAACCGGTGGTCATTTAGAGAAAACGGATTGACTTCAAACAACACGATAAACCGCTTGTTTTGCTGTTGTTGTTTTTGTTGTAGTTATTGTTGTGATTTGTTGACATATTTTGGGACACCGCCAAACAAACCCTAGCAGCGAATTGAATATCTTCCATTCCACAAGCTTTGAAGCAGGTATTTCCGAAAATGCTGCTTCCACCGCTGCTTGTTGAGCTGCCGCCGCCAGAACCACTTCCCGAACCATCGCCCGACGATTCTGAATGATCGTCAAAAATACTATTAACACATGTTTTTTCTCTAAGAATAGTACCTCTACCAGCTCCCATGATGTTCGAAATGCCGCTTATAGTACGAGAAACGTCGGAAAACAATTGTGGTAAATTGACTTCCCTCTCGCCCATTGTCGACGAGCGCCTATCTAAAACTAACAAGGCTTGGAACAAACATATATAGACATTCATTCATCATGAAGGAACGGACATCTGATACTTGAAGAGAGCAATTGAATATGCATGTATTTTGCTTGTTACAATAAAAGAAGAAGTGCATTACAGAGAGAAATGATACATTGAAAACCTTGAATGTGCGGGTGTCAAGTAATAAAAATAATGTCAGGGTTATAAGAAAGTGAAAAGGGATCCTTGAAGATACGAATGAGGATTCGCAACGCGGTTGAAATTAGTATTCAACCTCAATTCGCAGCAAAAAATTCTCAAAAAAAAACCATAGAACGTTTGTAGGTTTTGGAATTGAGTGACGGGGCATCTTCAAGGTTATGACCATAATATACAGTAAATCATCAATAACATCGAGTGGTCCCGAATGGCACTTCAGATAAATAATTGGGATATGAGTATTTACCGGTATTTAGAAGATGATTATGCTTTTTTTTGAAGTAGAAAATTCCGTAACGACAGATTTTGAAAATATATAATTATTTGGAAACGGCTTTATGAAATCTCTATTGAACTTATAATTTTTCACTACTTAGTTTAAAAAAAGCCGCTTACAAAATTTTGTTGGATTTTTAGAGAAGTTTGAGATGTTGAAAATCAAATCTAGACGATCCATGCGAATATTTACAAATGATGAAACGGAACCAAATGGGAAACACCAAGAAATCCTTGACATGTTTACTAAAATAATAAAGTGGAATGTTTCGTGCGGAGCGAAAACGCGTGAAAATTTGAAGAGGTGAAGCTAAACTGTTTCGAAAACACTTGAACCGATAGCCAGTCTCTCTCTCTCTCTCTCTCTCTCTTTTTCCGTCAAAGTCTGATCGCGCAAAATACAGAAACGGGTTACGAACGTCAAAAACGGTGGTATCGCTGCCGCGACTTTTTCTCATAAAAGAGCAGGACAGCCTCGCACGTCGTGTATTGTAGAGCAACAACGTTGAATTTGTGCGCGCTGAGGGCTACTCGGGCTCCGATCGGTGTGTGCATTTCCGGTCACTCTTTTCTTTCGTCAAAACTCGAGCGCATAGACGTCGGGGGCAACCCAAAAAAAATGAGCAAAGAAATAGTATACTTTTAGCTTGTTATTATGTGCATACATGTCATTTTTAATGCCGGAATGTCCATTGTTTCAGTCTAAAAATGTATAGTAGGTCAAATTTTAGTGTGTACGAAAAATGACTAATTGTTTCCTTTGTCGTTTTATTTTTTACGTTTTCACTTTTTTTTCAAGAATTAGAAATAAGCAACAAGAAAATATATATAGTAGGAATTTAAAATGCTGGAATTGAATTTTGAGAACACCGTTGATCATTTGAAGAGTCTTCTAAAAATCCATAATTAGTAGACAAAGAATTATTGAAGGGAGATGTAGTAACATAAAAAATAAATAATAATCTCTTTTCAGCATTGAAAAATTTACTGCACCTCCCGTTTTCTAACAGAATAATGAAACTAGAAAATTGAATGAAAAATTGAGCAGTCATGTGAGCAAAACGCAAAAATTCAATAGTTTGAATTTTGAATTTTTTTCGACATAAAGCATCAAAGCGATTTCCGATTTGTCTGAACAGGTTTTAAACAAAAAAAATACGTAAACGATATTCTATTCAGTGTGATTTGTCAGCGTTTCATTGTCGAATTTCTGAGACCTCGTGAAAAAAAAATGTCAACATTCCCCCAAACAATGCCGAAAATCACAACAAAAAACAAACAACGGACGAATACAGACTCTGTTCAAGAACAATCAACTGGAAATGAGATACCGTCGGCATTTTGTCAAAATTCGAATCTTTGTGTTTGCCAAAAATTATGAAAGATTGAGGGCTCTCCGCAATTTATTAGCGGTATAGGGTAAACATTTATGTGGCAGGTTAAAAAATTGACAGCTCCGTGTGTGTGTGTGTGTGTGTTTGTTGATTTATTTTCATTGTATCCTTATAAGAGAAACGTTTAAGAGAATATAGCATACGGATCTCAATACCGGTGTCATAATATAGAAAAACTCCAAGTTAAACTGGGAAGCTTGAAGCTCAAATAAAGTATCAACAATTTGCCCAAATATCGAGCTGAAATGTATATCCATACATTCAAGAATATACATGTATAATAATATATGACAAAGATGCCGGGAGCGAAGAGCATTTGAAAATTGAATATGCATTCTCCGATCTGCGTCGAGAGCAACGAAAACACCCGAAATTTGTTTGTCGAATGAAGCAAATGAAGAGAACGATCTTCAGAGGTGAGAGACCCGGTCACCTGCTCAGCGACTGTCTTATAAACATTACTAATCCGACGAAGACGAGTGTCTTTGAGTTGACAAGAGACGAGAAAAAAAACTTTCGTTTCTGGTGATTGCATGCTTGACCGAAAAAAACCGGCAGAGGAGTATTAAAGAACATTCTTTTGTTTGCCAGCTTTGTCAATGGTTCAAATTTAGCCCTAATCATTTTTAAAACCCCAAATGAAGCAATTTTGAATAAGCTTGTAGAATCCAAACTTCATACATTTAAAATAATTTTTTTGTTTTATATAATATATATATAGTCTGATTTCTTCCAATTATCAAAAAAAGATGACACATTTTACTAAGAACTTCTTCTTTGCTTTACCTACCCTATAATTTGAAACCAAATTTTGACCAAGCAAATCTATTCGTCATATTGTTTGTGTAAATAAACAAATTCAAACGAATAAATTGAACTCTTGACATTTTTTAAAATTATGCGTTTTGGATAGGAATAACAGAGAAACCAAGTCTTTAAATTATGTAAATGCGGACAATGTGTATATTAAAATCAATATTTATCTGGTATATCGTCTCGGAAAATTTGTAATGAGTACTCTACCATTAGGTCCTACGGCTTGAATATTTTGGGAAATCTCATCCGATTTGAGTTTGAAAATTCTCAATATTGCATCTCGGTATGGCGAATAAATAATAAAAATGCAACACGAGTCCAGGAATCCATGAAATGCAATTATAATAAAACAAATGTTGGTGAGTGCTGAAGTATATTATTAGCCACATTCAATTTTAAAACGCTATACTTTGATTGTAATAATTTGTTAAAAGTGTTATAAAAGTAATATAGCCAACGGGGACGAAACAGGTAAAAAGTGGTATTAATATCTGTTCAATAAAAATTTGGAATTATTCGGGATAAACCGTTGATTACCTGAATTGTAACACAAATCAAATATTTTTTCTGCATTCGTTTTGTCGTTTGAGAAAAATTATTAGTGCATGCGGAACTTCTTAGGAAAATGATTGAATGACCCAAGAAGAATGAAACTTGTAGAATGCACACGCTCAACCCTACTACCATTATTTTCCCGATGAACACCGAGGTCAAGTCAAGTATAAAAACCTCACTGCGGAAAAAGTCTTGTGCAGGGCATGGTACTCGCTGAAATAATTTTTTGTTGGTGAATGAGTTTGATGAAAAAATATTTACTATATTAAACATGCCTTCAAATGAAATATTTTTCCGGATTCTTGGTCCGGTATATCGAACAATACGGGTAAGCAGAAACAAAATAAATAGGTGTAGTTTGCAGCATAGAAAGCGACTCGAGAAATTAGTCTTTCAATGCGAAATATATTTTTTTTCAATACTAAAGTATGATGTCGATTCTCATATATTACAATAATGCCAATGCTAACTCCTAAAATAAGAAACGTTCTTTCAACTCTCGCAAAAATTCCTTTTTTGTGTTATTGAACTCAAAAAAATTGAAATTATACCTGCCATTGATGTAACGGTGCAATATATTTGTACAATTTGTGGTACGTTAAGCATTGTTAGAATTCCGGCCCCATAGCCCGAGCATAATGGGAAAAATACGTAAGGGACAACAAGAAATCCGATTTGAAGATCAGAGACTGCACACCTAAAATGTCCTTGTAATTGAATGACTTTTCCTTGATTTCCATCATTACCATAAATGAATATGAAGTAATGCATACTTCAGAGGTTTTAACTTTCGCGGTGTTTTGGTAATTATTAAATATGTTGCGAATAGATTGAATGGTAATGTTATAATTGATAGGAGGTTTGATGCGATTGCTTGAATGTCTGAACTATCCCAAAATGTCGACTTCGGACATGATGTGTAATTGGTTAGATAGTACTGATGTATAGCAGAATTAATATCCATTTGCGTTATAACTGTCTTATTTTAAAAAAAGCAATATGTAGCCAATTGCTGGTTTTGTTGATTTATTTATTCAATATGCAGAAGAGTGAGGATTGCACATTTGAAACTGCAAGTAAAAGCTATATGACTAAGTCATTCTGCTGAGTTGAAATATGCAAGCTATCGAGTAGCATATAATTTCTGCCAAAAACTTTCCGGTGTGCTTCTATGAAAAAACGCCCTCGCTCGAAAATTCTTCGGTTTGCCCAAATGTCAAAAAATGAGGGTTAGGGGGTTTTTTTGATGAATCTGAAGCCTTTCAAAACGGTACATAGCAAAGATATTCTCATGAAGGCAAACCAGATTTTCAGGCAAAAGATTAAGATCACCACATATACTCAGATGAAATTGGAATAGTGCTTCAGTATTTTTCTCTACTGTATCATTTTGCTGTTTGTCAATATCTTTCGTTATTGACCTTCCTAGTAGAATTTCAAGGTCGACATGTTCATTCTTTCGCACAATATCTTGGTTTTTGCAATCTATAATTGTTTTGATGTTCAAAAACCAATTATAAAATTTAAGCGAATTCAAAACTCTGAAAAAATTCAAAACTTTAGTTTGTATTTATTTCAGTTTAAATTGTTCATCTCATAATTTCACGTAGAAAATAATTGTTTAAATTTGTCCCTCTAAATCTATTCTCTCACTGTTTTAAAAAATTCGGATAAGTTGCCAATCACAATTAGTTTTTGTTCTACACATTTTTTTGAGCAAGGTACATTTTGTTGTGTAGTAAGTGTGCCCTATTGCCTCTGACGTTATTTTTCCGCTCTCCTCGTTTATACGCTCTCTCATCTCATACAAACTATTCTCACACTTGATTATTTTTAATAGTTCTTTCCGAAAATTCAATTCAAATCCCAATTTTATTTAAGTTCTTTTATTAAACATCCTTTTTTTTTTAGAATTTTATGGATTCGAATGAAGACTCAAAATACATCGAATTTTTGCAACAGTTTATAGATTTTGAGTTTGAAACTGATAAGAAAAAGAAAGCGAAGAACAGAAGGGTAACATATCGAGGTACTATTTGTTATTTTTAATTATGCACTCTTTTATTAATAAATCTCCATTTATGTACATTGCCGCGAAAAACAAATAAGGAGACGTGTGGCTCGTTATTTTTGATTGCGAGCGATGCGAAAAAAATGTATTGCGAGCGCCTATTCAAAATTTTATTATCTTTTTTTCGTCATTGTTACACATTTCAGGCATCACCATCGAGATACACGATACATTCAAAAGGGATATTGTGATTATTGCTGTTCTCGCAGTTTGCACTATGTTTTTGGTTATTTCACTAATTCACATGTTTCAGTAAGCCATTTTGACAATTTGTTTGCAAACTGTTCAATTTTAGACTTTATTTTCCGGTGGGAACCGTTGTACAACGACAAGGAGCTGCGATACCGTTTTTCCCGGAAACATTCAATGGGATGATTGAAGATCATTACGATGGAACGCTGCCGAAGCATAGGTATTCTAATAACAATTGCGAAAATAAAAGAAGAAATGAAGTTCGGATATAAAGATTGATAGCTATTACTAGGCAACCAATAATTTTATCCCTCAGGAGAATTCCGTAATTTTCGAAAAATTCACTCGTTCCAAGGAATGAAAGAAACGCAAATTAAATAGGCAAAATTGTTCGAGAAAAACTTTAAATTATTGAAAAAAAATGTATGGCTCATAATTTTCTCATTTGTCATAATCAAAAAAAAAATCAAAATGTTGAGCTTCTCTATAAATATAGAAATTAAAATAAATTCTTAAATTCAAGTTTTCAGGTTGGATCGAAACAAAATAGTTATGTACTATTCGCCGCACAGTATTTCTTCCAAAATATTTAGGGAAAAATTTGTCAAAGTTGCGCAAAGTGCTATTAAGCTTCATAAGGTGTTTCTTATCTGCAAAAATTTTCAATTTTAATTATTGCTTTCAGCATACATATCCAGCATTTGCTGCAGTTAATTGTTTCGATCCCAAAGGAGCATGTCGCAATCAATTTAAAATGCCACGCTTCCCTATCATTACGGCAACGTCACCGCAATTTGTGAACTCGGTGTATAACGGACCAATGAAAATTGATTATGTGAGCCGGTAAAAACAATTCGTCAAAGTTTTGCATGTAAAACTTTTCTTGCGCCTTTTTCAGATGGGTTAATCGAATTCAAAATCCGGTTATACGTATTTCAAATCTGGAAGACTTGATTCGTCTCACAAACCAATTCGACTTGCTTGTTGTGTCTTATTTACATCCTCAGGTATATTTTTTTCGTTTTTTTAAAATTTACACAATTAATAATATTTCAGAAGGACCCAAATTTTCGCATACATTTTCGCAACTACACTGCAGCTGCTTATAGCGTTTACGATGGAACACCGAGTAGGCTTCGACAAAGATTGTCACGAATATTAAAATGAATTTTCAGATACGGAAGCCCTTATTTTCTGCATTGTTACTGATATGCAAATGGCAAACGTTTTTCGGTTTAATAAGTATAGCGACATTGTAATGGTGAATTCCGGTAAAAAAAATATGGGATATATGTGCACAACCGTATAATAATTTCAGATGCTCAAGTTATTTCAAGTTCGGTGAATCAAAATTGGACGATTGAACAAATTGTATGGAAAGTAAAAGAAAATGTCATATTATCAACTCGAAAAAGCGTGGAGATCTTAAATGTCGGATTCCGAGAACATTCTTCAACCCAATTTGCGGATAGGGTTAATAGGACATCAACGATACTTCTGATGGCACCAGATTTGCGACACGGAAATGAAAAGTTTGAAACATTTCGAAAGGTGAGAGTAGTGAATTTTGCCACTGAAATTTCAATATTTTCAGCTTGCTCTTCAATATCATTATTGTAAAGAGAAGAACATACAAGAAATTGAACGTGTTGAAGAAAATACAGATGATTTTGGACATGATTGCCCGGTGTCCATCAAATCGTACTCGTGCAATAGGAATTCCACATTGCGGTTTCTTGCCATTGATACACTTGTTAATCCTCAGCTCGCTACTAAATTTGGTGGCGAAAAAGAGGATGTGCTGATTACCATCAATGCTCAAAACGAAATGACAAAGATGATAAAAGGGAAAATTACTACGTAATTCGATTTGTTGGCGTTCAGAATAAAATGAAACTTTCAGCGAAAAGATCAGATGTCTCATTCAGCAACATCACGAAGCAGCAGATAATGAGTTTGTCGTTGAGTCCGCCCGAATTTTGCCCAATATCGCGCCGAGAAGTGTCTTGGACATGAAAAAGAAATCGATTGGGGAGCCCAATTTGATTCCATTTGTTGCCAATGTCGCTGAATTATTAGAGTCTCCAAAAGTTTGAAAATACATATTCGAACAGTTTATTTGATTTGCTTCAAGATTTCCGTGGCATTGTTCAGTGCTGGCGTCTCTCACGCTCCTTCTCAAGTTGTTCTTGCGCCATTCCACTTGGCTTCAAGACATTTTGCGACCGTCACCGATCAAATTCAATTTGTCATGTAAAATAGTTGAAACTCAAAATTGAGCTTCTTAGTGATTTGATTTCAGAGTTGACGTATCATTAAACTACGTTCCGTACAATTTCAACTTTGAGAAATTACCAAAAATATTGATATTAGGTGATAAGAAGTAAGTTGGCAAAACTGCGTGCAAATGCATTTCTATCAATTTTTAAGAACTGGATCGAGCTGGATGTATCCCGAAGGATTGCCGATCACCTATCCAAACCTCTTGAGATTTATTGAAACGCGTCCATCAACAAGGTTGAAGCTAGTTAGTCTTTTAGCTAGATGTAATGAGGAATGTAGAGAGAAGTGAGTGGTTTTCTATTCAACCAAAAAGCATCTAACACTTGAAACGGCATTTGATAATGCTGATGAAACTTATTTAATTTCAGAACACTTATAGCCGCTGTTGAGGAACAAGAATATTTGACAAATTTGATAACAAGTCATATGCCAGTCGATAAAAGGTAGGAAATTTCACTGAAAATGGATACAATTTGCTACATAATATGGAACGACAAAAAAGTTCTGGTTTGTGTCGATCGATCTAAAGATCTGCACCATCTTTTGATCTTCACGTAAAAATAATCACGTGGCGATCAATGAACATTGTCACGTATTTTATGCGGCTCTTGCAAAATCACAGGTTAGACATATAATCGTCACTGTTCAAAATGCAAATAGCGAGAATCTAGTTTCCAAATGGGAATTAAATATCACGGAAAACGTTGAAAACATTTCCGAATCATAACCAAATATTGATAGAGTTATGATGGAAAAAAACAAAGTTATATCTAGTTTTCGAGTAAACAGGAATAACTTTATGATATATTTGTAATAATTCAAATTTTTTGAATTTCGGAATAATGGGAAACGTTTTACTTTTGCTCGATAAAATCTTGATAGTAATTAATTTTTAAAAGAAATGAAGAAGTATGTCAAAAGGGGCTAGATAATCATTTTTTCTGAAATTTTAATATTTTACCTTTATCGATGTTCAAAACTATGCGAAACGACAATCAAAATCTCAAAAATGTAAGCAAACTCTATTTCAGTAAAGTGGATCGGCTCAAGAATTTGGATTACGTCATTCAGACTCTACAAAATTTGCCAAGCGACCGATAATATTGTGATTATAATTGTTTCGACGTTTATTATTTTGTTTGTGATTGATTCCATGTGAAAATAATTCCCGGGTGTTACATTATTCATGCCTAGTGCTATTGATTTTTGCCTTGTTCTCTTTTTTACGAGGTTTGCTCCGTTTGTTGTTAAATATGAAAACACTTCATGGTATTTTGCTTGTTTGCCGTCCATCCGACCACAATAGAATTATTTGATTGCGACAATAATGGGCTGTCACTAGAAATTGTCGCCAACCAAGAAGAAGAAGAAGAAAAAACACTTTTGATATTTTGCGCACGGTGCGGCGAAGCACATTGAAATCATATATCGCCGATTGATTGCTTAAACAAACTTATAGGGCCGTCGTCGTTCAGCGGCGTCATTGAGAACGTGGCAGCCAAAAAAACTAGGCAGACACCCTCCCAACAAACATTGACTGACAATGATCGCGATTTTCTGGAAAGCCGTTGTTTGCACTGGGGCTGGTCAGTTAGAAGCGCACGCCGGCTTGAAAAGGGTAGAAAAGGCCGCGATTTTGGCAGTTTGAGCTGAACTTGCCCCTCCACCGAGATCCATGCGACTTTCCATCTGTGCTGGCATTCTTGTTCTTGCGGTTGGTTTTAGTCCTTAATTATCAATAGATATCTGAGCGCTCAATTTTTTTTTCTTCAAGGTGTTTGCTTCGTGCGACGAAGTTCCGGCTGGACACACCGTCGTGACCCAGTGTCGTTGCGCCGATTTGGATGAGTGTTCGGTTGAGATTGCACGAAAGACTGATACCTGCAAAAAGCAGCCAAAATGCACAGCATTCTTGAAGCAAATCGGAGATGCTGACAAAATCATGGCGTGTTTAGATAAGGATCACGAGGTGCACAGGCCTTGGATTAGATTATATCGTGTTTTTCTTTTTTTAGGAAATGTCTAAGGTTGAAGTTTGCGCTAAGAGGAAGCTTAACGGAGAACTCGGGTGAGTTCAGAAATACAGAGTCTGAGTTTTCAACATTTTTATTATAGATGCACTAACTCTGCTACTCCTGTTAACATGACCGTTCCACTAATTCCAGTTATTGAGGTCCCATCTCTCACTGAATCTGGCGCTGTTGCTGAAGATGTGAGCGTTGTGGTTTTGTCAATTAATTCTAGATTTCTGTTTATAATCAAAACTGGATTTTGCACGATTTCAGCCAGTTCACACTCAGCCACAACCGCCACCACAACTTTCCCAATATCTTATGTGCATTGACGAGTGCACACATGACGACATGGATGTGATTCCAGGAAGAAAGAAGAGATCCCCAGCAACATGCGCATTCAAGCTCAAGTAATATCATTGAATCAGCTCATAATTATATCAATATTTGTGCTCAGGTGCGCTCTTGCTCCACCAAATGAAGCCACCCAAGCTGCATACACCGAATGCCAAAAAGAGGTATGAAAATGATTAAACATGAAACTAATCTGCAAGTGCACAAGCACCGATAACCATAAAAATTTATCAATTGTGATATGTCAAAAATTGTGTTTCAGCTTAACTTTGACCCAACGAAGGGCGCCGCCGATTCCTGCAAATGCCTTCAGGCCGCTGGCGTTGATATGAAGTGTTAATTATTAATATTGAAACATCATATTTGTATATACATAGAAACTAACTGCAATAAACATGAGGACGTCTCAATTGAAAGTGAAGTGAATTGATGAAACTACGTAAACATTGTTAAAAATAGAATCCATTCGTCAATGTTGGCGTCTTTTTGCAATGATTTTGATGCCCTAGGTACATCATGTGACGATACGCACGCAATTTTCGTACGTATTCAAAGGACGTTTTCCATAATTTTGTATCCTAAAGTTCATGTTTATTCAATAGAGATACATGTAACGTATCATCTTTTTCCATGAACGTTTCGTTTTCTCACGTCATTCGACACGATGGTTGCAAAATGATAGAAATCCTGCATTACCCATTTTGCATAAATTGGCATGTGCATTAATTCCAATTAAAAAGAGCGAACTCGCAACTTGTTGATTTTTTCATCTTTTCTTCATATCTCGATGAGATTAATTAAACATCAACATTGGACTTGACACTGGTATTTGGCTACGCCACACCCATCTTTATTCTCTAAGAATATACTACAATATTGTATATGAATTTAATAAAGAGGAACTCGCAGATAATTTGATCGTTATTGCTAAAAATTCAGCAACGTTGGGTCCCTATTGTTTACACCATATTGATGCGATACGTATTAATACAAAACACACTTTGTTTATATTAATAACGGGTGCAGAATTTCATTTAACCAACCCGGATGGATGTTGATCAGCCATGACGTTTCTTGAATGGATGTTCAATATCCTTCAATGTCTCACGTAGGTTCATCATACTTCCGATTAAATAAGCCCAATTTGAATCGACCTGATTAGCATTATAAGTGTGCAAACTCAATCTTCATTTATTCAGCTAAAACAACCTTCGATGATATTGCGCAATATTTGAATTCTTTGATATTTACCACAACACAATGACTAACTGAAATCGGTCTAGCGATAGTTTGAGGTCCCCTCGCGATCGGTATAAATATATATCTAATATGCTTTATTTATTTCTTAAATGTAATTCAAAAAATATATCGTTGAATTTAACAAGTTGTCTATGCTGTCATCATAATTAGTTTGATTTTCTTGTTGTTTGAGGATCAAAAACCAAGAATGTCCCCGAAATTGGTAACTTATATTTATTCAATGTTCAGAAATAATTATTAGTACTCTAATAGGAAACCGGAGAACATGCGTCAAATGTCGGAATATAAGGCTTGAATGAATCGCTTGAAAAGACCGAAAGTTGAATTCAATAAATTCCTGTCAAAAGTTAATCAACCTTCAGTCAATTTATCGAAATCCATTTTAAATATTATAAAAATTTACTTCACAATTAATTGTTCGTTAGTTCCACATCATCTTAATCCTGTTCATTTATAGTCTGAGTCACAATATTTGAATTTAGAAGAAATTCATACGAAAAAAGACTTCCTCCAAATCGCTTTTTGAAAATCAACGCTATCAGTGATTGTCTATTAAAAACCATGAGAGATACAAAATGGAAAATGTTTGTGTGTCTAGTTTCGCTGAATTGAATTGATAGCGATTATTCGCCCAACTTTCAAAAATCGGCCGCAACCGAGAGAGAGAGAGAGGCGCACTTTTTGTAATCTAGTAGACCATCCGAAATTGTCTCTGACAAACTATTTTCATTCGCCATGATTTTCGCGTTGAAACCTCCGTCTCGCATTTTTTCCGCTTGTACGAAAAACTATTCTCTCCGTCCTTTAAACGTTTTACACAATTTCCGAATGTTATCTCGAAATGATAACGACCTTTAAAGATGCGACATTTGAAATCAATAAAGGTTTGCGAATATTGTTCCATTTGTTACGCTCGACTATCATCAATTTATTGTGGAACTATAGCCCATCGATTTTGGCTTTGAATTTTATAATCGCGCTATCTACATACAAATCGGCTATACACTCGCCTCTCCATTAACCAAAAATAGACGATTAGGTTCAATAGAGCAGAGTTCTCTTATTAAAAATATCATTTGTTGCTATAAGTTTTCTTCCTGCTTCAATAAGCATATATACAACAATTCTACATAGTATTACATCATATAAAAATCCCGTTTTTTTTTTTACACAAATAATAATATTCGATTAAATTATCAACCATAATCTTTAAAGACACACTACAAAATGGACGCGCATTAAAAATCAAATTATATATGCGAAAAATAGGAGTTAGAATAATCGGTTGAAATTAAATATACCATATTCTGATAGCAAACACTCCATTAATAATTGATTGATTAGGCGGCCTTCGACAGTGACAGATCAGTTAGAGCGAGTTTGGTTTGTCTATAAAAGCCTGATTGAATGCCGACATAATTATAGAGGCTGGTCAGCTCGTGAGAACTTACACGATTTTTCTCATTCATTTCCCCACCAATTCAGTTAGCACTACTTTTATTTTTATTTTCATCGATTCAGAGTATCGCGTGGGACACGACGAAAGAAGTTGCGAATATATGATGCTGTAGGATATCAACTTCCGAACATCAAATAAGCATTTTGAATATTTTCTTTAAATTAATAGTCAATGATTCGCGAAACGTGAATGTTGATTTTATTATTTTCTCTTGACATATGCATTTCTTTATTGAAGAATTTAGCATTTCCTTGTATTTTTAATTATATTAAAACTTCAAATTTTAGAAATGAATCCTAAAGTGGAAAGTAACCGAGTAGCCTGGGCGAGACCATAACGATAGGCAGATACTCGTAAATCTACCCTCGTACAGCCGTCGCGATAAGCCGACTATGAAGGTTTCGCAATTAAATAATTAGATTCGCGAACATTTTTATTTGCCTGTGTTGAAAAGAAGACCTTCAATTTATCTCGGGCTTCAATTTCGTCTATTTAATCACTACATATTTAACTGTTATAGGTCCTCCCACTACTCAAAATTGAACAATATTCTTTATTATTTACGCGTCAAACATACATTTCGATAAACATTTGATCTTTGCACAATATTTTCACATTTAAAATTCGACACATGGCAACGATCATTTTTGTGTTATCAGCACGGCAAAATATTCTTTTCAACCGTATCCAATAATTCGGATGATGGTGGTTTAATGAACTCTTCAAAGATCACTTGCTCAGCTGCTCAAACAGTAACAGCGTCAAACATCCTGTCGTTGAAAATCAAACATCAAGAATAACTATTATTGCAATTCGCATTTACATTGAGGAAGAGTGCGAAATTTTGTAGGCATGTGACCTGAGTACACCTGATCACATGTGGAATGTGTTATCCATTGGCGCTCTTCTTTTCAATTGCTAGAATGCAGTCGATTGATTTATTTTGTGCGCACGGTTGTTGAAATCAAAAGATCACTCGGTAACCGTGCAAGATCGTTAGTCTGTAGTGTGAGTTCAACTATTTTTTTGGTTCCAGTGTCCGAAAATAGGCATGTCACAAGGTAATAAACTTTCATTGAACTCTGCTGTTTTGTTTGATGCGATTCTCGAATTCATTTCCAATTTGATTCCCCGCATTGTTTAATTTTTGTTCAATTTCATTATTTTGTTGCTTTAAAGTGATTACTGATGATATTTTCTATCACCTGATTGCTCTCTAAGAAAAAATCTCGAATGCTCGTTGAACAGAAATAACATTTGCAAAGAAAAGCGTCAACATCTCCCTAACTACCTTTGTTGCTAGACATGTCAAAACGCACTCCATTTTCAATCACATAAAAACAATCCGGAAATCAGAACTCGAAATCAATTTCCCTTTTATAGTTTCCATTTCCGTGGGCGGCAACCAATACAACGCGTAATCTTCCGTTTAAAATTCATGAAAAACGCGTTGAGCATTTTTGAGTCCACTCAAATTTCTAAGGTTACGCCATACTCAATTCGTACCCTTGAAAGCTTTTTTGCAACCAATTGCTGCCCCTCCGCCCTCGCCACAATTTGGTGTACCCGCGCTGCACTCTGCGTTATCGTTGTTTGGCACCGAGTCAGTTGGGTGTTTGATTTAAAAAAGAAAAAAAAAGAAAACGTTACACCGCATAAATCAACCGCACTTGTCGCCCCCCCCCCATGTGTTTGACTTTTAAGAATCAATTGGCGACCGAATCACTTGTTTCCGTAACGCTCGAACGTTGATGGAGACGGCATGTGGATAGAGTTGCGAAAAACAACGCCATGAGTACAACACCATAGCCCCGTTGTTTGGATTCGACGGGGCTGGGCTATCCCGCGATATTCTGCGTCTCCGCAATGAATCTGTGTGCGCGCGTCATGTCGCAACGTTCGCGGCTTTCTTTTCCGCCTCATCGCGATCAGCACGCCTAGCGCGATCATTACTCTTCTCCAATGTCTCCACGTTTTTTTTCCACTCCCATCTCGTGCACCCATAATGCTCTCGGTATCATTGTTGCCAATTCATTAGGCTCCACAGTGTTGCGATTAAACAAAGAAGTATTACGTGTGTGTGCGTGTTTGATTTTTGAAATTTTTCCCCAGGTCGTCATTGTTTGGTTTTCTTATTGATTGGAGCTCATTGATAAATCAATTCATCATCATGTTCATCTTCAAGGTTACCTGAACAAATTAATTATGTTGAATGTGTTGTGACTAGTGTGACTATTCGTTTTTATCATAATAATCGCCGAGTTGCACTCATCAGTATTTCTAATTTTCTCGTCCTCTTTAATTCCCCAAAAAATAGAATTGCACGACACTTTTAAGTCTTCTCTATATCCTTTCTGCTCATATTATAAAGTGGAATATTTATTGCCTATTAAAATGTTTTTGAAAAAATTGCAACGCTTCGTAGTCTTCATTTTCACTTCTTTTCTGTCACGTGTTGCCAAAACTAACATTTTTAGCAGGCTTTTTTTTTCAAACCTAATTACAAAATTTTCAAAGCTCTGTTGCCTTTCTATCATGTTCTCAATCTATCATTCAGCTCATTTTCTTTTGATCTTGCAGATAATTTTTTGGTTGAACCGACCAAAAAATTGCGCGCTCTTTTGTCGTCCCATTTTAGAAGTTCTTCTTCAATTTCAAAACTGTACGACGAAACTGGCGCCTTCATTGACTATTTCATTGAAACTGATTCGATGTCATACGTAAGCTCATTGAGGGACAGGTGAATTTTCAAGTTGTATTTTTTTTCTCATTTCCAGGATAGTGGTGTGGCAACAAGTATGTACAATACGAGAAGAAATGCCTACTTAAATTCGATGAATGAAATTGAACAAGGCCATCATGCGTCCTCCTGGAACGGTAAGCAATTATTTCTATTGATTATGATTTCAACATGATTTAACTATTCAGAAATGGACAATGACTATGGAATAGAAGAACCACGTACAAAAGGCAGGTCATCGTCCCCAACAGGTTTTGCAAGAAGATCACTTTTTTCATCCAATTAACCTTTAAAATATAGATCAGCCGTATGAGGTTTTGCGCAAGAACACTAGGAAGCGAGCGAACACCACGTCAAGTGGAAATGGAGAAAATAAACGAACCGCTAATAAGGTTTGCCAAAACAATTCTCCATTTTTTGTTTTTAGATGTTTTTTTTTCAAGGTTTGCCGTGTTTGTGGAGACAAGGCATTCAGCTACAATTTCAATGTGATCACGTGCGAATCTTGTAAAGCATTCTTCCGGCGAAATGCGAACAAGGTGGTTTTCGGGTTCATTGCGACTTTTGATGTCTCAATTTTTGATTTGCAGGAGAAAGAAATCCGGTGTCCATTTAATGAGAAGTGCGAGATCAATATCGTGTCAAGAAGATTTTGTCAAAGATGTCGACTCGCAAAATGCTTTAATGTGAGGTTTTCGTGTATTATTACGCTGAATGTATTATCACAAAGATCAGACTTATCGATGTGATCTTTGAATAATAAGAGAGGCATTATTATCTAGATTTGCCCACGAATTCGAACAAATCATCTGCTGTTTAAAAATAAGCTCCTGCAGATGGGTTTTTTAAAAATAAAATGATTTAAAGAAATAATCCTCAGCTGAATTGAGATTATGTCCTTGTGGAAATTAGAAATATAATTATTTGAGGATTAAAGAATGAAATCAATCATTTATGAAGTTTGCTTCTTCAAGTTTTTTTTTTGGTGAAATCGGTGTTTTCCCTAAGTAAATTCAACTATTTGCGATTTCGAGTTAACATATAACATCCTCTAGTCATCTATTTTCAGGTCGGAATGAAAAAAGAATGGATAATGTCGGATGAAGCGCGCCTTGAAAAGAAGCAACGGGTTGAGGAGAACCGCGAACGCCGCTTACTGGTATTCCCATGAATCAAAAATATTGATAACCATCTTATCACTTTAGGACGCACTCAATAGAGTTAACGACGATTACATTGATAATGAGCAGGGTGTGGATGACGTTCAGCAACAAACGACCGGTTATGATTATTGCATGGATGAGGGCCAAAAATGCCATAGTAGCGGCAGTGGCGTTGGAAACAATCAGCAAGACAATCAAAATCACGTAATGATGCAACATGATGATCAGAAAATTGGATATCCGAATTGCTCATATTCGAGTCACGAATAGTATCTAGAATTTGCAAACCTGTGCTATATGCTATCTAATTTCAGCGAATTTTCCCCAATGAACCCAAACTCATCCGGATATCAACCGCATTCGTCCATGGAACTGCCGACAACGGGTGCCGCCTCATCAGCGGAAGTTTGCTCGACAACGAACTCGATATCATCAATGAATGTTGATCCGTCGCGAACAATGACGAGTAATGGATTTTTGCCGCCGAAGTTGTCGACGTTGCAAATGAATGAGACCCGTGAGTAGAAAATGATGGGGTTTATCTATCAAAAGGATGAAATTGTAAAGTTTTAGAAAATATGCTCGCGTTATCGCCAATGATTGCGAATCCGTGTAGCATTGAGAACAGTCCGTTGATCAATATACCGCCGCCTCAGGAAATTCAATTGCCGGCTGCGCCAGTGCCCGTCATGGCTGTCATGCAGAATCATCAACAAGTTTCAATGCAGAATCAAGTGCAGAACCAAGTGCAAGCGCAGGTTCAAGCTCAGGCGCAAGAGCAGGCACAAGTTCAAGCGCAAGTACAAGCTCAGGCTCAAGCTCATGCACACGCTCAGGCGCAAGCTCAAGCGCAAGCGCAGGTCTATCAAGCTGAAGCAAATGCAATTGCTGCTCAGGTGCAACATGTTCAAGCTGCAATCACTCATCAACATCAACAGGTACCTGATTCAATCATTTTAAATAATTTAATCATGGAGAAATTTTACAGTTGGCGGCTGCCGTTGTTGCACAACAAGTTGTTGCTCAAATGGCAGTTCCGATTGTTGGTGCTACACCAGCAGTTCCTCAAACATCGATTCCGGCTGTGGCGCAACAAGTCCAACAAATTGTTCATTCAACTAAACAAGCTCAACAAATACCGGCTGCAATCCATAACGCTGCAATACAAGCGATACACCCAGCCCAGATAGCACCAGTCGTTCCGATTCAGCCAATTGAACCTCAAATCCAATCCGCACCAATTGAGCACACCGTCATTCCAATCTTGAGCTCGCCTAATATGATGCTTGTGAATCAACTGGGACAGACAAAAAGCGACATGGTCACTGTGCCGAAGGAAATGCTACTGAAACTCATTCAGAAAAGTGCTCTGCGAACAATGACGTGCTCATGCACATGCATTTGCGGTAGATATCCAGCAGGGTCCAATATTGTTGAAGAAGTAACAAAAGACTTGCTAAATGGTGGCGGATCAAATGCGCCATGTTGTGATAATCAGAAAGAAGAGACCAAATTGGAAACTGCTGAAGATATGCAGGTGCGAAACTTATATCAATGTAGAATAAAGGTTTAGCAAAAGTGTTCAGAGAAATGGATTGTTGCCCTCGGACGAATGCAGTGTTCAATGGTTGAATTCGACAGCGGCAACAGTCGATCCAACCACCATTGAAGAAGTGAAAACTCGCGACAACATTTTCAATAAAATAATTACCGAACCAGGTGATTTGTTTTTCAGCTAAATCATTTCTCCGTTGGCAAATCAGTTTGATGTTAAAATTTTTGCATTCAATTATATTTACCTAATCAATTTTAAGTTTCAGTTGCTGTTGACAATGAGCCCAGAGAATTTACTAATGAAGAGAAAGAAAAACTTGAGGAAATCAATGAGGTCGCAAATCGATGGATCAATGATAGCCTCAACATGTTCTCATTGAGCGATATACTTAGTGAAGGAGGGCTTCAGTTAGTAGTCAACGGGCTCAAAATGCTCTCGGCATTTCGTTTTTTGGATAGAGCTGAGAAGACGGCATTAGTTCACAGTGAGACTCATTAACATTTTCAAGACTGAAACGGTATTATTCAGAGGGTTTATATTCATATTGCGTCGTCAAATGGATTCAGCACCATGAGAGCATCAGTCTCGAAGGAATTAATCCAAAAGTAACCAATCAATTGAAATCGTAAGCCAACTCTGAAAAATGCCTAGTGAAGTCGATTTGAATTTTCAGACTGCTCGAAAAAGACGCTGGTAATTTCCGTGTACAGCCGGGAATATTCAACACATTTGCTGTGATGGTTCTCTTTAATGCTAACAAAGACTCTGAAACTGCGATTAACGAAAAAGAAGAACTCAGCAAACTTCTTCAAAAGTGATTATAATCAATATTGAACATTAATAAAAATCGCTGCTTTTTTTCAGAATCATTAGCACTAATAGTCAAGGAAGAATGGAGGAATACCCTCAGCTCTTTGACATTCTTCCACTTGTCTGCTCGACCGCGGAATATATCGAAACATTCTGGGGTGCACTTCGCGATGAATTTGTGGATAGCGTGGTGTAAATTGTTGTTTGATGTATTATACAGAATTCAATTGTTATCTTCAATTTCTTCAACGATGTCATATGCAATAGTCGTTTTGTTGATATTTCGGCGCAACATGGTATACGAATCTAGTATTTATTTATGATGAACTTCTCAGATGACTTTCACTCAATTCGTATTTGATATGTTCTTTCGTTGTGAATCTGCTCAGATTCTTATGCACTCAATCACATTTCTGAGATATTCCTGCTTTTTATTTTTACACTGAATTTTTCAATCCGATGTTATACATACGCGTTTTCCATTAAACTGTTTGATACTGATTATTTCATTGTTTTAAAATTCAATTGTTCTATAATAGAATGTAAAAGTTGTTCAATATATCATATTGATATGATTAAAAATAAATAATTTTTCAATGTTTTTATGTATATAAAACAGGAAAAAAGAAACAAACTAATGGATCGAATTCTACGTTTTTCTCGCAATTTGTTTAAATAGGTAACATAAAATATTAAGGGGGCAAGCAGAGAAAATAAAAATAAAAAAATCTCGAATATTTCAATTCGGAAAAAAGATAATGATTGTTTTCCTTTTTTTATTTCTCTTTACTACTCTATTAAAAAACAACACATATAAAAATAAAAAACAAAGTAGTATATAAATAAATATATCCACGGAATGTTTGTTGACCAGAACTTTTAAAAAGAGAAAATTATCAATCGTGTTTCCTCTTATTACTAGTTTTGGTTTTTGCAACCACCTCGGTGAAATCTTTGTTTTCTCCAGGGAACGATTCAAGGAACTGCTCTTTTTGCGAGTTCACAATCTCTTCGGCTTTAATGATCTCATCAGAAGTTGGTTGATCATCGCGTGTCAGAAATACTTCGGGTCCGCCTCCATAGAACTTGACAAGTTCTAGATATACTTCACGATCGATTTGCTGAGCTGATGGGCCGACAAGTGGGCGGGAACGATGAGAACGGTTGCGCATTAATTGGGTTAGCAGACCAGCGTTATTAATTGGGCGAGGTCGAGCTGAAATTGATATTTGAAGGCCCTAAACAGAAATACAACAAAGTTTACGATGATATGGATCGGCAAGATAGGTTTCGAAAGTTGTGATCCAGTCTCGGTGGACAAGATTCTGTGGCAAAACTGAAGAATATGTAAGTGATGGATATGTTTGTTTGGCAAGTCGTGTCTAAATTAAATCGTTGTCAATACTTGAAATTCTCGACAAATCTTGCCCAATCGCTGATTTTTTTAACTGAAGTTTGCTCAAAAAGGCGAACAGACACTGCTTTCTTCCATCGTTCAAAGCACGGCTCGCATTGGTTGATTTCGTCGACGTAAGGACCTCCACCATAACTGAAACTTAATTGAAATATTAAGACATTATGAGAATAACCTACATTTCGAATAATGTTTGCCAAATCGAATCGTTGATAACTGCAACAGATTCGTCGAGATATTCGCTAAACTCTGGACGGATTGCTCCATGCTCACAGAGGAAATCGTAGTTTGTAATGCAACCTGGCTCAGCAAAACGATCCAGCTTAAAGAGCCATTTACGCGAAATATAGCACTGCAACATGGTTTTAAATCAAATTCATTACGATGGCAACTACCTTTTTCGCGTTTGGATCGAAATTCTCATCAAGTGTCTGTTTAATCAATTGATTCTCCTCGACATTTTGTTTCCTTACGTAAAAAAGGGCATAAGCGTTTTGCTTTTTTATCAACTCTCCGTCTAATTTTGTTACTACATTGTCATCAAACTCGTACCTAAGAATCTCATCTTTACGAATAAACGTTTTTCAATATTTACCAAACGCCGTCTTCTCGATTCCTGCAGAAAGCCTTATAATGTCCGCTGATTGGTGTATTACCCTCATGGGTTATAATGCCCCAAAGATCATACAAAGATGTTGAGGATGACGGGCCTGTTTCATAGCGAGATAGGTCCAAATCTTCAAGCGGAAAGTTAACATGTGTGTTAATCTATAAAATCACAAAGTTGAATCTCATAAAACTGGGGTCCTAATTCAACCTTGTATGAATGAGCTCTATCACTTCCGAAGCGTTTGAGATGAATGCAGACAACTTCCGGTAGCTTCGATATGGCAACGACCTTTTTGGCATCAACATGTCTAAGATTAATATTCGTTTAGGCTATGTGACTAATTGTAAATTCTCACTTGCAGCATCTACTGCATGCATATTGATTCTCACCATCGAGCATGCAAACTTCAAAATATTCGTCCAAACAGTCTTCAAGATGAACCGGTATTGGACATAAGGCACTAGTAAGAGTTTCAAAAAATCCTGGCTCCATTCCATCAGGATTACGCCGTTTTGGTTTTCGAGATATCGGAATCGACAAATCCTGCATCAAACATTGCTCTCATTTTGGCGAAATTTAAGCAATTACTTGGAAGTCTTCGAATCGCCGCGAAACGTTTTGGCATTCGCTGCATCCGATTGAATTTTCCAATTCCCCTTCGAAAACATCAGTTATTATTGATGCATATTTCAACTGCTCATAATATTGTTCTAAAATAGAATTTAATGCAATTACAAACAATGATTCAACTAAACCTGAACATCCGTCGGGATTCTTCTCAACTATATGAGTTGTGGGAAGCCTGTAAAACACTTTCAAATCCAAACAAATTGATGAAGGGTCTTACTTTGCAAATGGCTCTTCCATATGGTCACCCAGAATCATAAATGGTCGAAATATTGGAACCGCTAGTTGCCTGAATTCAAAATCTTGCAATGCCTTCAATTTATTTTCATTGTTATTATTACGAGTGGAGTGATTCCATGAACGATTTGAGGAATTCCTGAGCATCATGTTGAACATTGATTTGATATCTGTTGTGCATTGTTTTAATGATCATCTGCAATACCTCCATATAAAATTGTTGAGATCAATCTAAGAAAAACCTCGATAAGTGGTAGTGGTTTAATCGTCTCCGGGGTATCACTTCTCCACATTTTCTGAATCAACTCGGCAAGCCTTCCTGACATTGTATTGTGGTTCGGAGTCATGTTAAGGAAGTAGAAATTAATTGGAGGGCAGTTCGACAGCACCTGAAGCGAAGCATTGAGGTAACAAGTATTGCCAACATTCACAAGGCCACATAATCCTGAAATTATAACATAAAAATTTTCAATGATTGCTGATGAATCTACCATTCGGGAACAATTTTTCTGAACGATCAGCGGAATCCGATTCATTGGTCATCTGGGCCATCGAAACAGTGGGCGATCTGGAAGCACCGGGATTCTGAAAAATGTTCTGATTCCCTTTTTGAATAATCAATTTTAAGCAAAATTCTGTTTCATTCCGAAATTTAGTTATCAAAAAACTTTAATTCGAGTACTTTTTCATTTGCGAGATGAGCAATGACATCCTGAATTTCGTTCAGTTTGATACACGTAACACAAAGGACCGATCTCGTTTTCACATGATAAACCAAAGAATGACCAGTTTTCTGAAATAAATCATGTTTTAGTTTCGATTTTGTGACCAAATCAAATACATTTCCGTGATCAATGAAATGACCACGTTTGGGGTCTGCGCACAGATACACCGCCCGTCCATCGTCGACACATCCCATATCGGCGCAAATGTAGTGAGCAACATCCTGACAATAGCAGCAATACTTTTTTTTATTCTGAAAATCAGCCACATATTTTTTGTTGAGTAATCGATGACTTCAACCTTCAGCCTCCTGATTGTTTCTTTCATTCGATATGTGTCGAAATCCTGGATGTGCGGACAAAAGGAACCCTGAACATGCCATTGATATCAAATCTGTGTCGAAACTTTTTTATCACCTCATGGGTTGGTTTTGTCGATTTATCAGCAGACATTACAAGCTACCCAAACCAAAAGCGACTAATATTCTAACGGTGCATATGTGATAAAACTGAAAATTTACGATTAACGGTTCCAATTGTAACATTTGCTAATAAACGGATTAATTCCTAGCGAATCAATTTTCAATTGAATGTTGCTTTGAGAAAACAGAAGAACTAAGCGAAAAGAAGGTTAAAAGTGCTATTTTCATCCAAAATTCCATGAATTCAAAATAGAATTTTGAACGTAACCAGATGGAAGCTTAGAAGTACAAAAATGAGTAAAAACTGTGTACTAACGTGAAAATTCTTTAAAACACAAATTAAATATTAATTAGGACAGTGTAAATTAAAAAAAAATGTTCTACTGAGCATTTATTTAATGAAATTCGATTACTATATAAGTTGTCACATGACAATTTGAAAACAGCCAAACTCGGAAAAGTGAAAGTACAAAGCACAATTGATAACAGTGCAGCGAACAGTCGCGTGGAACTATTAGTCGAGGGAAATTTCGCTGCTAGTCAAATATAGGCGAAAAATAAAAAAAAATGTATAACTGATATCTTCAATGATGTATCAAACTCGTTCACGTGGAGGATCGATAAGAAAGCGAATGATTGAGGATTGCATACATCAATCAAAAGATCTTATTTCTATCTTTGAGATTGTTCAGATGGCATTGGTGGCGGAAATGAAATGTCTTTTAATATTGCAGACAATTGAAAGAATTTGCTTGAAATGAAAACTTTATGACATCTACCAGCACCTTATTAATAAAAAATATATTATTTGAGGTAGGAAACTTTCAAAAAAATGGAAAAATATGCGGTGAATAATCGAACAATTCGGGTTAGAATTTGATACAATCAAAAAACGTTTAAAAAATTGCGTTGATTTGAAATGTCTAAAATTTACGATATTATAAAAAATTATAGAAATCAATTTAACGAAATTACAACATTCTAAACGCTCATAAAATGCAACGTAATCCTAAAAATTGTTTGAAATTTTGATTTAGCGATATGTTCGATAACGACATTTCGTTGTTTACACTTTGCTAAACAACGGGGCATACTGCGCTGCGTTTCTTTCATGTTCCGTCCTTTCGTTTTGAACTCCATTTTTCTTCATAACTGTTGGTGAAATTTAACGTTAGTATTTCCAACATGAGTAGTTGAATTTTCGTCCATTTTCCATTGATGAAAATTACCGGAAAATTAAATAGTGGGCAATATACGTTGATTTCTTTGCACTTTTAGCCTAATTCAAATTGTTGATAGTTTTTTCACATTTTATTACTTAAAAAATTAATACTTTAAGGCGTCATGCTGGGTAGAAAGCTTGTTGCGAGCTACTTGCGTAACGGCGTTTCGTGCGCTGCATCGAGCCCATCAGCCAGTCAACACAGAAAATCGCATACAATCTGGTATCCCGATGCCAAATTCGAGCGTCAATTCAAGGTAATTCGATACTAAAAGTATTAGTTTCCTATCAATTCCAAATCAATTTGTTTCAGACTGGTGGAACCATGGGAAAACTTTGGATGTCGGAACGCATTTCAGAGTTCGACGAGCAAATCGGATTGGACAAACTTGAAAAATTGGCATATTCGGAGCCGGTCATGAGCGACACCTATTCAGGAAAATTGAGGTATCACTTTTCAGCGCGAACGGTGAAAAACCGAAAAGAAATTCAGAGAGAAAAATCTCGAAAATATGATTCTCAACTTTGGACCACAGCATCCTGCTGCTCACGGTGTGCTCCGCCTCGTCCTCAAACTTGAAGGAGAAGTTATCATCAAGGCTATTCCACATATCGGCCTTCTTCATCGTGCAACTGAGAAGCTCATTGAGCATAAAACCTATACTCAGGTTTGTGAGGCAAATCTGAAAATGATCGAAATTTTTACATAAATTTTCTGCAAAATGTTGAAATAGATTTTGCTCTAAGAAATTTTTATTTAATTAAAAAAATAACAGCATTATGATTTTCATTTTTAGAGTTTTTGAGTACTAGTTTTAGGCCCTTCCATATTTCGACCGTCTTGACTATGTTTCCATGATGTGCAATGAGCAGGCCTGGTCTTTGGCAGTTGAAAAATTGCTCGGAATCGATATTCCTCCGAGAGCCAAGTTTATTAGAAGTAAAATGCTAACATTCGCTGTATAAAATATAACCCGATTTGCATTACAGCATTAATGGGAGAGTTGACGCGTATCCAGAATCACATCATGGGAATTACCACTCACGCTCTTGACGTTGGAGCAATGACACCATTTTTCTGGATGTTCGAGGGTACGAAATACTTCTTGAACGTAAAATAAAGAACATTTTTACAGAACGTGAGAAGCTTTTTGAGTTCTCCGAGCGTGTTTCTGGAGCTCGAATGCATGCAAACTATGTGAGGCCCGGTGGTGTTGCTTGGGATATGCCAATTGGATTGATGGACGATATTTATGATTGGGCGGTGAAATTTCCGGCTCGAATCGATGAACTCGAAGATATGCTCACTGAGAATCGCATCTGGAAGGCTCGAACTATTGACATTGGATTGGTTTCGGCATCGGACGCGTTGAACTGGGGATTCACTGGTGTGATGGTTCGCGGATCAGGAATCAAACAAGACGTTAGAAAGACACAGCCATATGACGCTTATGATCAGGTTGAGTTTGACGTCCCAATTGGAACCAAAGGAGATTGCTATGACAGGTATGATGATAAAACGGATGTGTCAAGAAATTGTGAAATTTTTTTTTCAAGATACCTTTGCCGTATTGAGGAGATGAGACAGTCACTCAACATCGTTCACCAATGCTTGAACAAAATGCCGCAGGGAGAAATCAAGACTGACGATTACAAGGTGACGGCGCCAAAGAGAGGTGAAATGAAGGAGAACATGGAAGCTCTTATTCATCACTTTAAATTCTTCACCGAAGGATTCCAAGTGCCACCGGGAGCCACATATGTGCCAATCGAGGCTCCAAAGGGTGAATTTGGTGTGTACCTTGTTGCTGATGGAACTAGCAAGGCTTATAGGTAATTCGAGTCGTCGCTTATAAGACATATCACGTCATTGAATTTTAGATGCTTCATCCGTGCCCCAGGATTCGCTCACTTGGCAGCTCTTCACGATGTCTGCTACATGTCACTTATTGCTGATGTCGTCGCTGTTATTGGTACCATGGATATTGTGTTCGGAGAAGTCGATCGATAAATTTTCTAAGTTAACGCACCTTTTTTTGTTTCTGATTTTTTACCAGTTTTGTTTCGAAAATCATTTCCTATTAGTCTTAGTTTGTATTTAGGAACAATTTTCGCAACGCGGAATATTGTCTTGTGTTTATGGAATAAAAAAATTGAAGATAATGCCTTGAGAGATGGAAACCCTTAAAAAACTGTGGTGGGCGCGTAAAAATTGAAATTCTAAACGCCAAATCAAATGCATTTGCACAACTCAAATTGATTTTGAAAAGCTGATATTTGTGTCAATTTTAGTAAGATTTCACCTGCTCTTACCCCCTCTTACCTTAATAATAAGCTTTTCCGTTTTAATTGGACAATTGTGAATTGTCCTGAAATTCCGCATAACGAAAGAGTTGTATAATTATTTCAGTTAGAATAAAATTTATTTAAATATATTAAACAAATTTTAAATAATACATAAACGATAATTAACAATTAGAAATAATGGGAAAGAGCCTGATGATCAGATGAGGTTAATTTGAGAAGAAGATATTGAATATATAATATTTGAATTTTTAAATTATGAACGATTTAAATTGATTTGTCAAAAGCCAACTGAGAATTTGTATAACATCCAAACATTGAAATTTGTTTAAACAAAAGTACATATTCGATTTCAAAGAGACCAATTCTATACAAAGCCTTCAACGGTAAAATATTTGTTGTACTTTGAAATCCGAGTACTCCATAAAAGTACATTTCGTAGTATCACGAGATAGAAATTTCGCTGAATTACATTTTGTTTATCAACGCACACCTTTTGTCTTCTTAGTATGCGAACTCGATGGCAAAATTAGCGTGAATTAGCGTACTTCACTGGTTAAACACATGAGACATTTGATATCATTTTTGAATTTTCAATAGTTTAATAATAGATAGATGGAGCAATATAAATATATCACAAAATTAAATACAATTATTGGAGGTCTTTTGGGTCGAAAACCGGGAATGAAGGGTAATTCGAATTCTCGAAATAGGCATAACCGGTGGTCGTGAATTTTGCCGGAATAATATCGTCACCTTTTGCAAACGACCACGATGGAGTTCTTGGAGGTTGGCAGATATCGATGTTGTTCCAATTCTGGACACCAACGAAAATGTCCGAGTTGTCCTTAATTTCTAGAAGATTTTCGCGTCGGTACGGTGCTTTGAATGGCTCCAAGAGAATGTCTCGAGGAATTGTGGCCGTTTCCTCCTCATCGTCGCCTGAAGTGTTCGAAAATGACGGATCTCCCGTTTTGTCCTGAATAACAATTGAAAATTAACTACGATGACTATAATTACCGGGTATTCCGGAGCAAGTGGCCAATGTGCTTGGACCTCTGTGATTTCGTCTTCTTTTTTGTGTTCGATATCGATCTGCTTCAACAATTGACAGATATTGTTGTTGTTTTTGTTGATATCATAGAGGATTTCTTGCTGATTCTGTATCGGTTCGAATGAGTATCTCCAAAATGGGCTCCATGAAGCATATGGAAAATGCCACATCATATTATGTCCTGGATAATTTCCAAACCCTTGCGGAATATATGGAAAACTGCCATAGCGAGCAATGATACTGGAAAACGGTATAACCGGTAGCGGAACTGTCGCCAACTGGCGCAATGATAATAGCTTGAGCAATGTAAGATGATGAGGGAGTGGATAAAACCCAGGTGGCCACAGCGGAGTTTGGTCACCCATCTGAAACAATGAAATAGAATCATCGTCAAGTAGCAACGAGGAATGACAAAAATGAGAAGCGGAGGAGTCGGCGAGCCGAAAAGTTATTCGAAATGGCGTTGAAAAGAGTAGTCAAATGATAATCTCTCGCCGCCTCAATGATTTTCATCAACGAGTGTTTCTGTTTTGTGTTGATGGCTGGCCATGTTCGATGACTAATAGCCACTCTGATTTTGCACATTTTCTTTCATTTATGTTTTGGATATTATTACATTTATTTTTGATTTAGCCGTCTCCGACATTTATTGTGGTTAATTGTCCGTCGCAATTTTCCATATAATTAACTCGTTTGCGCTTTATCACGTTTCAATTAACATATTCTGTGATCGTTGCGTCATTTGCACTCACATTTGGATGTTTTTATAGTTTTTATATTGACAAAGATTTAGAATTACTAAATTGTTGTTTGACATTGGCGTACAAAATTCTTAAATATTCAAATTTAGAAATTTAAAAGCAAACCATATAGATTATTAAACGGTTTTCGTTGAGATGTTATTTTAAAATAGTTGGAATCAAGCAATGAATCATGAATTCTATGATTTTTTTTTCTTTTTTTTCGCTCACAACCATTTTTTTCCATTTAATTTCTTATTTCAGAAGATGTTCTGCAATTATGGCCAACTTGTTGCTAAGCACCAGGCCATCACTGATAAGATGTATGAACAAATCACGAAGCTTTCAAGAAAAGAAATGGTCCGTTATAAAATCAATTTGACCATTCAAAAGTATGCCGCCATTTACTCGTTGGAGCGCAATCCGAGAAGAACTTTGGGAGACGATTTCTACGACGAAATCTCAAAAATAATCAACGAAGATATGCCGGGCTATCGCTATTCAAAGAATGATATTTTGGCAAATTTGTCGCTATTTCGTTCCGTCGAAGATGCGATCGTTGACAAGCCACATCTTGCCAAAGAATGCCGCCGTATTCGAGTGATGATGGACTTGACTGACTACTACTTGGAATCGACAACGGTAAGTGATAATTCTTATGAAGACAGGTTTTAGGAAGCTCCGGTAGAACGTTAGAAGCTTCGTACATGAAATAACGATTTTCAGAATAGTCGCGAATCGCAGATGTCCCGTTTTCAAGCTGAAGAATATGATGCCGATGACGAGTCGGAGACCGACCAGGAGGTTGAAACTTTTTGATATTCTCCATTCATATTTCAAATTTTAGGATGAATGAGACTCCCAAATTTATTGCAAATAGGAATGTGCGAAATTATTATTTTTGACTTACGGTATTTTCCTATAGGAAAAAAATACATGATTTAAGTTACCGTTTTTTCTGCCTAATGAATATTACATTCCCGCAAATTTCACAATGAAACATATATCTTAAAACATTGAAATACAAAAAAAAACATGATAGAAAATATTTGTATCGGATTTTGCTATAAATCTTGAAATTACTCTGTTTTGATAGAACAGTTTATATCGCAGTATACAGTGGCAAATTATTTCTGCAAACTAGTACTTAATGAAAAAAGAAGCTAGATGATAATTCAAATAGGAAAAACTCGTTGAGTAGAAAACTCTAAACGATGGTAATTTAGAATTTTGTAAATATGTACCCGTAGCCATCGTGTTGACCATGACCAATAAGTAGTTAATCAAATTGTAAGAGATGATCCAATGATAAGATTTTCTAAAATTTTTTAAAAGAGTTTTTGAAGGTGGAGCATCAATAAACGCAGGTGATCTACAATCCGACAACGGTTTCACCTGAAAATTGAAAATTTCACAATTAACGTTAAACGTAGATCGGGATCGCAGGTGAAAACTGAGGAAATTTTAATTTTCGTCTTGGCAGCCATTGTGGAATTAATTTTTCAACTAGTGGAATATCGGGTATCATTTTGCAAAGCGGTAATGCTGGGGGAAATATTAATTGAATGGGTGGCAGGAATAAATCCATCAGGAATGTAATTTCTAAAGTAAGATCGGATTTGAGAAAATTGAACAATACGTTTGAAAATAATTTTCATTTTTAAAAGGAAAATTTTAATCGATTTACTTGAAATAGTGCTCAAATCTTCATCAAGAACATTTACTATTTTAATTAGTAATGTTAAAGCGAATTTCTAAAAGTTATTTTGTAGTAAATTAAATTCTAAGTGAATGTTCAACCAATGCAAAATGAATTGATGCGTGGCCAATCAGTTAGGAATAGGCGACCAAGACGGGCTGCATCGCTTAGAGCTCGAACAATGATTCAAGGAATTTTCACGGTAAATTGTCTATTTTGTATCAATTTGATGCCCCAATTTCTAGAGAAGAAATCAACGTTAACTTCTGCATAGAATCCCGCTTCAACTCAATTTGAATTTTTTAAAATCATTTTCTGATTGAAACAATAAAAAATTGAAAAAATGATTGAAACAAATTATAAAAACAATAAAAATAATAACAATAACTAATCACATTATTAAGTGACAAATGCTTTTCGTGCATGCAAACCCAATTAAATTCGTTCTGAAAATAGGGCTATTTTTATATGTATATTTATTAAATAGCGTTGAAAATTGCCCAAGAACCAAACATCAGAATAAGTTGCCGATTATTTCTCGAAATAAAAGAAAATTAGCAATAAGCAATTATTTAGAATAATTGAACGAGATTCAAGTCTTAAGCCATTTATACATATAATGGGGAATGAAGTAACTGAAATTAAATTATGTGAATTAACAGAGTTTGAAAAAAAAAATACAAAAATACAATCCCAAAGAAATAAAGAAATATAACAGTGAAGACATACGAAATATGAAATCTTCCTAACATTGATCCAACATGCTTGAGCTCAACAAAAAAAAACAATAATATAAATCCCATACCAATTAAGCTAAGGAATAATAGAAAAATAAAAGAGAAAATCAACGGGTTATGCTGTTACATTTAGATTGATTCTGCAACTTTTCAACTACTTCACCCAATTCAAACACTGTAAGAGGTCAGATCCTGCATGAGTCCGTTTTCTATTCATTTCTACTCACATGATGTAAAAAAATGAACTGTTCTGAATAAACATGTATATTATTCATTTTTTTACTGGTCCGATTACATCAGAAGAATACTTACCTAGAACGAGAGAAGTGTAATGTTTGAGGTTGTTCTTTATTTTTCTTGTTATACTTCCTAATCGCTAACCCATGAAATTGTTGATCGTTTCTAAATCAGTATGCTAGACTTTAAAATAATTAGCTTATTATTACCGATTTCTCTGGAAATGATGGAACTTTCAATAATGAATTTTCAGTCATTTTACTATCGTCTGAACAAGATTGAAGCGAAATGAATGTTATACGTCCTTGATAAATACCTGTAAATCTGAAACGTATTTTGCCTTTGAGTTGTGCTACAAAATTTGTTACACACCGTGTGGTTTGGAGCCATTTTGGTTATATCGTTGTTTGATGCTCTCCTGATGTCCAACGTGCTCGTCAATAGCTCAACTAGATATCACACGCTTATTCGCGCATTATATAATGCAAGACCACAAACATTTATTATAACAATAGCTGGGTGCCAACACGTTTCATTAGCTCACAAGCGAATTAATTTAGTCGAAGGTACCAATCGCTGTTCTTCTCATAAACATGTAAGATAAAAAATAAAAACGGGATCCTAAAAAAAAACAGAAGTTCAGAAAAAATGCGATACATATGTAAAAGAGACATAATTTGTCCACAGGAATTGTATATGATTCCATCTAAGAGAAAATATAGGATACAAATCATTAATAAAATTTGCTATCAGATATCAAAACGGCTAAAGAGAAATACAACTCCTATATGCATAATGTCCCACGGTGGTGCCGCATTTTATCTATGTACCAGATCTCAAGAGGGGGTGGGGAATGGAATCCTGTGTTTGTAATTTTTAATTACATTGTATATTTCGGTTGGTTTTTGATCCATGTCAGCGTTATTGCAAATGTTTCCAATTCGTTTGGCGAAACATGATGGTGGTTTGATATTTACCACCTGAAAATAAGCACAAATATTATAATGGTCTGCCAATCTTGACATACTTTCTAGTCCATTTGTACCTATTCATAATCTCAGCGAGATAATACATTTTTGCTAAATCCTGACACATTTGTTTTGTCTCAGGATTTTGAAACTAAATCGAGATGAGCGTATTGTCATGATATGTCACCTATTCCTGTAAGCTCCAATAGAGTCGTCTCTTCTTTGTATTTGGTGTCACAATGGAGTTCCATCCTTTCTATTTGTTTTCCGAAATTTGATTTAATCCTCAATAGTTGTGTCAATTTCTGAGTTTTCCACATTTTAACACAACAAACTTTGAGTTCTGTCTACTCAAACCCTGCTGATTAATTGGCAGAGTTTTGACAAGCATTGTCGCATTGCTTAAAACTAACAAAGCATTAATCCTATTCTTCAATATAGGAAATCGCTATCAAATAGTCGATGCTTTTGCTTCAGCAGAAAGATCATATTTTCGAACTTGTTTGAGATTATCCTCCTTGTTTATCACCCAATTCGGTAATGGTTTACCACTGATGATTGAAGCAACTAGACAATGTTGTCTAATTTCTTGTTCCAAAAGGTGGAACCTCCATACAACCACATGTCAATTTCTTCAACAGTAATGTCAATTTCTTCAACAGTAATGTCAATTTCTTCAACAGTAATGTCAATTTCTTCAACAGTAATGTCAATTTCTTCAACAGTAATGTCAATTTCTTCAACAGTAATGTCAATTTCATCAATCGAACTTTCCAAATTTCTTGCTAGTTTTGGTACTTCTAAAAGAGTACGTTTTTGAGAACATGCCCATCGCGAACAATCTCTTCCACAATATTGAATTCATTTTGTGGGCATCCCCTGAATCTCCCTCGCGGGGGTTCATGGAAAAGAGGAACTGGGCCGCAGTCCTCGATTCAAGCATGGGGGACTATGACTGAGTTGGCCCACTTGCTTAACCAGATGGCCTATTCCAGGTAGTTAGATAAGCAAGCGGTTGATCCCCATCACCACGCAGAGGTCTCAGTCTTGATGGGGGATTCCGTTGATTGTAGAGAACTACGACCTCACGATGAAACATTTAAAAAATTGCATCGTGAAAATGCCAAAAAGAAACATGAAAACAATTTTTTAAAAAATAAAAACGAAATAAAATTGAAAGGAGAAAACATGTGAAAAAGGGAGCTGGTGTTTTTTCAATCCACCTTGTCTTCTACTTCTCATCTCACTGTGTTTTTTTTTTGTTATGCATGCTGTAAAGTCCACGTGGTTCCATTTTTTAAAACTATTTCATTTCAAAAAGATATTTTCAATTAAAATGTACACAAAAATGCACGACCGTTTTAAAATGAACACTCTGTAGTCCATTTTTTCGAAATTGCATGTATCAATAACGAAATAATTTCAAAACATATTCTATATTCGGCTCTCAAATTTTTCACATAATTAATATGAACCTCAGAATTCTGAGGATCTTAATTTAACAAGCAAAAACCCAGTAACTATCCAGAAGATTCTTGCTAACCGTTATTTTAAAAACTTTTAAACTACATTCTGCTTATAAAAATTTTAAATGATCAAAAAGACTTTCTGATGAACAAAATGAAATAAAAGTTCAAATCGAGAGGTATGGATGATGAGTATGTTGGAGAATATTAAACAGTTGAAATTTGCCAACAATTGAAATCAAAATACTAAAATTTGTTTGTGCTTTGAAAAGTTTTCTCAATCCTTTCAACAATAAGCGTGTAAGGGAAAAAGAGAAAAATGAAGAATGAATAATGCAAATGCTGGTTTAACGATCGATGAGCGTTCACACAATTCATGCCCACATTACGTCATTGGACAACAATGTAATGTGTCTTTTTTTGCATGTCGCTGTCTTTCGTTTTTGACAGCTGCCCAATTCATGGCACCTGCCAGTACTGCATTCGCTAAGTCGTAGATTCAGGCCTATAATTTGAATAGTCTATTGAACAATACCGGCAAAATCAGGATTAGCAGATTCTGCGCAGATGGCCTACATGACCTTGCTGGTTTATTAATTTTCAAAATTGAAAATAAATGAGAACAGTGAAGAAAATTAAACTGGGATTAGGTGAGATTTACAAAATGAAATAAATATTGTATAACAGAAGAGCGAATATCTGACTTGGCTATTTTGCAGGAAGCAAAGCACTTCGAACGAAGTTGTGAAAACAAAAATGTGAGCGATCGGTTCATGTTGGTCGCTGTAATGTGAAAAGATAAATGAAATGGGATTGGTTTTGAGAAAATTGAGCAGGAATTAGAGAGCGTGAACAGTTTGAGAAAGGCGCAGTAATTCCAACAGGTCTTGCAACGAATTCTTAACTTATTTACAATTGGAACAAAACTTTATTGGAATTGATTGGATATGATGTTTTACAGATTTTGGAAAAAAAATGAAATAAACTAGTTAATATATTTTTATAATTTAAAATTCATATAATTAAATAGAAAAACTTTTGAAAGGTTTTTTTGCCGAGGCTTTTTTCTACAAAATATGTGTGGTATTAATAGATATATAATATATCAAGCGTTTTTTTTTTACCCAATTTTTGAAAATCGCAGGATTGAAATTTGATTACTCTAAAAGCCAAATGTTGACTTCTTTGATCTTGAATCAATTCTGAACTATAGTTGGATTACATATTAATTTATAAGGATCTTGAAGTTGAAGTTTGGCTTACAAATTGAAACAATAACGTGAAGAATGGATGTAATTGAAACTTCAAATATCTTTGAAAGAAATAATTTTAAAATTTCCTATATCTCAGTTTCAGTTTTTTAAAACTAAATAAGAATAAATTTGTTGCTTCATTAAAGAAAAAACAAGGGACACATATGTATATAATATTGAATATATGTATATAAACACAGAAAATTAGGATTTGTAGGACGAGGACGTAAAAAAAACTGCTCTTATCGAGTAACAATTCGGTATTTCTTAATAAAAAGAGATTGAAACTTTGGCAAAACTAAAAGGACAAAAAAGTAGAAAAATTTTCGTTGGTATTTGAAATTTTATGTGTCACTTAAGCAAATGAATTTGAAAATTAAAAGAATAATGCAATAAAAATAAAATGGACGGGGTTGGTTGTACGTGAATAATAGTATTAATTTTTAGTGAAAATTTGGAATGTTCCTATAAGTTGATTCATATTAATAATATGTTCCGCTTTTGAAGAATGATTTTCAAACAAAGACATTACAAAAGAAAATGATGAAAGGTTTCATGAACAATAGCGGAAAATAACAACCGATATGCATTAATAGAATTCGGGATATTAAAATGAAAAAAAACGGGGAATTCTGTTTGACCAGCGATACAAAAATGATGAAAACAGACATAGAAAAATTAAAAATGCTCAAAAAACAATCAAACTCAGTGTATATCGAAAAAAATGTAATTACACGCGACGAATCAATTATGTATATATAAAAAATGTATCAAAAAGCATGAGTCACTAAATGTGATACATTTTTTTGACAATATTCGTAAATATGTTGATTCAAATATAAAAACTGGACAAAACAAAACAATTGTACGAAAGATTTCGACTGTTCTTTTCGTATTTCCAAGATCAGACGCTATGGATACGCAATTGCTGCAGACGGCTTCCTTTTTAAGATCATGTCGATAGCGGTTAATGGATCAATTTTATCTCGCACCACTTTTCTATTAATCGACGTCAAAATGTCCACCAACATCTTATTGATCTGAAAAAATGATGTTTCCACTCTATATTCTCAAACATATTAATTACTTTCTCAAAATCCTCTAGTGGAACTGGAAAACAACGCGTTCGAATATTTTCTCTGACAGCAAAATATTTGTACAACTACAATAAGGATTTTAGCTTAATGTTGATATAAATTAATTACGCGTCTCGTCAAATGATATCTCTCCATTTTTTCGGCATTTCCCATGAGCTGCTTCACAGTGTTCTTAATCAATGGCAATACCCGGCTGTCGAACATGCTCACAATTCTTTTTTGTTGCTCTTTCTGAAATCACAAAAAATATCGTATCGCAGTGTTAATATATATATATATATATATATTTTTTTTTAACCAAAAATTTGCAACAACATAGGAGAAAAATACTTTATGATTTCCAAATTTACCGATTTTTCATCAACCAAGGGTACTGTCAATGAACGGGTTTTGCATCCATCCGGCATCTCAATTTCGGATGTTGCTTCCGCAATTGTGAGCGCAGCTGTCAATCTAGCCGAATTCGACGATGCCGTCGTTACTGTTGATGCTGAAGAGCCGAACGATCTGCTCGCGGTGAAATCAACTTGCTCATTTGTCAGACTATAATGCTGAAAGCCCCAGTGACTCCTTCTCATTTTATCGTTTTGCTGTGGTGCATTGACAGCCGCAGTATTCTAATAAAATCATTCACTTTTCTGTATTACCTTAATATTCAACTTACAAATCGAAAGTTTACAGCTTCTTCTCGAGCTTTTGATGTCAGTTGATTTTCAGTAAGAATTTGTGTCTTTGTTCCGTTCCACTTTGGATCAGCCCCGGATTCGGTAGTCTTCTAAAGAATTCGATTGCCATTTTTCAATGTGATCAAATTTTAGAAATTGGAACGTCACAGGTTGTTGCTGGTTTTTAAGACCCATTTTCGATCTAATTTGCTCACCAAACATTTCTGAAAATGTGGACTAACAAGAGTTCGAATAAATGGCAATGAATGAACAGATAGAGGGCGATCGTTTGGCAATTGGGGTAGAAACGACGAATAGACTCCATTGCTCTCCAATTTGTTTATTTTCAGTTTATTGCCACAAATTACGTAACAATATCATATGCGGAAACTGAAAAATAATACCGAGGACCACGTTTTTTAATGATCTTTCATCTCTTAAAAGTTCGATTAGTTTGCGGCTTTTCGCAAAATTTGCTCATTTTATAAAGGTAAAACTATATATTGAATTGAATTAGCGGCAATCTTTCTACTCCACTAGAGCCCTACTATTTTTTATTGGATTATTAAATTAGGCTCTAATAAATCGGGATGATAAATAGATACAATTTCGTGATAGTTCGTTGATCACTTTCTCACTAAAATTATGTAAACAGTTGTATACGACCAACTTGCGAAAAATTAATCTATGGTAGCTTATCTACGAACCACATGAACTTATACATCAACTTGAAAATTTTTAAGAAAAATACAGAGAATACAGAGAGAAGAACTTTACATTTTTTTTCCACAGCAGATAACTATTCCAATTAAATAAAATGTTAGGAATTCTCATATTAAGCGCAACAATAATAATTATAATAATAAACAAATAATACTACATAATATTACTTACATATTTTCGTTTTCCGTAATAAATAAGACGTAATATTAAATTTCCCCGGACTTTTGAAACAATTAGCAAGGAGACACTCGGTGTTCTTCAATTAAATTTTCAAATCCAAGAATAAATTAGTGTATTGTTGATTTCCCGAGAATTTCAATATTTTTATATTTGTCGGAAAAAACACAAAACGTTAAAAAAAGAATAATTATTTTTAATTCATCATTGATAATTCGTAGTATTACCATACAAAAGAAAAAAATAAGAAAAAAAAAACGATAAATGTGCAGGTGCAATTTGAATGATCTATTGCTAGAATAGGATTCGGTGAAATGACGTAACTGATCACAGAGCCGAAACTTAACTTGTGCGCGCGATTTTTGACCCTACCAGGAATTAAATTTCATTAAACAAAAGTAAATTTGAAGAAAAATGCAAAATGTTTATTGGAAGCAGTTTGTTTTTTCGCGATTCATTGCTTCCTTCTGCTTACAAAGGAAGCGTGGTTCGAGTTCGCCACTTTCAGCGATATATTAGCTTCAAGCAATTAGTCAGCCAACCAACAATTTTCACAATCTGATAAAAAATTATGTTTGGTTTACAATTGTTTAACCCAATTTAGAGTAGGTAAAAGTATTTTTAAATATTGAATTCAAGAAATGTCAGAAACTCTTTTCGTATTTTGTGCTCATAATAACATGTTTGGCTGTTGTCTACTAAAAACCAACGCAAATAAATACATTCTAGACAAAAATTCAACAAAAAATGAGTTCGGCATAAACTAATCCTAATTGTGCTACTTTTTTAAATGATTCATAAACGCGAGATAAGAATAAATACTAAATTATTTCCATACATTTTAAAGCCTTGCAATTCTTTTTTAAATGATTCATAAACGCGAGATAAGAATAAATACTAAATTATTTCCATACATTTTAAAGCCTTGCAATTCATTGAGAAAAATAAAAAATATTAAAGAAAGAAGTTAGTCTCTCAAGAAACCTGAAAATATTTTATTTGAGTTGCCTGAGAAAATGGAATTTTTATTAGAAAAAAATCACTGAAGCAAAGGGAAAAGACAAGAAACAATGGAAGAGCAGAAGTTATGTTTCCTTAACCGCGTTGTCACTATTTTCCAAGAAATTTGAAAAAAATGGTGATGAAAATAAAAAATAAAAAACATAACATACTTAGCTGAGTTGAGGCAATTTGTGGTTTGCGTCGGATTGTAAAATAAAAACGTGGCCGGCTTTAGTTGGCGGCCTAAAACACCGAGCTGGCATATATAGGGCAGAAAGCAGAAATCAGCATATGACAATATTTATTGAATTTTCGAAAAAAATTTTTTAAGTTTTAATTCAATAATACATTTTGAAATTTATTACATTTGAAAGTGCGAAAACTGAAAATAAACGCCGAGTTAGTAGTGAGAGGATTTGATGAGATTTTTCGAAAAAGAGATAATAATATAATTTTTATAATCATAAAAAAGCAGGTTGGAAAATGATATTTCAAAAGATCAGTTTTCAGCTCAATTTTGGTAAATCCAAAAAGATTCATCATAGCACTGAAGGTATGCTATAGAATTTGAATCGTACGGGCTTTTTGAAGGTTCATTTTTGAATGATTCATAAAAGAAAAAGAAAGTGCACACGACAATCGATTTTAACTGGCAAAGTCAGCAGGAAAAATGAATTAAACTACCAAATCTAGTTATACTGTGGAATGTTCAGAAAGTTCATTTCAACAATCCTTAGGGGGGGGGGTTATCGTGTTATTTAATAGCAGCGTTTGGGAATCTCGTGGGAAATTTCATGATAATAATAAAGAGAGATGACTAGTAATTCTACTTGATTAATTAGTTAATTGTTTTCGAGAAAAATGTTTTTATGATTTATGACAAGAAAGGGATAAAAGAACGCATGTAATGCTTATATTCAACATTTTTGCAAGAAAATTGGAGCTGATATCTTTTGTGAATTATATTAGGAATAGTCATTAAGGTTTGATCGAGAAATGTTGGACAAAAAAATGTTCTATTTATCTTAATTTTTATGATAAAAAAGTAATATAAAACGAAGAGAAAACATTTGACAATATTCCATTCAAATTAAATCATAGAAAAAATTTTTATCATAATAGCTCCTTCTGGTCATTTTAGAGCATCTGAAACTCAAAAATGGTAATTTAAATTTTTAAATTCAACTAAATTATTGATTATTCTTCACAATTCATTAGCAAAGCAATTTATTTGATTATTTCAAAGTTACATTATGCATAAATATTTCAATTCAAACAATGAAAGAAAACAAGACATCATACTTTTTGCTTTTTTAAATTCCAACGAATTTTTAAAGAAATAATTAAAGTATGAAATGATGAATTCGATTGGCTAAATTCTTGTAGTCTTTCATTTGATGATTCGACGATTAAAAACCTTGGCCAGAGAGTAAATCAAATTTTCAGTTTTAAGAATGAATTAGTTATGGTCATAATTGAATTTCCATATATTCGAATAAAGAAAAAATGTGAGATAGAGGTAACGTTCCATTATATTAATTGTATAATTAAGTTTGGGTACATTTATGTTATTGTATTCACACATTATAAATTTTAGCACCTGTTTTCACTATGGGGCCTCGCCATGTGTTAAAGCATTTTTTTGAATTCTTAATTTTCTGGACGCACTTTCTCGCATTTTTAACACTGCCGAAAATAAAAAATATCGACACGATAGATAAAAAAGTCCAAAAGTGTTCGAAGTATTACATTCGCAAAAAAACCGAGCACACTGTGGCGATTTACGATGAGTTAGTATTGCATATCCAGAGTTATCCAGAGTACGCTGCCATACTTCCCGCTGTTAAAATCTAGATCTAGATTACTTTAAAAAATTTTGGAACATAATAAAATTTCTAGTAACGTGACTATTAAACTTTTTCAATTAAATTTTTTTTTTCTAAAATTTAAGTTGCATGAGGCAGCAGATTCCACTAACGTAGGGTTTCTAAAACAACGTTGTGACAAGCAGGATCGTCAAGATCCAATAGAAATGATCCGAAATACCAATTTATGAAATTTTCAAAAATTCGGACTTCCTACTCACTACGCTCAAAAAAAGCTTCAAGATCGACACCTAGACGGATGTTTTTGGCAGATGTGAAAAGCTAAAATTTGATAGCAGTGGGCCAAAAAACGGTTTAAACTGATTCATAATAAAGTGAATTCTGAACATATGCTGCGAGTTTAGCTGAATTCAGCAAAGAAAAATCTTGGACCATGAATTCAAACGAATCTTCTTAATAATATTCCAGAAATTGAATTCAAGGAAAAGTCAATTAACTTAAAAACCAATTTCTAATTAATCGGTTATTCTTAGACGCAAAACTGCTCCATTGTAGCCAGAAGCCAAGCAAATCCCGCTTACTAATTTTTTGTTTCTTGAGGCAATCGCGCTCTACAGCAATTCAGCGGCGATCGGGAAAATGCGTCTGATCGAAAAGAGTGTACTAACATAAGAGAGTCAGCAGACACTAGGCGCAAATGCGCTCTATTGCAAGCTTTGCACCGACATCAGTGGCACTATAAAAGACCGGCGGATGCGCAATTTGGTCAGTTCTCGGAGCTCCTCGAGTTGCGGGAAGCCCGCAAATCCTGAGGGCTCGTCGTGCCCGCATAACCTGCGGGCTCGCCGAGCCCTGGATAACGTGCGGATTCCACGTGCCCCGCACAACCTGCGGGCTCCGCGTGCTCCGCACAACTTGCGGGCTCCACGTGTCTCGCATAACCTGCGGGCTCCACGGGCCCCGCATAAACTGCGGGCTGGTTGTGGTCAAGGATCCCCTCGGTATGTCATATTCATCGCAATTCTTTTTCTTTATTCCTTGTATTGCAGATCGAGAGCCACAGTCGTTCCTCATTCGAGCTTCTCGGATGTGCTATGTTGAAAGTGTCGGGGATTCTCGACTGGTGCGACTCCGTCAGCCAGTACTAACCCTACTGCAGTGTCGCGTCCAGGCCGACGTTAAACCCATATTCATGAGTAGACATAACACGTGAAGATGAGCAAGAAACAGGAAGGACAAAAAATCGATGCCGCCTGGGGCGTCGAGCAGAGCGAAGGAGGGGATTCGAATGGTAAAAAAAAGTCATAGTCTTTCAGAATAACTTGAATTATTGCAGGAATGTTGAATCGAATGGGTCTAATCGGAGGCGACGACTCGAATAAGCGACAAGGAAGGGAAAAGCGTCGAGTAAATGGTATTTTTGGTCCGGCCAGTTTATTTTTTTTTTAAATTTTAACTATTATTATGCACTTGCACCAGTCGTACCATTTACGACTTCCCCTTCTATATCCCACCACTTGGGATTCTCTCTCTGTACAGTCGTACCACTTACGTCTGTATTCCTTCCCGGTCCTACCGTTTTGGACCATCTCTTCTTCTTCTTCTTCGGGGAAAGCCGGCTTCCCCTTCCCTCTTTCTGCCTCCAGTCGTACCACTTGCGACTGTCCTTTCTCTCTATCAGTCGACTGATTCCCCCTGCCGCACCACTTGCGGCCACCTATTCCATATCCCACCACTTGGGATTCTCTCTCTCTCTCTCTCTCTCTCGGTCCTACCGTTTGGGACCAACCATCTCTTCTTTTTTGGGAAAGTCGTACCACTTACGGCCATGCCAGTCATTCCACTAATGACTGGCTTCCCTTCCGTTTTGTTCCCACATTGTGGGATCGGCGATGACCCACATCAGGTTTCGGCCTGATGCTGGTGAGCCTCTCCTTCAAGTGTCGAGCCTCTACGTGGCGAAGGAGATCAACTGACTCGACACTTCTTCAGGGGGGTCGAGTCAGGCTAATCGACACATTGTCTCATGCAGGTGGAGGATATTCCTTCTCAACCAGACGCGGCTTCTTTGCGACCTAGCAAGTCGCAAGAAGTATTCAGAACCCATTGCAATAAATTCCAATGTTCCTCTTTAGGGTTTTTGTTGTTTGTATTGCTCGTTTAATCAACATTCTTTTTTCATACTAGGTTTAAATGAATTAGCAGATCAACAATTATTTGCGAGAATCAATTTGAGAGTCTTAGTCGGACCATAGCACCAATGTCGAGCGAACTTTCTGTAACTTTCTGAAACTCTTTTTTGCAACAAGGTTTGTTGTATTAAGCTGCGAAATTGTGAAACTGCAAAAGGGTTCTTGCGAAACGCAGACAGTCAAACAAACGTTCAGACGGCACTTATATGTCATATATGGCAATTCACATTTCGGAACTGCATCTTTTCTTATGAAAGATTTCAACAAAACAAACAGCTACTATTATTTTATAATATATATCTTAATATTGGTAATATTTTTTTAAAAATTCCGTAAACGGGCCAGAATGAATAAATTTAAATAATAGATTTGGAACTAACCTTGGAGATCAACTGACTCGGTCTTTCTTCACGGGGATCGAGTCAGGCTAATCGGCACATTGTCTCACGCAGGTCGAGGATATTCTTCCCCAACCGGGCGGCTTCGAAGCGATCTTGGCAAGACGAAAGAAGTATTCAGAAACAACTCAAATGCTGCGAATTCCAATGGCCCTCTCTAATGCCAGCCGTTTGAATTGCTAGATTAATGTGATAAAAAATATTGTTTTTCAACCAGTTTTTAATGCATTTTGAAAGTCATGATCGGACCATTGTGTCAACATCAAGAACACTGTAACATATTTTATTTTGTTAAAATTTCCCAATTGCTTGCATTTTTTGTGCACGACTTGTCGAAGTCGCAAATTTTTCAGGAAACAGTTAAATCATTTCTAATAAAATGACAAAATTGTCACTTGTTTGCCATTAGAATATTTTTGAAGACCCATCATCCTCATCATAGTTCGATTTAAATAGGAAAACAAACTTAACAGCAACGCTCTTCTTCATTGTAAATCGAATTGATTGAACAGTTAGTCTGGAATTTATTCCTATCTCTCGCTCATTCACGATAATACTAATTAAACCAGAAAATACATTAAATCCAAGTGAAATAAAAAATTTGCCAAGGTGCGACCTTTTCGCTCACAATCATAATATTTTGAAATATTTAGGCGAAAATTTAAATGCATGTTTGAATCATGGGAGCATTTCCGATTTTTTTAAACCCATTTATTTATAATATTACCGATATATTTGTTAACTGATTAAAGAAAACTAGATTACGCACATTATTATGCACACATATTCCTAATTTGCCATTTTTTATTGAATGTTCTTTTTCTATTCTATTTTAATTGATTCTTATTAAAAATGGTTTACCAAAATTTTTGGATTTGTTCACTCTTGATAATCTCAAATATGTTTTTTTTTGGTAACATTAAAGCCATAAATCTAATTTTTCGGATATTTCGAAAGCAGAGCCCATCATCTCAAATAATTTTCAAATTCCGCGTTGTATTGCCATCTAACTATCTTTTTTAACCACACTATTGATGTGTTTCGAAATTTCAAGCCCTTTTTTATTATTAACGTTTTTAAAATTATTCCGTTTGAAGTTATTATTATCGGCATATTTTTAATCATCATTTAATGATTCACATTTTAGCAGCTCCGTACTTTTGCTAAATCACCAGGCGTCTCTTGATATTATGGACCATCCCAATATAAGAAAATTACTAAATATTCTATAGCGTTTAGAATGATCCCAACTTCCCTAATAGGATACGAAATTTATGCAGAAGTCCGGTTACAAAAAAAAACAAACATTAATTTTAAAAAATTAGATTTCATATAGTCCAGGCAATTTTCGCCCACCCTCTGCTCAGTTAATCAGACTTGTCAACACCGATGTTCACCCGTGCAAGCGACAGAAATCGGACAATGGAACCATCTGAATACAGAATCATCCGAGAAGGCGATTCATTGCATCTTATATTTTGTTATTGCATAAATATTTATATTACAAAATTTGATTATTTGGATCATCATTGTGTGATTGCCACATTCATAGAGAATAAACCATATAAAACCATTGCGATTCTTCATTTATTTGACAACACCGATACAATTATATAAAAAATTAAATATACCAGATATAGTGAAACCAATCGAAATAATACTAATAAAATTAGTTGCGGAAAACGGGTTGAACATAAAGCGGCACTCCAAACAGCGAAACCTCAGTAAAAGGCGATTTCGGTTTATTAGCAGACGATGGAATCGGTAGGCCCGAAAAAACAGTAGAAGCTGGTTTAGCTCGTGCAAGACCAGCACAAGAATGTGCAATCGCTCGTCGTGAAAACTCGGTAGAAGATGTGTGCGATGGAGGACCACCAGCCCAAGATGGAACAGCTGTTCTACGCGAATACTCAGAAGAAGAATTAGGCTGAGGTAGAGTCATACAAGAAGGTACGGTCGATTGACGAGAAGACGATTGATTCGAGCCGCAAGAAAAAGACTGGTTCGACCCATGTAGGGCTTGCGGTTTAGTGGTCGGAGCAATAGGATCAACACTCTGAAAATATATAACTTAATTTGATATTAATTATTAAAAAAATACCTTTCTCTTCATACCATTCCTCGGATTTTTTGCTTTTTCGTTTTTAGACGGTACCGAAATTTGAATGCTAGAACGTGGTGTAAGTGGCACATCCCAATTAATGTCATCTCTCATTTTCTCAAGTCTTTTCAACTGTGCAGCAAATTCGATAGCCTTGCGTTTCTCCTGAAGCAAGTTCATTTGAATAAAATACGTTGTCTTTGATTTACAATTTCAGCGCTTAGCTTCCATTTCCGCTTATGACGAGCCTCAAAACTTAAGATTCTCCCTTCAATGCTTTGATGCATCGCAGAGTGACCTGAAAAAAACATTGCCATTAACTTGAAGTACAGAAATCACGAAATTGGAAGACACGTGCAAAACAAATCAATGGAAAAAAACACCTGCTCATGATTGGGATTTATGCCAAGAAAAACGAGCGTGAAGAAAGAGGCAAATTAAAAGTGTAGATCATAAAAAATGTCGATTTGACTGAAACAACAAAGAATATAAATTTTTAAAACGAAATTTTTTTTTATGTATTTGAGAGACGGATGCAAGAGATTCAATGCGTTTTTCAGAAATACACAGACAACAAAGTTAATTTAAAATATCGCAACTTTTGTGAAATTTCCGAGTTTTGTGACTGAATATCAGTGATTTCTCGACCTTTTTTTTATTTAATATTGTAGGTTATATAGAGTACGGTACCCAAATTCCCACTGTTAAAATCTGTTTAAAAAAGTAAAAAAAAACGTTGTGACAAGCGGGATCGTCAAGATCCAATAGAAATGATGCGAAATATCAATTTATGAAATTTTCAAAAATTCCGACTTCCTACTCACTACGCTCAAAGAAAGCTTCAAGATCGACACATAGACGGATGTTTTTGGCGGTTGGAGAAATTAAAAATTATAATCAACGAAAACTATCTGAACCACATTGAACTTACTCAGAATTAAAGTGAAGGATGCTCAAAATTCGAGGTGTTTCGGAAATAATAAAAATAGATGATTTGATAGGGATGGGCCAAAATCGGTTTATAATTTTATTGCTTTTACAAAAATAACAGAAATCCGTAGTTTTTGAATTTTTCGAATTACAGATTTACAATGTGCCAGAAAATCAACTAAGCCAATTAATTAGTCATCATTGTCATCATTGTCATCATATGCAACTATTTCATTGCCGTCTACGTTACAACATACAACTAATTCATGAAAACGTGTATTCTAAAGCTCATGCTGCAAGTTTAGTTGGATTCAGCAAAACAAATCTCGAACCATGAATTCAAACGAAAAATATTTTTCCAGGAATTGAACTCAAGGAGAAGTCAATTAACTTAAAAACCGATTTCTAATTAATCGGTTATTCTTAGATGCAAAACTGCTCCATTGTAACCAGAAACCAAGCAAATCCCGCTTACTAATTTTTTGTTTCTTGAGGCAAACGCGCTCTACAGCAATTCAGCGGCGATCGGGAAAATGCGTCTGATCGAAAAGAGTGTGCTAACACAAGAGAGTCAGCGGACACTAGCCGCAAATGCGCTCTATTGCAAGCTTTGCTCCGACATCAGTGGCATTATAAAAGGCCGACCGATGCGCAATTTCGTCACTTCTCGCAGCTCCTCGAGTTGCGGGAAGGCCGCAAATCCTGAGGGCTCGTCGTGCCCCGCATAACCTGCGGGCTCGCCGAGCCCTGGATAACGTGCGGATTCCACGTGCCCCGCACAACCTGCGGGCTCCGCGTGCTCTGCACAACTTGCGGGCTCCACGTGTCTCGCATAACCTGCGGGCTCCACGCGCCCCGCATAAACTGCGGGCTGGTTGTGGTCAAGGATCCCCTCGGTATGTCATATTCATCGCAATTCTTTTTCTTAATTCCTTGTATTGCAGATCCGAGCGCCACAGTCATTGCTCGTTCGAGCTCTTCTGATGTGCTATGTTGAAAGTGTCGGGGATTCTCGACTGGTGCGACTCCGTCAGCCAGTACTAACCCTACTGCAGTGTCGCGGCCAGGCCGACGTTAAACCCATATTCATGAGTAGACATAACACGTGAAGATGAGCAAGAAACAGGAAGGACAAAAAATCGATGCCGCCTGGGCGTCGAGCAGAGCGAAGGAGGGGATTCGAATGGTAAAAAAAAAGTCATAGTCTTTCAGAATAACTTGAATTATTGCAGGAATGTTGAATCGAATGGGTCTAATCGGAGGCGACGACTCGAATAAGCGACAAGGAAGGGAAAAGCGTCGAGTAAATGGTATTTTTGGTCCGGCCAGTTTATTTTTTTTTTTAATTTTAACTATTATTATGCACTTGCACCAGTCGTACCATTTACGGCTTCCCCTTCTATATCCCACCACTTGGGATTCTCTCTCTGTACAGTCGTACCACTTACGTCTGTATTCCTTCCCGGTCCTACCGTTTTGGACCATCTCTTCTTCTTCTTCGGGGAAAGCCGGCTTCCCCTTCTCTCTTTCTGCCTCCAGTCGTACCGCTTGCGACTGTCCTATCTCTCTATCAGTCGACTGATTCCCCCTGCCGCACCACTTGCGGCCACCTATTCCATATCCCACCACTTGGGATTCTCTCTCTCTCTCTCTCGGTCCTACCGTTTGGGACCAATCATCTCTTCCTTAATCATCTTTTTGGGAAAGTCGTACCACTTACGGCCATGCCAGTCATTCCACTAATGACTTGTTTCCCTTCCGTTTTGTTTATTATTTTACTTCTTTTTTAAATCTGTGTTTGTTTAGGTATGTTTAGGTATCGTCGCTGCTGCTGCCGCCGACGATAAACCGACCCTTGCCGGGGAGTCGACTCACGGCTACAACTAAACTTCCTCACTATTAGGTATTAGCCATACTAAGGTCCCCCATCCACTTAATCCGCCGTAGTAGGCTATATTAGATCCGTAGTCGGTCATTCCCCCAAACGCCAAGGCTTCCTGATCCCCCCGTAGTGCCGAGGCGTTGGCTGGATGGCGGCTTAACCGCTGTATCCTAAATTCGGGTGATTGGCCTGGCAAGCCCTTCAGCCCTGATTCCGTAGCCTGGAATCGAACCCTACCCAAACGCCCCTGTTTCAAGTACTCTCGAGTTCTTGGAAACTGCTATTGGGGCGTTATGGATGGTTAAGCTTTAGAACTTCACCGGGTGTCCTCCATACTAGTCAGGATGGCATCTGGACTTGACCTATATTGACGTGGTTTGGCCAGCTATGTCAATATGTCCAGCCTTTCGGGTGCACATGGACCGTGCTTCTTGGCATAGTAGCTTGCTACTTTGTAGTGGCTTGCTACTACTTAGTAGTAAGCTGCTATGCTGAGAACACAAAAACCACTATACCATATCACCAGTAGACCCGGGGCCCAGCCAGACGTGGCTTGCCCAACCACTTCTACTTCTATTATCCTCGGATGATAGTTGTGGGATGTCCTTGGGTGATCCCCATGGTGAGATCGGCGATGACCCACATCAGGTTTCGGCCTGATGCTGGTGAGCCTCTCCTTCAAGTGTCGAGCCTCTACGTGGCGAAGATCAACTGACTCGGTCTTCCTTCACGGGGATCGAGTCAGGCTAATCGGCACATTGTCTCACGCAGGTCGGGAATATTCTTCCCCAACCGGGTGGCTTCGAAACGATCTTGGCAAGACGCAAGAAGTATTCAGAGACAACTCAAATGCTGCGAATTCCAATGGCCCTCTCTAATGCCAGCCGTTTGAATTGCTAGATTAATATGATAAAAAATATTGTTTTTCAACTAGTTTTTAATGCATTTTGAAAGTCGTGATCGGACCATTGTGTCAACATCAAGAACACTCTAACCCACCATCTCAAAGATTTTTCAAATTCCGCGTTGTATCGCCATCTAGCTATTTTTGTTGTGTTTCAAATATTCAAGCTCGTTTTTATTATCAAAATTCGTAAAAGAAATTAAGAAACAAATAGAAAAAAAGAAAAATGAAAAAAATTAAATTAGCAATTATTTTAGTTGTACAAATATTTTTTAACTTGGAACTACATAATTCAATACAGACACCAGACTGCAGAACTTGTTATTTCGAATAAAATAACAAAAAAAATGGATTGATTGCTAGCAAAATTATTCCGATAAAAGAAATATTGATTTCTTCACCCAAAAATAACAAATGTTTCGAAATCATTTCCGAATTTTTTTTTAGATGGTCTGATCTTGCGGGTGGGGATCATTCAAGAAGAATATTATCCAAAAAATCCCTTTCACTTTGTAAAGAAGAAGCACAGTAGGAAGAAATGAAGTGACAATTTTTTCAAAATTGGACAAATGTGCAAAATGACTTCTAGTGAGAAGCGACAGCTATGACCGTAGCCACTCGGTGCCTGATGGGCGTGACTCAACACTCAAAAATAAAGCCTGTTGAAGAAATAGAAACTAGAGAGATAGAGACCCTGGCAGGCAGCGGCTAAAAGCGGACGCTTGCAAAAAATACATTTCACAATTATTTTCGTTTTCTCAGCAATGAATAAGGTGTGAAAAAATTTCAGATTCAAATGGGTGTTATAAATTCGAAAAGCAATTTGAAGATTTTTCGGATGAGGGAATCAATACTATTTAAAATGAAGAAGGAAACAAAAATTGAGGAAAACAATTAAGATTACTGTGTCACGTCGTGCTGTTATTATCATCATTCTTAGTTCGTTTCTGTGAAAAAATACAAAAAAATACACACAGTCCTTCTTTTTTACGATTTTCACATGAAGCCATTTTCAAAAACAGACTGTCCGAAATTCGAAAAATTTAGGTCAATTATTATTTTGCTTCTAAAAATATTGAGCATGTACCTTTAATGTTCATTGTAGTTTTGGATATATTGGATAAGCAGCCAAGCCAAAAATAATTACGAGATCACATCTCTTCATTAAAAAAAATTACTCCCCAATTTTTATTTCCCTTGATTATATTATAACGTCTCGCAATGCCTCGAAGTGAGTCAACCTTCGCAAAATTCTTGCGGAATAAAAGCATGGCAAGCAGTACTAATAAGCGCACGGAACGCTTTCACAAAAATAAATTATACAATTATTTCCGTTTTCCCAGCAATAAAATGATTGTGGAAAAAACATTTCAGACTCAAACTGGTATTCTAGATTTACATGGTTCAACTGCATATTGAACATATTTCGTATGAAAACACATCCTATTTTAGATTTCAGCCGTTAAAAAATTTTTAAAAAATTTAGATAAATATTTTGTATTTTTAGTAAGTTATCAAGGAAACATGGAAAAGGTCGATTATTTTGCAAAAAACGTAATATTTCATGTGACTGGACACTATATATTTTAATTTTCTTTGTCTTAGAACCAATGAGCTTATCTTATTTATTGTACAAACATTTTTCAAAATGCAATGAACAAAAAAATTAAATAGTTGTGACTAAACATGACATAAATATTAAAAGTTATTATAAATATTAAAAGTTCGCTTAATAGAAGTGATCAGCTGTTTGAATTCTGGTCTGCGATGATGATCACTGTTCCAGCACATTAGCATAGTCCCGTAGAGTTCCAGCGAACAATCATTTGGAATATCCATTCGATAATTGTCTGCCAGTAGCTCCGAAATCTCGAATTCGTGTTGTCCTTGGTAAAGATCTTGTCCGTTTGCAGCTAATTGCCACAATATTAATCCGAAACACCAAACCTAAAATTTGAAAGTTATTGAAATGCAAAATTAAGAAAAAATTATTGAACTCACGTCAGTTTTTAAATGAAACATTCGATTAGCGACTGTTTCTGGAGCACTCCAAAACTGATCAATATCTTCTTCTGGTCCTGCTTGGTACATCAAACCATCCGGTAAGTACAACGCCGATTCGAAATCACCAATTGTTGCGTTTCCGCTTCTTTCTAAGAAGCAAGTTGTCGAAGAGAGTTTTCTGATAAAAAAAACAATTGTTTAAATTAAAATTTCAATTTTTTTACCTGTGAATGATTCTTCTTTCGTGCAAATACTTCATACCGGAAGCGATCCCAATAGCAATTCTTCCTTTTTCGTCCAGTGAGAATTCGGTGTCTCTGAATATTCTTCTGGTAAAAAGTTAATTGAGGAAAATCAGTTTACCTCAATCGATCCAACAACGTATCCGCAATGTCGTACACTAGAACGCTTGGATTTTTGTCGAATAACGTTCCAATCAATTTGGTTAGGTTCCTAAAATTATGTAAATCATTACTATTTTTAGGGAAGGAGGAGAGGAGGAACCTCCCACGTGATAATCAGTCTCGCTTCGGGTGAGGTCTCCAAAAAAGCTGGTGGTGTCAATCATACCCCCACTAAGTTAAAATTCAAAAGGTTGAAATTTTGTAGTTCTCATGAAATCAAAGGCCACTCGACATACTAAGAAGTATATATATATATTTATATTTATATTCCTACCTGTGTTGAAATATCGTCATCCACTCACACTCGTTTGCAATTCTTTCCCGCGCTTCTTCCGAATTATTTTTCGCTCGCTTCACCGCAATTTTCTTGTCGTTGACATTCCATTGTGCGATAAATACTTCGCAAAATTGACCATTACCTAAAAATTGTCGTTAGTCCAATTCGCGTTTCCAATTACATACTTATTTTTTTCTGAAGTCGGATCTTTGGGAATATTTCCGCTGATGGGTTAGTATAGTACTGAAATTACAAATTAAATAAAATATTCAAATTTTCAATCACAAACTTTATAGTCGTTGATCATAATACTGATCTCATCACGTTCTTGTTTCAACAAGCTTGTCTGAAATTAGGAATATTTGAAAAGGTAAAAACACGATTAAAAGTTACCTCAATTACGGTGCCGTCAAAAATCGCTCTAGGATTTATTGATCTCCTTCGGAAAGGAGTCGTTGCCACTTTACACGGGATACCACATTCAAACTGAAATAAAATTTGTTTCAGTTTCTCGCAAACAAATGAACTTACACTAAAAAGATCACGCGGCACTATTTTCTTTAGATTTCTGCGTGGTGTTGTTTCGTTTTTTATTAAACCTGAGTCACATTCCTGCAAAAATGTTCTTTTTTGGAAAAAAGAATATCTTAATTTCCACCAGATTCAAGTTTTCAGAACTTTTGCTTACACTAAAAATTAATAAACTTACCATAATTCTGCCACTATCAAACAGATCTCGTGGCTTCATTTTCTTCGCGTTGCGGCGAGGAGTCATCAGTTTTTCAAATAATTCCGAGTCAGTCTGCAAAAAGACAGAAATTCTTTCTATTCACTAGTTATAGAAGGACTGATCTTGAAGTTCGACCTTTGTTTATAAATATATTGAATAAATACTTGTTTAAAATTTTGAGGCAAAAAATTTTCAGCTCTTAATAATACCAAAACAGGGTCATTTGCTTTAATAATTCTTGCTGTTGATGTACTTTTGGTGTTAAATATTATAAACAGCTCAATTAGAAACTTTACAAACCTGATTCAACTTCCTTTTTCGTCCATTTCTCTGATTGTTCTCTTCTTCTGATCGAATTGATTTGACGATAGTCGTTGTTGTCTCGATGAAAGCATTATTGATGTTGAAAGCCATATCGAACGTTTTATCTGAAATACATGAAATTTAATGTATTATCAAAGTATATCCATTCTAAAAGTCTAATATCTATAAAAATAATAGATTAATAAGGAATTGAGCAAGAGGGTAAGTGATGAAGCAAGCAAGAGCAACCATCACTGGGATGCACAACAATGACTGATTGACCAGTTGAACATATATGTTCGCACCTAAAGCTGTTTTCGCACTTGAGCAATTTTCGCACCTTATCATAGGAACGAGATTTTTGTACATATCCATCGCAATGTTGAACAATTTGAAGGAGATGAGAATTAATAATATTTCTAATAGCATCAAGTTTTTAAAACAAAAGAGAAATTGTATTTTTTAAAAATTATAATGACAATAAGCCTACAAGTAATGATTTTTCAATAAAATTGTTGTCGTATTTTGAAGCCGTTTATATCCAAATTTTTGGAACAGTTCAAATGGCTCATTCGAATAAATCAAATATAATTCAAATTTGCACATTGAATGAAAGAAAAAAATACGTATTCTTGAGATTTTCATTTATGAATGGAAACTAAAACTGTATTTGCCAACTTTCAAAAAAATCAGTATTCATTTTCGAGAGAATTCATTCGAATATATGTTAAAAGAAAACCAACAATAAATAATCGTGAATAGATCGAAGAAAATGAATTACAAAGTAAGAACGCTTAACAGCAAAATGACGATTTATGGGCGTAGTAGTAGATTTTGCCAGCTTGGATATTGACCTAGCACATATCTGCACATGCTTCGCACCTATATTTGGGAAGATGTGCACTTTTCACACCAAAACAGAAATTTATCACATTTTGATGAACGGACACGTGTATTATAAATGAAAGTTAGAAAATCAATAAACATATTGATAGACTTTATTGGATTGCATTTATTTTTAAGCTGACGAAATGAGTTTACCACAAACCCATAAAATGTCTTTCATTATGGCCCAGGTAATGCAGCATTCAGCAGGTGTTTCGTTAAATAACCTTTTCTATTATTTATAATTCGCAAATAGAAAAAATCTTTGTTATTGATTAATAATTGAATTTGTAATATTAAAATTCGAAGTACTTTGTTTCGGTGTTCAGAAATTACTAAATTTTTAATACCATTGATATATTGCTAATGCCGTACATATATAATTAGTGATTCCTGAAAAACCATGTTGTATTGGAATTTATGGCGATTCAAATAGCTGAAGAGCAGACAAAATTTATCGGATGAAGTTATCAATGAATCCAAGATTTCCTTCCAACAATTTTCCAAGTAACTCCAAGACTTATTCGCCAGCAAACACAATTATTCATAATTGATCTAAATTATTACAGATATCGCATAATTATCCTATGAAGAGTTGATAATTTTTCATATGATCAAGAATTCTTATTAAATTATCAGAAACTAATTAATCTCAATACATTATGTGTATTTTCTAAATGTGATGTACTAGAATTTGAGTCATGTTTTCGCCGGAATTGTTATTGTTGTACTGGTTCCAATAACACGCCCGGCAACTAGAGTATGCACAGAGTCATAAATTGTTTCGGTGATCGTTCTCTTGTGCTACTGAGAACATTTATATGTACCAAAAGAAAAACACAAGTTTGGGAGTTGTCTGGTTTAGTGGTTCGCACGATTGTTGTCTGTTTCTTAGTGCAAGCACTATGCTGGATCGATTCCTATTGCCAACAGCACATGTTTTGCGCTTGGTCTCGATCTGGAAATTGTGTGAAATATAGACGGCTGTACGGAAAAAAGAGATAAGGGGTCGAATAAATAAAAATTTAAAAAGAAATTATAAAGCAAGAGGAAACTTTAATCATTTGTTCAAGGCTGTACGCGCCAATGGCAGGACGCCTTCCCCCGGGCCTCACAATGCGTCATGATCCATGATATTATCCAGCAAACAAAAAACCAAGAACTGATTGCAAATGTCATTCCGTCCTTCGTGTAGGTGGCGACTTTTTATTTTTTTTTTCAATTTTCGTTTTTTTAATTCGGTGAACAGAATTCGAGAAGTTTATAAAGATTCATAAATTTATTTTTGAATACAAATCAAATTTTCTAAAGATTCCTTCGGGCGATTGGCTTCAGTAAATGTTGCATTATTTGGAACTATGTTCGCCTTTCAGATTTATACATTATTTATTCAAAGTGTTGATAATGAGAGGTTCGCTACTCTAAAATTCGCGTTTGATCTTCATCTTTAAATGCCCTTCTTAGTCAGCAAAGAATTGAGTTCCAAATCCATTCGATTTTTGCACATCTCATGATGTCAATTGTAGGCCAATAAATCCTGAATATTTATTGCAAAATGCATTTATTTCAACCATAAGCAAATGACATATTTAATGGTGTATTCAATGAATCCTCTTCATTTTACGATTTTCATCATCGAAAAGCTTCCAGAATTTAAGCAATTGCGCCGTGGTATAGCAAAGACAAGACATTGAACGAGTCGGCCCGAAAAGAAGTGTAATTTCCATGTTTGTATGCGAAAAGCAACAAAGACTGGCGGGAAAATGGAGTTCGACTAGAAGTCGCCGGAAATTAAATCTGAAAAAAAATGACGACTGTGGGATTGTTGTTTTTATTGTTAATGAAAACCAACAAAATAGATAATGATCATTGAAACTCGAGGGCAGACAGCACGCAACTCTAGAAATTGAACTCTGCAAGAATTTTTATAATTAGGTTACGTATCAAAATCGTCTTATGATACTTCACATAATTAGTGACGCCATTTAGAAAATAAAGTGGAATTGAAACTCAAGAAATGTTGCAAACCCCTTTTTAATTATTTAGAAAATGTGCAGGAGATTTGGTATATATCTATATACATATATGTATAGTCGGCGGGCGTTTAACGTATGGGGGTAATTTGAGTTTTAACTGTGGTCTCGCTTGGAGCAACTGGTAATATTGAATTATTGGACACCGTTCATAATTTTTAACTTCGATGACGTTAAAAAATTGAGAGAATGACAAACTCACCAAAAAAACATTGCAAAAATTTACAAAATTGACAATTATTTATTATATAAAATATTCTTCAATCGCCGAATGTCGGTAATTCAGAGAGAAAAAAAAATGAAAAGCAATAAAATTTCTTCAAAATTAGGTGATTGCTGAAAATAATCGGTGTGGTAATTATTTAAACAAAAAATGGTGGTTTTCTCATGCTATGATTCAAAATAAATTATAAAATGTTCAAATTACAGGAAATTGCAACAGAGATTTCAAGTGGTTTGACTCCATCCCCCCAAGCAATCGATGTTGTGTTAGTTATACTGCTATAAAAATAAACTCAAAATCAAATATACGGAACGTCTGTTCGAATTTCTGAAATTACACGTTCCGACTACAAATTGAATCATTTACAACCGTTTTAAAATTTTTTGAATCGGAAGTCTAATTATTTTCTTTTTAATAGATAATTCTCGGAATTTTTATTCGAACCATGTTATATTCATTTGGCATACACATTTTGTGTTCAATTCGTAGTCATTCTCCCTCGGGGTTATTCGATAATTTATTTTGAATGGTTTTATTTTCCGTTAATTGCCGCTTTCCAGTAGGGAATATCGAAAATTAGAAGAATTGTGAACAAAAACATGCATATTTATCATTAAATTGGTGAGTATGTGTTTTTTTTTTTAGGAATTCGTAATCCTCTTGGGATCTCGCTATTCAACATTCCTTCTTAAACTCTATATCAAGTGTCAATTTGGGCGTGGCTTCACTTGACGTCTTATGTCATCATTAGCTTATTACAGTACTTGACGACAAGAGAAGCTCTCATCTCATCATTTTTCGTGGTTGTTGTCGAGAAAGCACGTCAACGGAGGAGCGCTATTCGTCGTCAGCTCTCGCTAGATTCGGCACCGCCCACTGGAGCCTCATTCATTGCACCGACATGTCCTTCCAGCTCACGCTGCTCTCCATGTTTCTCCTACTAATCGCAATTGTTATAGGTACGTGTCCATTATTTTAATGCGACCTTTGGGAAAACAAAAACATTTCGAGCATTACTAAAGCTTCAAGTCCGACAATTAGTTTGAGATTTATTTTCGAGCTCACGTGATTTATATAAATTATTCAGAGTGGTGGTGTTTATCAGAGTATGTACATAAATTGTGATATCAACGGTTCATTTCTTCCCAGTACTAAGTGACTAGAAATTCGGTGATCCAATCGGGACAAAAATTGTTGCGAAAAGCCGCGAGTAACTTTATTTACTGCTCTCTTTTGTTAAGAGCACCTCAGAATAAGGAAGTGATTTTCTTTCAAAAAGGGGCTATTTTGTAGCACAAAAGAGGATCCGGAACCCTTTTGTCATGTGTCATCCACTTGAATTCTCCCTCTTCCCTCCAATAAAAGACTTGCGAATCTGATACATTTTCGCATCTAGTATCATCAATCCGGCAACTTCTAATTGGATCACAAGACGACGAAATACAATACGCGCATCGTGTACTAATGAGAGATTCATGCCAATTTTATTCAACATGATACCTCATTAAATTCCATAAAATCCTATAGGAGAAAAACAAAAAAATTTTTTTTTTCGCCGACGAAGACTGGATAATGGATTGTGAAATTTTTTCTCACGACATCATACGCGTGCGTATTGTTAATCCAGTCAATCCCAAAATAAGAAATGAAACCGTGTGAAATACACATTGTTTGATGAAATGTAACATTGACCCGTATGAGAAATCTTAAAGGTCGGCCCCAAGATTCGCAAGAATCGAAAATCGCCGAGCAAGATCAGGAATATGACAAGTTCATTGCCGAGCTTGAGCCGTACCTTAACGAAAATGGAATCTATGACGCAGCGCAGGTAGCCAATGGTGACGATGAAGCATCATCATCAATTTCAAATATTTTGCAGCAAATGCCCGTCAAGGCCATGGAGAAACGTTGGGCGAACCAAGTGAGATTCGGAAAGCCGGCATCTTGGGCCAGCTCAGTCCGATTCGGCTAATATGCGCGGACTTCATCCACAAACAGTGCATCTCAATGATTTTAATTCTTTTTTCTTTTCCTTTCCCCCTTTCCCTTTAAACAATCAATTCACCACCCCCTTTCCCCCACCACCACCATCAGACAGATCAGATCAGTTTCATCAGCACAACCATTTTATTTCCTTGTCATTTAATAATAAATATTACCATGTTGATTCAAGTTTATTATCATTATTATTATTATGCGTTCAGAGATAGCTCAGCTGCAAAAATTGACACTTGAGCGGGAGAAGATGGACAAATTCAAATGACTAGGGTGTACATTTTTTGCTGGAGAAAGAAAAAAATAAAACTATTAGAATTATGACCGCGTAATATAATATTGGGGCAATAAGTGAATATTTGAAAAAAAGCAAATATATGGGCTAAATTTAACGGTTGATTAGTGCCATTATTTGATTCAAAATTTCTTCCAAGCTTGAAAACACTTTGGAATCAACAAAATTGGTCGTGGGAGACGCTGAGCATCGTAGCCGATTGTTGAACGCTTCAAATTGGGTTAGCAGCTCCCTGAAATGAACAATTTCAACTCTAAAGTTTATTTCAAAATAAAAGCTTTTCGCGTGTCTATATTCGTTGCCTCTTCAAAAAAAACACCTCAAAACGACATACTTGAATCTGAATTTGCTGTGCGGAGAAATCTGCTCGGCGTATATTGAGCACTTCGTTTGGAATGCCTGCATCGCATCATGTAGCCTTAACAAATCGAGTTGATATCAACGGTCATGACTGATCAAGAAATCTTACTTGATAAAATTCTGATCCCGTACGTGTCGTGGACTATAGGAACTTTCGCATTCACGAATCATATTTTCGACATTGCGCGACAAAGACACAATAATTTCCTAAATTCGTAAATGTTTAGGACTCTCAAACTTCTACTCCAGCTACCTTGCTAACTGGTTCATTATCAATTTCAGACTCTTGACCCACTCGGCTTGTTCTTTTCGGAACAACGGGCTTCACATGATCTTGCCCTTCGCTTTCCATCATCGAGAATCGCTTTTCCGACTTCCTTTCAGGTCGTTTCGGAGGATTCTCGGCTGTAATCATCCAAATTATTTGTATAATTGGCGCTCGTTTTCTTCTTTTTTCTTTCGCCCGCGCAATAATGGTGTCATTTTTCAGTCGGAAATGGGTATCGAATATACTTGGCAAATACTCATTAGTAAGTTTCTCAAAGAAGCAAAAATGTAAATATCAAAAAAAATATATATAGCGCACGGGTTACGGTAATCGGAAAGGATTGGTAGCATTAATTAAAATGAGAGAGCATTCTTAATTACTTCAAACAAATTTTCAATTACTCCTTTTTTCTTGCGTTTCCTATTTACTATATATTTTTTCGCTAATATTTAATTAGAGAGCTCAATTCAAAATTGAGCTTACCCTTGGCTTTCTTCTCCGCGTCACTTTGCGATCCAAGCTGCTCAAACTTGCTAGTAATATCGCGAAGAGAATGAGCTCTGACCATTCCACCAGCTTCATCTTTTAATATAGAACTGACAGCTTTTTGTGGAGTATTCTGTATTTGAAAACTATATTGAAAATCACGAGAAACTCGAAATATACCTTCGGCCGTTGAAGCGAATTCGTGGACCGATCTTCTAATCTCTTTTTATCTTTATCTTGAAGTGCCGGGAACCCGTAAAGACTTGAAGACGACGAAGACTCCGACACGTCATGGCTTTCTGATTGTGCTCCACCGGAACTTGTCGAATTGTTTGGGCATTGAAGAGAGAATGGTCGATGGTGTTGAAGCGGGGATACTTTTTGAGTAACGAGCAGTCGAACTTTTGCTTTTTCCGATGGCTCTTTTGACGAGCCGATGGGCAATGTAATTTCTCTTGGAGATTCGTCTGGGGATGACATTGATTTCTCCGATTCGTCTTTGCTGACATGTCGCAGATTTCGGATTCGAGCTTTGAGTTCACCTTCCGCCGATGGGGCAGCCTCCATCTAAAAATCTTTGTGTAAAAGAAAGTATGTCGAGAATTGGCAAAGACTACCTTCTTCAGTTCAACTTTTCGGTTAACTGCCTGTTTGGAACCATTTGACTCTTCAGGAGTCTTTGCAATAGCCCCCGATGTATTCCGCGATGGTGGAGTTGGCGGACTACTTTCATTATTTGATGAAGGTTGATCACTCTCTCGGTATTCGTTGGCAAACCGGTTTCGAGTTACGATATCAGCCCCATCGCCTCGATTCTGATTTTGAGAAGAGCTGAAGCTATCAACACTTTGCACGTCATGCTCATAAGGCTTCGGCGTCTCCGGCTTGTAAATATCTGCAAAAAAAACATCCCAATTACAATCGATTCCAGAACTCTCGATAAACCTGCTTCAGAAACATCACGCGTAGTTTCACGATCATAATACGAGCCCGCTCGCTTTTTGAGTTTGGAGCGCATTTCTTTGAGAACGGCACTTTGGGAGTTGTCAGCTGCTTTACCATATGCACTTGAAGACATCGTATCAGGTAGTGGTAAAACATCCAATGAGTCATCGGAAACGGTGCGACTCATTGAACTCGAAGCAGCCCCTTCGGTATCGGCATCAGCACCTTCTGAGTTTTTTGTTTTCAATGAAATGATTGAGTAGATTTCAGAAATTTACCGTTCCAACGATCCACCTTCCTCATCGAGTCCAAATAGGCACCAATTCTCTGCTCCTTCGGCATTGTTCCTCCGAGTCGACTAACCGCTTTGCGCACATTTTTCTCAGCCAACGGCGTGATCTCTCCCGAATCGTCCATTGAAGAAACGCTTGATCGATCGCGGGCATTTGAGCTCAAAACCGATTTGAGAAGTTTCGGTTTAGCGCTTTGTTGCGGTGGAGTTGGAGCTGACATTCGCGACTGTCTCGGAGACACAGCGCAAGTGTCACGGAAAGATGACATCTGAAAATTCAGAAAAATCCCATAGTTGATGTATTTCAGATATTTATTCTTACCGTCATGCCCATATCCGAATTTCGTGAGTTAATAATTGGCTCATTTGAAAACATCATGCCACTGTTTCGGTTGGTGCAATTTCTGCTACTTGGCCGACCGGCTTCAGCGCTAGATGGATATTTGGGATCCAAGTTGTGTGAATCATTGCCTTCCTCATTTCCGTCATATGGGAACAATCGATCCAGATTGTTATAAATGTCATGGAAGCGTGGACGATCGGACGGCGACCAATTCCAACATTGAAGCATCAGACGATATACTGAATCCGGGCAACCTGTTGGCACGTCCATTCGAAAACCTTTCTCTAGTAACCCATAAACGTTTGATAATTCCACGCCCGGATAAGGCGCCATTCCATACGAAGCAATTTCCCATAGCAAAATGCCGTATGCCCAAACCTAAATAAAGAAATATTCTAATTATTTCAGTTTTCAATAATTACATCGCTTTTCGAACTGAATGTATTGTATGCAAGTCCTTCGGGAGCTGTCCATTTAATTGGAAATTTCGCTCCAGCATGAGCTGTATAAGTGTCTTCCCGCATAAATCGAGCTAATCCAAAATCGGCAATTTTGACAACATTGTTTGGACCAACAAGACAGTTTCTTGCAGCAAGATCACTAAAAACATAAATTATGTTTCACTGTAGTTCAAAGAGCTTGCAACTACCGATGGATGAAGTGACGAGACTCCAAATAAGCCATCCCTGAAGCAATCTGAGTTGCCATTTGCATTAAGGTTGGCATTGGCAAAACTGCCTTATCCGTTTTTCTGAAAACAAAAAAGCTGCTTATAGCAATTTTGCCGTATTCTCAAAGGCTACCGTAAATATTCCAATAAATTTCCACAACTCATGAACTCCGTTATTATAAAAAATGGAGCCTCCCGTGTGCAAACGCCAATCAGACTGACCAAGTTCCTGAAAGAAACAAAAAAATGAAGCGGAACAAGATGAAAACAAGAGGATTGATGGTGTGCAATAAAACAAAATTGATGGTGATAATAAAAGTAGATATATACCTATGATGCAGTACTTTCATCAAAGCAGCTTCGGCAAGAAATTCGTGAAGTGGCATCACATCTTCTTTAAGCGCTTTCACAGCAACAGTTTTTTGATACCGTTTCCAGTAGCCTTCGTAAACATCGCCATACTGACCACCACCTGAAAATTGGAAAAAAGTTACTTTTCAAGTACAATTGATTTAGGCTTACCCAGTTTGTCATGCATCACTATCTCGCGGCGGTCAATTTCCCATTCATCGGGCTGCGTTGGTGATAGCGAATACAATGTATTGGTTTTATCTTTCTTTGTAGCTGCATACGTCAAAGTACCTTAAAATAAAAATTGAATTTATCAACACACTCTTCAACTTCTTACAAATCAACCCATCGGCAGTTACGCTATGATGATGAACCAATTCTGGTAGAGTTCCAAACTTGAAATCTTGTGTAATATAAAGCTGAACATTTTTTGTTTAAATTTGAAAAAAAAAAACGACTCTTTTTCAATTACCTTTTCACTGATCGAATCCACATTGATGCGATAGTGATAAACCCGGCCTTCATAGCGAACAGAGATTGAATAGTGTCCAATGCTGGTCTCGCTTTCACGAACCAAAAATGAGCCAGTGATTCCGCTGCCCAGAATATATTCAGCTTCACCGCGTGAAATTTTTCCATGGTACCTGCAAGAAAATCGAATTTTCAAATAATATTTGGGTCAGCGAATCACCAAGAGTAGCGATCAAGACAATGAAGTGGGGCAATGAAGTTGCTCGGCACCCATCCAACCTGGCCAACTTTTCGCTGACTGTTGCCATTCCTCACTTGATAAAGAACGGCTTCAGTCCACTCTCCACCTTTGTTATAACCGAGAACGCGAACCTGAAAATTATATACCTGAAACCATTAAAATGTCACTTATTCGGTATCCTAAATAAATGTCACTAGCTTGATGTCTGCAAGCACGCCACCTGCGAATTGCGGACCCATTATTACGATTCAACATTTTCTTAATGTTTCCGGCTCAAAGCAATTTTTTTCATGTCCTTCAAATTCGCTATTTTTCGAACATATGACGCTCGTTCGTTGCTGGAGTTTTTGGCAAATGCTCATCTCCTCAGCTCCGACCAATTCATCATTTTGTCAATTAGTGGCCCATGGAACATTTGGCGTGCACGTACTCGGAGCCCCCATTCAATTATTACAATGAAAAAACAACAAAGTCGCACGTCAAAAGGTGTCAATCAAAATTGGGCTCACCTGGTCGTTTTTCTTCACCGTGAGCTGTTCGGGCCCATTTCCATTAAAATCAAACAAGACAGTGAACACTGGAGCATACGATTTCATTTTATTTGGAAGCGTTGACAGGTTGTTGGTGCTACATGCCACGAATTCCTCGCTGAAAAAAAAACGGGAAATTGTATGTAAAAAAGATAAGAAAAGAACATGAATGGTTGATACTACCATATACGCTGTAAACGCTTACTACGCGTGCAATGGAACGAATGTGTGGGAAATCTGGTTTATAGTGTCTTTCAGGGATGATGGCGGTGCCGCAATTCATAGTCAAGTAGGCATAATGGCGCATGAGAAAGTGTTGGGATCCATATGCGATTACAATACGTAAGATAAGAGAAGCATTTCGACCAATTTCAACACTTGAAACGAACAAGAAATATACATAAAATCAAATGGCGATTTCCATCAATCGACTTAGTCAAAATGAGTACGGATGAGAGAATAGTATTCGATTGATAACTGTACACCGATCCATTATGTCTGCGCTCTCTTATTGCAAAACAATGGAAATGTTTGGGGGTGCGAGAATGAATGCGAGGTGCACAGAGCGCGCAACGATCAATGGGGGAGACGATATTAGTTTTTTCGGGAACAAATGAGGTGCCAAATATGACCGTACGCTGAATTGACATTATTCATTTTTCTTTAGTCGATCAGGATGCGAAATTTCGGCCAAGATTGCTATCGAAAAGATTTGTTGGTTTAAAATTGACGCCTTTATTAGAAACTGTTTAATTGGGACGGCGCCCCGATTCGATTAGAAATGTAGAGTTTGAGGCAGATGAAAGTGAAGGTTTATATAACTACCAAATAGCAATTTGCAAGCGAGCTTTTGTGTCTAGAAAATGTGATTAGAACTTGGGCGAACACAAAAACAGGAAAATCTTTTTGTTAATCCAATAGGCCAACAATACTACATACTGCCTGATTTCTTAGCTTCCGATAAATATTGGCAAAGTTTTTCATATTGTTTTAGGCACGAAAAAAAGGCTTTAGCATATGCATTCAATTGTCGACCACCCTTGGCGGCGAAACGCAAATCACTCACATTGAATCGATTGTGGCGCTTATAAATGAGATGCTCTCCGCGAGCTTCTGGTGCAAATAATGCATTGGCAATGCCACCGATGGTAGGCTCTGCGATGCCACCAATCCACCCGTATATAAATCGTCGAGTGAGGCGAACGAAAGCACGCGCGGTTTGGCGCGACGCCGCTTCACACGTTTCACTCGTCGCGGCACGACCACATATGGATTTGATGTCGATGCGATCATTCGAATACGTATAGCAGACGATTATGATTAATAATTGAATGCCGCCTGGTGAGAGTATTGTGTGAGAATGAGTGATGCGGAGCCCGATGAATGATGTAGTGCTCGCGACTCTCGCGGCGGCATATGCTCTACTTATCTGAGATCTATAATCTATAATAATTCGACCCAGTCGCTTTCACTCGAGCACTCGTTTAAAGTGGTCCAATGATCTTTTCTTGACGACATATGTTTAAATAAACAATTTTGTCGTTTCAAACTATCTATTTTTTTATAGGTTAGACTCTTTGGATCCTTGCCATGTGAAGATAGTTGCTTTGCTCTATTGTGTATCGAGAGGACAAAAAGAATGTCAATATAGGGAAAAGAGACACGTTCAAGAGGATTGACGAGTCGACTTTTTTACTCGGGTCTTTGGACTTTTCACTGAATTGCATATTGCAATAAATGACATAGTTTAGAATACGTGAAAAAATTATAGCTGGCGGCAAAGAAGAAGCTAGAAAAACACAAAAAATTCATATTCTTTCTACTAGCAAAATTCAAAAAAACAAAATGTTTGAAAACGGAAAATAATGCTACTAATTTTCATCAAAACCCGGCAACAAATTTGGGCGTCGACTGATGAAAAACAAATAGAACAGTTCCACACGATGGCCAAAAGCGGAAACAAATACGATTTGCGCAAAGACTTTTCCTTCGTTTTCTCCCCTCCCCCCGTCACACAGCAGCGCTCATTTAAATGTGCTCTCCCAGTATTAAATTACACACAAGGCACCAGCAACAAAAGCGAAACGGAAACAAAGTGGGCAGCAATGTCCTAAGAGGGTCGTAAACTCGTGGAAGATTATCGATTTCGTTATTATGTATTGTTTGCACAAATTAGAAAATGATGGGTGTTGTTATCATCGCGTTTACCAACCGACCATCGGCTCATTTAAAAACTGACGAACGTACCGATTTTGAAACGTTGAGCTATTGCTGACGCTCGGATTGGCGAATGTAGACGATCGAAACGTGTCAACGCCACTGGCTGTTGTCCGTGAAGACATCTGTAATGAAATTAGAAACATTATTGCTTGACGAGTGGCATTTTCGACCAGGAAAAAAAAACAACAACAACAAATTGCCAGACACGGCAAACACACCGTTCATTGGCCGCGCGAAACTGGCTTAATTGCGAGCACCCATCGGCGCTGCCAAAATTGGAGCGTCAGGGCCTTGCGACCAATTTAAAAAAAACCAATGCTTACCTCCCTGGCTAGCTGTTTTGGCTGGCAGGAACAAGCCACTGCCCTTTTTGATGATTTGAATGACCCGTAACCTGAAATTTACAAGTTCGCAATTGATGCTCCAATGTGTTTTGTGGCATGCAACGGACAAGAAACGACTATAAAATTGCATTTAACTGGAAAAAAAACACTCGAAAAATTTCATTAGGTTTGTTGGATGAGTTCATGCATAGGGAAAAAGTAGAGGAACTGGGGGGGGGGAATAATAAAAATTGGCATTTCATGAATTTTTAGTGAACAACGAATGCCATATTTGGAGCAAAAATTGAAACAGGAAGAAGAGGAGCTTTAAAAAATGAAGTAGACAGTCAGAAAAAAAAGTTAAAATTATCAAACAATTTTAGTTCAATATATAAAATGGCAATATACAAGAAAATAAAGGAATTTGTTGAAAAGTAATGCGAGAAAAGATTTTCAATTAAATTGAATTTTGAGGAAAGAATAGGAAAGTAAACAACAAGTCCGCCTTTTTTTCGAAAAGAATCTAATTAACCGAAAGTTTTGGATCAAACTAGCTGTAAGAGCTTACAAATAACTTTAAAAGACAAAAATAGCGTGCTACACAAAAAAACCGAATTGCTAGTTTATGAGACTGGTGTTTCAATGGTGGGGTGCATAAAGAAAATGTCACTAGACGCCATAAAACTTGATAAGTAATAATTGAGACTTTGATAAGTGAATATATAATAGTATTCAGTGATTCATTGCAACGTTTGAGCTTGGAATGCGAATGAATTGATTGACCATTGGTTATACAATTGCGGGAAAACGTTCATCGACAAGTTTTGGTGTTTTAATTGACCTGCAATTAAAAACGCACCGCGCCGAGTGTTCATTTTCACATTTTTCGATTCAATGGAGTTCGTCGTGGCACAATGGAGAGTGGATTAAAAAAAAAAAGAATGGGAATAAGATAGTGTTTTGTAATGTATTTACGATTACGAAATGGAAACCGCGAGCGCACTCGACCGCCAATTGCTTATTCAAATATCGGAGAACAATATTGCGACAAGAAGCAACGAAACGCTATACAAAATTTTTGGGCGAATCGTCGCACGTTCGTCTCGCGCAAAAATTTTCTTGGGCTAACTAAAAACGTTTTCATATTTAACAAAAAAGTGTGTTTGGTGCGGAAGTCAAGTGTATAACTAGAGGCGAATTGTTAGCTTTACCAGCGTGCCACACCTTGCTACTTGTGCGGACTGAATCGAAAAGATAATAAAACAAAGTTCATCACGGTGGGCAAATACATTGGCGTGGGAGTCGGTATCAACTCAATTTTTCTTATTGTTTGAAATTTAACAAAAAAACTCGAATAGCGAAACGTTTTATCAGACATTCCTCTCTCTCTCGAAATGATACTATGCCGTATCTTTTTGCTGGTTAGCCTCTCCTCGCAAAATGCACAACCGCTGTTGCTCATTTTTCAATCAGCGCCGAAATTTAATACAAGAAGCCAATTCGCGATGAGAAGAATTTGTATTCCTATCAAGAAGTAATGTTGTAAAATATTTTTCCAAAAAATAAATGAAAGAAAATGCGCGCGCGAGCGAGCGATCACAACAAAACACACCTTGAGTGTAAAAAATAACTAGAATCGAACGCTGGTGCGCGGTAGGTATATTGGTGCTATTGGTGGTAAAATGAGAGGATGCGGGTTGCGGGGAGTCTGACCTCTTGGCCGACACTGCGTCACTGCCCGCTCATTTCCCTATTGCCCATTTACCACACTGTCGCCTTTTCCACTCTGCCGCTCGTCTCTACGCGAAAATTTTTTGGTTGGAAAGAAGGGAAGGCTAGGCAAAACGGATAAAAGAGGAGTGTTATTGGTGGTGGTGGCCAAGAACCCGATGGCGTTGCGCAGCGCGCGCCAGCCCCACACACACACACACACTCACCCAGACGCATAAGACAAGACGCATTTGAATATACAAGCGAGCATCGAAAACAATTTCGGAACGAAACCCTAAATTGTTGCCGATCTGTGTCCGCCACTCCAGCAGAAAAATGCGCGTCTGGAGCTGTCGGAGAATGACCGATGGCTGAGAACAGCATAATTTCCAAGATAGTGATCATTCAATGAATGGCATCACGCATTTTATGGGTCGAACACAAACACACATTTCCGGACACAAATTTAAGGCTATTATGATGAGGAAAACATTGCCACCCGCAAGATGGGACCAATTGTTTGAAATGGGGGGTGGGGGGTTACGGTAGTTCGAAGAATAAAAAAAAAACAACTGCCCCGCAAAATTGGAGCCACTTTTTTGTTGTTGTGCAGTTGAGTCTTGGAGACAAATAATGTAGGGCGGATTTTGTTAGGGAAGACTGATAAGAGCTCCTTGAGGTCTTCCCAAAAAGTTGGTTTTTCGTTGACTGCGGTCTTCGAAAACTTTCATCGAACTCTTTTTGGGCGTGGGAACAAAAATGCAAGGTTTGAAACGTGCATGAAATTCGGCAAAAAAGAATCATTAACGATATGGGACCATCGAAGACAATGGCAATGCGACGACACATTGCACTAACGGACAAAGTTGGCTGCTAGTGCATATCTCCATAGTATATATGTACATACATATAAGAACGACCACTACTCCAGGGAGCCAGAATTGAAAATCTAATTTCCGGTTGCGTTCAGCCAGTTGACGATGATTCAATCTCGCTTCTCAACGAATCCTAGTAAAGTCAACATTTTTTGGAGGAATGAAAAAGGAGAAATAGAATGCGACAAAAATGGAAGACGCGAGCAATTAGAAGGGATAGAAAACTGGGGGAATGTCGAAATCTTCGCTGAGTCATGAGCTGCAGCACCATGCATACATTAAAGGGAAGAGACTTTCACACGCAGAATCAAATGCATACCACCGACTGGCTTGCGATGGCGATTGCGCAGAATACCGTGATCCGATTCAAGAAAACCAACGCCTTTGGAAATGTTGCCGCCGGCAACATTGGACATCGCCGTGTACAGTTCGAATACGTCCGCGGAATCGTCGATCCAAAAATCTTGATTGTGCGGAAACACCGAGTTTCGATTGCCCCTGAAATTAGCATTTTTGCGGTCATATCGGGGGAATCCACGCAAAAATCGTTGTCAATATTTGCATTCATAAGCAGCAGCACACACAGGAACGCCACTCATTTTTGTCTATTAATAAAGTTTTGCGGAGACATAACCAGTTGCTTGGTATTCGGGTGGGTTTCAAAAAGCTAACATAGTACTTACATTGATGAATCCTTTTTTTTTTCTTTCGTGTTTGTTCACTATTCTGAAAGTACAAACTTGAGGGGAGTGTATTTCAACAGTTGAGATAAATCTGATTGCAAGAAGTGAGAATATAAAATTGATGATCTCAGCAACAAGATATTATGTATTACGGGCCGACACATGCCATCGCTAAGGCTACGCGCTACAAGAATTTATTTCCCTTTTATTTCAGACGATAAAGGAAAAATTGCACTATAGCACAATTTTTTGTCAAAAGGCTATTTTGGTTATGTGGAAAACGTGAAATGATAAATGCCATTAACATCCTGGAATAATTCAAACATTAAAACGAGTCGCTCCACTATAAATGAACATGAAAAATGATGATTTTCGGATGGGAAAGATTAATTTTTTGTTGCGCGCCCAAATCACTGTCAAATGATTTGACGTCGGCCGACTCTTATCAACACACACACTCTCGCTCTATGATATGTACGCTTGAGCAGACATTGCCCGTGTTTTATTGATGAATTGAGTGAATTGTGGATTTTAACAAGAAGGAGTTCTAAAACAAATGAAAATGGTATGGATTGAAAGATAGCGATGATCGAAACCGGCATATTGGCGGCGGGGGAGCGGCGTCGGCCTAAAAATGGATTTTTGCCGCCGCTGTTCCCACAATAAAACTAGCGCGCGTAGAAAATTGCGTGTATATATATTTTTTGAACAAAAGGTAGCGGCTATTACTGTGAATCACTTGCAAAAATCCCAACATGAAATCTATTTTATTGGAAATTTGAAAGTTAAATATTGATTTCAATCATGTCAATATTCCTTATATAGTATATGCACCGAAAATAGGTATTTGAAATTCTTTTTTAATGCATTCCCATAAATTCTTCAAAGGTAATATTCCACTGAAATGTCGTCTACTGTGACATTTATACATAAATATGCAATAAATCTCTCAAAACATTTGAATGTGACATGCTAGCGGTACGAAAAAAAAGGTGCGCTGTATTCATAACTATGTACAACGAATTTAATATTCCCCAAATCTGAATCGACTGCGGTTTTGTTTGTCGCATAATTTATTTACTATTTAATTCATTTCGGATAATCTATATGTGTACTATCCGTCAAGTGGTCATAATCTTGACAAATAACCATCTGCTGCAGAAAGTAAAACAATGCCGAACGCATGAACGTGCATATAGGGAAACTAAAAGGCAACAACAAATAAATAAAAAATAAACATGCCGGGAGGCTGCGCCAAAAACAGAACGAAGACACGAAACAATTATTTAAGGAAACGGAATAATTGAATAGAATTGTACTACTTTTTGCTGTTATTTGCTAACCTTTTATTTTAAGTGCTAAAAGATTACAATAGATAGGCTATAGGAATAATTGAACAACAGACAATGCATACAGTTGCGCAAGTATAATAGTATAGCTTGCGAAAGTCATTTAAGGTAATTAGAACGGTTAGACAAACCTGCCACTCAAAGCGATATCGCTGTTTTTTTTTTCGAAAAATAATGAGCATTTTGTTGTTAGGGTTCCGTTATTATGTTAAAATGAATTTTTTAGCAAAATGGAAATTTTGTGAAAAAGATAAATACTTTGGAAAACTGTTTTTTTAATGTTCAATATAAAATGTATACTATTTGTTGAGTATAACCGGATTTGAAATATTTGAAAGAGTGCACAGCATAAATGGCAGTGTTTTAATCCCATTATCACAGGCAATAAACTTATTAAACCCATCAATTTTTTAAAGAACACAGTCTTGAAAAAAGGCAGAAAACGGGAAATAATAAAGAAAATGTCATTTTTTAGATTTCTTTTCTAAAATTCAATTTGAAAAATTTACTTAAAAAAACCTAATTTTCAGTCAGCAGACTTCGAGGAAAAAAACAGCCTATAAGCAACTGCTTCGCGAGGCAACTGACATTGAAAATACTACGGTACAATTTACTCCAAGAATCCATGAAAAAAAAATACAACTTTTTTTTCTAAACACATGTTTCCAAAAAAATTGTTTATGCAAATTGTTTGTTTCCGGCTCCAAATGCAACAAAAACGTTGACGGAAAACATATTTCTTCGGGGTATTTTTCAAAAAAAAAAGAAATAAATCTTGACTTGTTTAAATGTGGAAATAAAGGCAATATATTCAAACAATCATTTCAAGGAATTAATGCAAATATGATGACCACGTAACACTCAAATCATTATTAAATCTAGCTGTACACCGAAATCAGTTTGTCATAGGTGTTCTCGAATCCATTTTCAATTTTCTCGATGCTCTCTCCGGCGTCCCAAACCACCTTCTCTTTTGGGATTTCGTCGACTTTCAACGGCTCCTCATTATCCAAAAGGGTTTTCGCGTTGTCGGCTTGTAAAGCGATTCGCAGTTTTTCCCTCTCTTGCAAGCTAAACGAATTATGCCAATTTTTAAGTATATTGAATTAGTCGAAAAGCTTACTTGTACCATACACTTCCTCCATATTTGGTGCAGGGAATATCGGCGGCTTTTGCGATCATGTGCTGCACACGAAGGGCAAATTCAACATTTCCCTCATCTGGCCTTCTTCGTTGAACTTCTACAAAAATTTATATGAAATGATAGTTTCAGGTTTTTTTTCTGAAATACCAAGATATTGAACGTCATAAACCACAGCCCAACTAGTCATCACACGGAACAAATACATGTGGAATTTGTCCTCATGCCAAAAGCCATCTCCAAACTCCGGAGTTTGCCTGCAATTATAAAATTGCATGGTTTAAATAATGGACAGCACACTTGATTGCAATTGGGTAGATGTTTACACCATCTTCAAAAATCGCTTTTCTAAATTGAAGCACCTGACAATTATTAGAGCAATATCCTTCAGGGAACAACAATACTGGTCCTTCTTCCTGAAAATATTAAAATAAAACAAATTTACAGTATATTTATATAGCTCACTTTTGCAATATTCAAAACCTCTGTCAGAAAGCATTGCCTTTCATTGCTATTTTTTCTTTCCAGCCATAACGATGGGCATAATTTCTCGACAAGATACTCAATGACTCCTATAAATCACATTTTTCATAATTTTTTTAATCTGAAATAATTTTGCACCAATGATTCCATTATGTTTTTGACCCGTCACTACAAATCCGTATGAGCTTCCGTGAGGTGTTCCAGAGAACAAAATCTGGATGTCATTTGGTGTCAGGTGGTTCGCGACAGCCACTCCTGAAAATGTGTATTTGCTGATAGAACATTCGCGAGCACTTAAAAACTCAGAAAACAATCAATTTGAAACGAAAATATTTTTAAAAACAATGTGGACTAAAAATTTAACTTATATGGCCGAACTTTAAAAATATTTTTCGGTCATTCGTTCGCGGCCACACTAATTAGTTTAAAATTTTTTATTTTTATTTACTTTTCAAATTGAATTTCAATTTCGAAATACAGGAAAACGCTTTCTTTTCTAGAAAATTTGCCACATTCTTTTTCGAAAAAAAATTTTCCATTAAACCAAACTCCAAAATGTTTATTTTGGGGAGGTTTTTGATAAGAATCGGCACGGGAAAACCATGTGTACTCATACGATAAAACCCATTTCCATGCTGATTATATGTACTTTTATAGACATGATGATTTCAGAATTGTGTTTGATTACCTGGCCGCTTCGGCCGATTTTCCGGATTTCTGAACACCGCCACAAGTCCCATTCCACAACAAAACAATCGACAGTAAATGATCGCCACCCACGTCTTCTCAACATTTGTTAATGTCTGAAATTTTGATAGTTTAAACCTATTATCACTGAAATCACCTTGAAAGCTGAGATTACAGCAGCGATCGATACAAAAAGAAATGATGAAATCAGAAGAGAAATTCGCACAGGAAAGAGGAATGAGACCCTAAAATATTTTGATTGTTTGATTAATCCCACCATTTGTCCTTTCCTGAAGATAAGACCAAGGTAGAACAATGAACATTGTACTTTGTTCCAGTCTTTCGACGGCCGGAAGCGCAACAGCGTCTCATATCTGATCTTCGCTGTCTCAAAAGCGGTTCCGAAATCGTCCTACAAATGGTAATCAATTTCATCATTGTTTATCGATCAGCTTACTTCGATTATTGAACTTATTCCGTTTTGAACGGTTTTCATTGGAAGAGAAATGATGTCTTCCGACTGATCATTGTTCTAAATGACATAAATGATGTTTGAAATGAAATCGACAAAACCGGTTTCTTTGACCAGATTTGAGGTGTGTTGATATTTGGAAAATTAACTATGATTTATTATAGCGGGTCCAGAGAACAGCAGAAATAAAAAAAAATTGAGATCAAATATTGACATGTTGGCTACAGCAGCTTCAAAAAGCCATCACAAAATACGAGAGACTTACTGTAGTCGATGATTCATATCGTTTCAGTGGCATTGACAGAGGCTTGGGAAAATGTTGTTGGATGTTCTTGACTAAACGCAGGTACAAATGCGGCAATTGTCCCCAACTGGAAATCATTTCAAAACTCAGCTAATAGAAAACTCTATGTAGGTCAAAACTCACCTCAACCCGCAGAAAATGAGAGTGACAGTTGCGATGAATGCACCGGACACAATGGAAAGGTAAAAATAAACCAAGAAAAGAATCAGCATTTCTGCAACGACAAAAAAAATAATGGAAGAGTGCGTCGTGAAAATCAATAAAGAATGGGAATGTAGCGGCGTGGTCTGCCGGCCGGCCCAGACAAGGCAAGGTTGACAAAATAAATATAAAATTGCAATTTCATATTGAATCGAAAGTCGATGGAAATCAGAGAGGTTCACAGCGTGCTTTGATACCAACATCCGTTTCATTGACAGAAAAAAAATTTGTTTGGTTCAAAGATCAGAAATATATTAGATCCAAGTGACCCTTGGATGCGACGAAACAGATAATGGCAAGGTGGCGACGGGTACCACGCCTGTTCACCAAAACACTACGCCAAATGGTGAGAGTCTAGATGTGAGTGACAAACGATCAGAGATGTGTTAATGAAACTAGAAAAAAAAAATTTAGTTGAACGTTTTTTTATCGCACCTATTAGCGGTGATATTTTATGGCAAAACGTATATGCTAATGTTATCTTCGGGAAAAAGCGCGTGTAAAATTGACCCATAAAAACCCTGGTTATTGGTTTATAAATGCATATTAACAAACCAAATGACGATTAAATTTCAGGAAACTTTTGTGTTTGACCTGAGATAGCTAGAAGAAACTTCTCGCGAATAATCGAATTGACCGATTTATCAACAATTAATTTTTCAAAGCTTAAACGGAGAATGTGGAACGAAGTATTACCCACTCAGTATCGACGCTGCAATATAAACAAATGTGGAATGGAATAAAAACCAAAAACAAGGAATTCTTAGCGATTGGGGAAAGGCTGAGAAAAATATTTACCATTTGAAATTTTCTAAACAAATAGATGGCTCAAAATATTATTTTTGAAAATCATGCAAATTTTTGATATTATTTTTGATCAATTTCTAATTTTTGCCATCATAGATCAATGCATGTTCTTTACTCGAATCACAAATGTGAAGGGTCAAATAAAAGTAAGCGATTGTGAAAACAGAAATCGCTGTGTTTGCTTTGCCATCATACGGTTTTGAATTGCCCGTTGGCTGAAAAAAAGCAAAACCGAAACAATAATGGTTGTGACTCAGTTTTTCTTTTAAAACGTGTTTTGTATGGTAGTCTTATCATATTGTTTTGGACCGTTAATTCGATAAATATTTGTGTTTAGCACCAAAATGCATTTAAATAATAAGAAGCAGGTAGCAAAAAATTTCGAGAATGATTTGATTAAAACCAGGCAACTAAGACATTGTTCATTTTATTCAATCTTTTAATTGCTTTAATTTAATAATTAACCAAATTACAGAACATTTTTAATGTTTCTTTTAATAATTTCATATTGAGACTGCTCTAATATAAAACGATAGAACCATAAGGAAACCCCATTTTTTTGAAACTATTTAAAAATGAGCCCACTTTTTATAGCCTTGTAAAAGTTAATTCAAACCAATGGTCCAACGTATTATTTCATCCTTAATGTTAATTCGATTTTGAAAAAATCTAGGCTCTTATTATAATTCGAATAATTAAATTTATTATTATTCTAATTGTTATGTTAATGCATATATGTACATTTAAGTACATTTATCAGGTTGCAATGTAGTTCATTTCGTTTCTCCCTTTGGCGAGTTTTTCATTGCACATTGCAACAAAGTTGTTGTACCTGTCTCTGTGAACTGATGGAAAAAATCTGAAATGATTCTGGCTTTCAATTCAAACTGGACGACTCACCCTGAATTGGCGTACGCCGTTCTGGCTCTTTTTGCGTATCCAATCGCGGCCATTACGGGAATTGGAAATAATGTCGAATCATTGGGAGATTTACGCGTGAAACACAAATGAAATGTCATCTCTTCCAGCTCTTCCAATGTTTTTCCCGGCTCATTGTAAACTAACGTGTATTTCGGGGTTTTGGAGGTTGACTGCAATTTTGTATAAACTTATAGAGAGTATTTCGTTATTATTCTATACTTGTGCAGACTCGTGAGATGACAAGAAGAACTCATTATACAGCGGATTGACCATGGTTTTGTCGACTACTGTTCCACGATCAATGTTACCAGTATCGTTTGCGCGCTCGCGTTTTGGGGTCTGATATTCAGACTTCAGATAATTATTATGAAAAAAATGCTAACCAATTTAAAAAGTCGCTCAATGTGGTCTTTCGAAACAAAAAACAACGTTAGCTTAATCGTTTCGAGAATTTGCAATTCCACAGCTTCACATACTCTCTTTATATACCTTGTGTACTTATCAGCAACCTAAACAAATTTTATGTTTAATTTAGCAAACATCAATATAGCTTACAATAGGCCAATGGCTTTCTGGAATTCCATTAATGTAAATAATTAATTCATTCGGTTTTACACCATTATGAAGTGAAGTTCGAATAATTTCAAGAAGCGCTTCCGCGATAGCTGGCCCGAATTGCTAAAGAAATTGAGAATTGTTTTTTTAATGTATAATATGTTACATCGTCATCCTTTTTGACGTACATAAAGCCTCCAGCAAACATAAATCGATCTTCAGGGAAGACGTTTGCCGCGTAGCCAATTGTATATGGAGTCTGAAATGATCTAATCATTGATTTTCATCTTTAAGTAATTGTTACGTTCGTGTGGAAATTCATTTGCTTGGTATCAATTCCAATATAGCAGCATTTGCTGTTCGACAAATGTGGACTGAAAATTGTTATCGTTACGTAGTTTGCGTCCGGCGGGTGCTGCACGCGAAAATTTTACGAAAGCGCCTTTCGAAAATGTCTCGGCACACGTGAAGGTTTGTTTTTAAATTTTCACGTGAACTGTTCAACTTTCGCCAGACTTTTTTTTCAATAATTTTTACCTTTTAATTGTGTGATAGTTAAAACCACCATTTTTCAAGTTGATCTATAAAGGAACTGAATTTCAATTGAAATTTATTTAAAAATTCACCCTCAATGTTATGTTGTCAAATATTCTTCCAGCAGATTCCATGGCCAACGACCCTCGGCATTCTTCAGTTATTATATCATATTTTTCTGTCATTCTTTTGATGGAACCACGAATATTCAGATTCTCATTGACAACAATTATGATAAATGAGACCCCCCTTTGTTTCGCTATTAAAAAAATGTTCTGAAAATGTCATTCATATAGCAGTTGTATTTGGTATAGACAACATCTAACGTCACATCGCTATATCTTTGAATCTCAATCTCGCCTGGCGTTAGTGCTCTGATTCCGCATCGCATGAACGATGAAAGCAATGATGGCACAAATTTCCTTTTTGGGGTTTCAAGAAAAACTATCCACCAATTTTTCAAAGTGACGGGATAAAGCAACTTAGCAGACGTCGTGTGAATCTAATAATATCATATTATAAATACTACATTTGTTATTTTTTTATAACCGAAATTGCCGAATCGGGGACTTCAATTATCGGCTCTGTGAGTTTTCGACTTTCAACTTTCATCGAACGATGACCAATTTTCCAAAGACCATAGATTGTCTCAATTTGTCGATTCATTTTTAAATATGTATACGTCATTCCTATTTGTTTCCAACGTTCGGCTGGTGTCATTGTCGCTTCCTAAATTAAATGATAACGCTCAGAATGTTTGTAGTTGCGTTTACCTTTACGACATCTCTTCTCTCTCTTTCTGTAAGTTGATAGTCCGATACCGGTTGGTCTTCGCAAACAGTCAAAACTTCAATCGGAAACAATCCAAATGTATTACCGCATTTTGCCTTTACGGTCATCAAGTGCGGAAATGCTAGGGTAATACCATATTTCCTTTTATAATATGTTTGAACATCAACGCGTCCGAAATGCGGACTATGAAATTCGGAGAGCTTTGAACTGGCTGGGGGTCCAAAGCCTTTGATCACAACGACTGGAGCATCTTTCAGAAGCGTTTTCGACTTCTGATGAAACACATAACAAGACATGTTGAAAACTTGTTTTAGAAGATATTTGGCTGACGAGCTGGTGAAGGGAATATCATAAAGAGCGTTAGTTAAATCTCGAAGTTTATCGATGAGTGGTTGAGAACCCAGATGAAACAATGTTTTTTTAACTGAAACAATTAATTCAGCCAACTTTCCCTAATTGATGTTACCATCAATGACAAGGTATAATTGGGGAGTCTGCCGATTTTCCAAAGTCTTGATATTCACTGATAATCCCGTTCTCATGGTTTTGGATCGGTATTTTAGCATAAAGTGCCTAGAAATTTGAATATTCTTCTTAGCAATAGAGCAATGTTGCTTACACAATATCGTCTGAATTGATCACATAATGAACCGAGTTATTAACAGTGGCGACATCTTCATTTATTATTAACCTATGCGAAACAATAACACGAAGAGCTTCAATGAGGGATTTTCCAGCAGGAGACGGATCTTTTTTCGCAGTTTCTCTTATTGTTTCATCGTCTACATTTATCGATTTATCATATAATAATTCAACGATGACTTTTTTAACGTCAGGATCACTTGTAACTTCCTCAACCGGAACATTGATTCCATACTAAAATTCACGATTTGCATTACATATATTCATTTAACAACCAGTAGAATAACCTTGTTCTCGTTTAATTTCTTCAACGTGTAAAAAGATGATTGCTGATCGTAAAAATATCTGGTAATACCATTACAAGAATGGGCGAATGCTTTAACAAGGAATCTCACGGAATTTTGACAATACCGTTTTCTTTGTTTTAGTTCGGCACTGAAACTCATATGAGTAGTTAAATGTATACAGTTCTGTTAACGAGCCTGTTCGCGGCGCCTTTCGAAACAAATTTATAGTATTCTCCATCATGACCGTTTTTGCCACAAATGAAAAATACATTGACACTGTATTTATAAAGAATAACATCTCGTTCTAATTCTATAAGGATTCGGTGAAAAATATTATTTTAAACTCAAATACTCACCTATCTTTTTTATATTAGTTCCACAAAGTTTTGATTCGCTTTTCGATGTTTTATTATTCATATCTAGCTGAAATTGATTTTTCTCGTTTCTATTTCCACCTTCGATTGGATTCTGATCATGAATGTCCTTTTCAGTGTCTTTTTCTAAAAAAAAATGTTTTAATTAATAGGGTTGAATTGGCGGTATATCTTATAATCGACGTACTAACTATTTGAATAGATCATGCATTTATTATATTTCAGAGAGCAATCGAATTTTGTGGGTTGCAGCATCAATGAACATTATTAAAAATTTTGTATAAGATCAAAAATGACCGTTTGAACATCAAAATGTAACCAATTTGTCAATTTCGTGCAATATTTTTATATGATTGAAAATAATAATAATAGAAATTACCTAATTTTTCAGCACGTGTCCTACATTTCAAGCTTTTATTGAAATCAATATTGCGCATCCTCTTTGCAATGTCTTCCAGAGAACGCAGACTGTCCACAATTTGCCGCTCGTCGTTGGAAGTGTTTCCAGATTCCATTGATTTTGTCTCAACCATATTGCATTGAAAATTCATGTCTGAACAAAAAATCAATGTGAAACCCATTTGAATAGACAAAAGGAACGATTTCCTAATCGAGCAACGAAAGTCCGTGAAATGAATTGGATGGAATACTTCGATTAGTCGTAAAATTTATGCATAAATAAAAATATTAAAAGAGCACTGGAGTAAACTCAGTACGAAATCTAACCCAAAATGGATTTCAAAAAAAAATCGACAAATCCGCGGAGTCGACAGAGCCGGCCAATGTCATCCGATGACACCGCGAACAATGAAAATGTGTCATCGTATTAAAAAAGACATAAATACAAGCGGAGACCAAATAGAAACGTCAGGATTTTTTTAGAAAGAAGCATATTCTCATATTTATGCAAATAAAATATTTCATATTCATTTTGTGTAAAAAATAATTTAAATATTCGCGTACTTACAGAGCAGTTGTCAATAAAGTCATTGGCTTCTGAAACATGTTGTCAAGACTGTATTAAAAATTTTTACATAAAAGTTAAAATGGATTAGTATGAATTTGATTATGCATATACAAACAAAATCCTATTTTTTTTTAAATTTCGAATGCTCTAAAATGAGAAAAAGCTATCGTAGCCTTAAGCAAAACAAAATCGGTGAGATTCAGTGAGACCAAATGATGTGACTCCGAGGTGTGGAGCACGATACGTACCCTGAATAAAATAATGTGATAAAAGAAATAAATATTAAACGTTTTTTTTTTGGCTGTTCTAGGAATGATATGGCAATAAATCTAGACGAATATTTTTTAAAACAATTTACGAATTTCTCGTGTGCTTTATAAACGATACTTGACTTTTAGTTCGTTACGCTCAAATAATCAAAAAATATCCTAAAGAATTTTTATTTTAAATAAATAATTTTTGGTTTTTATACATTTTTTAATGTATTTTTTATGTTTTGTCGGAATTATATTTATTATACCGTCATTAAATGCAATAGTTTTTTACGATATATTTGTCGGCGAATTTTCTGAATACATTATCATATGTTTATATCCAATAAAAAGTTTTTGAACGTAGAGTTGAATTTGCATTTGTATGATAGCAATCACAAAAAACGAGCACAATGTGCTGATCTGCTGTGAGTTTTAATTATAAAGATATCCGAAATACCGTTTTTCAAGGTGATCAGTTTTTCGAGGTCGATTTTTTTGCGATTGTAATGGTATTATCATCTATATTAGGAAATTTAATAGATTTTTTTCTCATTGTTTTGTCGATGGTTTTCCTTCCTGGCTTTTCCCTATTCATCCGCATATTTTAACATTTGATTTATTATTGCCTTTAAATATTTTAGAAAAGCTTTGAAATGAAATAATAATTATGCAATGATTGTATTTTCTTTAAGGAATTAATTTTCCGATTCTCTGATTAAATAACATTGTTTTCTCTATAAGGTGCCAACATCAACCCGAACATTAATTTCATTATTTCGCTGTGCTACCCAATTAACCTAATAATGAACGAAAATAACGGATATTTGTTTTTTTGCAATGAAGATATCATGTACCTTCAAAGTCATTAAATCCAACATTTTTTGAGCATTTTAGTTTTTTTCCGGTGGACACCAAACAAAACCATAATTTTCTTTACAATTAGCAATTATAAAAATAAGCTTTTATTTTTAAAAAAATCTGCCGGTGAATAAATTAACTCAATCTCGTTTCTAGAGAATCACTCAAAGCACCAAGCATTTTCGAGACTGATCTGCTCCTCTTCTTCCTTGGTCAAATCATTCTTGATATTGAAGGTCTGGCGAATTTCCTCAGGAGTTTTTCCTTTGATGAGCTGAGCGATAGCCTTGCAGCTTGCATCCAATAAGCTTTGAACGTCCATATAATTGGCCGCCTAAATATCGAAAAATTTGAAATAATCCATGGGGGTTTTTTGCCACCGAAACAAGCTCGAAAAGAATTGGCTGCTCAACTCTGAAAAACTCTTCCTCCCATTTCTTTTCCTCATCGCTCATGTCAGCTTCCTTCTTCGCGTTCGAAGGCGAATCGTTTTGATGTTTTTCGCACCAAACGAGAACCAAGCGCAATATCTCGGTTGGCACGTTAAGAAGAGGAATTGTCTCTTCCGCATTTGATGAGTCCATTCCAAGAGCATCAAGTAAGTTTCTAACGGTGCGTGATTGGCTAATGACCTTGTGGGTGACCTGAATTACAATGTTTGAATGATTTTAATCAAAATCTATTACTTCAAACCGATGGCCTTCCGACGATTCCAGTTTAATAATGCGCTGCTCGCCGCTTGTTGACGCCGCCATCGTGCGTTTATCAGTAATAGAGATATTCAAAGCAAATGAATGAGTGGCAACAGGGCAAAAGCTGAGCGATTCGTGCGTGAAATATTCAGAAATAATACGTGATAGAGAAACGATAGGCGATAAAGAAGGAACGCGCCTGCGAAGATGTGCTTTTTGTATTTCCAGAAGAGAGAACGAGAGAGGGGGGGGGGATTAGAAAAGAGAGAACGAGAGAGAGCTACACCGCCCCAGATGAAAATAGGCAAGCTCACCGAATTACAGCCATTGGCCAGACGCTTTGCATGCGTATTAAGTTATAGGAACAGACGGCGTGGTGTGTTGGCTGCGGGGAGGCTGATGAAGAGCGAAATATGTGGAATATTGATCTTTTACCGCCTCGAACGTGCCGGAAAGGAAATTGGCCGAACATGGTCAGAGAACAAGGCAAAAACAAAGACGGCGAGGCCTAGTTTAGTTTAATTTTGAATCGGAAGTTCCTTCTTGTATACAAAAACATTTCAAGATTTTTAGATTTCTAGACAAAGCATCGTGCTAAAATAGGAAATGAGAAGAACGAGAAAGTATTGTAGATTTTCTTTCACGTTTTGACGAAATATGAAATGATTAAAAAAAATTTATGCATACAATTAATAATTATGGCAAGAAATAATTGAGAGTTCACTGGGAAATATTCGAATTCAACGCCAAACTGGGTGATCACGTGGAAAATTTTCCGGATTCCAATGATTTTCGCGCACAATTTCTTCCAATTGTTCAGTCGTGAAATCATTCTCAACCTCCAAATTTTGTCGCATTTCTTCAATTGTGCGATTGCGAAGAAGTTCGGCAACCACTCGCGCTGACATTTTGATGAGCGGAGGAAAATTCAAGTAAAATGCCGCCTGAAATAATGATGTTTGTTTTTCGGCAAAATTTGAATGAGTGGTTACTTCAAAAATTGGTGTAATGTATCTCATGGTTATTCCAATAATGGAAAGATCGCGTTGTGTAAATGGCAAAGTGTCATAATCAGTGTCTGGTGGATCATTTTCATGAGTTTGAATCCAAATAAGAATGAGCTCCATTTGGAGCGATTGGACGTTGTGTAATTGAATTGGATCTTCGAGTGGATTTCCCAAACTCAGGATATCTTGTATGAGCCCAAATCTTGATGCTAAGCTACGTGGCAACTGAAAAAACATAATTGGGTTATTTCTGGCTGATTTCAAGGACAAAACCGGGTAGAGTTTATAATCCTGCGTGACAAGATAGACGATTGGATCGTCCCTTGGATCTAGCGGAGCCGTCATAATCACCCTGAAACTAATTCAATTAAAACATTTCAAATACAGAATATGGTCTCGAATTTTTGGTTATAAGACTGATTACTCTTCCACGTGTATCATATTTCAGAATACCAGATCAACAATTCTTTTTTTCTAATACCATTCAAAACCATTGAATACAAATATTAATAAAATTTAATATTTGGTCCTTTTTTAGGAAAAAAATCTGCAAATATGACGTGTGTGTTTTCAGTATGCCGCTTTCTTTAAGACCGCCAATGTTTTTAATACAAGTAAAGTATCGTGAATTAAATATTTTATTTCTAGTCAAACGCCAAATGAATTATATAACAGTTTAATTTTGTAACCTACTTATTTGTTTTTTTTCTGTAATCTACATATATAAAAAGAAAATCTTCGTTCCACAAATGTCAAAACAAAAAAATGATCAGCATCAATTTCTTTTGTTTCTATTGTTTTTCATATTAAAATTGACTGAAAACGTTGAACATTGGAAAAGAAACTTGATAAGAGAGAAAATAAAAGAGAAACATGAAAATCTTGTTGTTGATGAAGAATCAGATAAGACGACGTCAAATGCGCCAATATCTTGTACCTAGCGTATTTTTCGAGCGGTTAAAATTATTTTAACTACTATCAAACGCTTTATTTAATGAATTACTTCATAGATATTGAATTAAGTGTGAATGGAAATCTATCATTAAGATTTGATGTATATTTTTTTTTAATTCGTTGGAATAAAAATTCGGATGTCAAATAAAGCGTCAGTATACTGCCACTGGCGTCTTTTTTGTGGGTGCTTTGTAAATCCACAACATCTTCAATCATTATTCTAATATAAGCATTCTACACATGCGTTTTATTATCAGATAGAGATTGTAATCCATTTCTATAGTAAACCTGAACTTTAGTTTCACATAACCAATGAAATAGCCATAGTACAACCATTTTATTGAAATTACTTATGTGTTATAATTTATTAATATACAGTATTTTACAAATACAGAATGTATGCATTTAGAAGGACAATTTTCCGTCGTTCATCGCCTCGAATCTGGCCATGTCGAGAGGCTCTGAATCATCAGTTCTTCCGGACAGATCGAAAAGCTTGGCGAAAGCCACGCGTCCAGCATTGTAGACCAAGTAGTTACATGAAATATCGCGAAGATAATTGAGCTGCAAGAATTTGGCAGCCTAAAAAAGTTATTGTGAATTAAAATATTTCTTTGAAAATCGAGAGATTACCATGATGAGTTCGAACAGAATCGCCTGTTTTGACGGCATGATAGACGCGTCGAATGGATCGTCAAGTCCCTTGTATTGCCCGGAAGCTCCGCGATCGTGCGACGCCGGGATGTTCTCCGTGTGATGACGCTGACACCATTTCATAATGATGCGCAACGTTTCGGCGCAGACGTGCTCCAGACGAATTGGCTGTGTTACTTCACATACCTTGTCCTCGAAGCCATGCTCGACCAGGAAATCCTTGACCGTCTTCGAGATGATAATCCACTTTTGTGGCATCTAAAACCGAAGGAATAGAATTTGGTCTACTTAATTCTCACCTCAATGATCTCATTATCTCTAGTATGGAACTTGATGATGCGTTCGGAGTTGTCGACCATCGGAGCAACGTCATGAACTGAACGGCTTTCCATCGTCTAAAAATAACTCTCTTAGTGTAAAAATCGATGGGAGGGAACTGTGTTGATATCGAGACCAGCATGTGGCTGATAACAAAAGAACTCGTCCGAAAAATGTACATGAATTTTTATACGAAGGGCCTAGGCAAGGCACGCATATCACAATGACATAAAATTGGGCAGAGCCATAACGTGTTGATATCGATTTAGAGGCGTGAAGCCGGCAGGGCCAAATTGGCATCGAGGCGATGTTTTGAAGAGACTACAGCATAACCTGCACATCTTACTATTGAGTTTTTCGTAATAGCATTAGTCGACCAGATGGTGGAGTCAGAACGAGCGAAAAACGGAAATTAAACGAGGTTCACCACCCAAAAAATAACGCAGAAGGATATGACGCGCGCGTAGAGCCTTCAATTTGATGTCCAATATTGGGAGGACCAACCAGCATTGTATTTATTGAGATTCAGAGATTAAAAAAAATATATCTTAAACTGAATTCCTAGAGCTGAACGTCTTCATGACATTACTTCAATATACTCTTGAAATGTCTGTTCAATTAATCATCGAAATTTTATAAGAAGGCTAATGATTCAAAAATCTTGCATATCAATTGGTCTAAACTGTTACGAAGTTTTTCGCGGCAATCGTTTCCTCAAAGTAGAAAAAACGGCCATTCGCATCGTTAACTAGCTTATAACGTAACACACGCAATGATCCAATTTGGGAATGAACAGACATTCAGGTCTCGTTGCGTTTTTTTAGCACTGAGTTAGTCTCGAATCGTATTGATAATGCGTTGCGGCGGGTGGCATTCAAAACAGGCACCTGATTATCTTTTAAGTTTTATAACCAAAAAAACCATGCCCTTATATAAGACCGACGATTCATAGTCGCATTAGGCATTCCTCGAACAATGGCATCGCTGAACCACGCCATTCTTATTTCATTATTCGTTTGCAGTTGCACTGGTCTCCAAGAGACGTTTGATCCAAAAGCTGTTGATATATTATTACGGGAAATTCGTTCGAGGCTTCAACAGCAAGAATTGGACCGGCATCCTGAATTAAAAACGACAACACCGGCGGCAGCGGAAGAAGTGAAGAAAAATGAGATCGATGTGGAAGGCTCCGGATCGGGCGAAGAGATTGTTGAAGGATCGGGTGTTGGTGATGAAGTGTTCCCAACACCTCAACCAATTTTCGACAAGGCTGGAAATTTCAATGACAAGGAAGAATTGGAGACGCTGACGCTCACAAAACTCCACAAAGAAGCCCCCACAACTATTCAAGGTAGATGCTTTCGTATTGCATTTATTTCAAATTAATCATTTGCTTCAGAACACTACAAACAAAATCCAGTCGGCACCCTTCAAATGTTGCAAGGTCTTGATATCCATGGTAACTTGATATTCCCACATCAATTCGTATATATCATTTTCAGGATCATCGGGTGGCTATCATCGAGCACTTTCCGGCGGCTACCTTCCTCCACAAACCTATGATCCGTACAATGTGAACTGGCACAGCTATGGTGAAGAGGGTGTCAAAATGAAGGATAAAGCGATTGATGTATTCCGAAGAGTTCTCCGGCCAAACGTTTAATAAATTTGTGGTTGCTATATAATATTTTGTGTTTGACACAATTAATAAAGAGTTCGTTGACAGTTTGTGACCTCGGGCGATGAACATCGCCGATAGAAAAAAAAAATCAGATAGGGCGACCTTTTGATAGAGTTACTTCATATCTTCGAATTTTAGGTTGTATGTCAAATGACGTCAAGAAGATACAATGATATCAGATATGTAATTCTACAATATATTTCAAATTTTGTATGTACACTATAATGTACGAAGCTTTTTACGCCGGAGAATACATGGTCAAATATTTAATTCATTTTCAAGTCCTTCAATATCTGATTTATCTACGAAAGATGGTAATCGTTTAAGGCACGCATTGGATACACAGTCAACGTCATTCGTCGAATACGTATAAATTAAAGTTGTTTTGATGGATTGTGCAAACAAGACAAATGCTTCTTTCGGTTTTATTTCAAGCGGTGCTAATGAATTTTCCGAATCGCAGAATAGAATGATGTGAATTAGCTACTGGATTGATAGCATTATTGTGGTTTGATTTACTTTTGGTGTTTACAAGAGAAGAATAGAGAAATTTACTTGTTTCAAATATTTATAAGAGGTCTTACATCTTCTTTAAAAAACATTTATTTGATAAAAAGCCAAACAATAAATTATTGAATTCATTAAATGAGAAATTTGGCAAAAATATAGATGACACCCAGAAGGTTTTGAGGAATCGTTTGAGATGGGAAGATAAGAATAAAAAAATGATAAACTAGAAAATTAATAAAACGGCTTTGGGTTCGGATTCTTCGTCTTTACCAATAAAATATCATCGATATGATAGATCCATTTGCCCTCCCTTTTGTTCAGTTCATAAGCCAATTTTCGGTTGCGGCGTAGAATTTTTTCCTCCTCTTGGGTTAGGTCTCTTCGTGCTCGCGGAATCTCCAATGGTGCCACCGCTCTTGCAGCTTTTCGGAATTCCTTCAAGAAATGATTCCTGTCAATGTCCGATTTGAATTCTACTATCAATAGTCGCTGCCTAAGATGAACTTTGTCCCAATAAATCCTTTCGTGTTTGATGCCTATCATTTCGCATACATCTTTCACAAACTCTTCTAAAAAAATACGAACAATACTAGCATATTCAGACATGGAAAAAAAATAATTTTCTTACTGTCGGAAATCCGCTGATTTTCACATTTGGTATCCTCGAGATTTTCAATAACCGCTCTACGACTTTTATTGATCATTTCGGCAACTTTTTGCGCCAATGCAATATCGGTTGGCACATAGTTGATAGCCGTTACTTCATCAGTATTGCTCATTGCTTTATATTAACTGGTAGAACACGAATACAAGAATAGCAGTTGGTGGTACTATTCCTGAAATAATGACGGATAACGACATACGACGTATATTTAAGGCGTGTCCAAAACCAAGAGAGTCGGGTAATATAAGAGAGTCGAAGAAAAATGTGCAAGCAATGACATACGCATAATTAGGATATGCGGAGACGGTGAATTCTGGAGGGTTCTAATTTTGAGAGTGCATGTGCAAGGTGCATCGAAAGCTGTGTAGGTGCTCTAATGTCAAACTCCTCTCTTATTAGGAATTATTGCCCAACTCATATCGTAGGCCACCTTTTGATTAAATCTCGTTGGCCACCATATAATTATGAAACCCTCAATTTATGTATGAAATTTTCAATTTGACATTCGAATTTTTAGGGCAAAAGCAAAGAGCCAAAAGTGGTAAAGCAGATGTTGAATAACCAATGAGGGACTTTATTGAAGAGCGAGAACTCATAGAGCTCATACTTTGGTTTGAATCTAATAGGGTATCACATATTGAAGAACAGCCTATTTTCCTTCTTTGATTGGGGAACTATTATTTTTCAATTATGAGATCTCAGCCAATAAATATTTTCGAACAAAATTGTTTTGAGAATTTTTTCAAAAGTCGATATGAATTCGAAAAATGTCTACATAGAAAAATGTCAAGAATTTCTTGCGAAATTCTCGATGATATTCGAAGAATTTCTCGACAAATGTTCGAGAAATTCTCGAGAAAAATGTGAACACACAATGAAGAAAAATTGCAGACGGCGCAACAAATTTGACGAGATTATTTAAGATTACTTTTTTTCCGAAATTATTTTCCTATCGGTGACGGTCTCCAATTTGCCAAATCACTTTAGATATACGTATGTGTAATTTTATTGTCAACTGAGTATCAAACTCAAATGCCAACTTCTTTCAACTTTTTTTGGACTATTCATATATTCGTTTATTGTAAGTCATGTCAAAATCAATTTTTGGGTTGCTTTACACGAAACAAAGAGGGAAAATCAAATTCGTTTAATTTCCGCAATGTAGAAAGAAGAAGCTCAAATAATGCATAAGAAGCACAATCACAATTAATCAAGAATATTCGAGATAATCGAACCGTTTTGCTTTAAAATTCATTGAATATTTCTCGGCGAATCCTCGAGGATTTTTTGTCGTTACTGTTTGAAATTCTTGAACCCTTTCAAAGAAAATTTCCCGAATATTTTTTCCAAAAATGCTTGAATATTTTTTCAAAGGCTTAGATTGATCTCAGCATCTGGAAACATATTCGATTACATAATATAAAAATTAAACTTTATTCGAATAGATTTTGATTTTCAATTTTTTAACATTGAATTGTAAATTTCACAAGGACAATGTGAATTATTTCTTTGTCATATTCAAAAATTTTCTATGTTTATAGAGTATGGGATATTTAAAGAAAACGGACGCTATACTCAAATAACCAATAAAATGTAGGCGCTTGACGAAAACAAATTATTGATGAAGCTTTGGAGAAGCATAGAAAACATTGCTCAAAACATTAGAATAACTCCGTATTCTTGGGTTTTTAAATTATATATAGATATATATGTTGATTTATTCACGTTGGAGCAATATTTACAAAAATTGAGTGATACAACAAAAAACTTTTCTAGCAAAACGAACAGTTTAATTTTTTCTTGAAATAACAGTGAAACAAATCCCTTTTTATAAATAGTCTTTCATATTTTTCATATTTCTGGGAAAAATCTTATTAGCACGATCTTTGAAAGAAGCTTTACCTATGTCTGAAAATAATCCTCTTATATTATTAGCTCTCACTTTTTTGCCCTACCGTAATAGGCTTATACTGGTTTTTGTTCACTAAAGTAATGGGTGTTTTTTTTTCTTCCTTTCCTTTCGAAGACATCTCGAAGTAACCTTGGATATTTGGATGACACGTTGTCCACTTCCCTGTTCGAACGATGTTCAAGGCCGCTTGGCTACTAAAGCAAGAGTAGGTTTTATCATAAGAATTGAAGTTGTCTAGTTCCTTATTGTACTAGTAAAGTACCTGAAGCTCAATTAAGACTATTTATGAAATGAATACCCCTCGCGACATGAATGTTCAAACAAATTGGAGGAAATGTGTAAATAGTTTCGAAAATGTGTCTTCCAAGTTCCACCACTTATGTATTTCAAATGAGAGGTTACACAACGAAATTAGTAGAATGAAAAGCGATGGAGAATTGTGTTAAAACCAATATGAGGCAAGGATCCAATTTGCAAATGTTACATTGAAAGGAATTCAATTTATATGAATTTTTGGAATACGTCGAATTCAGTTAAAACCCAATTCCGGGAAACGCATATACAATAGCATGTTATTATTTTTAAAATGTGGACTAAAATTGGTTGAAAATATGAAATAGTAATAGTCTAGAACGACTTGAATCAAGGGTAATGATGCGAACACACAGGATCTTTTCTTATCATCTTGATAAAAAGTAACAATGTTGCAAGAAAGGTCAACCCTGGATACGACGACATATTTTTCTGGAAACCACTAATTAATCATGCTAAAGTGTTGCTAAAACATAAAACATGGACCATCTTGGTCTGTGCCTAAAGATTTTTTCAATGTTAAATACATTTTATTAGAAATATTTTCAAAAATTAATATCTATAAATTTTGAATTTCAATTTCTGGTGAATGAAACAGGGCAATTTCTTATAATTTTTTTCATAGTCTTAGATTCTTACAAAAAATACATATTTTATTTTAAAGTAATTGAGAAAGCTTTATATAAATGATCCGCTTATTCGGTTAAAATTTGTATAGTTAATACGACAACTCCTGCATATTATTGAGGATAATAGGCACGCGGAACTTGTGTTTTTTTACCATTTGTGATCGGCAACTAATTATGTAATTATCTGGATTTTTAATTTATTTCCTTGTATTCTATTGATTTAAAACTCGTTGATTCTATTAGTATTCAAGATTTCGAGAAATATCTTTCGCATCAGATCAGATTTGGTTGTGTTGTGCGATCAAAAAACGCACGCTATCGAACATCTCTTGTTGTCAATTTCCCTCCATTGCCAAATGCAAATCATCTCCGAATGGGCAGTTTGACCTTCAGTTCAGTATCTCGTCGCACCATTATTTTTTTGCGCCACCCTGAATGCTTACTGACAGCTAAACTCCGCCTATAATCTCCCCCATAGGAAACTAGTATAAATAGGGAGCGGTTTGCTATGGAAATCATCAGCAGCAATGTTTGAGGAGAAGGTTCTAGTTGGAGTCGCCTCGGTGTTCTCGACGCTCGCCGTCGTCGCCGTCCTCATCGTTGTACCATCGTTATACAACACCATCAACGAGGTGCACGATGAGGTGCTCGATGGAGTTCAAGTCTTCCGCGTTGAGACCGACTCGGCCTGGACTGAGATGATGGACATCCAGATCACCGTCACCCCACCAACCAAGCCACGTGTCAACCCATTCAACTCCATCTTCCGTCAGAAGCGTCAGACCTTCTCTGGATTGCCAGCCTGGTGCCAATGTGAGCCAACCAAACCAACCTGCCCACCAGGACCCCCAGGACCACCAGGACAGCCAGGACAGCCAGGCAAGACTTTCTCACTTGAAATTGTTGATTTAAATTCATTTTATTTCAGGAACCCCAGGAGCTCCAGGACCAAAGGGAGAGGATGCTCGCACCACCTATGCTCCAATCACCTGCCCACAACCTGATACCAAGTGCATCCAGTGCCCAGCCGGTCCACCAGGACCAGCTGGACCAGTCGGACCAGCCGGACCAGCTGGACCAGACGGACGCCCAGGACAGCCAGGAAACCGCGGAAAGGACGGACACCCAGGAGGTCCAGGACCAGCTGGAGACCGCGGAGCACCAGGAGCCCCAGGAAAGGACGGACAGCCAGGACACCCAGGAAAGGACGGACAACGCGGAAAGGGAGCTCCAGGAGCGCCAGGACAGCCAGGAAAGCGCGGACCAGCTGGACCAAATGGACAGCCAGGAAACCGTGGATCCGATGGACATCCAGGACCAGCCGGACCAGCCGGACAGCCAGGAGCCCCAGGACACGCTGGACCAGACGGACACCCAGGAACCCCAGGAGGAGCTGGACGCCCAGGACCAGACGCTGCCTATTGCGCCTGCCCACCAAGATCTGCTGTCTTCGTTTCCCGCGCTCGCCAGTAATCTTCTTACCATATATATCGCCCATGATAATCACTATATTACCCACCAATAAATATTTAAAGCATGCAAACATTGTGAAAGGTGCAGAATGAAAAGAAAAAGTTTGAAAAGGAAATGTGAAAATAAAAAAGACAAAAGGTTCGATTTTTCAAACGGCTTTCAATTTTTGAGCAAACTCTCTTTGCGGTAGGTTCCACATCAATGACTTTAATTCGCGCCTTCAATTTTTTGGAGGTTTCTGAGAGTTTTATTTATTTCCATGACTTTTATGATTAAAAGCGCATTTGTCTAGAAATATTTTATAGAAATAAAAAAAAGATGATCGATAAAATAAAGGCTAGTGACCTTTATTCGATAAGCTTCTTCCTCCACACATCTGTAATAATCTCTATGTCTCTTCAATACGTATATTATAAAATGAAAACCAGGCAAAGTGTAATGTTCGCCAACGGAAAAAAAACCGGACGAGAACGAGCTGAGGATCAACATAGGCTATCCGACCTTTCCACAACACCACACATTATATTATTGCACACCTTTCTCTATACACATTGGGTTTATGGTAAGTCAGAGAATAGTATGATTGCATGCTACTAGATATTAGTAAAGCTTATTTGAAGTAGTATCCAGGAATTAAACAGCAATATATGCAGGGAGAGAAGGAATATCTTGAAAATATTAGTTTGCACTTTATATTTCACGTGATATGCATAATCCGAAAATGCGAGGGGGGGATCACATCATTTTATTTCTTTGTTCCTCGTTCGTCGGAAAAATTCTTTATAATTTACGTCCATCATAGATCATGCGGCTTCTTTGAAAAAAGAAGAACAATTTCTTTGTGGGAATCCCCCTCCTCAACCTAAGCACTTTCAATTTTTTTTTCAAATAACCTGTCGTAAATTTTGTTTACTTCAATCCACATTACGAATCGAATTGTTCGGAATTCCTTTCAGATATATGAGAAGTGCCCATTTGATTTGCATTTTGTTGAAATATAAATCTGGATAATGATTGAAGAGACATGTCTGATTTGATGGGTGGAGGGATAGAAGGATGATTAGAACAACGGCAAGTTGGACAGTTGTCGGCTGAGCTCCAGCCAGCCGATGCGTTCGAATTGAAAACAAAACGAGGCGGCTTGCCGTGTGGACACGGGCGTCGTCCGGCAAAGTTGGCGACCAACTGGACGCCATCGATTTTACGCCTTTGCTCTATCTTTCCACCCATTTTGAACACACGTCACGAGAACTCCAATGTCGCGCAATGTTTTTATTTCTTGGTTCTTTTTTTTTCGACCCGCTTTCATTACAATTCAATTTTCTTAAATAAATTGTAACTCGAGGCGGAGTAGGCTTACAATGAATTCAGAATGAAACTAAAAAAATTGATGTTTGCGCACTTCGAAAAAAAGAAATGTGTGGATACTTCCGCTCATGTTCGTTCGCTCATGGCAACATTTTACATTCTTTTTTATTTTTTCTACTTCGCAACCTTCGTTGAAAATGAGTTTTAAAAGCTCTTATAAGTTATTTTCGGTTTTGTGTGCGTTGAGTACCACATTTCTATTCAACAATATTTTTCAATATTTGGTTAGCGTATGTGTAATATGAAATTAAATACTAGCTGATATAAAATTACATCAACTATTCGACTCGAAAAAAAAATTGATTTATAACAATATATTTGATACAAAAATATAGAAATTCAAATATTCAATATTTCGCAACTAATTGACTATTCAATTTTTTGGGAATATCCAACACCAATATCCAATTTTGTGTTTTTCATTTAATTTGGGGTGAAAAATTTATGGCTTGCAAATTTTGTTGTTCACTTCCCTTTCCAATGTCAGGCTTCATATATTTCTAATTTTATGGAAATTCTCTATTTTTGCACGATTTTTTTTTCTCAAAAAAAGCAGCTGTCTAGCTTTCACATAATTTTTATTTAAAACAGACTTTATTAAAAGTTAAATTTTATCAATTTTTAAGCAATTTGTGGTTTTTTAATTTATTGATATATTTAAAGCATATAATGGCCAACAAATCAAAAATATGAATTTTGAAATTCATTTTCAGAAATCAATAACTTTCACTTTAAAATGAATAAATTAGCCAAATATAGTACGTTCTATTACTTTTATTTACTAAAGATTATATTACATGAATGAGACGGGTCGTGTCACTGACAACTCGCATCTCCTTATCATGCACCTGACTGTTGCATCCGAAAACAATTTACAGACGTTCTATTTTTAAAGTGTTTTGTCGATAGTCGGAATAAAAGTTAATCGAATTGCCGACTCGTTTATTGGACCCTAAGTGCGGCCTGCACAAGTGTGAGTGCTTTTTATTTTTATTTTGCAAACACGCTTTCTTCGTACGTATGCACATATTGACTGACCACAGGTGATCTTTGAAATACGCTTTCGTATCTCTTTATCAACCTCCAGGATCCTTGCAGGCTGTTTCATTGCTTCTTTAAAACAGGAAAATTTGAAAAAAGATACCTGTCACGTTTTTCCATTATGTCGGGGGGAACTGCTTCATCCTAATTGAATATGTATGAATGTAGGACTAAATTTCGTTAGTGTAATTTCATTTATTCGTTAACAAGTATTTACGAAGAATTCTACTATATATTAGAATTAGAATAATACGAATTTTAAATCCAATGAATTTGAAAAAAAAAACGCAATAAATCGTCATGAAATTTTTCTTTTTTTTTGAAAAAAATAACTCCAAATTCATATATTTTGTTTGTTGCATTTTCATGCCATCAATTTTCTTTCCTTCAAAAACCGAATAATCTCTTTTTTTTTCTTTGTTTCCGCATGCAAGCTTCTAATGTTTCTGTTGACGTCACACTCATCCAAAAAATAAATAAAAGAGAAGAATGAGAAGTTGGAGCAGAAAACAATGCAAAATAAAAACAACATTGCCACGTTTTATTTGTCAAGCTTCTCCCTCTTGTATTCCAAACCGTTTATCATGCCTCATATTGTGTCAATAAATAGATTGCGCGTTTTATAATTTGTTTTTCACACGCTTTCCCGGTGTCCTTCGCAATTTTGTCTGTTATTCGGAGCCGTGCAAGAAACAAATGTGCCCGCAGGCCTATTTAATCCTCAGTGATTACCCTTGAAATATTGATGCGCGACTTGGTAAACGTTTCCTCTTTTTTTTGTCCAAGAATATTTAAACGAGACTTGCAAAATAAGAAGCCGGCCAGTAATTATTTGTCTCTTACTTTATTTACGCGTTTCTTGCTGTCTCGAGCGCTTCTAGCCAAACATTATTTTCAAAACTCGACCTCGCAATTTTTTGAACGGCGATACGTTCTCTTTTTTTCTAAGGAAAAATAAACATTGAAACAGTTTTAATATGAAATCGACAGTTTTCATTCCAACTGCACGCATTTTGCAGCTTTTTCTTACTTTTAAAATAACACTTTTTTGTGATAAAAATGTAGCGGTGGATCGCTAAAAATTTATGTTATTTTCAGAAGAAAACATTGCCAGAAAATACTCAACATTCCTGAAATGTGGGTGTAAAAGTCTAATCTCTTTCCCATCCTATTCATCCATCAATCGCAAATGAGCCTTTTGTATGTAGTGTGCTCAGGCGTCGAAAGACAAATATACTCATTGCCCAACCTTTTGTGTTCTTTTTATCTAACGAACATTGACAAAATAATTGCAGAATGTTTTTTTTTTGTTATTCGATGACTTTCCAATTAGTTGGTTTGAATTATTCTAAGCAAAAAACAACTATTTTTTTTCATTTGGGTCTTACAAAGATACTACCATAATTTTTGCCTCGCATATATTGATAATAGGAGATTGCAATGCTATAATTATAAAATGAGAACTAATTGTTCTCCAAATCTCTGGGAAGCACAAATCAAAAATATAAAAATATAAATAATGTGCTTCAATGAGAATAGAATAAAAGCTAACCTGCTGGGAGAATTTCAATTAACTACGATAATTATCAATAAATCATTTTTGAAGATTTTTTACTCAAAACAAAATATTCAAATTTAACTCGAAGCCTTCTCAACTGAGTTCAAATAAATTCGAAATCAACTCACGAAAATTTATATTTCAAATTCTTTAGAAGTCGATCTATTTCCATTTACCAGAGATTTTAGACATATCGAAAGTGTCAGCCCTCAAAACAATTTTTGAACTTTTTAGTACAACACAAGTTGATTACCGTACAAATTGCGATAAACAGTATCGCAGTCAGGTAACTTTTTGATTTTTGGTGATCATTTCACCAAAAAAAAAGTTGGGAAATTGTTGATGCGGTCAAAGTTTTTTTTTGTTGACACGGAATTGGTATTTCACCAATCTTGGACTGCGTCGTAGTCTTATCTATAGGGACAAGTTTTCCATGAAATTCTTTTGAATGTTCGCTATTTTGGATTAGGGTGGGATCATTAAGTTCAACACCCTATCATTTCCTATTACCAACAAATCGTCTGTGAGTGCTATTGAGATCGCAGAGGGGCGGTGTGCGAAAATCCAGCGAACGAGCGCCTCGGCTTCGCCCACTTTATCAATTATTTTAAAACGTACTTTGATTGCAAAACAAATGACCATCTCCAATTTTGATGATTACAAGTTGTGTGCATTATCTCGTGGGCAAATGTGACCCATCGTGAAATCAGAAGTCATATTTTGGCGCGAAATTTTTGGTATAAAAGGCAAGTTGATCCGACATTCTTCCATTATTTTGCCATTCACATTACCTTGCCGACCCCACAATCATCTCTTCCTTGGTTCGCGACTATGGTCCGTAAATCAAAGTTCAAATGATCATGTTGCTGTTATTATTGTTATGACGTCCCCCCCCCCGCCACCATTCATTCTCTCACCACTCCGCCATTCGCTCCGCATTATCTCATATATGCATACCGTCCGTCTAATCGTTTCGAATTTTCCAGATTGCCAACTAATCGACAACTGAATTCAATATGGTTATTTTGACGAAAGACCAACAACAAGATTCCGCTCAAAACGGATTGTGGCTTCCGCAACTTGAACGCGATGCATGTGGCGTTGGATTTGTCTGCTCCGTCAAGGGAATCCCGTCGACGAAGGTAAAATTTTTTAGAAAAGCGAGCTTTTAAAATTTTGAGAATTTTGACTGAGTTTCCGATTCCTTCAAAGAATTATGAAAGAAAATCAACCAATTAAAAAAAAAGTGAGAAATATCCGAATACGTAGATTCAGAAAAGTAAAACATTCAATGAAAAAAGCCGGCTATTGCGAATTTTAGATCATGTCTGATGCTCGCACAATGCTTGAACGTATGGCTCATCGTGGAGCGTGCGGCTGCGACAACGATTCCGGCGACGGCGCCGGCGTTCTCACGGCGATTCCCGATGCATTCTATCGCAAACTGATAAAAGAACAGGAAGGCATCGACTTGCCGCCGTTTGGCCAATACGCTACCGGAATCTTGTTTCTTGAGGATGAATCCTACAAACTTGCCAAGGTATCATATTTGGGTTGCGCGCGTTTGTTTTTTTTTTACCGATTGCTTATTATCAGTCGCAGCGATCAGGAGTGATTTGAGGCTGATGATCATGCGCAAGGCACGTGTTCTGCAAATGTTGGACTGTCCTTATCTGATTAAACACGAGAACGATTGTTCTTTAAAGTAAACAAAATTGACCTAGAAAAATGAGCACCATGTCAAAAATCAAAGTGCACAAAATTCAAATCTCCACATGATCATATGATTTTCCTTGTGTATCTCATAACGCGCGAAAGTCAATTTACTTATTGCAAATACTGAATTTTAAAATTATGAATTGCAGGAGGCGTTCAAAGATTTGGCTCTTTCCTGTGAGCTTGATGTCATTGCTTGGAGAAAACTTGGAACCAATCGTGATTGTATTGGAGAAGAAGCAAAGAAGACCGAACCCTTGATTCGTCAGGTAAATCGAAATCTATGATTCGATGCTCCGTCTTATTATAGGTGTTTGTCACTGCTGAATATGCTGAAAGCAATCCGGAGAAATTTGAGCGCAGCATTTACTTGCTCCGCAAACAGGCGGTTAACAACATGGCCAAACAGGATGTAGTGTGTTACGTTTGCTCATTGAGCACTAGTACTATCGTCTACAAGGTTGATAGACGTTTACCACTGAGTTTGAAAATAATTGTGATTCTTAGGGTCAATTCAACACTCAACAGCTTTTCCCCTACTACGATGATCTCACTAATCCGGAATTTCAAACTCATCTAGCTTTGGTTCACTCACGATTCTCAACCAACACATTCCCCAGCTGGAATCGCGCCCAACCAAATCGTATGCTCGCCCATAACGGAGAAATCAATACTCTCCGTGGAAACATCAATCTGATGCACGCTCGTGAGGGAGTCATGAAGAGCAAATACTATCGTGACGATCTTCAGAAGCTCTTCCCAATTGTCGAAGAAGTAATATCATATTAATGAGGTCATTGTACTATTTTTTATGGCATTGTTTTCAGGGTCTCACCGACTCCGGTTGTCTCGATAACGTCCTCGAATTTTTGGTACGTGCTGGAAATCGCTCCCTTCCCGAAGCGGCAATGACAATGGTGCCCGAGGCTTGGGAGAAAGACGATGACATGTCATCGGAGAAGAAGCATTTCTATCGTTGGGCAGCGATGAGCATGGAGCCTTGGGATGGACCCGGTATGCACTTTTTTCATAATGGAAAAACGTATGCGCTTCAATGAATTGATTCAAAATCACGGCGGTGTGTCGTCGTCGACATGATTGATGACTTTCCATTTTTTGGCGCGCTATGACAATTTTAATCTTAAGAGCCTTTTGTGTAGCGTCATAGACGTTGGCAAATTCGTTTCGGCAAAAACGTCGAACAACAAATTAAAAAAAATAATACACAAACAAAGACAATGACATTTTAATACTATGCTTCAGCGCTTCTCGCATTCTCCGATGGACGATACATTGGTGCGATTTTGGATCGCAATGGGCTTCGCCCCGCGAGATACTACTTGACGGATGATGACCACCTTTACTTGAGCTCAGAAGTCGGTGTGAATGACATTGAGATTGGAACTATCGTAAAAAAGGTGCGCATTTTTTTGGTATGAGCAGAAACAAAATTGAACAACATGGAAAAGTATTTATTGATCCGAAGCACGATGTAGAAGAGTTGAAATTATTTTTATATTAACATGGTCTCTCTCGTTTCATTGGTGTTTGAAATTGCGATGGCTTCAGAAATTGTCTTGAGCACCTAGTGGCCTGAAATAATTGGTTGTTGATTTGTTTTTGAGTATGTGGATTCTTACTCGTAATACTCCACGAGTGGCACGGATTCCGGATAGTAGTGGAATCCTGTCGACACAACTTGGCCACCAGCTCGCTTTCCGAACCTATAGAATCAGGTCAGCATTGTAAAATCTATCATGGTTACCTCATGAGAACCCGATTGGGCGCTGCCGAGATCAGCGATGTCGCTGTGAGAATGATGACGAAAACAAGAGCCAAGATGCTGCGAGCGGTGAACATACCTAGGAAAAAAATCTTGTTGATTGGTAATTAGGAATGAAATGGTGGGAGAAATGCCCATCGAACGAAAAAAAAAAAACGCGCTGCTCGCACAAGCTAGTGAAGACAACAAGATGAGAAAAAAAACCGCAGTGGGCGTGGCGCAAGCGGTGTTGGTAGGATGTCCGACGTACAAGAATGGATGAATTACTCAACGATATATTTTTATTTATACCGCGACGCGCCGCCCCTTTTTCCACTAGAGTTGAAGAAGGCATCCTCGTCTCACCACGGCTCGAACGAAATTGGGCGTTTCAATAGGGTACTCAATGACAATAAAATGAGAAATCAGGAGTGGAGACGTTGGTTTAATGAGCCGCCATAAGGATGTATGATGAATTCTTCACGATTCTACTCAAATATTTGAGCAATCTGGAGGCGGAATTGGGTTTTTTTTTCTTTCGCCTAGCTCGAATAGTCTTAAAATTAAAAAAGGAAGAGCCAGCATTTCTACTAGTAAGAATAGTAAATGTTCATGAAAACTGAAGACGTGCTGGTTTTGTTATGAGGTTTTGTTTTCGAAGTTGATTCACTGCCGCTGGTCTTTTTTTTTTGTGAAAATCAAAAATTCTGTTATTTCGGAAATTCATTCATTTCCCAGCCGTTTGTTATTGGCCGATTCGATGTTCTCGTTGAAACCGGACAACATTTGCCGAATCGGACGCGCTTAACTAAAAACCGATTCATCGCTTCGGAATTCTTAAACGTCGTAAAATTCGCGTTACAGTAGAACCGATTTATGTGAATTTAATGATGATTTGAATATAATCTCGACCTCGCTCTCCGACTATTGTTTATCTGAACGCCTCTCTTAGAAACACGAACAAACACGCGCACATTACTAGTAATTATGCGCATAGTTAAGGAGTCTACAAAATGTTTTTGAGCTCGATAAATCGCTCAAAATAATTCCAGTTTCCGCTTTCAACAATTGCCAGGTATTTTTGAGAGAGAGTATATAGTTGCAATGGGAATAGTGATATTGTAACCAACTTCTTTAATGGGAAATGACTTTGCGAAAACAAAAAAATCATGCCAATTAATAGTGGTCTTAGGAAATTTGCGACAGGAGACAATTCATTGAAATTCAGCGGCTTTATGGAACTCCCACAAAACATGTTGTCTGGCTTCTAAGAATGACTATACCACTAGTAGTTAGTTTATTAGCAGCGTTAAACCAGAAATGAGAAATTGAATCCAATTTTTTTTCTGCGGCTGAGAAACACTCGCAGAGTTATAGTTGAATGAGGAAGGCGTCATTGCTTCTTTTGAAAAGATTTATATAATAATGAAAATTATATTCAAAAGGAACAACCAGAAATAACATCTGCTGGTGAACAGCAAACATGCGAGTTAATCCAATATGACGATGTGCCAGAAAATAGGAAAACTTGTTAGCGAAAATTGGCTTTCAAGGGAATCTCTTATGAGAAACTCATCAAAAAGAAAATTTTGTTGTTGTTGTTCAAATAGTTCAACACCCAATTTCTCGAATAGTTCCCGCTTCCTTCCTTCTTTTCATCCATTCCTTGTATGCGCTGAGCTGTGAAGCGCCTATTGTAGAAGGGCACCAGGAAATGAGTAATGAGGGCACTGGGCAATTTGAATCCGGCAAGATTTTTCAGATATTTCACGTTGAGTGATGGCATGCAATTTCGCAAAGAGTTGCGTGTACATATGTTTGTTTGAAAAATTGGAGTAATTGTGAGGGGGGGGGATTGATGAATGTTCCGTGGATTCATAACGCGATTAGAATCGACAACGAAAATGAGCGGAGGGCGTCGGCAAAATCGTTGAGCCGACCCGACCGGACAAACAATGCGCTTCTTGTTCCTAATTCATATTCATGATGCTGTAGTCATGTCATTTTAATTGAAATTCGAATTGGCCCCTGGCGGACTGACGGACTCGGCCAACATACATACACAATTTTTTTTTGCCGAAAACGGGTGACGAGAAACTTTTCGCCGACACCGGAAGTTTGCCAAGTCGATGTGTCACGTGAACCATGCAAATTTGAAGACGTGTTTTTACAATCGAAGAAATTCCACTCAATTTAATAACAAATCATTTATTCCTCCAATCTATGCGAAACGATGATGACAAATAGCCGAGAGTTCGATTTCAAGATTTTGTTTTCATCATTGAAATGATTATACGAAATAGCAGTTAATCTTATTGTTTGGGTTGATAAAACAAATAATGAGTGAGATGATGATGAGAGAGAGAGAATGAACATGAGCGAAATTTGCCGATTATTTCTTTCCGAAGCGCATGGTTCCGAGAGGATTGCGTTTGCCAAATCTCATGGTTCCGAAGGAAGGGCCGTCTAAATAATAAAGATAGTTTTCGGTGTAAATTATTAACATATTACCTTCACGCTTTCCAAATCGCATGGTTCCAAGCGGCATATCATCTCCTCGCTTTCCAAATCGCATGGTTCCGAGTGGCATGTCGTCACCGCGTTTTCCGAAGCGCATGGTTCCAAGTGGCATGTCGTCACCACGTTTTCCAAATCTCATCGTACCAAACGGCATATCGTCTCCACGTTTGCCGAATCTCATCGTTCCCAATGGCATACCATCACCGCGTTTGCCAAAGCGCATCGTTCCAAGTGGCATATCATCGCCTCTTTTTCCGAAGCGCATGGTTCCCAATGGGGTGCGAGCATCGCGAATTACCTGCTCATCAACAGATTCTCTTTTCTGTAGAAACAACTCGTCGTCGTCAAACGGAATGTCATCGGACCGCTTTCCGAACCGCATTGTTCCCAGTGGAGAACGCTTCGGTGTCATTTCTATGGAATTAAAAAATGCTTGAAGGCAAAGAACTTCTGACTACCTGCTGCTAGAACACCGGTGATGCATAGACAAAGGAACATATGACTAAGCATGGTTGATCCAAGATTTTCTAAATAGCTCATTTTTCAGTGTGGTATATTTTTGGAAATTGAAGTAAGAAATGAAATGAAATGAGGAAAAAAACTTGTTTTGCCAGGTTATATAAGCTACTCGATATATCATTGGTTGACTGCACAGAAGGTAGTCAGTCAAACTCATAAATTTAACGGAATGAACACCTTAGAAATTGGTTACTGCGTCAAATATGTGTAGGCCATGAGCAATAATAACATAAATAATAATTTTAATGGGCTGCTCGCAGAGTTCTATTGTGCTCGAAACACGTCAATTTTGTTGAAAAATGTTTCAACAGCAATTTTCTCCTTTCAACGTCTTGCCCAGCCTTTTGAAATATGATTGGAGGGTTTATTTTGAGATCAAAGCGAGGTGACGACGTAAAAAAAATTTGCCAATAATAGGTCAGATGCGTCATTCTAATAGTGCGACCAGACTTGAATTTTGTAGTAGGATTGCCTTTGTTGGCATATGAATAATTTGCGTATCTTCAATTGGCCAACGAAGTTGAACGTCTTCTTTCGTTTTTTTTTAAAGAATTCGCCTTTATGACGTTTAAATTTCATTAAATAGAATAGACAGTTAACAGTACTATGACTCCCTATTAGGAATCAACCACTTTATTCGAACATGATTGAATGGGATTATAAAATCGAAATGATATAGGAATGGTTGGGTAGACATGGTTCGAATGAGCTGGCTAAATTATTCGTCGGAGAAATCGAATGGTTGGAATCGTTTGCCGAAGCTGAAATTAAAACTTGTTATAGTTGCTAGAGAGCGAAGAGGGTGGTACTTTGTGATTTATTGCGAGTTTTTTGATTAATCGCTATTTTATTAAAGGTATTCGTCATGTACGTGCTCATTTTTGGCAAACGTACGCGGTTGATTGATGTGATCATAAATTTTGTTCGCACAAATTAAAGTGCGCTTCGCGAAATTGACGTGAAAATTGATGAGCGTTGGAATGATGAATGGTTGAATTACCGTATCGGCTCGCGCGGCGATCTTTTGCCGAATCGAATAGGCTCTCCGCGCAATCTCTTGACGAGCAAATTGCTCTCGAACGGGTCCGCGTTGCCGATCGCGTTGGTGTTGTAGTCGTCATCGCCTTGTGCGGAACCCTTTAAGAATATTTGCTACAGCGATTCGGGTTTGAGTTGAAGCAAAAGGTGCGCGTTGGCACGCGCCGATTTCGGCAATATCCGGGGATGCACTAATTGAAATGCGCAACTTACAACGACGGACAACAGCACGATGAGCAAGCTCAGGAACACCTTTGAGAATTGCATAGCGATTGCCAAATTGAGTGGGTACCTGAATAGGATCTTTTTTTTGTTGAATATATTCGAAATAGTTGAAGAATGAAAGCGATATGGCAAAAAAAGAATGAATAAGCCGCTGACGATCCGTGCCAATTAGCGCACAAGTTTCAAATGTCTTACCAAAAAATGGAGAGCAGTATAGAGAGAAAACAAATAAGGAGAACTCAGATTCTTGGAAAATGGCTTCTTCGACTTAATATGTTTGCGTTCGCTACAAAAACTAGGAAATTGAAAATGAAAAAAATCAGTGAATTATTTTTTTTAGGATCGCTTGAAGCCGGGACGAATGCTTCTCGTCGACACTCAACTCAAGAAGATCGAGCACGATGACGATTTGAAAAAGCGGATCGCATTATCGCGTCCCCATAAGCATTTGTCTTCTTCGCGAATCTATTTGGATTTGCTGCGGAAAGACGACGTGGTACGTTTTCTATGGAAATGCGAATGAGTTTCGAAAACAGAGCTTGATTAATTTATAATCAAACGACTACTGTAATTCAATTAATTTCAGCTTAATCATGGCGCTATCACTAATGAGCATCTCATCCGCCTACACTTGGAGCAAACCAACTCGAACTTGCTCAAGAAAAACGATGTGCATTTGGACTCGGATCGTCGATTGGCGCTCTACGCCTACACACACGACACGTTTAGTCTGCTTCTTGTTCCGATGATTAAGGAAAAGTGAGACCGATAGACTGGCTGACATGAGATATTTTGACTCGTTTTCAGGAAAGAGGCGTTGGGATCGATGGGTAATGATGCGGCGCTGGCTTGCCTCTCAGATTACAGTCCGCTTCTCTTCAGTTATTTCCAGCAGCTTTTCGCTCAGGTCCGAAAAACATACTTTTTTCTCGTTGAGATGCAGCAATGATTTGAGAATATTAGTACAATCTGAATAGAAAAATGTGCAAGAGAGAGAGAGAGACCGAATTGCTTAGTCAATTGACGACACGAGGGGAGGGAGTGTCGACGAGATGATGATGAGTTCGTTAGCTACTTTAGCTCTAATTGGCGAAAGCTGTTTTAAACAACACGCTCGAAGCACTTTGGGGAATACGAAGAATGAAAAAAATTTTGTGTAAGAGCTACTAGGCGTGTTTTGTCACATTTGGAAAATGAAATACGGGCGAGACGTGTCAACAGTGAAAAATGTGTGGAATCTGACAGAAAACGTCCATAAATTACAGGTCACAAATCCACCAATTGATCCTTTCCGAGAGCAGATCGTGATGTCATTGCGTTGTCCAATTGGACCGGAATCGAATATGCTCGAGCCTGACGTTGAACTTGCTAGTCGTCTCATTCTTGAGCAGCCAATTCTCTCGATGGTTGACATGGAGGTGAATAACAATTGACTACAATTGAAACTCGAATATTTTAAACGTCCGAATTGGAACGACATTTTTGTTTTCAGGTTATAAAACGAACTATGTATCGCGGATGGCGTTCCAAAATGATTGACATCACATTTCCAGCGAAATACGGTGTTAAAGGTACGCAAACAAGACTTGAGTCATTTCTAAATTGAAAATAACATAATTTCTCTAGGGAAATTCAATAAGCAGCCTGACTCATTACAATTCAAAACTAATTGTTGACATTGAATTCGAAATTGCAGGACTTGTTCCGGGTCTCGATCGCATGTGTTGTGAGGCATGTACCGCTGCGCTTGATGGTTACCAGCTTTTGGTTCTCTCCGATCGTAATGTGGATGCGAACAACGTTCCCATCCCATCGCTCTTGGCCGTCGGAGCAATCCATCAATGCCTCATCCGTCATCGCCTTCGTATGAAGGTCGCCATCATCGTCGAAACCGGAGAAGCTCGCGTCGTTCACGATTTCTGTGTGCTTCTCGGATTTGGCGCCGACGCGATCTGCCCATACATGGTGTTCGAGACGATGTATCGCCTTCGAAATTTGGGTCTACTTGACAAAGAACTGAATGACGATCAAGTTTATGCCGGATATCGTCAGGGTGTTGAAAGAGGAATTTTCAAAGTAATGGCAAAAATGGGAATTTCCACATTGCACTCATATAAGGTTTTATTGGAGGGCGAGTGAGGAATTATAGAAATATTTCAGCATGCCCAAATTTTTGAAATTGTCGGTCTCGCACAGGATGTCGTGGAGATGTGCTTCAAGAACACTGTTTCCCGTCTTGGTGGAGCGACGTTCGAGATTCTCGCCGCCGAAGCTCTCAAGAGACACAAAGCTGCCTATCCGACTACAGGAGACGCGTCCTTCGGTAATTTCATTTTTAATTTTGTACACCTGTGATTTCGAAAAAAAAATTTCGAAAAAATTTACCAACATTACTGACATTTTGCCTTCATTTTTAGATCCAAAGGACCCCACTGCGATTTTCGGTGAGAGTTTGCAAAATTGACTAACGTTGTGTGCTAGCATGCTAATGGGTTTCCAATATATTTATTTTTTTCCAATTTCGACGTCAACATCTTTTGTGTTGAACTATTTTGAATCCACAATTTCATAATGCTTTTTAGTTCTGGCTGTTCCCAGAAACTACAACAAAAATAATTTGTTTGTCCATTTAGGCGACTCGAAAACTTTGGTCGCAAGTGGAACATTCCACTGGAGAGCCGGAGGAGAAAAACACATTAACGAGCCATTGGCAATTGCCAAACTTCAAGCAGCCGCAAGGTTGAATAATAGCAAGACTTTCCATGAGTACTCAAATGCTTCGAATCTTGCTCAACGCTGGTGTACACTTCGTGGACAGCTTGAGATCAAGACGAGCGGAAAAGTGCAAATTCCGATCGAAGAGGTTGAGCCGGCATCGGAAATTGTTAAGAGATTTGTAACTGGAGCCATGTCGTTCGGATCGATCTCATGGGAAGCGCATACCGCTTTGGCTATTGCGATGAACCGCATCGGTGCAAAGTCGAACACTGGTGAAGGTGGTGAGAAACCGGAGAGGTACAAGCAGGGACAATCAAAGGATCACAATCTTCGGTCGGCCATTAAGCAAGTTGCTTCGGCTCGCTTTGGTGTCACTTCCTCATACCTTGCTAACGCTGATGAGCTTCAAATCAAGATGGCTCAAGGAGCCAAACCTGGAGAGGGAGGAGAATTGCCGGGACACAAGGTCAGCCAAGAGATTGCTGACACTAGAAAGTCGACCCCAGGAGTCGGACTCATCTCACCGCCACCTCATCACGATATCTATAGTATCGAAGATCTTGCTCAGGTATTCAAGAGGAGCCCATCAACAAGCTTAAATACGATTATTTCAGCTAATCTACGATTTGAAATGCGCTAATCCAGTGGCTCGCGTCAGTGTGAAACTTGTATCGGAAGCTGGAGTCGGTATCATCGCCTCTGGAGTTGCCAAGGGTCTTGCCGATCATATCACCATCTCCGGACATGATGGTGGCACTGGAGCATCCAGCTGGACCGGAATCAAACACGCCGGATTACCATGGGAGTTGGGAGTTGCTGAAACTCACCAAGTTCTCACCATGAACAACCTTCGTTCTCGTGTTGTTCTTCAAGCCGATGGTCAAATTCGAACCGGACGTGACGTCATGATTGCTGCTCTTTTGGGAGCCGACGAGTTTGGAATGTCGACTGCTCCGCTGATTGTTTTGGGATGCACCATGATGCGCAAGTGTCATTTGAATACCTGCCCGGTTGGAGTTGCCACTCAAGATCCAGTACTTCGAGCAAAATTCGACGGAAAGCCGGAACACGTTGTCAATTACATGTTTATGGTTGCTGAGGAAGTACGTTACTTCTTGTCGAAGCTTGGACTCCGCAAACTCGAGGATGCCGTTGGTCGCACGGACTTGCTCTACGCCAGCCCGAATCCGGTCAACAAGAAGGCTACACTTCTTCAATTCGGAACAATCCTTAAGAATGCGCAGCTAATGTTCCCAAATGTCTCTATCAAGGGAGGAAGTGTGAAGCAACCAATTGAGTTGGGAGCTCTTGAAACCGAGTTGCTCACCCAAATTGATGACGTTTTCTCGGAGAAAGGAACTCATAAGGTATTTGATGACAAAAAGATTACGAACTTGGATCGCGCTTTTGGAACAAGAATTTCATATGAGGTGAATGAAAGAATAATGGATTGAAAATAAATGAAAATGATTTTAGATTTCAAAGCGATATGGAGAGGAGGGATTGCAAGGAACGCGTTCCATCACAATCAACTTGAAGGGACACGCTGGACAGTCATTCTGCGCATTCTTGGCATTGGGAGTGTCAGTGACACTTGAGGGAGATGCAAATGATTACGTAGGAAAGGTAGGCGTATGGGACTCAAACTAATTGATTGTGCACACTAGCTCGTTGTTTGTTTGTCGGTTTCGCCAATTCCCATAATTTGCAGTGTCTTTCTGGCGGAAAAATTGTCGTCTTCCCACCAAAGGCGGCTGTCTACAAATCGGAAGAAAACTCGATCATCGGAAATGTGGCGTTGTATGGCGCGACTTCCGGTGAATGCTGGTTCCGCGGTGTGGCTGGAGAGCGATTTGCTGTTCGCAACTCTGGTGCTAATGCGGTTGTTGAAGCCGTTGGAGATCATGGTTGTGAATATATGACTGGTGGAAGAGTCATTGTTCTCGGATCGATCGGAAGAAATTTCGCCGCTGCCATGAGCGGTGGAATTGCCTACGTGTTCGCAAAGTAGGCTCCAAAAAATGGATTCAAAATATAATTTTTTTGTATTTTCAGCGAGGACAATTTCACCCGTCTTATCAACACCGCCACGGTTGATCTTGATGAGCCAGATATTGAGGATCTCAAATTTGTCAAGTCCAAAATTGAAAAGTTCATTGAGCTGACGGGCTCGGAACTTGGACAACGTATTCTTGCCGATTGGCAGAACACTCACAGCAAGATTGTGAAGGTGTTTCCACGTGACTACAAACGTGTGCTCGCCGAGCTTGAAGAGAAGAAGCGTGTTGAAGCCGAGCAAATTCAAGCTGAGAAGGATGCTAACATGTTGAGCGTTGAGCCTCATCATCGAACTCGCACATTGTCGATGGACATGCAAATCGCGCCAACTCATCACCTTAAGAAGAAGAAGGAGATCGTTAAAGGAAGAAAGTTGAGCAATGTAAGAAATTTGATGTTTGAAATAGGTTATGAGCTAGAATCTTAGGAATTTCAGGATAGCAATCACCTTAAGGTTCCCAAGGTAGAGTTCGAGTAGAAAAGTGGTGTTAGTTTCTAGAGAAAATCAATTGAATCAAAACAAATTTCTATTCAACATGTATTCGTATGGTTGACACGCATTCGTAAAAAAATGTCGAACCATTGAAGCATGCCCTACATATTTAATAGCATGTTACAATAAATGAATATTTCAAATGTGTAGACTGTCCCTTAGAATTTGATGCTCGTTTGAAATCGTATAACATTCATTATTTAGGCGAATGAGCAACGCAAACGCCGTCTTTCGATGAGCTTGAGACCGCAAGACATGGCTGGATTTGAAAATGAGGAAGATTTACAACAAGCCGAAGTCGAAGAGCAAGCCGACGATGTTGAGAACAAATCCGACATTGAAGATCTCTCGGAGGCCGAGGAGGATCTCGATGATAGCAAGCAAACTGTGGACATTGAGAATTTGGCCATTCCACCAAATTTGCGCAAGAAGGATGAACCATTGGATAAACTTCGTGGATTTGTCAAGTACAATCGTCAGACCAGAATCTATCGTGACCCGAAGAAGCGCTTGAACGACTGGGACGAAGTCTATGACTTTGAAGCTATTCGTAGCAACATTCGCGAACAAGCCGCGCGTTGTATGGACTGTGGTGTTCCATTCTGTCAGGGACACTCTGGATGTCCACTTGGAAACATCATTCCAAAGTGGAACGACTATGTCTTCAAGAAGAACTGGCGTCAAGCACTTGAGCAGCTTCTTCAAACCAACAACTTCCCGGAGTTTACTGGACGTGTGTGCCCAGCGCCATGTGAAGGCGCTTGCTGTCTTGGAATTTCTTCGCCAGCCGTCACCATCAAGTCAATTGAGTGCGCCATCATTGACTACGCATTCATGCAAGGATGGATGAAGCCGCAGAAGCCAAGCTTCAACACTGGAAAGAGAATTGCAATTATCGGATCCGGCCCGTCTGGATTGGCAGCTGCCGCCCAACTCATCAAAGTTGGACACACTGTCGTTGTGTACGAAAGAAAGAATCGTATTGGAGGACTTTTGAGGTGAATGCGAACATTTGAGCATTGAGAATGTAGAAAGTTGGTTTTAGATATGGTATCCCAACAATGAAGCTTGATAAATTTGTTGTTGACCGTCGTGTCAGACTTCTCGAGCAGGAAGGTGTTCGTTTCCTCACCAACACTGAGATTGGAAAACATGTTCCCGCCGATTTCCTTCTTAAGGTTGGAAAAAGGTGAAAACCATTTGAAGAAAATCTTTTTCAGGAGAACGATGCCATCATAATTTGCACCGGTTCAACTACTGCTCGCGATCTTTCTGTCGAAGGGCGTGACGCCAAGGGAGTCTGTTTCGCTATGGAATTCCTGGAGAAGTCGCAACGTCGTCGCGCCGGAGATGATATTGGATGGGAAGGTCTTGATCCAAAGGATAAGAAGGTTATTATTCTCGGAGGTGGCGACACCGCCACTGATTGCATTGCTACTAGCAACCGTTTGGTAAGAGACAAATATTTGGGACCAGACAAGACAATTTTTTTTCTATTTCAGGGTTGCAAGACTGTTGGTGCTTTTGAGATTTTGCCAAAACCAGCTGATAACCGCAAGCCGGAGAACCCATGGCCTGAATGGCCATTGATCTTCCGTGTCGACTATGGACACGATGAGGCAAGAGCATTGACCGGAGAAGACCCGAGAACATATTTGGTGTCGACCAAGAAGTTCCTCACTACTGTCAACGCTGCTGGTGTCAAGATTCTTACGGGCTTAGAGGTCATTGATGTCGAGTGGCAAAAAGACGACAAGGTTTGTTCCGCGTTAAAATTAAATCATTCAAAAATTCCAATTTTTAGGGAGCCTGGAAGTTGATTGAGAAGCCGGAGACCCTTCGTCAAATTGAATGCGATCTCTGCATTCTTGCCATGGGATTCGTTGGACCGGAAAAGACCGTCATCGAGCAACTAGGACTTAAGACTGATCCTCGTTCGAACATCCTCACTCCAAAGGATCAATACAATTCGACTCTTGCCAAGGTCTTCGCTGCCGGTGACTGCCGCCGTGGACAATCGCTCGTCGTCTGGGCAATTCACGAGGGTCGCCAAGCTGCCCGTCAAGTCGATGAGTACCTCATGGGCAAAACTGCTCTTGCCGGACCAGGAGGTATCGTCGCTGCTCCATTAACCCATAAGAGCGCTATTTAAATATGCATATTATTCTTATTAGCTTTAGCGTATTGCCGTCTTCTTTATTGTAAAATTATATAACATTAACTCCCACACATAAATATTTAATCTTGTAGTTGCCCATTTTTATTAATGCATATTACACAGAAAGGTGGCGGGTGTATTAGAAAGATCAGTGAAAATAGACAAAGGATAGTTTACAAGCGATTATCAAGCAGACAAGAACAAAAATATTTTTGGTGACGTTCCCGTAGTAAAACTTTATAATGGTGTATGTATGCGAATTGAGAAAACCTAGTGTATTGGTGAAAAATTTTTTCGGGATATTTTATTTATAAATAGGCGGGTTGCTCGGGACGAAGCGCAGCCACACGCCGGATATATTCAGACTCGCGGAAGAAGTCCGATTGGAACGAGTTGTGTCGAATAGTTGACATTCCTATAATCGAATAATTTCCTTTGATGGTTCGGTTATACAGACCTGAGGAAGTTTCATCGATGAATCGAAGTTTCATCAACAGCTCATGCGGCTCAAATGGTCTATCGCGAAGCTCATTGTCAAGGAAATCGCGGACATCGTTCCAGGTTACTTTTCCACCCTTCTTTCGGCGCATCGCTCCAAGCAAAGCAACAATTTCTTTGAGCTCTTCGCTCATTCCCAAAAATCTGAAAATGCAGTAATGATCAAACTGTTCGCTTTTGGGTTGTCTTACCGTTTGGCTCTTCCGAAGTAATGAATTCTGGTGAAATAGGCTTTCAAATGAGTTGAAGCCAAATCAACGCACATAGTGACTACAGAAAGACCTGCGATATTAATTTCATAATGAATGTTTCATTTCGTTTTGCGGATTCTTACCAACAATTACGAAGGCAACGATCAATGATAAGAATATGTAATCAGTGACGACGATATCGCCAAGTCCGACCGTGACAATCAAATTAAATCCGAAATGAAAAGCGTGGATGAAAGACCATGTCCTGGAAATTGACGCCAAATGACCGGAATCACGTCGAGATTGCGTTTACCTTTCCCAGTTGATAAACATCGCAGAACCCATTGAGCAGTAGAGGCAGATACAGGAAACATATGCGCCTGAATTCAATATGATAAGTGAGGTGTGGGGGGAAATGTAGTGCCGTGCAACATGACAAATTACAGGAAATCTTCATTACTTGCAATTTTGACATAAAATGGAATGGTTGCATCGAAGCAATACACAAATTGTTTTTTTTAGGGACTAGAAGTTTCTAGGTCATCAAAACTCGTTCATAATGTTAAATATTTTTGAAAATTTCGAATTTCCTATTTAACATTGTATATTTGCCCTGCTTTAATCCTTTTTAGTACTCTCTAAAAATAGAACAGCTCCGTCGAAAATTGTTAAATTCTGATGCTCACTCTCTCGTAAGAGCATCTCAAAATCTTCAGCTTCATCAATGTTGCTCTATAACTCAAAATTCTTCATCGATTTGTGCGGAGGGAAAGAATAAAACACTTGGTGTTCAATCAAGGAAACCGATCAATATTTTGAATGCAGGTAGACATTGAAAAAAAAAACATATTGAAGGCCCCTTGTTAGTCATTTGTTTGTAATCGACAGAGGAAAGAAGTGATAGATAGAAAGACACACATGGTTTCGTGTTGCTCAGGACATGAGAAGTTCGAAGACATGAATAAGGACACGCTGGTTATTTTTGGACATGTTGTAATCAGGATTAGCAAATTGAATGTACATCACAATTTTTCTTACCAATAGGAAACCAGAGTTTTGTATTCTCCCCGTTCGGAACTGCATTTTTTCAAAGATTACGTATTATTTCATTTAAGGAGAGCGGAAAAGCTAACAATAATGTGCACTCACCGATTGGAAACCACAATTTATCCTCAGTTCCATCGACGCCCAAAATGTCGAGTGTGTCGTTTTGACCCCCAGTTGATTGCAGTGATTTTCGACGACCGTGACGAGTGCGATTAATCCATTTCTATGACATCCAAGATTTGATACAAATTAATTGTCTATACATGATACCTTGACTTTTCGCACACTGCGATTCCAAAAGCTAACAAATTTAAGAAGTGTTTCCGATAAGAATTTTCCAATGTCCGCAGCTGTGATGAACATTAACGGGATACCGACAAGAGCAAACGCAACGGAAAACACTTTTCCGACGTCTGTGTCAACCGAAACTTCACCATAACCTGGAAATTTGAAAGCTAAATTGATTCGTCACTTCAAAACAATACCGCAAGTAGTGAGAACTGTCAAAACGTAGAGCAATGCGGTTGGAAACGTCCACTTATTGTGCATATTGGCCAAATCATCTGGACGGTTGAGTTCTCTTCGAATCGGCCTCCGATCGTCAACGGTTTCCGACACCCGAACCATCCATTCACTGCAAAAATACCCATTTTCATTTAAAAACATTTCTTGGCATTTATACCGAAATATCGCCGCCCATTCGGCTTCGTCCACAATACTTGCTCCATGTTGCGCGTTGCTCAACATTTGCCAACTCTCCGCCGTGAAATTCGACATCAAGTTGGTTAATCGAACCAATTTCCGCGATCTCGCCAACAATTCCGTTCGCGTTTCCAAGAGCATTAAGATCCATGCGCCCAAACAGAGATAACCAATGAGCACCGACACCAATATCACGTGAGGTGTTAGGATTTTGATGTACTGAAACAAATCATTCATGCCGATGTTTTTCAACGATCTTTTTTTTTTCTCAATTCACCCCTCAAACACTAGGCTTTGTGTAAAGAAAAAACTCATCAGTCATGGCGATTTGTAGTACGCGTTTTTCAAAATGTGTAAGTAGTTGTGCCTACTCTCACGCATAAAGTCGCGCACTGTGCTGAATTTTCCCATGGGTCGACCTCTAGGTCACGTCGACGTTTTTTTTTATATATTTTTTTTTTGTGTGTGCCTCAACGAAAATATTTCTTCCTTCTCCCATCGGGTACTCCAGTTTTTAATTATGTTGGAGACGTCGATTCGAGATTGTCAAGTTAGATACTCGGACGGGGAAAAGCTCAACGGGAAAAAAAAACACAAAGACAAAAGCGAAAAACGAACGAGCATATCGAGATTTGCCCATTAAAAATTGACGAGATATTAAAAATGGTCGTTGTTTTGTTTATTTCTTGCACCATTCATGGAATGATATAAACGAGCTATTTGGTTTTATGGACTTCATAACAAAAATTGACTGCGCGCACCTAAATAACGCGATCGCTCCCCAGAGAGCTGCCGGGTCGGCCTACCACGATTAAAAAACTGAAAAATATGCAGCGCATAACATTTCAAAATTCTCCAATTTCTCACAACACTGTGCGAAATTCATCTTCGATGCGTTTCCGTTTTTGGCAACATTTTTCCTCTAAACAAAAAAGAAGGCAATAATTTATTGCCACAGGGATTTTGGCCGCGTAAATGTCTCTTGGGGAGGCGGGCGGCAGTTCGCGGCGAAAGCGTTGACTTACCTTTACGGTCTGTTGAATGCATGACTTTGGCTCTTTGTCTTCCTGATCGTCTTTTATTGTATCGGTGACGACTGTTGCACCATCATCAGCATCAAGAAGTGCTGATTGAGAATTGATCGGTGCACCATCCCATCGAGCTGTGACGTGATCTGAAATTGATTTGATTTTTAAAGAATAATGTAGTGTTTCGATGTCTCTAGTTGAACGTCTTTTTTTTTCCTATCTAACCAATTATGATTTTTCCATCATCTTGTATGGAAATAGTAGGACGGCGTAGTGCCAATTTTTGGCCCCGACTCAATCTTCGGTGGTCTGTTAAAGACAATATCGAATCCACCGGTGATATAACAAGGGGCTGATTTTGTTGTTGCTGCTGCTGCTGATGTTGCTGTTGCTCCGATTGCTGCTCATTTGACTGATTGTAATGTTCGGCCAAATTGCGACTCAAAATCTCGGGTATTTGCACCGAGAGCCGTGTATCCAAATGGCCGATATGAAGATGGTGTTGATGAGTGAGTGTTGCACGTCGGAGACTTGTTGTCGGCACATTTGGCGAATAGAAAAACATTTTTTACACGGTCATCGCCTTCGCTACCGTGTGAAGAAAAAACAACGGCGTATAAGAAGCTCGCGGGGGGGGGGTAGTCGAAAAAATATGGAGATGAGGCGACTCTCGACAAACAGCAGACGATGTTGGGGAGGGGGAGGCGGAGAATGAAACTGGCACAAATTTAAAAACTTGAAACTCGCGCGCGAAGGATTCCTTCGCTTCACGCTGTTTTCCACAATCAGCGAATTGGCACCACGTTTAGATGCGTATATTCAATTTACGCTTCCAACTCATAAGTAACTTTGCTACTTTGACAATGCTGCCTGAATGCACTTAAAAAACACCGTATTGCTTTTTTCTGGTCGGAACCCTGTGGGTTGATAGGATTCAGAGTAATCTCGAAAAATTAGTAAAAAAAATGATCAAAGGGGAAATTATTTGCGTCTTCGCTCCGATTTTTTAGTGTTTTGAGCGTAGCACATATTTTTTTACTGAAAGTGAAGAAATAAATATTTAGCCGTTTAGTTCCAGAATGGGAATCTTCAATATTAAGTGAACGCTTTCATAAGCCTTACTAGACATTGACTAATCATTATTTATGACATTGTAATACCAGACTCAAAATACATTTTTGAATAATTGCAAATAAATTGAAAAATTAGGAACCTCGAACTCCGTTCAACTTTGTCAAAAGTTGGTCGACATCGAGTTGTAATGGCGCCACACCCATTCATTCAGCAGGAATATTAATACAATAAATCTATCTGCAATTCAATGCCGGACAAAAACTAATTCGACAAATTGAAAGTAAAACAATTGGTTTTGGCGATATGGGTTGGCCTTTGTGTGAGACGAAATATTACATTTTCGTTGGGCCTTCTCAGCACGCTTAATCGTCATCAGAATGTCAGTTATTAATCCATCACAACAACGAGAAAAAAGGAAAAGATGTCGGATGAGTTTTTATCGGAATATGAAACACTGCGTGAACGTTTATATCAAATGCATTACACTTTAAAAAGCAAGTGTCTTCAAAAAATGGACAACTGGTGGTTTTTGCAAACAAAATCGAAGCGCTATAAAATGATTGGAATTTGTAATGGACCACCTTTCTAGTAATAAATCAAAAACTAGATGCATTTCTGAACTGTTATTTATTGAAAATCATAACAACAGTCTTGGAAATACATGAATTTTAAATGATATGAGAAAGGCGGTCGTTTCAGAAACCGAAAAAAATGGGAGTTTTGAATTTGTAATGAGTTTTCGAAGAATTTCTTGTTTTAAGACTTAAGAAGACCCCTTTTTCATCATAATATGTACCTATATACATGAATAGCAATATATGCAAATCAGAATCACAAGGAACTTGACGAAAGTAGGATTTCGCCTAGTACCGATCCAAAAATAATTGTATTGTTTTCAGTGTTCCGATTCTACACATATTTCATATATTCGGTGGTTTTTATAATTAAATTATAAAATATGGGTGAATAGAATCATATAATAAACAAATAAATTAACTTATTTGATCAAAATAATTTTAAAAATATCATTGCGTCGAGAAAATATTATTATAAGTTTTCTTTTGGGAGAAATTTCAAAAGGTGAGAAAAAACTTTGACCTAAGAAAAAGGCAAGTTTTCTAATTATGTACATATAGTTACTGGCCACCCAGCGCTGCTTTACTAAAAGCGAAAAGTTCACTCAAAAAATTTGAGTTTTCTCAGCTTAACAAATCACTATTTACAGTGTGAAGGACTAGCTTCTAATTTCTCATATTGAAAGCGACGCAATGAGCTTTTTATTGCTCATAACCAATGACCTTGAAAGGGCACGGCCAGTTTTTTAATTTTCAATTATAAATATTAATATAATTGTCTCTATGTTTATAACAAATTCCGTTATAATAGCTTTTTGAGAAGCAGCAAGAGAATGCGTTCGGTTGGGATTTTTCAGTTTTTCTAATTCCGCTGAGATATGGACTTCCGTGTTACACCACATATGGTAACTCAGAAGAGATGAGATATTGAATGACTTAATAAAACGATGACCATTTCGCATAATATATTCATTAAAGTGGGGAATATTAATTACCTTTATTTGCCTCATTTTCGGCTTCCTTGATGCCAGCCGTTGTTTTAATAAGTCCGGCTGCGCTGAACAACGCAACCGCCGGACTGAACTGCTCATTCCGGAATGCTTGCGAGAAAATCATTCGCTTCAATCAATCCTTCATTTGACAACCCAAATCAACTATTCTTTATACCACCTGACATTTGAATAAAGGAATGACATATTAAAATAAGCAATGCGTCTAACTGACAAGAAAAGCAAATGTTGATTGTTTACTAAAAATGCAATAGTGTTCGTTCCCAAAAATAGTTTTCAAGCTAATACGATATGTATGTATTGTGAATGGCTATAATGATATATGCAAGAATGATGCGCACTTGAAAGCCAAATAGAAATTATATAGTAGCGAACACCGAAAATTTTTTTATAATCACTGTGTTTGACTACTTTAGATATGGCCGAATTTCGCGAGTTTTTGTTTCGACCATTGGTTTCGTAGATCTACATTTTCAGAACAAATGAATTGAGACAGAACGATTTGTTTGGGCACATTTCGAAATGAGAGCTGTAAAACGTTGAACACTGCGGTGGGTCTAAACATGACGTCCGGATGGAAAAAAATTCTGAACCACGAGGGGACAACGAGAATCCTCGTTTTTTTTTTTGTCGGCGCTAGTTAGACTCTACATGCCCCGTTGTTCTTTCAAAACGAATTATAGCCGGGCTTCCTGCGAACTTCGACAAGAAAAATATACAAATAGTTATATGGGAATTCCCAAAGAGACTATGGGTGTTCTACTGATTTTGTAAAAGTTGAGTGATGATTATAAAAAAACAGTATGTTTTTCATTGAATTAATCCTAGAAATGTATCGTTGAGCGTGGGATATTATAATATATTTTTTGGCGAATTTTGAGTTAAGCATAAAATTTGTTTGATAACTGATGAGAATTAACAACCTTCAAAGATTTATATTGTCAATGTCGCTAGACTGCGAAAAATTGGCTGATTTCCAAAACTAAAAAAACAATGGCCGTGGTGCAAAACTAAGTGTAGGTTTACGGGCCTAGGTATGAGGATACGTTAAAGGTCCACCGAGCACCGAGACCTCTTCTTATATTTGTTTCCATTTAGCCAATTTTCCAGTGTCGTGCGACGTCGATAATACTAAATTTTGAAAGATGAATCGTTGCTTTAACTCCAATCGTTTTGTGGATAATGTTGCGGAATCCTTCTTTTCAGAAAAAAACCCAGACTACTTTAAATTTTACGATAAGCTAATTCAGAGCGCAAATTTAAAAAAATTAAGAATTCCAGTAGTACTAAAGTTGAAGCGGACGTCACCCAACCATAATGTTCAGTTGACCACAATGTGCTTTGAAATAGGACAGCAGAAGTAATTTTTAGATTCCTAAGCTCTCGCAAAATGGGTTTGGGAACGAGCGGAGCCCGGGGAAAGCTCGAGAAATTTGCCTAGTCATCAATGATCATCGAAGTCGCACAAAAGCCATTCATTTTTCGGAAAAAAATCTAAATATGGCATATGTGCCTACATAGAAGCCTCTCCACCAAAAAATGGCGAAGAAAATGGAGCCATTTGTCAAACAATTACTTGCACTCGCTTATTTCTTTGCCCCACAGAACATCAAAACCGAGCTGTGAAAAATGAGATGAGCTGGGTCAATTCTAATGAATATAGCGGATATGAAAGCTAGCAAGGAGTCGAATAATTAATATCCCGTTGGGGAATTCGAGGCGAATTGCTTTCTCAGGGTCTTTTTTCCGCATTGTTCTGTCAAAATGCACCGTCAGGAGTGTAATTATTAAAAATTTCGTAGTATAAATATTAAAAAAAATTAAGAAATACAAGATATTTCTAAAACGTCAAATGTCTTAGAAATATCAAAATAGCAGTTCTAAGAATTTTCTATAATCAATTCCCGAAATTTTTAAATATATCATTTATTACCTCATTTTATATCTCTATTAATTACCTATTGGCAGAAGGTAACAATTCTTACCTCTAAAATAATCTTGAATCGATACAACAAGCAAAACATCGGAAATACTTCGGCAGATTTTGAGCAGCATTTTCTACTCGAATGGCTTGAAAGGCGAGAATGACTTTCTAATTGCACCCAAATTATTAAAATCATCTCATTTTTGCGCTCGCTGCCGTCCCCACCCATTCGCCGCGAAAGCTGTCGGAAGCGAAAACATTGCAGATGGAAAAATATGAGCATGACGAAGAAGTTAAACGCAAGCAAAGATTTATGTTGAATGTAAGATACATGTGTTGACGAATGACACTTTCCATAACAGGTCATCCATTCTATTAGGTATAAGTAATTTATTCAATGCTACAAGCCGGCAAGGATGTCGAATTTGGAGTAATGCGGCAAAAACGAAAAAAGATGAGAAAGCAATTTTGGGTACTAATTAAAACGCACTATTGAAATATTTATCGAAACGCATCTTGGCGGTCCGCAACAATGCACATTTATTCAGAGGGTGGAAAAGAATCATTATGCGATTTTAAGTGCTAAATATTGCAACGCTTTGTGGATGGCAATTTAAAGTAAAACTCTAATTTTAATATTGATAAATATCTAGCACTGATTAATTTGGTCGTCTGAAAATTGAGCATTCTAGTTCTAGTTTGTCTCTATTTTTTCCATGGAGGTCTCTTGCTACTTTCTTAAATTAAAATGATTCATTTCAACATATCTGGAAGGTTGTAACAGAGCGTTTTTTGAAAATGTTTGTAAATAATTTTAAGTTGTAGACAATTCTTATCTAAAATTTAAGACAAAATATTCATTTTTTTTCACATATTCTGAAAATGAGTAAAATATTTGGCAATGAGTTTTTATTAATTATATTGTTATTTATATACCCGTCAGCCTTATTCATTCGTAAATTCGAAGAGCACATTTTCCATTAAAAAAGAGAGGACACCGCAATTTGTCAAAATCACGATTATCAGAAGCCCACAGACACTCAGGAAATTGGTTAGCTCATTTATCAAAGAACCGAACGCTCGCTGTGTGGGGTTTTTTTTCGTCTCGTCCAATTCGCCTTCCCTCCTCTATTCTTTTCTTTTTATGCGGCCAAATAAGGTTAGAAAGCGATAAACAGCGTTGGGACGGCGAGAAGGGACATAAATTAATTTTAAATGGAAATAAGTTGATAAATATCGTTGCGATGTTTGGCCGCATGAAAGCCACAAAATGAGCATGGAAGGCATTTTGAGGGATATTTACCAATTAAAAAAAATGAAATGAGATTTACAAGAGATGAATATATTATAACTGAAATCTGACATCCATACCAATGTATCCAACATAATGTAGTTGTATTTTTTATGGAAATCATTGAAATCAAAATAGTTTCAAACATAGTGATGATACTCTATGACAAAGGGTACCTTTTATAGCATTAAAGATTGGGTCCAACCTTTATCATTTGCTCGATCCGGATAGAGCTCGGCGAGCTCATTCGGCTCCTTGAGGTGGACTTTTTTGGTGCCCGATGGCAATACGGTGATGGTCATCCGCCGCGCATTCTCCTCGAGCGTCCATTGATTCCAGAATTTCCTCAGGAACATTCTCGCCGGTGTCCGGTTACGGTACTTGACCGCGCCGGCTCAATGATATGAAGAAAATAGATACGCGCTGCTTAAATTGTCAATATCGGCGACGGAAAGAAAAACAAGAGGCGTGAACGCGATGGCAATAACACAACCAAATATAAAATATATGTATGGGACCACCTTGAAAAATAAGATTGAAGTCCATCCATAAAACGAAAGCATCTAATAAATACATGGATTTTATGATTGACGTTTAAAGTATTAGTATACTTCGAACTTTTGCCATTTTTTTAGCCGAAAATTGCGAAAAAAAAAGTAGTTTCGAAATGGAACATAACCCCCGAATAACGTGAAAATGATATTTTTTTGCATGTTTGATTTTGAAATCCCCCATGGGTTTTATTGTTATTTTTTCTATTTGTTCAAAAACTACTCGAAGCGAAAAAATTTGATAGTAATCCTATGACAGCTAAGAATTTTTACATAAAAGGGTTATGGGTATAAAAAAAGGGGAGGTTTAAAGTAAAACGAAAAGAACAAATTTTGACAAGATAATGCTATGACCTTTTAAGAATCATACTATTTCGAAATTTTATTGAAAAATTGGGGATATGAAGAGTTGGTTTAGCGGACCTGCTGCTGGCGTAAAATCGTATACTAGAAGGGAGCAGTGGGCGTCATTATCCCAAAATCCGTTTGGCGTCGCGTCCACGGATTTGATGGCATACTAATTCAAGTGAAGAGTAAAGTGCAACGCGCAAAAGTAGACAAAAAAAACCGAGGTTTTTGGTTTCGGACTGCAACCTATTCATGAATGCGAAACGGATGGATGAGCACAACATTTCGTGCATTCAGCGCGACGCCTTCGAAAAGCACCTCAGTGAAAATTCGCACAAACTACGACCACCTTTCCTCTAAAAACGCTAATAAATATCCGAAATGACATTGAACAATCAAATTCGGTGCTCAAAGTCAAGTCAGATTGACAATTGTATAGCTTTAATTGACAGCGTTCTTTCCGTTTTCTCGTTGTCTATCTGAATCTCTTATAATCTAATATCTAATTTCAGCGTCAGACCGAACCAAAAAAGAATGAGCAGGCAATGTATAGTAGGATCAATGCAACATCAAATGGATGGAAAACAAACTTCCAAAATTTCGCCAAATAAACATTTTTTTTGTGCGAGTTGTTGGCACATCATTCAGTATGCCCACTTTTGGAAGCAAGAATTATGTTTTTTTGTTAAATAGAAGCATATTTTCTTTGAAAATTGCACATGTTTAGCAAACTATGTATATATGTATATATAATTATTTAAAGCTTTATGACATTTTCCTAGTAGATTAATAAGATGATAATTGAATTGTACCTCCTAATTAATATGATTTCGATTAATTATGAATTGCCATGAATTAAAAGCAGATTTTAAAAAAAAGTATGTCTCTACAAATATCGAATATCCCTTTTCAGTTACGAATAATTAATTTTTTATTAAAAATTTCCTAGTTAGTTAAAAAAAAGAGGACGCGTCAAACTAAGAACTATTAAAGCGATAAAATCGGTGTAAAAAAACGAAGGCGCTGAATTCGGAAACCAAATCATTTGGCATTGTAACTTTTTAAAAAATTAGCAAGTGCTAAAAACCTCAACATAACTCAAAACAAAGACGTTTAAAAAATAAACAAGTTTATTGCATGAATTCGGGAGGAACTTGCCACCCATGGGGATTTCAAGACCATACGCAACCGAGGCGAAAAAAAAAAACGTTATGCGTCTTATTTATTTTTGTTTACTGGCAACAATCAAGGATGAGAACCCTTGGCTTTTCTCATATGTTAAGTTTGGCGGTAGGTCATCAGTGGTCAAATGGGTAGAAAAAAAAGAGAACCCAAAACCAAAAATCTGTAGGGATGGCAGGAAAAGGGTGAGGGGCACTGAGAATGAATGACCAAAAACGGAAACATATGCTCGTAAACATAAATTAAAGTTTTCGAAAAAGCAGTGCGTCCCCAGTGCGCGTAGAAGCATGCTTGAGACGTGACGTTTTTTTTTCGTGTCTTCTTCGCGCTGTGCAAAAAAAAATTGGCACGCCTACAAATGTCACAAAACAATGGATCAACAAATATTTTCAACTCCAGGCCAAATGTCGCGGTCGGCAAAAAAATCGCATTTCGGGAGTTGCGGTGTTTCTTTTCCGAAAATATGAACGCCCTATCTTGCACCACAAAGGGCAAAAATTGGATTTCACTGAGGTCCCGAGCGACGAAAAAAAAATTGGACTAGGAGAAAGGACGAATACATTCTAATTGATTTCCAGCAAGATTTATGTTTATTCGAAGCGCTCGCGTCCGAGTGAAATATGTGAAGCTAGGAGGGATTTTTAGTTTTATACATCTTAATAAAATTCCTTTTTCGAAAGAGTAAAAATCAATGAAAAAAATTTTTTTATTTTTAATATCTTATGTACAAATTTTAAAATGTGAGACTGATTAATTTATTATACGTTTAAAATTAATTATGCGTTAAAAATTTATGTGTCATTTATCTGTCATTATTCCTTGGTATTCAAAGCTTATGTTTAAAATATTGTATAAATATTGGATATTATATATATATTGTACGATTTAAGAACTGTGTATAGTAAAAAATGGAAAATTTGGTTTAAAAAATCTGATCTGTATGTTACCCCAGATAATTATTTTCCTAAACAAATTAGAATTAAAATTTGCAATTATCTCGTCAAAAAATTTACTTAAATTTTAAAATTTCTACAGAGAAAGAGCAAGCTCGGTTTCCCGTTTTGCAAGCAATGCCTTAAAATTTGAAAAAAAGAATTATAAATGCCAGTGTTGCCTCAGAATTATACATTGGTTTGCATAGTATACACGAGAAACTAAGGTCGTGAAAAGAGAATGGGTGATTTATACATATATCATCCAAGTTTGGTTTACATTTTTTTTCTTCTTCTTCAACATGTGTCAAAACAAGACATTTTTGGAAGCAATTGGACAACACAACAAAAGGCGAGAATTCACATGCCAAATTAGGAGGGGTCCGAAAAGTTGTCAGAATCATGTTTTGAAGACGAAAAAAAAATGCATTTCGCATCGTTTCCACTGATTCGAAATGTCAAATGAAGATGGAGAAGCACGATTTTCATGATGCTCATCTTGAATTTCATTTTCTTACAAATGTGACTGATTCGTCTCGGATTACCGTTGGCGACGGCGACGTCGGTTTTACACAATTTCAGGTTTTTGCGGATTGGTTTTCAAGTTGTCACTTTTGTGATTAAAAAAAATAAGAGGACACTTTTTGAAACACTGATAAATATGACAAGCTAGGAAAATTAATTTCCAAAAATGTCAATTTCGAATTTTTTACATAGTTTAAGGAGAACTATTGTCGGCGTCAAACGATTGAGTGGGGCCGTCAATTTCGCGAAATCAGTGTAGATTTAAATTTTTCGTTGACTGAATATTAAATCCGTGTACACTATAACCCAATGTACGCAGTCTCGCGTACTTCTCGTTGCCGCGAGGTGTATTGGCACATAGCCAATAATTTTTTAAATTTCGTCAAGTCGTTTGACTTCGACAATTATTTAAATAACTTATATATAAACACTATAATCATTAATACTAGAATAAAATAACCAATGAAAATTATTATATAAGATTTCCCAAGAGTGATTCGATTCAACAAGAATACCTTCAGGAAATTAAATACAGGCGTTGGGTTCACACAATTTTTTTACAATTTATTTAAAGAAACTACTACGAAAAATTGATTTTCACAAATTCAAGGTTTATTGAAAACTATCTGCTTGCTTTTAGTCTACGATACCGTATTGCCAATTTTTAAAATGCTAAATCAAGTGTAATGATTCTAAAGTATATTCACGACAATTAATCAATTTTATATTCATTTTACAACTTTTTAATTAATTAGTTGAAAAATTGCAAACAACAAACTTTTTTTAGAAATTTGTTAAAAAAAGATTCTTCAATTAATTTTTAAACAATTCACATTTTTATTTCTTTAAAAAAATTTTGAACTCGTGAAATTTTGAACTCGGTTTTTGGTTTTAAGAGATGCGCAATAATTCCAGCGAGGAGAATAAAAAAAACAAAAAACATCATCAAAACAAAGGAAGAATGATGAATGCCGCACTTGTCCTTTTTTTAAGAAAAGAAAAGAACCAGCGTTCCACCAATTGCGCATAAGAAGCTTTGAAGTGTTACTTCTGACAAATTTTGATTAAGTGGCTTAGGAATATACGCGATTTTGTTTCCTAAGAATATGCTCGGCCCCGACAAAAAAAAAGACTTGAAGAATCTTATTCTTTTTTCGAAGAAAACCTACCTTCTGTTATCTGAATCGCTCGGATTCGGGGACGAGGTGGAGGAGGCCGAATAGGCAATGGATTGAATATTGCCCATCCTATCGGATTCTCAGCGGGCTCGATTTGAAGCGGACGATACTCCTCAACGATCTGGGTGCCGACCCATGTTGGGGGTACCAGGAAGTTGAGTGTCGTGTGCTGCGGATGCGATGGTGATCCGGCTGAGTGGCCGTAGGTACTTCGTCGCCGGTCACGCTCTCGTGTGGAACCACGACGCTCATCCATAAGGTGAGCACTCACGGATTGCAACATCGTTTTCAATCAATAGGAGAATATTAGAAGTTGAATAATACGCGGAATTTGCCAGTTTATGATGTTGCTTCTTCTTACACTTCAACTTTTTTTTTCTCTTGCTGGCCTTGATTCCACTTCTCGTTTTCAATGTTTAACATGGTGCCCAGCGTGGGTTTTTGGCGCTTTTCGAACTGCTCCCCTCTTCATTTTTTGTTCAATCTACTCATATTCAACAACTCCCTCGGCGATCATTTCTAATGTAAGTGTCTTGCCAAATATGGGATCTTCCGCGTTTTTTTTCCCATCTCGCTCTCTTCATAGATCAAATGTTGCGTAAAGGGATGGAAATGGAAAGTGGAAAGCATAGAAAAACAAATATTCTATAAAAGAAGATAATTGGAAAGAATCAATTAAGAAAATTTTTGATAGATTTAGGCGAGAAAATACGATGAGATTATGAGACCTTAATGCCTGGTTTACGGTATAGTTAAAAAAAATTTACACTTCAAATTAGAAATAGCCCGTCAAAACGTTCTAATTTCAAAAAAAGTGTATTGCTTTTTCAATTTGGAAATGTATAATTTGAAAATCTACATTGTGACGTGGCTTCTTTATTGAATGAATTTCAAACATGACTTACACGATCCGGACGGGGGCCCAAATGGCGTGAACTGTAGCAAAAGTGGAGTTCTCGAAATTGTTGGTAGCGCATTTGCCTTCCTTGCTTCATATGCCAAGGCACTGGCCAAAGGATCAACTTGGATGAGTGACTCACGAACACTGCGCAATGCCCACGATACAAATACGGACGACCAAAATTGGATATATTGATTTAACGAGTTATACACGTATTATGGAAGATTGGAAAAAAAATTAACAAACATGAGAAAGATAGTTTGGCTTACATCGGGCTCATTTTTCAGCTTCTTCTTGCGCTTCAAAGCGTTCTGATAGGTTTTCGAAATGCGTCTCGGCGCAGTTTTGATGTTGAGCGGCGCCATGATTTTGTGCAGAATTAAATATATAGAAAATATGTAAAGCCCAATATTATTATTAGAATGAAGGGGGCACTTTCCACCCTCTCCGTTTGGGACCACGTTAATCAATTGGTCCATTACGCGCTTCACTTAGCTCATTCTATTGTTTGATGGGGAGGGAGTCGAGCAACAAAAATTTTTTTCGAGGGTTCTCCTCCACAATATGCGCCGCAATTTATTTGCTGAAATATTCATGCAGAAACATGGTCATATTTTTACACGCGTTTGAGCCGAATGAAAATAACAGGGGTGGTCCAACTATCTTTCTCATAGCGACTGATTTTATGCACTAACCTTGAGCAATATGCACATAACTCGAAAACCGTTACAGAATACGAGTAGAGCTTGTAGCAAAAAAAAAGTGCGTTTCTCGTATTTGATTTTATTTCTCAACTTCTTGACGATATCCTGCTGTGTTCGAGAGCACGAAAATAATTGTCGTTGGCGCCTTCACTTCATAAATACAAGGCCGACGGGGAAGTGAAAAAGGGAAAAATGAGTTGATGAGGAAAAAACCCCAAACCCTCAGAAATGGAGCAGGAAAAACCGCTAGTGTTGCGTTGATTCCGTAAGCGGGGATTAGTTCACAATTGTGACTTTCAGTAGGGCATTGGAGTCATTTCGTCAAGTAACGTGCTTTTTTGTTAGTGTTGAGAACTAGCAATCAAAAGAAATTTAAGCCATTTTTGCTGGTTTATCAACATAATTATTATTATGTCGGTACAGTAATCTGGCAAAAGTGTGACCTTTAAAATGAATCACAAACAGACAAATTGTTTTTCTTCTTCTCTCGTAAGGAAAAAAAAAACTTTTAATTGCTGACTGAACTTTTGATTCCATTGTACCAAATAAGAAAGAATGAAAATAATAGAGCACTCAAGCTACAAATATAAAAAAATTCCTGCAAAAAAATATGGATCTATAATTGTTCAAAGCGAATTAAGAGAATCTTAGATTTTCTGTAATTTGGGATTTTGAAACATCTGTAAAACAAGCTCAGTTATCGCTTTTCGGAAATTACATAAGAAACCGACATATAAGTATTTAGTATTTCAAATGACCAACTGAACAAACTGAACTATATCAGAATAAGAAGCTAAAGAAACCAATGAGATTCAGATACCGTATACGACAACTTCATATTGTCTCATTTTCATATCAAAATTTGCGAAACAAAACTCACCTTCAGGTTCCACTTCAATAGGTAGCATGAGCGGCAGGTATGTGTAATTTAGAAGAAAAAAAATAAAGTATGAGATTTATGTTGGGGGTGTGGGTGCCTCTGTCAGACGAATAAGCCGTCAAATATGCTTCGTTATTTAATGTGAAATGCAGAACGCCGATGAAATAGAAAAAAAACCCCATAACGCTCAACGCATTTACTTTACTAATTGCTCATAATTATGTACAAGATGCATCATCAAAAGATGTGTCAGATAAGGGAAAGTCGAGAACATGTTTTCGACATTTCGGAGAAACGCAAAACCAATAACACCATATTGGGATGCGAGCAACAAGCATTGAAAAGCATGGCATACCTCGTAAGACAACTCGTTCGGATACTGTAACCAGTGTCGAGAATCGGCGATTTTGCGATTTCACTGAGATCGGCGCCATAATAGAATTGAAAATTTCACAGGGAGGATGCGATGGTCGCCTTAATGGTGGTGGGCACGTGGCGCGTGTAGCCGATGCCATTCGTCGCACGATGTCGGCATCGCTAGCGATAAACACTGACATTTTGGCCCGACGACAATTGTTTCAAATAAAGCAAATTATTTAATAAATTGTGGTCGAGCGAGCCGTCCAAGATGATTGAGTTTTGTCGCAAAGTGGTCATCACTCTCCATTATTTTTTACTCCCTAATACCCTCCCAACACAATCACATAGTGCTTTCATTGATGATTGTTACAACTCATTTGGAGTGCATTCCTCTCTTTTCCATTCACGCTACACGACAAAATGCATGCCAATTTCTAAACAAAACGTTTTTGCAAATTTTCATATATACAAACATTTCCCAATACGTTCAACTCTTGAACATGTCGTAGCAGACCTGTCTAAAAGACAATGACAAGAAAAATAAAACTCACCTTGATTAAGGAGAAGAAGGAGTTCAAGGGTGTCTTCCTGAGAAAGTGGATAATACTTTTGTTGAGGCGGTGGCTTGCGACCCTTGCTATGCTTCTTATGAGCAGATGTGAGCTTCTACAAGATTGAGATTAAAAAATTGAAAGACCTCACGAATTAATCATTTTTTTCATCAAAACATTTTCAAATCTCGATATTCTCATGATACATATATCTCTCAATTGCTGATCAATCATGATCAGCAATTGAGTGACATATGATCCAGTAACTTAGCTGAGTTGTTTTCCAATGTCTAACATTGTCATTTTTTAATTGATGAGACGTATAAAAACTATGTTTGAATCGGTGTTGATAATAAAAACTTTGGGAAAATTGAAATTTTGGAATTTAAGATTTTTTGTTTTTGAGGTTTGAAGAGGTCAATGATCTTCTTATTAATTTTTTTCGAATCAACACTTACGCTTACCCTCTCTTGTCCTATTTCATCCTGACTTGTAGAATTTGTTAAAGGTAGCATGGAGTAGGCACGAGGCCTTGAAGGTTGTCGACTTCGGAATAAACCCTAAAAATTTACGCATTTTTTTCATTAACAAAAATGAATACATCAAATGCAAGGTAGCTACCTTCATCGCTTTTTCATGTTTGAAACTTTCTGGAATAGTGCACAATTTTTTGTTGAACGGATAGTGATCAAATTAGCAGCTGTGTGGGATCAAGTGTTGCAGAATGAGTGGTTGTCAAGTGTCAAAAAGTGTTAAAACATTGAGATTGATTTATTTTCGGTTTTTTCAGAAAGAAGAATCAATCACATCAATTATTATGTAACAAAATTCGAGGTTACACGAGGAGGAGCTGCTTCTTTAAAAGTTTTCGGTTTATTTCTGACAAATGAGCCATGAAAGCATTTCTATGCATACATAAATGAAAGATCTGAAAGGAATTGGTGATGCTAAAAAAATAACTGAACATGGAATTTTATAAGCGAACGTGAAATTTGAGGAATTAAGGAAGTCTGGTTTCGGTTGACAACCCCCTAGGGTAACTGGATATTCCCCCTTCTGAACAAGTTGCCAATAAATATTAAGAAATGATTTTGTCTCATATGGCTAATCGATCAAATCACATATGTGAGTGCGTTCGGTATACCAACAAAATTTTGGCAAAACGCAATTTTTATGAGACTAGCTTAACCCCACCGAACGCCGTCTTAACCATAGATTATAAACACTTGGCGGTAGGCATATAAATTCTTTAAAACCCAAAAGAAAGAAAGTGCACTCAATTTGGGTGCATCATATGAAATGAAAACAAAAAAAATACATAATGTAATTGAATTATGTAAAAGCGTCGCATATTATGTCGGGTTTCGTTTAAAGAAAAACAAAACAAAACCGCATAATGTTTGGAATTTTTTCAAAAGGCTTCTTTTGAATTTTTGGGGTTCAAAACAAAACCACGATACTATGTATTACTGCTATACACACATTTTGTTCGTGCTCAAAAGTAATTTTATTATAATGTGGATTTTTTTTCTATAAATTAAAATATTCAACCCACTTTCGCGACTCGAGGACAATTTTTATTCTATCTCTTCAACGAAATTATTTTTTAAAAAATTTCCAATATTCAGCATTAAGAAAAATAATTGACTGACGATCGGACGAAATAAATCGAGCAAATCACATATTTTATTTTCCAGTTTTTTCTTTTATATAAAGAGCAAAAGTGACGACGTACATAAGAGCACTCAAAACATTAATAAATGAATGCATTGCAAAAATTTTTTATAAAGGAACGTTTTTTATCCCAAATGTTACATGGTTCCTTATAGAAAGTAATGACTCGTATTCAAGAATCTTAGAGATAATAAATGAATAAATGGTTAATTCATAGAAGGGAGAATTGAGTCTTACTTGAAAAGAAGCCTTCAAACTGATGAGACAACTTGTGCACATTTAAATTCTTGGCAAAACAACAACTATTACGGTAAAATTAGATAAACAAAGGTTTTTTTCGCGCTTGAATGACATCTATGAGACCAAAAATGAGAATTGTTCCAATATGAACTGAATTGAATTAATAACGCCCACAAAATTCGGCAAATCGAAAGAATGGTTCATTTTTCAAAAATCGCTTGCAATTGGGATGAATGACCATTTGTTTGTACCACGCAACGATTTTAATGTGCTCTTTGTTCCCCTTTCAAATTGGAAAAAAATGCGTACCGAAGCAAAAAAGCCGCCGCCGCCACCTCCAGCGGGTGGCGCAAGGTTTAGCTGAACCTCTGTGTGCATGTTTTGAGCATAATGGGATACCACCAATGGAGAAACAATCATAGTCTGAAAAGTTTCGTAGGAATCGACGGTCCAATAGTTATAAATTATTTGTATTTGGATTACGGTAATTTTACGGTAACATTATAATTATGAAATGTTTCTATACCTGTTGGGGATGAGCTCCCTGCGCAGACTGCGAATGTTGTCGCTTTGTATGATGTCCTTCTTTCTGAGGTGGTGGATCCTTTGGGACCTGCGAAACAGATGTTAAACGGCTATTTAAAAAATGTGCATCAAACCTGAGGAAACACCATCTCGCCGCCAGACAGACACCCAATGAAACACTAATCAGCACCCTAACTGCAAACAAAATCTACTGGTGAACCGCGAAAACAAAACACGAAAATAAAGAAAAATGGTTGGGTGATTTTTTTTTGCGGCGAGACAACGGAAGGAAGCGGCAGGAAGTTTTTTTCCGCAGCGACCGACGCGTCGGCCGAGTCGACGTAATTGGAAACTGATAGAAATGAATTCAAGTGGTAAAAATTGAAACGCTCCAAGGAGTCCGTAGGTCGTTTTTTTTTTGCTTAAGGTTTTTTTTGCGTTTCGGAGCCCTGAAGCCTTCTCCAACCAAATATGAAGAAAGATAAATGAGAAATGTGCGGCACACAAAAAATTGCTCCAACTCTCAAGACAATCATATATAACAATTTTTTAAAAGGAAATAAATTTATCACTAATGCTTTCGAGAAATGGAAAAATTTATATTAACTATAGTAAAGGAAAGTTTTGAAAATGGCAAGAAATTTAAGAATTTTTGAATTTTGGAGCTTTTGTGATAGTGATGGCTAAATATTTCCCATTTTACGATTTTTCAATGAATTTTAACAATCAGGAAAAAAATAGTAGGTTGAGCCACTTTGAAAATTGAGAAAAAAATTGAAAGACATAAATTTTGATCTCCAAGTTCATCGTTGTGAATTATGTGTCAAACATTGTATGCGTAAAATATGACATTCACAATAGTGTCAAAAATGTAACATTTTTCGAATTCCCATGAGAAGAAACAACTTGGTATGTAAGAAAAAAGTTAAGTATTTTCAAAATTCTGTGCTAGGGCATGAAAAAAATGGAATTGGCCGACTTTTGGCATCCCATTAGGGTATCAATATGTCAGGGTGGAAAGAAACTTTCAAACATTTGACAGGATGGCTAGTTCACGAGAATTCGCAAAATGCAACATTTTTTTTCACGAATGTTTGAAGATGAATGAACTTTATCAGGCATTCATCTTTTAGAACTTGCTGAGTGAGCCCAAGGGATGCAAGAAAAAAAATGCAAACAAAATCTGAGGGTCAATCAACACATTCCCTTATTACTTTTAGATTAACAAAATAAAAAGAACGGAAGTTATGAGAGGAAAAAACGAGCAAATATGATACACATGGATGGAAAATTGGATTTCGCCTTGTTAGATATCCCTACTTTGACAATTTTTGCAAAATTTCGGGTTTGGGTCACAGATTTTCAAAAAAAAAATTGGATTGCAATCACATGTTATATCAAAAATGTTAATATTTCAAAGAACAAAATTGCGTGAGTCGATTTCGACTTTTACGGTAGATTTAGGTCGCTTGAGGATTTCTAGAACAAACATTTTGAATACTAATGTATGAATATTAAATTACAATCCGCGAGCAGGATTCCAAAAAGAGGCCGACACGTTTATTGTGCAACCTGCTGATCCGGCACAATACGAAAACAGATGCGTATAATGTTTCAATTAATCCGCGTATCGAGACTGGTGCCGTCTAACAATGATTAATATGAGACGTTCAAATCTTTGGAGTCAATCATTTTGATAAATATAAAAACTCTAAAAACTTGAAGGTTTCTCTCTTGATTAGATTTACTTTTGCGTTTGTTCTTCCTTTTAATTATATAGTATTGTCGGTCTTAAACAACAGATCGATTTTGGCAGACATTTCTCATGGAATCAATAGAGATTCAGAAAATTGCCACGTTGGCTTAGAAATGGTGCAGAGAACGCACAGATGCCCAGGTATTTTGGCCTCAAGACAATTTGGCACGGAGTCTATTAATTTGCTTACAAGCTATTATTTAATATTGAAATTTTTTGAAACGTTTTTTTTTTCAAATGTAATTCTAATTTCACATAATAACAGTAGATTAACTAAATTTCTACACAGTGAATTATTGTGAATTATCGCAGTTTTCAAGCGTTATTTTAATAATAATAATAAAAAAACAAAAGAAACGAAAGCTTCTCCGAGAAAAAAACAACTTTCCGTTTTATTTTGATGCAAAAAACATGCCCATATGTAGTATGGAAAGCCAGAAAAAAAAATGAGCAACTCTGTTCGACGAAGATTTTCGCCCATAATCACCCTTGGGGTCGTCCTCTCCGGCCAGTTGACGATATATTCCCGAAGAACTGAAGAATGGATGTGTTGCGACACAACGCGCCGACGAAATAAGAATAATGACATTCGGATGTCAAAAAAAATTGGGCGAGCCTCCCAATGTTGCCAATTTTTTTCTACATGTTTTTTGCTGATTTGAATAATATTTTGTGAGAAATTGAATCGAGTTTGATCAACAATTATAGGCATAGAAATGAACGAGTCAATTATTAAAATGGATTCTAGACAGGAAAACGAGGAGTCCTAAAGAAGACCTGGTCTGCAATGGTCGCCACTTGGATTGATTTTGTCCACAGCTACAGTAGTTAGAAACAGAATTTAAAGTAACGTATGCAACCAAATGACAATTGACGCTTTTTTTCCTGTGTAAAAAATTAAAACCCTCAATTTACCTTAGAAATTATTCCTTAAATACAAAATAACAATCTTTTTTCTAATCGTTAAATAATTAACCGAGTGTTAATTACTTCAAGAAGAAGGCTAGGAATGCTGCAGGCTCTAATCGACTGGTCATATTTTTCTAATCCACTGGTCATATTGGGCTCGGCTGAATCGACAACTCCGGCGTGATTTTGTCCATAGCTCCGATGCTTCACTCACAAGTATTACAAGAATCACCTAACAGGTATCATCAATTTGGTTATTTTTATAAGCCTGCAATGAAGGCATCGGCTTATCGCAATGTCTTGATCTGAGCGAAATAGTACCAGCAATTAATGTTATTTCGAGATGACGAAGAATACGAATATGCTGATGGAAATATGTCAAGTTTATTAAAATCATAAAATTTTAAGAAGTAAATCATTAAAAAAATCTCATTGCGGGGTTTAATGCAAAATCACTCAAGAATTCAGAAAATGAGGAAAAACGGGCGGAAAGAAAAGCTGCGTTGAACTGTTACAGGAACTGAGGGAAATGTGTTATTTTGAGCGGGTGATGAAAAAAAAAATAAACGAAGATCAAAGTGAAAATGAGTATCGATTTTCGAAACACCCATGACGAACGTTCAATATTGAAAGAAGATGTCATTATACAAATATGGCCGACTTTTGGGATATGAATTGAGATATCATTAAAAGTGAAGCCCCCCCTCCCTTGAAAAATATAGTTACATGCTGTCATAAAAATCAAAATGGTAATTTCAAAATATTGACAAAGAGGAAAATAAAACGCAAGGAAAACTCTCTGTCTTGATAAATTTTGACTATTCACAAAATATTGAAATGATTCACTTGTCAGCAGTTGACAAGCCGTCGCACCTGAAAAAATCATTAATTGATATAATTTTAAGCGTATTATTCAACTTTTTCTTGGATGGAGTGGCCTCCGGCTTGTCGTTGTTTCCTCGATGCGATCTTTTCTTTCTGGGCGCCTGCATTTCACTGTTTTCTTTAATTAAAACCTCGCCGTCGACGATTTCAACGTGCAAGGTGAGCAGTGATTTCTCCAAATATGTGTGATTTTCATCAACGATCTCATCGAAAACAGTTTTGACAAGGGCGTCGTCGCTTTGAGTAACAATGTAACCAATTTCTGAAATATAATTTTAATGAAACAGATAATCAAGATTCTCACTCTTCTCCAAAATGCTCATGTTTCCGTAGTCGACGTCTTCAGCACCAACACTCATTGCTGAAAAAAATGTTTTGAATCTTCAAACAGTTCAAGATGCTGAATGTTCGCAAATAGCATTAAAATGCTAAAAATTTGATCAAGGCGATTTGGATTCAAAATAATTTACGACTTGGCTGCGCATGAAACATATTCAAAAAAATTTTTTTGAATTTTCAACAGTACAATCTGCTTTTCACAGTTAAAACCTCTGTGTAGCTCCGTTCTTCAGGACACTGTACTACTTTTTTTTAAATAATTAAATTAATCAAATTACGATCAATTGGATTTAGATGGTTCGATCCATCTTTTAATTTGAATAATAATAATTATATTTTTATGTTTTTCGTTAATACCATTTCTTATTTTTTTAAACACATTTTCCTACCTTGAAGCACGAAGATTTCCAAGTCTTCTTTCGCTATGAGAACTTCTCCTGGAATAATATCAGTTGACAAATACTGATTAATTTAACCCACTAGTGATCGGCGGGGAATTATTTCCCATGGTCTTGTTGACGGTGCACGTTAATTTGAACACTGAAAACATAAACCAACAGTTTTCTTCTTAATTTTTTTTAAATTTACCGTATCCGGGTGCCAGCTTTTTCCAGTGATTTCCCAAATCGATTTCTAAACAAATTATAATATATGTATTATATGTAGCATATTAAATAAAAACTATCTAGCTCAGACTACCTTTTCAATTTATTATTTTCAGTTAGCTCAAATCTGCGAAATTTGATTTCTCACTGAATTTTACACAACAATTATGGTAATTTTACATTTTTATTTAAAAAAATCAACCCACCGGGAACGAAGGGAAATACGTGACTGAATGCGGCATCTAAAAATGAAATTAACACATTTTTTCAGTTTTCGGTTTTCAAACCATCTTGATCCGCAATGAATCCTAAGCGCTTAAGGTGCTCCGAGCAGTGCCCAACGTTGCGCATTGCGGCTGACTGAAAACTGAAAGACAGTAAGAAAATGAATAGAACCAATGTGTTATGCACCTATTGCTAGCAATAAATTCGATCATTGAAAAATCGTGAGAAGTGCTCGTATAATGGCGCTCGATAGTAATACCGTCACCCCTTCATGGTTAATGTTATGATGGTGGTCGTTTGAGCGATAACACTCGAGGACAATTCAGTTTTCATAGCTCATTGCAAAAATTGAGGGGCTTGCTTTGCTGTATAAAAGGGTGGAAAGCAAAATGACAAAAATTATTTGTAGCATATTAGAACGTATTCCGTCAAAATTCCTTATATCTATGTGAAAAGCAGACATCTTTTCAAAATGTTGCTCCTATTTAAGTAGTTTGAAAGAAAATGATTTCAATTTTAAGTTTTTAAGAATTAAACACACTCTCTTGCATACCTGAAAGACGTCCAAAAAAGAGCAGCAGCAGCAGCAGCTCAATTCTCTGCACCCAGTTGCTTCGATATCCTGCAATCTTAATAAGCATCATAACTTAAACAAAAATAAGATATCAATAATGTTTTGAACATTACATGAACGACAATATCTTAAAATATTTTCAAAATGCTTTATAAACAGAGGCGAAGGAACCAAATAGAGCAATTATTAATGGAGGAATCCGTTTAAATTAACATATTTCTTTTTTTTAATACCGGCTGGTTGGTCAAACCCAATGTATGTATACGATTATCAATGGTTTCCTTAAGGAGAAATCAGTAATGGCAATAGAAAAAAAAGAAATTCGCATTAATAAAAAAAAATACTAAAAACACGATTAAGGCTTAGAAAAGTTCTGAACTAAATGTGATTGATCGACTTGATTCACTCGAAGGCGTGTCCACCAATTAATATTGCTCATCAGAACAAAAATGACGATGAATCATCCGAATGTTGCTTCAATGCTGATCCTGCAAAAACCAAAATAAATCAACAATGTTGGTGTCTCATTTCTACCGTTGGCCGATTTTGAAAAAATTGTTTCAATTGATGGAAGTGGATCATTTGGCCCAGGGACTGGTAATGCTTCTTTGGGCGTAACTGCAATAATAATTTGACATCTGAAACTACATATTTTGTTTTGCTACCGTAGTCATCAGTGAATTCCAAAGCGCCATTTTTAAATGAATATACGCTTGGAAGTGATCCAACTGTAAGTAGTAATGTATTATTTGAAATCTGAAAAAAATTCTACCGTATTGAATAGGAGATGGAAATCCGTTGTTCGGAGTCGCTGATCTTATGGAAGTCGGCATATTGTAGACAACTGGATAGTTTGTTGCTGGCGGAGAATAGTAGTCTGCAAAAAATCGATAATATTCAAAATTCTCCGGCGCATTACCAGTCATCGTAGGACTAGTGTAGGCCTCGGCTTTCATTGCACTGTTTGATTCAAAACGAGCTGCAGAATATTACAGTGCGAAGACTCGAGAAATAATGAATACCTCTTTTCGCTGGGGTTGCATAGTTTTCGAAATATTCAATCGGCACTGGCGGTGTTGCGAAAATTCCGGGAAAATGCTGACCATATTCTAAAACAATTCAAAATGGAAACTCTCAGTAATTTGATTTTGTTGTTTTAGTCACATGTAAACATCGTTCTGGCTCATTGTATTATTTCATTTTACAACACTATCACCTTTTCAAATACACATTTATGTCCTAGCCATCAAAATTTACAACAACCTTTTATAATAAATGATTTTTGAAGATTATCCAAACATCCTTTGTCTCACATTCATAATGTCTATCTCATATGTCACCTAAATTTTTCCTATACGTCTGAGTTCAAATTTGCAAAATGCCGATGCTTGATAGTCTTACGATTTGTTAAAAATGAAAAACTCGCTGAATACACCAAAACCCTCCCAACGACACACATTGATAGTTCTATCAATTGGAATTAATTAAAATCATGCACTAACAAAAAAGTTAACAAAAACATGCAATCAAAGCAGTTATTTAAAAATAATCAATACTAACCTGGCCTTGGACAAATGCATGGATCGTGTTCGTAATATGTGGAAGCGAATAAGCTGGGTTCACCTAAATAATATATATTCCTTGAGATATACATCCCCCCCTATATATTCCTCAAAATTTTTTGAATTGACGACTTATCCAATTTTTTTTTTTGAAAAATTCAAGTTGGCAAAGTTTAGATAAAATTTAAATCAAACCTGCATTTGTTTTGGGATTGTACCAAATTGATTGCTGTTTTTTCATTGATCTTGCTGTGTAGATGTCCGAATCGAAACCATTGTGACGCGAATGACAAGCTAGCGACTGCGGTCGAAGCACAGGCGATTGGGTAAACCCATTGGTCAGGAATAGCTGCTGATCGTTTAGAGCTGTCTGACACGATGAAAATGGTGGAATGTAATCGTTGGATGGCTGATAGCTGGAAAACGGTGCGCGAACTTGATAATGATAAGTGAGTGGGGCCGGTGATCGCATGTAAGTACGAGAATCTCTAAAACTGTCGAAGCTCGGTGTTTGAAATATTTTACAGCTGCCTCGGTCAGATTGAGATTGTCCTTGATGAACCTGAGTTGCATGAAGCTGAGTTGCACTGTTTATAGTTGCTTGTGCCTGAGTTGTCGGATCCTGTGTCACTTGATTCATCATTGTGTGATCCTGAGTTGCTTGAGCTTCAGTTGTCTGTTCCTGCGCTGTCTCATCCTGAGTTGCGCGAACCGCTGATTTTTGAGTCTCATGCGATTGAGCCTGGGCTGTCTGATCCTGTGGTACGTGTGTCATTACTGCCTGATCCTGCGTTGCTTGATTCTGAGTTGCTTGAGACTCACTTGTTTGAGTCAGCGTTGCTTGATTATGAGTATCTTGAGCCTGAGTTGGTTGAGCCTGATCTTCTTGAGCATGTTTTGCCTGAGCTTGCGATGCTTGATTCTGAGTTCCACGAGGCTCATTAACATGAGAAAAATTAGTTTGCGCATGTGCTGTGTCTGTACTGTTGGTGTCTGTCTGTACAGCTAGCGTTTGAGCGGATCCTGTTTTTGCCTTCCTCGTTCTAGTTGATCGCTTCTGCTCAGAAATATATTCAATGTTTTCTCTTTTGCGCTGAGTTGGACGAGAAACACGCCGCGATTTCGTTTTGACACCTGCCGATAATTGTGCAACGGAATCCGAAGAAGTATTAGAAGTCGATGGTTCTTGTTTGACAGCATTTTTGGCTTTTGACGATGATTTTCTCTCGCGTTTTTTAACAGATTTCGTATCCGAAAGAGACAATAACGGGAAGTTGTTTGATTGTTTTTCTCCTAGTTTTGGCATTTTGGCATCATTTGGTGTCATAACCATATCTTCTTCCTCTTCGGAATCACTTTCTGAATAGACAAATACAAATCATTCATTTTTTTTTGGAATAGTTCTCACCAATTTTAGACTTATTCATATTTGCCTGTCTTCGAGTATTATCCGTCTTTTTTGGTGTTTTATTTGGACCGCCTGTAACATGCACTAAAAATTATTTAACACTCCATTCATATTTACCATTTTCCTTGTACCCCTTATAAACAATTCTCCAGTCTTCTGATCAATGTGAGAATAAATATTTTCAAATTTTCACAAATAATTTTAAAGCAAAAAATATTGATTTGAACATATTTTTACAGGAAAATTTCTTGATTCTTGTTTATAAATTCAACTCTACCATCATCTAAAGAAAAAGGCTTGTCGACTTGGACAAAAACGATCTGAAATTCGGGAATCGACAGAAACGAAATTCTGGGATGCAAAATAAACATGCCTTTGTCTAACGAAATAAAGGCGTATGCAATGCAACTAAAAAAAACAAATTTAAAGCTGCAAAAGGGGATAACTACTAGACGGTATGAAGAGACTTGCTGTTAATCCGTTAAAATCTTATATTATATTAATTTTTACAAAAAAAAATTAAATTAATCAACTCAATTGAATTGGTTTCAATTTCCATTTTCAATATACATTTACAAATGTTCTAACACCAACGTATTATTTTGTATTAGTCTGTTAATTAAGAACACTCAATCACTACATTTCACTGCATTTGCATTCCCCGTGCGTATTATGTAGTTGGAGATTCCATTTACCTGTGATTGCGGCCAATCGTTGAATGTAATTCTGCCCGTTTGATGGCGGAAGACCCGAAAAAATGCTCGAAAATTTGTAAGTCACTTGATTGCCTTCGATTGGCGGCGTCGGTTGACCATCTAACAATTTTGAGATTGGAGGTAGCGATTTAAATTGGACATTTGATACGATGGCTTCTAAAAAAAGTGCATTGGTGCAATATTTAGCTATTAATTGTTAACATTCTCTTTTAATATAAATTGGTTTTTTACACTTCTTGAATTTAAAGTGATTCTGCCACAAATGCGCAATTATTAAATTTTTGGGTAATTAAAATATTTCGTGGCTCTCTCTCTCTCTCTCTCTCTCTTTCTTTGTGTATACCCTACCAACAGATGTGATAGAAGCAACATCGATATTATGAGAATCCACAGCTTCTTCTTTCGACCTGCATGCAAGTGGTGGAGAATTCATCACCGAGCGTTTGAGCTGATCGTACTTTTGCTGTAAGCAAATGTTGTTGTTTTTTTTAATGGAAACAAATTTTAGACCCATGAATGTTTGACTAAAACGCATGAGTGTCTCAATATAATAAGCACCTTTGAGTACTCCGATATTTTTTAAATGTTACAGCCGAAAGTTAATCAGCAAGAGCATTCGACGCATTTTTTCCTATTATATTGCTCTTTTTGCATTTTCTATCCTTATTAAAACATTTCATAAGTATATTGGAACCGATCGAGCGAACTGCGAAATCTATAATGACTTCATAACCTGATGCGATGGAGAAAACACAATATAAAAACACTAAGCACTTTTGTCTAGTTGTGAGACATGTTTCCGAACGTCGGTTCGAATCATATCAGCAAAAGCAAACACTAAGGTAATTTATTCAATTCGATTCATTGTTGCCTATCATTTAACAATGATTGCGTGAGAACTTGACATTACTAAGAGCATTGAAAAATTTAAGAATTTCCAAAGTGCAAATTTTAAACATCCGGACAGATGACACTAAACGCCGAAATTGAATATTAAGAATTATTTAAAAAAAACAGATACCATAACGGAGAATCATGCTGGTTTCAAAGACGTCGAATAATATCGCAAGAGAGAGTTAGAAATTTCCGAAGTCATGCTTAACAACGACGTTGAAATGTGAGCAGAGCGAAAAATTTCAACAGCTCATTAAGTAAAATTCGTCGCGTGACTTAGCACACTACCTATAATGAACACTCACCTGGAATGAAAAAGGGCATTGCTTATTTTGTCATCATTATCGACTCGTTTCACCATTTGAAGGATAACAATTTTTTGGTTTGCCATATCCGATGATAGACGAACCGTTGTTCTATTCGGCAGTTGATGTAGAACAACGGAGTAGTAGTTTCCTATTGAATTCGGCTTTCGACAAAATAAAGGGAGAAAGAACAATGAAGCCGAGTGTGAGTTGATAAAGAGCTGACATTTTACAAACGACGCCTCGGTTTCCATAATCCGTTTCGAAAAGGTGCAATGAGACCGTTGCCACATCAACATAAGATTACTCATTTTTCGGAGTCTATAAGTGCAGATAACGCATAAATTAGGGCATTTGCTCGCTGCCTCGAGCGGCAATGAGAAAGATCATTGGCAATAAAAGCCAGCGACTGAATTTACAACAACTCGGCTCTTACAGGATTATGGGTTCAAACGAAAATGAAACAATTGGATTTATTCAATGACATGTGGAATCGAAAGAGGAATCAAGTGCTCGAAGAAACAAAGAATAAGCGAGATTCCTAAAAAGCTCAATACGAAGACCACCAATTCAGTTAAAAAAAAACCGACTACGCTTGGCAACTGCTTGAGAAAACCCGCTGAAATGCATTCATACTAGAACTGAATCAATTTTGTACGAAATGAGCTTTATGGCGTCGAACGCCTTTTTTGGTCTTTGCCCACCGTTTAGAAATCGCCGGAATAGAGAGATGTGTTGTCGATGATATTTTTTTCGTTTTATTGATTCGATGTTTTTTTTTTTCCCGTCGCGTCGCCAGGACAAGCCCACAGACGTTATAAAAAAATACAAAAACATCAATATCAGTCGATAACAGATCCGTGTCTTGTGTGAATCAAATACATATAAATCATGATCAAAGAGCTATGGAAACAATATCGATCAGAGAACGAGAAAGTAAAAAGCGTCATTATTTTTGGCTGAAACCAACCCCCCCACGCCTGCCCGAACGAAAAAAAAAATACAAATTACAAACGCTCAATGGTGAGAAAAAACGAATAAACGTGATCGTAAATGAAATGCTCATGTGATTCATCTTTTCTAGGCGATTAACGATGTAATACGGTCAAAATTGGTTTCGCACTTGCTCCGAAAACAAAATCTAAATGGTATGACCATTTATTGAGCGCAACAAATCGTAAACATCATTAATGGGGTATTTAACAGGGAAATTTATGTATTTCATTTTATTTTCTTAGAATTTATGTGCTATTAAAAATACCTTCAATGTCCGCAGCTGAAAATGAAGATTTCGTCGGGCGTTTGAAATGGAAATCCAAAGAAATTTTCTTTGCAGCAATTTGGAAGAATCTGAAGAAAAATTAGCATCTGATAGCAAATGAAACAAATATTATAAACGGTGCAAACGATTACGAAAACGAAAAATTGATGATGATTATTAATATTCATTAAAAAGAAAGCCAAAAAAAGCAACGGAAAATTAATTGAAACAAGCAGAAATGTGATAATGAAATTAAACAAAAAAAAAATAAAGGAGTAAGAAATCAAAACAAAATTGGATTTTTGTGTGAGGGAGTTCCACGGTTCATGATTTGCAATAAGTCTTGATAAGAAAAAACAACCGAAGTAAAACATTGAATACTAGAAATTGGGTTTTCATTAATGCTGAAATACTAGAGTGGAAAAACAAGATTTACATATAATCGGGATTCAACTCATTATGGGGGGTTACGATTGGAGTAGCTTCCTCCTCATCGGACGAGTCGAAAGCTTCTTCCAATTCTGTCTCGTCGAACTCGCCGTGCTCATTACGACGGTGTCCCATGAGAGGCGCAACTGAAATCACATATCGAATATATGTTTTTTTGTTTGAGTTTCGAGGGGGGGGTGGGATCATATAATAAAAGAAGAAATTTTTATAGTAGACCTTTGGAAATAAAACGAGTAGAATGAATTAATCGCTAGGTAGGTTCGACTCCAAGTATTCACATCTAGACTATCAGCAATTAATTCATAAAATAAATTTTGAAGAAACTTTAGAAGCGTTCACTAAATTAGAGACAAAAAATTACCATGGATTCCGTTACGGTAACCGTTACCGAGTCTGCGCTCAACTTCAAGCTCGATTCTTCGTTCATGATCTAACATTCCTGCCCTGTCGTCCCATGGTTGCTGCCAATGAACAACCTCTGAAATCAAGGAATTATTTACCAGTCGTATAAAGCATTTCTCACCGTTTGGGATGGTAAGGTGCGCATGTCTGATGAACTGTTCGATATTATTATGATTTTGTGCCGATTGCTCCAGTTGCCCGACGGAACCTTGATTTGGAGACCAGTCTGAAAATAAACACGAACATTTGTGTCTTATTGCTTAAAAAAGAAACAATACCAATGATCGATGGAATACGTCCGATTTGATTGTGGTTGGGAAGTCTAGCGGGTTCCACGTTTCCCACACCAACGTAGCTGTCGACTGGTCCCGGGTTTTCTGGTGATGGACGCGGGGTGCTACGACCATTGGTCGGAAGATTCTGAACAGCGCTGGTTGCAGCGCTATTTGCGAATCCGTCGTCATGAGCGATTTCCAATGTCGGAATTTCTCTCGCACGTTCTCCTTGAGCGCTCTGCAGCTGGTTGTCTGAAAAGAGTGATCTTAAAAATATGTTAGAAACTCTGACTTGCCTTCGTTGGGACGCTGGCCAGCGTCCGAGTCAAGGCACAACTTCATTGCTCCAAACTTCTCTAAAATAGCGTTCGATTAACCAAGCTAATGACTAACCGGAATGAAAATTGATGGAATCGGGGAAAAAATAATAAAATGATATTTATCATAGTTGTGATCGCGAGATGAGTCATTGATCAAGTCTCGTGTCGCCTGTGTTTCTTGTTAATTTGACCAAAGTCGTAAAGGAATACAATAATTCGGGTCTGGTGTAAAATATGCCAATGTGATTTTCCGGAATGAGCACCCCCCCCCCCTTGAAAATAAAAAGATGCCGATCAGAGTGGACACTAAAATATTATTACTAGCACTTTTTGCATGCCTTTGAAGGTAATTCAACCGACAAATGGTATGGCAATCATTTTTTCAACTTTGACTGCATCCCTCAGTACTCTATTATAGGACAAATGTTCGATTTGCTTGACATTTGTCTAATACGGAAAATTTACTTGCTTCGAAAACAGATGCGAAAATAGTGGGTGCCGTTGTTTACCGTTTCCCTACGCGCCAAAACACGTCACGTTGGAAAATGTGTCGCCAAAAATTCCCATGACCTAAAGAGTGAAACAAAAGAGGTTGTATAAATTCGTCAAAAAAAAATTCAAAACAGCGACCCGATCGGACGCGCCGTTTGTTTGTTTTGTGTTCGAGACGAGCTGCCGTATGAATGTTCTGCAGATGCTGCGAATGGGCGGGGTCGGGCGTCGCGGCGCTTGTCTTGCTGTACCCCTACCGCTTGCCGGGGTTCCTAAAATTCTCTCGCATCTCGTGCGCTTCGTCATTGCATCAATGACTGTCTTGCTTCCATCCAATGTGGTCGGTTATCGTAAACGGTGAAGGCTTCTTTGAAGCGCATTGAGATCAAACTAACTCGACAGATGATGGTAATAAGCGCACTTGTCGTAAAACATTTTTTTGCGTAAACAATTTTGGCACGCGCTGGGACTCAAAAAGCAACTTATACGATGGACATAGATAACCGAAACAAATTTTTATTGAAAACAACACAAATGTCGAAGTTATTCATGAAGGGTTTCAAATGGATTCCATCTTTTTGGTGTATTCCGAGACTTCTTGAATTGCCGTCACCGTGCCAAATTTGGAATTCACCGCAATCAAGGCCTTGATGCTCCAAAATCCAAGCGAATAGACTCGAAAACTTCACATCGCTTCCAACAATAACTTCCATGATCTTTTTTTTGTTTTCACGATAAACAAGTAGTTGATGACACTCATCTGGAATTTGACATTCTGTGATGGCAACTAGACCCCGAAATTTAATAAGTGCCATAAAAAACTTTAAAGCAAATCTCTATTCCAATCCAATTCTTATTCCAATTCAGAGTCAAAAGGCGCCGCGCAACGAGGAACAGTGGGAAAAAAAACTCGTCGAGCGCGCGCCTATGCAGGAGGAGGTGGAGCTTGCAGTGTCGTTTGTACAATGCAAATTATTGCACATTCATTGGCAAAAATCTAAGCGTCCTCTATTTCCTTTTTCAATCAAAATTTTTGCGCAAGGCGAAAAAATTTGAAAATGAAATAATAGCGCATTACAAGACAATGCGTGTGCGTTGCGTGAGCGATCTCAAAAGAATAAGTGCAAAACTTTTTGAAATGAGCATATCACAACGTACTTTTTGCCTGATTAACTCGCCTACTATTTGTGGTCTCCTTTGTATTTAATTTACTTCTAACGCCTCTTATTTCATATCACTCCATCGCTTATTTCTTCTTGTCTATTAACTATTTTGCTCAAGCCTTTGGATCTTTTCAATATGAACTGATGTGATTATTAAAACTCAAATTCATATATGGTGAGCGACGAGCGGCAATATAAACCCTTGGCTAACTCTTTCACACGCATTATGTGTGTCGTAATTCACAATTTTTTGATGATTTCCGATTTTTGGGCTCTTCTCAAAACAGTTTATCGCGTTCGGTTTTGATTTTCAGGCATGGAATACGAGTACGTCTTCTGCCACGGCAACATTTTTCACATTCCAGTCGACCATTTCCGTCTCGATCTCATCAGCTGCCAGGAGTGCACAACGCTCGTCGTGCCAAAAGACACAACGATGAAGGAGCTGACCGAAATGTACGCGCAGAGGAATGGCTACGATTCATCGATTGTGATGATCACCCGCTTTGGCGAGATTATCGACGATGACGAGACGCCGATGACGATCAACTTGAATCGCCAAGATGTCCTCACCGTTAAATTGAATTTTGATGAAGATAACTAGATGGATATGTCTCATATTTTTGTTTTCTTTGTCATAAACCATTTGGTTTCCAACACATGCTTGACCAATCATAAAAAAAAGTTCTCAAATTGCTCGCTCGCGCAGATGTTCCGCAAGCTTTCTATTATTTTCTGAAAACCATATTTCATCCCGACTTTGAGGGTGGAGCGATCGCGCATAATCCGAAACATCATGCCCTAATTGTTGCAATAACTTGAAAAATTGAAATATTGGTTGACATCATTTCATTTTGAAATGAAGATAAAAGATATTTAAAAGGCGTTTTTGGAGCATTACTTTAAACAATGCGCTTTCAATAAGCCTATTTTCGCTTCAAAGGCGAAATTTGAAATTGCCGCCATTTGATCTAGCAGCGTGTAAGAGAGACGCAGACGCTCAGACGAGACAGGGATGACGATGCCACAGAGTGCCCAGAGTCGAATAGAAAAACTTTCAAAGCAAATTCAAGTTTTTGACAATTTAAACGATTTCAGAGACGAAAAAATGGCGGGTAAAAACACTGTTCGACAGATTTATGCGTTGGGGATGCAAAATTTTAAAAGATTAAAAAATATTCAACAGATGCGTTAAAATCAACAAAAAAATTTTTGGTGAGTATTTTAATTTGGACGAAAAATAGTAATTACTTTTAGAATTCTGGCGTTTATGGTTAAATAATTACAAGACATTGAAAACCGGTTTCTGATAAAATTTAAAAAAAAACAGCAATTTTGATATCAAAATAATTAATGACCACTCAAACCATGATGCTCATCGGCATTCTCGAGCACAACTCTACATTTTTGGGGTATATCATTGATTTATCGATACAAAAAGCTGAAACATCTCTTATTAAAGCAAATGCCTTTCGGATTCTGCAAAAATCTGACAACTTCTCAAAAAAATGGAAAATTTGGTCAAAAATGTTGAAAAAATCACAAATCTTGAATTTTTTGAGTTTTCTCGATGATAATTTTAGAGATATTCTAAATTTAAAGCTTTTAATTGCTTTTATACTGCTTTGAAAATTAAAATAAACATTCAGTTTAGGTTTGGAATCGATTTTCAAGATTGCTCGAATCATTTCGCTGGTAACCCAAATCATGGCGCTCATAGGCATTCTCGAGCACAACTCTACATTTTTGGGGTATATCATTGATTTATCGATACAAAAAGCTGAAACATCTCTTATTAAAGCAAATGCCTTTCGGATTCTGCAAAAATCTGACAACTTCTCGAAAAAATGGAAAATTTGGTCAAAAATGTTGAAAAAATCACAAATTTTGAATTTTTTGAGTTTTCTCGATGATAATTTTAGAGATATTCTAAATTTAAAACTTTTAATTGCTTTTATACTGCTTTAAAAATTAAAATAAACATTCATTCAGGATTGCACGCGATAGGATTTTTGTGGTCGAAGATGGTTAAAAAATCCAACCATGGTACAAGGTAGAAATTGTAATACGTGCATAGTGTCTGATTTCAGGCAATTAATCGTGCACGAATCCATGGCAGAAAACAGAATGTCACCCACAGTGAATTCGAAAAATTTGAGCCACTCGAAAATGGGCACCATCTAATTATTATGAGTATAAAAGGAATTGATTAGTGGCACGCCTCCAGGGGGCAATTCTATGTTTCATATAATAATGCCTTTGTTTTGTTTTCAACGTAATGCCATAATTATCTTTTTTATAGCACATGATAAAGGGTGTCTTGTTCATTAAACATTTGTTGCCATTTCCGATTATTAGTATGTGTTTTCTCAATTCATATTTGGTTTGAACTCCTGCGCAAATAAGTAGTCATTCATAGAAAACCTTTAATTTTTGTTTTGGGCGTGTACGCTTACGTTTTTTTTTTCTGTCTAACTCTTTTGTCCCTCTTTGATTCGTATGCGTCACTGTGCTATCAATAATGACTGCTCGAATGATACAAGACAATCATCCAGGTCATATTTGCACTTTCATTTTCATCGCCACTTTTTCCGCGCGATGAACGACTTGACCAACGACCCAAATTTTTTGAAGTTGGCACCGGAGAACTTTACCGTTCATAACGATGAAAGTGTAAGTTTTTGTTGAATATTTTTATTTTGATTTTCTATAGTTTTAGCCGATGCTTATTGAAACGTTCGTTGAACTAATGAAACATTTCTATAATATGGGATGGATGCGTGGAAGCGGTGGAGCGATGGGATGCATTTCCGGCAATCGACTCATGATTTCTCCATCGTCTTTGCAAAAGGAGAGAATGAAGGAGTAATTTTGACATTTTTTTGCCAAGAAATATCCATCTCTTTGAAAAATTTGTGGTTCAATTTAGAAATTTTATGTCATATCTATTATGAGCCTTCAAACCAACCATACTTCCCCATTTTGATTTCAAATATGCACTTCGCCGGGTTTTCGAACAACATTTGGTTTGTCATGACTCTTCTCCCATGGGAAATTTGTATCACAAGGCAACTAATTTATATTCAATGAATAATTTGAGAATTTTGAGATAATAGGAACACTCATCGAAATTGAAGAACTATTTTTTGTTTGGTAATTTCGAGAATCATTCTATTTTGGAACCACGTACGTCAATGAGTTGCTCAATTTTTGAGAAATGTCTCTAATTTTCCCTTCGGGATGCCATAAGATCAACAAACCGAAATAGAACACAAAACCGTGGGATTAAAAAAATGACCTTTGTGCATTACAGATCCGATGTCTACGTCTACGATTTGATTAAGAAAGCCCTCCAGCAGAAACCGATTAATCGACGTATTACAGTATCCTCATGTGCTACACTTTTCACTTTGATTATGCATCACACAGGTGACATTTGAAGGAAATGGAAAGCAGAATCATCAAATCAATTCCGCATTCAACACTTACTAATTTTAATGAATTTTGTCGTTCTGATTTACGTCACCGACTTGGTGTGAAATCAGACATGTTTTCTCACGCGGCTCCAGCGCGTAACTCTATATTAGCTGAAAATTTAAGAGTGCGTGGGCATCCATGCGGTATGATACCAGGGTTGCACGGAAATATTTTTTCTTTCGTCAAAGAACGGAACATTTTTCCATTTTTTGTTTGACGGAAACGGACAATGAAATTTTTTTTCCAAACGGGAAACAATTTGCCTCTGAAAATTTAAAGACACACGTATTTGAAAAAAAAATTCAGTAGAATTCAACTGATTTGTGCCATTTTTTATTAAATTAGAATTTATGTTCTACAATAATTTATGCAATAATGTTATCAATAATTTATAGTATATAAATTGACTGAAAATTGCGTGAATTTATAAGTATAGAAAAATAACCAAGCGTTGTTTCGCTAAAAATTTGAGAGAAAATTATGAAAATTTAGAAAATTCAAAAATAAAATAGTTAAAAACTATTGCAGTGCAGTGGAGCGCAACTGCCTCAATGAACAAAAAAAACGAGAAAAAAAGCGAATTATATATCTGACAGTTGCATTTTGCTTTTTTCGCTTGAAATAAGGTTTTTTTGAAAAAAGTATCTGGAAATCAACCGGGTTCTCTGCTTTCCAAGGAAAAATTTTTCCCGCTTCCCGGTGAATCGGAAACGGAATCGCAGCGTCTTTTTCCCGCGGAAACGGAATTCCGTGCAACCTTGTGTGACAACCGGATTTGAGAAAATATTTTTTTGACAAACATTATTGGGCATTGGGCGACGATTTTAATATGAAGTATTTTCAAGAAAATTTAATCTATAAATTTTGTTCAGGTAGTGAATGTGTCATTCATACTCATTCCAAAGCTGCAAACCTTATAACCCAATTGATTAGTGGGCCAACTTTCGAGATTTCTCACCAGGAGTATATAAAAGGTACCATTAGAAATTTTCTGCGAATCTCATCATTCGAATAATTAGGAATCTACAATCCATTCTCTGGGCATAATTTGCGATATGACGACACTTTGGTCATCCCAATCATCGATAATAAACCATCGGAGAATCAGCTTCTTCAACCAATTGCTGAAACTCTCGACGGATATCCGCAAACTGTCGCTGTTCTTGTGAGAAATCATGGGCTTTTTGTTTGGGGACCCACTTGGGAGGCTACAAAGATTATGTAAGCTGCTCAAACTTGAGTTGAAAATTACAATTTCAAAAAATTTTTTTGAAGGGTTGAATGCATTGATTACCTTCTCGACCTCTCAATTGATATGATAAAGCTTGACAAACCATTGGTAAAGGAGGAAGAAGTTCCAAATGTTGCCGAGAGATCGGATTACTTGAAAACCGTGTTCAACCCATAAAAGTAACACCTCTGCATTTGCTTATTTATGATTCGCTTAAATTCGGTTATTCATTTTTTGGATGTGTTTCAAATTTCTATTATTATTATTGCAATGGTCCATCTTTAAATATTACAAATAAATTACGCTTTATAATTAATTACCTATAGAATATATACCAGTCGTTCAAAAATTATGAAGAAAAATGTCTCGCCACGTGTTAACGCTTATTTTGGTGTTTTCGCCTGAAAGGTTAATTTTCTCTTAAAGAGTTTTGCATTTCCTTGAATTTTCAATACCATTCCATTAAAAATTATCGAACCAGTTCATAAAATTTGAAATGACCTGTTTTTCCGTACGAGATCAAGAGAAAGACGCATCCCCCGTAAATGTACCCGCGTACAGCCGGACACTGATTATGTATATATATATGATTAATGAGTTACGCTGAATATTCATTACTGTGTTTCGATTAAATTTTTATACCTACTGTTGTTAATTGAAAAAAGAGAAAGTGCATTAATAGGACGATGCGAAATTCTAACCTACACATTTATGTACATTTTACTATTTAATGCTAAACAGATTATCCATTGATGTTTAATGTAATTTTTTAGGTTTGATTGTGTTCCCTCTAAAAATTTGGTCTTTTTAAAATATTATAATAAGAAATTTGTCCGGCGACTCTTGTAGGTAAAATTACGGGGATGCGTCTTTCTCTTGGTCTCACACGGACTAATAGGTTATTTCGCATTTTATGCACCGGTTGATATTTTTTAATCGAATTAGGTTGGAAATTCTAAGAAATGCGAAACTGATCAAGAAAAAATTAACCACTCACGCGAAAATAGTAAAAAAAGGTTCACACGTGGCGAGACCTTTTCAAGGCGCATGCGCGTAAATCTAACCGCCTACAGCAATCGCCGGACGCCAACTGTATTAGTATTTTAAATGTAGTTTTAAACTTGTCACAAGAATGCACATGAATTGTTTTACACATGCTTGTATGTGAATATATCACTTCATTGAAATGCTACTATGTTTTGTAATGTGTAATTATCTCTAGCTTAACGAGAAATTGTCTTTGAACTTTTGCAATATAAAGAGGAAATTAATTATGGCTGTGATTCTGGAATATCCATATCATAATTTTACTTTCATTACCACTCAAGCTACAATATTCAGTACGAAAACAACACATCTTAGTGAGCCAACCAATTTTCACAAATCGTTCTAGATTTTTCGATCTCTAGTGTTCTTGTTTACAATAAAGTCACGAAAAAAAAATGTTGGCTCTGACATCCTGGGTCAAATGTTAGCTAATCCATCGTTTTGTAAGTACACTAACCTATTAAAATTATGTAATTTCTAGAACAAGCTTAAGGAAATCGCACTAATTGCAATTTTTTGACAGGATGATTCATAATTTTTAATTCACTGTTTAAAACGTTACAAACAATAAACTATATTAATTTTATATAGAATTGCTAGCTTTTATATATTCTGCATTGATCCAATAGATAGTAGATCATTTAAATAAAAAAAAATTCATTTCAATGTTCTATGTTTAGCGCTCTTATTATATTACGTATTATTGAAATAATAACCATTCAATATTTTCTATTAAAAATCCACTTACTGCCTATTTTTCTTTATCAAATTAATTCAATAAATTTTGAAAAATCGATGCAAATCTTCTGAATACACATCTGGGTAATCGATGCGTTTTATTTTATTGCTATTCGCGTTTTGAGAAGTTTTCTGTCAAGTGCATTTTGTGTAGGAGTAATGAGATAAGTAGTGGTAGAAATTAAAATGTATTCCTCTCGGATTCGCTCGCACAGAGAAAGAGAGAGAGAGAGAGAGAGAGAGAGGAGCAAAGATAAAATCAAAAAATCGGGTGGAACGGAGGGACGGCGGCGTGGTTGATCTTCGATTGCTCGATTCAAAACGACGAAAGATAGATGCTCGGCGTATGCGGAGAGGCGCTGAGGATACCAAGAAATATCCTACGCCTCACCTCGAGCCGCAGTTTGCTCACTCGGTTTGCTCGGGCTCGCCGATCATATCGATTACTTATGAATTGAAAAAAAATCTCCTCCGATTTTGAGAGTAAGAGAAAGAGAGAGAGAGAGAGAGAAAGAGTTTATTATTATTCCCATGCGCGCGATTGTTTTGTTATTATTTTAACCGTACGTAAAATTCAAGGCAAACAAAAAAAAATGATTTATTTCATTCTTACGAATATGTTTTGTTGCAAACGATAGAATTCCTCCCAAAATATTTGATAAATCGTGAGTCACGGATTGATTCTTATTGCTTTTAATACATCGTACGTTTGTCTTCGTTTCAATTCTCTATTATAGCTCGCCTCATTGATAATGAAAACATTCCATACTTATCATCACTAAGAAACAGACGCTTCCAATTCTGTTCGCTTCGTCTCAATTTTTAGCTAAAAATAGATGCTCCTAAAAGTGTTTTGTTTGGCCGAATGAGTTTAACGTGTGAACCAGGTCTTAACCAGCCATGTCAATATTGTAGACAGGTAGGTAAATGTGTGAAACAACTATTTGCGGTAGCCTAATTCTACTCAGACGCGCCGAAAAGCAGACAAGTCATTTTTTTTCTGAGCATCTTCCGCCGCCGCGATTTTTTGTTCGGCAAACTTCGGGAAAATACGAGCGATTCAAAATCAAAATTGTTTCCTGCCGAATTATTTTTCTATTTGCATGTTTTTGATTTCTGATTTCAATTGCCATGAGTAATACTGTTGAGAATTCTTGTTCCGAGTTCTTTCTTTGAAATACAGAAATAGCTTTTTTTTTTGTTAAATATTAGAGTCACAAAAGAGAACAGCAAAAAATAACAACTGCCAAGAAATTGTACTATCAAAAAAGAATTATTAAAACGTCATTGCTTGAATGTTCAATATTTCGAAAGAGAAAATATAACTCATTCTTATAGATTCGACATTTTTATCATACGAAAACATATTCATTTCATCATTTTATTGAATCCTTTTTTAAATATATATTTGGCACAATATTTTATATTTTTAACGATATCGTGAGTTCCATGCACTTTTTCAAATGTTGTGGTAAGTTGTTCATTTTATAAAATCAAGAGCAGAGATGGAATATGGAATGCTTTAAAAAACATTTCGCATTGATTTATAAACCAGTATGTCAAATACTATTTACAACATCGTTGTTAATTGTTTTTAATCAGTTTCAAATTCTAGGTCCATCATCGGCTTATCACTTATCAATAAATGTGTTCAATTTTTAACACTTAAACGTGATAAAAACAGACAAAATTGAATGGTCTTTGCGCTAGGAACAAACGTTTTCTTGCGGCTTTCATATCTACTGTTTTAATCCGTTTCAAATTAGATCAAATTGATTATGTTTTCCAAAAACCAGGGAAGGGGAACGAAATTGATCATAACCCTCTAAATTTGTCCGTCTTCGAAAATCTAAAATTCCTCTTAATTTTGTAATAGAGAATAGAACGTTTTTGATCAACTATTTTAGGTGAATATTTTTGCTTTGTTTAACATGGACTTCTTCCTCCGTGCAATGTTTACCTTGCCTCAACCAAACACTAAAAAAAACACCCAAACAATTTTTTTGACATTTAGCGACAACAAAACAGGACCTAAAATAGCCGAAGGCTGTTTGAATTTGCGCTGAAAAAAAAGAACGTCTTTAATTCTTGCTTGTTTGTTGACACAATTGCTGAGAATAATACAAGGAATTTTTCAATAAATTAAAAGACGACACAAAAACGAAAAAAAAATCAGAGGTGATATTAATTAATTTGTTGCGTTCTGAGTTCGTTATGATTTTCTTTCCGGGAACATTTTGTTTCAAATGTAACTTTTTGTCGCCGCTTTTCATTCTTTCATTGTTCGTTGAGTGTTCATAGGGAAGGCACTGCAATTATTACTCATCAGATTCTCAATAGAAACGCGTTGCCACCGCGTTTTTTCGCCTCCTCTCCCCCCCCATTCCTTTTTTGACACTGTTGCCCAAACTATTCTGTTGTGTATCACACGCGTCGCGTTCCGATTTACTGTTGTTACCGGAAGAGTTTGACAACAATAAAAGAGCACAATGAGCATTCGCAGATTTTCGCTACAAGTCCCCTTGAGTATGGGGATTGAGCCGAGTGGAAGCGGGCGAATCAAAGTTGATGAACACTATCCGTCAGGTGAGCAGTTTGAAATGGTTTTTATTTGGTATAGTTAAGAGATAAAAAAAGTGTTCAAATATAAGTGGTTCTTCTCTCATCTAGTATGAGTATACAGTAATTATTCAATAATGAATTGTTAGAATTCACACTTCATTACAATGTATCAAATTACGTCATCTGCTTCCGCTCGAAGCCACATTAAAAATTTCCTAAATTAACGAACCAATTAATTTTAAGGATGAGAAATTAAATAATTAGACAACGTTATGCATAAATTGGAATAATCTGTTATCAAACAATTTAGACGAGTTTCACTAATTGCATTGTTTTCAGAGCTCGACGAGCCGCCGCCATTCGATGTGAAGAGAATCGAGAATATTCGATCAAATGTGAAGTTTGATACCTTGTACCAAGTTTCGAAACTTCTTGGAGAGTTAGTGATTTTGTTATTTATAATTTTATAAAGCAGTTTTAGTGGAAAATTTGGTAAAGTGTATTGTGTCATTGAAAAAGCAACGGGACATGAGTTTGCGGCCAAGTTCATCAAAATCAGAAAGGTTAATTTCTTCTTGTTTTGCGTGGTCTCAATAATAGACTATTTTTTCTAGGAGGCAGATCGCGCTGAAGTTGAACGGGAGGTCTCGATTCTCACACAGCTTCGGCATCCGCGGATTGCTCAAATTTATGACGCATTTTACACAACGACGAACGACGTCGTTTTGATAATGGAAATGTGCGTTTGTTTAATAAAATCGCTTGAAAAACATATGAGTGAGCGCGGTGGCGTGAACTGAAAAAAGAAGAAAGAAACGCATTTCCTTATGAGTCAACAAGCAAACGTTGATGTTTCTGATTTTTGCAGAGTTCGCGGAGGTGAACTATTTGATCGGGTCGCTGAAGAATCTTATGAGTTGTCTGAGCTCGCGGTGGTCATGATCATATGCCAATTGTGCGAGGCCATTGATTATATTCACAAGCAGCATATCTTGCATTTAGATGTCAAGGTTTGGTTTAAAAATAGATGTTTGAAACTAGCCGCAAAAAAAAAACGGCTATTGGTGATTAAAAAAAAAACGCTCACCCACGGCGAGACACTTTGAACAGCTGACAACACCCACTGCATTTTTGAGCTCATTCAAGAAATGTGATAAGTAAATGACCTGAACGTGTGCCTCCTGAGATGTTAAGAATAGCATGAAATATGAACAACAATGAAGGGGATCGTTTGATAGTTCAAAATTGACCATTTTTTTAATAACCAAAAAACTATGATACTGAACTTTTTTGCACTTTAAAAGGTACATTGTGAATGTTGAATTTTTCAATAATTTTAAATTTACTTGTAACAAATTTTGGGATGAAAACTCGAACATCTGAGGTTCTTTAAAAAAATTAAAACAAAAATTCAAAAAGTAAAAAATTAAAATATCAGTCGAAAAAAAGAAAATTTCTTCAAAAAAAAATGTTACAAATTATTTTTTTTTTCAGCTTTTTAAATAAAATGCAAAAAAAGGGGGCCTTCTGATAATGAAAGACACTTGAAATGAATGCCGAATTTTTCGCTTCGTTCTCAAATGTTTTCATTCAATTATATGTTTTTTTTTTTGTCAAGACTGCTGACGGCGCCGCCAAAAACATTCAAATGAGAACACATTTCGTTTTGTGTTGATTTCGCCAATTTCAGCCAGAAAATATCATGTGTGTTTCATTGACGGGTAATCGCATCAAGCTCATCGATTTCGGCTTGGCTCGACACTATGATGGAACACAGGTGACTCCTCATATATCACAACAGCAAATTAATTAGTGGTAATAAATTGCAGGAGCTCAAATATATGGCCGGAACTCCAGAGTTTGCAGCGCCCGAAGTTATTAAATTTGAGAAGCTCGACTATCACACTGATATGTGGAGTGTCGGCGTCATCACTTACATATTGTGAGTTCATTGTAGACATAGTTCAAACATTTATTCGTTCCTTCCTGCTCTTTTTTTGTTGAGCATTGCTCAATGTGTTATTTTTTCCATGAATACTTGATTTTCAGACTCTCCGGATATTCGCCATTTCTTGGAGATAACCTTGGCGAGACTTACTGTAACGTCGAAAAAGGAGTTTGGGAATTCACCGAGGAGTTTGATACAGTTAGCGACGAAGCCAAAGATTTTATCTCGAAATTGCTGGTTTATGATCAAAGGTATAATGGAGACAAGCGATCCATTTGTATGCATTATTTATAAAGAAAACGCATGCTACCACATGAATGCCTTCAACATCCTTGGATAGCGAAACATCGTCAGAAAGCGGCGTGCAACGCGATTTTGGAAAAACCACTCAATGCGCCAACTCTTGACAATAAGCAGATTATGAGATACAATGCCAAAAGAAAATTCCGGGTATTTCAACTTCATTTTTTTGCTCTTCAATATTTCGTTTTGCAGCGAATGATAATTTACGTGAAATTCCTTATTGAAATGAATCGTCTTCGCAATTCGTTGAGGTCTCGAATGTCCTCGAATGGTCATAAGTTCTTCGATCCATTGCTGAAAATGGCGGAGGAGAAGGAGCAGAAAATCAGCGAGGTTTGCAGCTCATCGGGAGCTACTACTTCCGGCTTGAACTCGTTAGTACATAAGGTTTGAAATTATCGGTATTTCATTATTCAATGTTTTCTTGTAGGCAATTGAATCAAAACGAAAGGGTAGTGAAGCTAGCCATCTAAGCCATTTAAGCATGATTGTTGAGGAGCTCGATGATAGTTCAGAGAAGCCCAAGAAGCGGGCTTCAAAGGACTCAGCAACGGAAAACAAAACAAAGGTAAATGGATTGAAATGTCGTGTTAACATGGCTTGTGCAAATTTTAAGATAGATGAGCCGGTGAAAAAGAAGAGCATTAAAAAATCGGACGGAACGACAGTTGAAAAGAAAAAGAAATCAGTTGCTGACAGTGAAGTAACGGCAGAAAGTGTGACGAGCGAAGAAATGGCGAAGAAGAAAAGAATGTCAGCAGATGGAGTAAAGGTCTTAATGAAAAAAGTCAATGAAGAACCGACTGGAGAGATTAAGCGATCAGCAAGCACATCGGAGAAGAAGCTTGCCCCAGTTGTTGAAGAGCTCAAGAGAGCGTCTGTTGGTAACGCAGTAAACGGAATCGAGAAGAAGACTGCCGTTAAAAAAGCTACGGTAGAAGATAAAACTGTAATTGTCAAAGAAGATGAAAAGAAGCCAGTTAAAACTGAAAAGGCCACTAATAAGAAACCGCTTAGTGAAGAGAAGAAAGCTCTTAAAAAAGCTCTCGCGGAGAAACACGAAGAAATGGAAAGAAAAGAAGCGATGAAAGCTTCTGATGAAGACAAGAAGATGATGAAAAAAGTGGAGAAATCAAAAAAAGAAGACAGCTCGGAGAGCACAAAAGAGAACAATACAGATGAGGCGCTGAAACCTAAACGCTCAGTGAGTTACAATCATTCTATAATTTAAACTTTCCTACTTAGGGAGCTCTACGGAAGCGGGATAAGTCCATTGATACAGTGCTCAATTCTGTGCCAGAACCAACAACACTTCTGAAGACGTCAGGAAGTCAAGTCGCAACATCTTACAGTATTGTTGAAAATGTGAAGCCGCATGGCGAAGTCGTAAAGAGTGAGAAAATTATTGTAAAGAAAAAGGTTCAGTGGAATTCATCTTTCATTTTTTTAATAGTTCTATTTCAGAGTCTGAAGTCGAAAGACCTAGAAGCGAAATCGAAGGATGTGGCAGCAAAGATTTCATCTCAAATTCTTGAAAATAAAGAAGCCCTTCCAAAAATATCAACCCATACAGTTGCATTTGAGCCGAGTCCTGCAGTTAAGAAGCTCCCATCGAAAATTAAAAAGCTGATTGCCGAGAAGATCGATGATCTTCCTTCAAAAGGTAAACATGTTTCAGTAAACATTTTCCCATTTGTGTGCCTTCAGACTCGAAGAAAAAGACAACACTTGTACTCAAAGCCGAAGAGACTGAAACCACTTCTGTAAAGACAACAACAAGTGTGAAGCGGAAAACCCAAAGCTCAGAGAAAAAAGTTGAGCATAATTCGGATGGGAAGAGTGTTCAGTCACTGCAAAAACAGAAATCCCAACAAGATGATGTCAAGATTAGCCAAGTTTGAAATCAAGCCTATTTTTTTTCATAATGCTTATTTGGTGTTCAGGTCACCACTAAGACAGAAGAGACGCCATCAATGCCAACTCCGCAACTGAGCATCAAGAAGAGCGTTCTTAAGCACGTAATTGCCAAAAGCACTGCGGAGAAAGAATTAAAGGAGACAAATCAGCAAGCTACTACAAAAACGCAGTCGGTGATCAAAAAAGATTCAACAGAAACTTCCCTTCAAGTTTCATCAAAGGTAAGTGATAACGGGGTTTTTTGTACATATCACCATGACGTATTCAGGTCAGTGGAGAAAAGGCTACGTCAGCGAAAATTTCAGAGGCAAAAGTCTCGAAAAAGAAAATGCAACTCACCGTTGAAGAGCCAAGAAAATCTTCTCTCAAGAAGACAAATGCCAATATCACCGAGGAGCTCACTAACAAGCTTGATATTGAGAAAGACAATAAGAAAGCTTCCATCAAGGCTACACAATTGACAACGGTAAAATTGACATGGCAAAACAAATTTGAAAATGATTCCTAGGTAAAAATTGGACCAGAATTGTCTAGTGAGACATCATCCAATAAAAGTGTCAGAATAAACGTGGATTCATCAAAAAGGTCTAGTGTGAAATCGCATGTGAGTAGTGTTAGCACTAGAGATAGTTCTGAGGAACGTAAAAAGGTAACACTGACATTATTAAAATCAATAATCAGAAATGTTGAGGTGCGATTTGCTGAGGACGTTTCCAAACCGCCACCATACCTTCCACGCCTGCCCAAATTTGGTCCAGGCCTTCAAAAAATGAAATCCGAAAGCTCATTGCACAAAACGGTCAACACTAACGGATTGGCGAAAAAGAATCATCAAGACGATGTCGCTCTGGGCAGAAAAAGCTCATTATTCACCGATGTCGACTACACACCGCGTGAGGACTTTTCGTTTGAAAATCTGCGTGAGAAATTGACGCGTCGCGTTAGCGACGCATTCGAAGATCAAAACAATTCGAGTAAGCCAAGAAAAATGATTACCATACCGCCGACAAATTCCGTCAAAGATCGACTCAGGCAGTTTGAGAGCAAAATTTTGAAATAAATTTGCATTAACTCTTCTCATTTTTCTACAGTATCTGTCAATGTTTTGTGTTTGTAATTTTTATATGCATATCTGTTGCGATTACTGGTGTTTGATTCCAATATCTTCTCTCAACATTTTCGTGTAGACCCTCTCAAAATTTTGCTTTTTAATTTCTATACCTTCCAGCATTCTTGCCAACCAATTTCTACGTAATGCATAGTTGTGATTTCTTGGTACCCATACGTTTCGATTTTTTTCCTGTGAATAAAATGCTCATGAACTTTGAAGTCGACGCAATGTTTGACGTTTTGGATTATGCAAATCGAGTAGTTCTGAGGGTGAAACGTGTTTCATCGCTAAAAAAACGATTTTCATCCTTTATTGGCGGTTTCATTTTGGCGAAACAATGCAGGTCAAACCAATATGTTCAGAAAGGTATGATATTTCAATTTGCGAGCTCTTTCAAATATTTTAAATTTTAAGTTTTTTTTTTTTTTGAAAAAACAAAGAAAATGGTTCAGTTTGAAACATTTTACTCAGAATCACAAATGCGGCTATCATGTTTTCGAAGCTTTAACTGAAAGAAAACGTCATCACACATTTTCTGGCCTGATCAAAAATTTGCATGTTCCAATTTTTTCTAAATAATTTTCCAACTGTATATTTGAACTCGTCTGAGTTCAAAAGAGTGGATTATTTTGTGCATAATTTTTCTACTTTCGTTTTGACTATCAATTGTTTCTTTTATTTTTAGTTCCATACGCAAACCCGCTCAAAAAACCGATGATCGGCAAACCGAATGGGCATCATTGGTCGTAGGCGCCGGATTAACATTCTTCGCCGCTGTCCAGTTTACGATATATTTTGCTTCAGTGTGGCCTTATCTATTACAAGTATCTCGCCGGTAGTATTAAAGCGACACGCACATTTTTATTAAATTTAGTTGGATCCATTCATATCAGAACAGTTTTTCGGTTTTATCAATGCTTCATATAGTCTTGGGCAAGCATTATTCTGCCCGATCTTTGGGTACTGGTGTAACCGAATCGGGCAATGTAAGTTGCCTATACAAACAGGGTACGATGCTGCCAAATAAAGTCACACTATTCAAAATTTGGTATTAGAATCGTCGTAATGATCGTTGGAAATTTAATGTTTTTGCTGTGCCCGGTTCTTCCAATTCCACCGAAATGGACAATGTTGTTTTCTCGATTAATTACGGGTTGCGGAGGAGGTGTGCCATCCGTTATTCTACTAATCCACCCATTCAATTAAGGGATCATATCTGTTCTTAAAAACTATGCAGTTACCGCTAGTACAGTTAGTGATCGATCTCGTTCGATCTCATTAAATGCTGGATGCTTCGCACTAGGTCTCACATTCGGACCGGCTATCCAGATATTCTTTACACCTTTGAAATATCCAGGAATCATTCTTGGAGGTGGAATTAATATTGATATGTATACTGGTGAGGAAGTTTGCTTTATGCTCATTATGGAAATCTTCTTGCAGCTCCTGCATTTTTTGGAATTATTATGAATGCGATATCCATGTGTCTTGTGATTTTATTTTTCAAGGAATCAACTGTCGGCATCACACCAAAAATCACTGATGATGGTGATGAACTCATATAGCATTTTTGCAAAGATTCTGAAAATTTTTCAGAGAATAGTAGATTCTACGCTCTTCCAAAACCCAATAAGATTGCTATTTTCGCTTGTATCACTACAAGATTTGCTCAAATGTTTGTTATCACCAATTTGGAAACGTAATAATTGATTGTAAATAACTATGCTGCTAGACAATATTTTTTTCAGCATTGGATCTCCCCTTTCTATGACAATGTTCAATTGGAATAAGCAGGAAACCGTGCAGTATAATTCGATAATGCATGGTGGATTTGGGCTCATTGGTTTTGCATTATACGCACTTAATGTGTACTTTAACGTTGGGAAAAAGTTCTCGAACATTCTGATTCAAATTGCAAGCATAACTAATCTTCAGTATCAATCATCGAATCGGAACAATTGTCGGGCTGATGGGATTAATATTGTTTCATTTAGTTTCTTACCCATGGTGGTTTTTGCCGGGTAAAATCACATATCAAGAAGTTTGTGAGTTGAAACAAAGGAATTACTTTTGTCAAGATCAGTTTGATTGGTAGACATTACTGTCAACGGAACTTCTGTACTTAATCCCGATCCAATTGGGTGTCGGCCGACTCTGAAATGGTGTGACGATGTGCCACCAATCAACCAATACGTCTATATCATATCTTATATCATTATTTGTGGATTTTCATTCACTATAATCAACATTTGCATGAATACTGTGTTTTCAACTGTATTAGGGCCAAGAAATCAAGTAAGATTTTTGGAATGAGATAGAAAATTTTGAGCCGTAATTAAGGGAACAATGCAAGGTATTCTTTTACTCAGTGGAAGTGTTGCTAGAATGCTTGGTCCAGTTTTTATTTCGTAAGTCTGATTTCCATTATTGAATCCCATAAAAATTAAAGCGATTTATGTTATGAGAGAATATTGTTTCCATTTATCAAATTAACAGTGAAAATCACTAAATTACAAAAAAGAATAATGTCGACTTTAATTCCTATCGTTTAGTCTAACATTTTTTTCATTTGTTATGATACCAGCATTAATATAATGCAATTTGAGAACGCAGCAGGATTCTATGCCCATTTTTTTTTCAGAAATCTGTTCACGATTGCCGGACCTCGTCCAGCATGGATACTTGAAATAATTTTTGCTGGCGTTTCGGCCAGCTTATGGATCATTTTCTATAAGAAATTGGTCCCTCTTCAACTTCCGCATACAATGTCGGCTGGCACAATGTACAAAAACAAGCACGGTTCAGTGTATAAATTCTAAACCGCATCCCCCCACCCCAATTTTCAATTATTTCTTTTTTTCAATTGTTTCTCGTCATTTTTCTCTTCTCCTATAATGCTTCAATTCAATAACAATAGACAACGAAATTGAGATAAAGCTCAAAAATTGGCATGCTTGAATGAAGTTTGGCCATGAGTTTAGAGCAGTTATTACTCAAAAACGCAACGATGCTGTCAGAGGTCCGCTGCGCAAGGACCATTTAATTTATTTTCGCGGGTTTTCGATGAGAAATTATCTCAAGTCGCGCCGGGGGGTAGGGGGTGTATTGCGACCACCACCACAACACAAAAATTGAATAAATGAGTGGAATTATCGCGTTAATGGCATTGCAATTTTTTTCAACACCCCGCCATCCACCTGCTTTCTGAATTTGTCGCGTCATGTCGAAAAAGCATTATAAACGGCTAATGGATATCAAATGTGTGTGGGATTGAATTCAATATGAATGACCTAACTTGAATCAGTCTCCTTCCGGTGTATTAGGAGCTCATCAACATTTTTTTTTAGATTATAAATCTACTTTGATAAAATAAATGGCAAGAAAACATCAATTTTGAAACAGTGAATTGTAGAAAAAAATGATATACAATCATATGTTGTGTGAACGGCCTTCAAAATTTGATATTGATATTGTAAACGCGCCCATTCAATTCGACAAAGCTTCACTAAAAAAATTTGATTGATTTATTTTTTAAATGAAAACATTTTCCAACGTTTTTAACGTTTTCATAATATAAATACTATATCATTGTTGATAATTTAAAAAAAAGAGGTTAATAACTTCAAACAAAGCCATTTTAACTATTCCAAAGATATATTCCTACTATTTTAATTTCAAAAATTTTTATTATATTCGATAAAATAAATGCTTGAATTTTTACTTAATTTTCAATCCACATTCCAAATTCCAAAATTGCCTCTAGTTTTCAAACATCTGCCAAATCCAATTCACATTAGTTTCTTTTGGAATACTCGCATTAGCTTCATCTCTGATCAAACTCGTTCAGTCTTGAACATCAAGGTTTATTGCACGTCCACACCAACTTATTAGTTCATCGAAATGAAAGTGCATTCTCATTACATTAATGTGACTTTATGACAATAATATTTCTGTACGAGTCATGAATTTGCACACGTCTATTTTCAATTTTCATCAAAAACAACGTCGATTTGTTATTGTCCACGTATTGTCTACTAATTGCTTTTGTAATTACTGTGCTAGGCGCGACGAATAATACCATAACTCTCATGCTTCCATCCAAACAATTTTCACATACATCATTTTGTCTACTAATCAGGAAATTCGAATGCGGCCCCGCACTCCAGTAAAATATTCAACTAATGTGCAAGCGTTGGCAGCGGTGTTGCTCGCCGCGCCTCTCCTTTTGTCGAAGATGTTTATCTAAAAAAGCACGAAAATGATGCGCCCTCTTACTCACACTAATAGATATTAATAATTAATAAGTTGAGGATGTTGCGACGATGGGGCCGAGATTCGCACCGCCGATGCCAATTCCAAATTCATGAAACGCATAATTCTGGATTTGGCACTTTGTCACATTTCACCAACATTCTTCACCCCACCCCCTCCTTCTTTTTTTCTGATATGTTGTTCCTTTTTTGGGTTCGTCCAGCGCATAGGTCGCGCTGGAAAAATGATGTGTTTTCCAATTTCGTTTCGTGTAATTGAGGTTGTAATACCTGAATGCAAGCGTGTCTCATAACATTCGGATTAACTCCAATATAAAACCTTTTGGTGCATCTGTCTCCCGGATTACGCTTTCAAGGTATGGCGGCTGAGAAGCGAGATGCACAACGTCTAATTATGCCAACTCACCTTAATGAGCATCGCCCATGGTTGAATGATTTTCGGCGAAAACTCGATAGCGAGAAGAATCCACCGGAAATTGACATTCCATCTTCGACAAATCGGCAAACTTCTTCCCATTTCCTCTCAGCTGATATTCATTCACCTTTGGTTGTTTGCCTCAAAAATTTTTTTTCGAAAATGGGCGGGACACTTGCACATTCTGATTGGTTGTTTGCCTCACACGATGCGACGCGCTTCAATAATAAAACAGTGGAATCAGATGTTCCAGTTCCGTTTCAAACATTCCATTCTTTTTTTCCGAAACAATTACCAATCCCGTCGTTGAAGGCTCAAACTGATTGTGTATAATAGTGCACACCTAAATAGGCTCTATTCACCAAAATTTCACATTTTTGCGACAAGTTGTCAATTGCAGTGATTTGGATGCACACCTCAGAAACGCCGAGTTGGGGACACTCTTTTTGTTTGGACTTTCTTTGAAGTTGTTCCGACAAGGTCGGCCACTTGGGTTTTTTTTTCAGCCATTCAATTTTTTTCTTCAATTGAGCATTTGTGAATTTGGTCCAAAACCCGCTACCAGCGATTAGCGACAAAAATTTTCCCAATTAGCGGCGAAGCTTAACGAATCGAATTGAGCCACAATGATACCTCTCAGAATTAGAGGTCACATTTTTCGCCGCCGACAATTGTGTGCTTGTGCCCACCACCACCACCACCACTCCACCTCCTATTTCTTTCTCGCGCTGCACATATTTTTTCGGTGTTGTTGAGCGGGCGTAGTACGGTAGCTTGGGGTGGGCTTCAATGGAAAATTGGAGCATATTCGATGATATTGAGGTGTGCCCAACACGTCCATAATTTATTAGGCGTAAACGAAGCCGTGCCTCATTTTATGAGTAACTAAATTAGAATATCTTCATTTTTTCTTCATCTTCTTATTTTTTTGCTTCAACCCCGCGGCGACCCCAAAAAAATTCGCGCATACCAAATTAGGAAAAAAAAGTATCACGGCCGCTCACGAGATAAGGTAAGAATTTCCGCACGTGAGGGATTACGTGTACTTTACTTACATGTTGATTTTTCAACCGTGAAATCGGAAAAAAGTATATCAAAAGTATATACTTTATCGGCCGTCATTCATTCAATATTTCCGTTGTTCCCATTCAAGGCTTGATTACGGTATCCTAAACCCCAGATGTTTGAAGGAAAATCTTCCCCTCTGAATCCGATTGCAGATGTTCGAATTTCATAAAAATAAGAACAGGTGCCCGGCTCAACTCATCCCCCTTTTAGGAGTTGGGGGGGGGAGGATGGGTGGTGGAAATTGAAAATTTCGTTGTTTTTTTTTTCATCCTCGATTTGCCTCATACATTGGCACAATTCGGACGCCAATTATATCTAGAATTGTGCATGGGGGGCCCTCCTTCACTAGAGAGGAAGGGAGGGTCTGGAGCAGAGGTGGGCTCTAATTAAAAACAACACTTTCATTTGGCACTTCCCATTTGATATATCTAAAGGTTTTTCTTATTTTATTTTATTTTTCGCGCCGTGTCGCTTCAGATTTTTAGTATAGATTCTTCTTTGTTTAAATCCATTCGCTGAGTATTCCCCCCCCTCCTTTCCTCTTCCATCAGTCGGCTCAATTTGCTTGTTCGTCCTCTTCGATTGTTTTTTTTTCTTCTTCCGGCGAATCTATTATAAGTACATATATGGTCTTATTTTATGGTCGAAAGCCGACCAGTTATTTTGGAAATCTCCATTAGCTCATTTTCGCACAACAATAGGGAAATACATCCCAAATGCCAAATTGAATTGAATTGAGGAAGTGTACGGTATCAAAAAAAAATGAGAAGAAGGATGCTGAGGGAAAATACGCGATTGTTAGGTGATGAATAGAATCGAAATTGAAAAGGAGAGGTGAAAAAATACTTCTATGAGTCAAAAAAGCCATTTCCGATCGCCTACGAAGACAATAGGAAGACGGGCGTTGACTTGACTAATGAGTTTTTGACATTTACAGTATTTGTCGGGTTTTTTTGTGCGCTTCGTTTGTCCATTTTTGGGGGAGCCCATTTCAATAAAGCATCTTTGTGAGTAATTCCAGACAGAATCAAAATGTCATTGGAAGAACAAGCAAATCTCGTCTCGTCTTCATTGCAATTACCGCCCTTGCTCACCGAGCATCTTAAACTTCCACCAAGGACGACAGAAGCTACACTGCCAAATGGTATGTATGCTCTTAATAGTAATGATAAATATAGTTAATTAATTTTTTTCAATTGCTTTTATTAAAACATATTCTTGTCTGCATGGTAATTTCGACAAACCAAAATTCAAAAATTTTTGCAAGTACACAATGTGACGTGATACTACAAAAATTCGAACAATTTGCAAAAACTTTTCGTTGAAAAACGTAAAATTTGGCTTATTGTGAATATACTATATGATAAAATCTTTGTTGTTTATCAATTTCAATCACGTAGTGTGTTTTTCACAACTTTCCCCATTTACAAAATTTACAACATACTCATAATAATCGGACACTTGGAAAATGCTATATATATTTATATTTATATATAAATTACAGATTTTCAGAAATTTATCAGACAATTATTGAATCATTGAATTTTTGATTTTTAGATGTTTTGTTTATTTTTTAATTTATACTGTGGTATTTTTGGTTTACTTTGTTAATTTTTTTTCATTAGCTTTCTCAAATCTTAAAGTTCACCACCCCCAAAAAAATTTTCAATCAAATTAGAGGCAAAATACGTCAAATTGAAACAATTGTTCCCGCCAAAATTCGTGTGAAAACGATGGGCCATAAATGCCCGAAATTCACCATAAAATGATTTCGTCTGAAGTTACAAAGGCAATTTTTTGTAATGTAAAATTTCTGAGCTCGAGATTTTAATTTACGTATAAGGGCGGTTCATTGTTAAACTGATTGACTCATTTTCACAATCTTCTAGACAATTTTTGGCGCTTTCATATTCAAATTGCCATACTTGATATAAATCCTTTGAATAGCCCTTATTTGGAGATTCCGTCCAAACGAACATCTTCTTGAAATTCCTCATGTTCTATTATATTCATTAAGCTCAATGAACGGTAGAAGACTGGCAAAATTTCCATTAATTTTTCTCCGTCGCCAATTAGCTGTTGCTTTCGAGCTTTCGCGATCTAGAGATATGAGATTAAATGGGTTTAGGCAGGATTTGAAAGGACCCATGATTTTGAAATGAGATTCAATTCCGATTTTCTTGCTTTCCTTATTTTTTCAGTGGTTTATACTTTTCCGTTTCAATAGACTTGACACACGGAAGTCATATAAGAAATGATGAAAATGATCTCTAGTGCAAATCGTGTTAAGCTTAAAATTCGACGCCGGATTTCCTAATTCGCGTGAAAATTTTCGCCTACAAGAAAAACGAATCAAACCGCATATTCTTCATAATTAATTCTCGAGAATATGTTTACTATGAGACTGGAAAAAATTTCTCATCGAAAAAAAAACATTAAGCAAAATTTCTCGTCTGTCAAATGACTCGAAATCCCACGAATAAACTTTTTGGACGAATGCCATGAATGAATATTTAGTACCGCCTCAAAAATCATAAAAAAAAAGAGAGCCAACTTGTAAATTCTTCAGCAGTACTTATTAAACAATTCATGCTAACATCAGTCTTAAAGACATACAAAAGGTTTGCAAAAACAATTGAACAAAATGATTATTTCAGACGGTCTAGATTAGATTTTGCCTAAAAAGGCCGCGGACAAAGCCCAAAAAAACAGAAAAATAAGAAGATTTGAAATTCGCAGAATTTTTGGTTTTCATTTGCTGTCAGACTAATGATATCAGAAAAGCATCGTAAAATTGAGTGCTTTCTTGCACTTGCGTTTTTCAAAATTTTGGGCATTGTACTTGCAGGCGATGAGTTCGTCCTTTCGACTGAACTCAAAACGCGTTTTCACACCGTAGTGCATTATTATCCAAATGTACGAATGTGAGAATTTCAGCAACCGATATTATGAATCGTCTGAGTATTGCCAATATCCTCAATAATTCTCCGAGCATTCCCCAAATGCCATTGAGTTTTGAAACACAGAAAATGCTGCTTGAGAGACGTGAGCTACTTCAATGTAGTATTCAAACAACACATTACTGTATTCCAGAATTGGTTTGTCCGCCAATGCCTTTCATACAGTTGCCTGCCTTCAACGCGCTTCTTCAGCTCCCAAACAATCCCATTCATAACCAATACATTTCACCATTTGCGCAGAAGCCGCTTTTCGAGAACCCATTGGATTTGAGCAACAAGGTTTGAACCGGATATCAAACTTAAAAGTGCAAGCACGCTTCATCATACGTAATTATTCACACATATATACTTGTTTGGTTGAATTTCAAACGAATTTTTGAGACTCTCAACGCAATTATAAGAATTGTGTGCACTTTTTAATGCATCATTTCGAATCGACAGATATATCAAATAATGCAAAAAGATAGTTTTGAAAAGTGGGAGGGAGGGTTGCAATTGTATGGCAATATTGATCAAAAATGTTTATGCATAAATAATTTCGAAATTAAGGCGAACGCACTTCTTCAGCAATTTGCAATGAATGGCTTTAAACCGATGGAATTGCCGCCAAAGTAATCCGACAAATACGATTTTCGCGGATCATATCAAACGCTTTTTTATACAGGCCGCTCGACGATTCGTCATCACGCGCAATCCGACGCAATTACACCGCTGAAGATCTGACACAGGCCGTCGAAGATATTCGTCGAGGAAAATTAGGAACTAGAAGGTTCAATATACCAAATTCCTGCAATAATTCGCGTCAATATTTGAAGGGCATCGGTCGTTTATGGCATTCCACGATCAACTTTGCGTAACAAAATTTACAAGCTTGAAGCGGAAGGATCGTACTCGCCGCAAGCGAAGAGCAAGCGTGGATGGACGAAAAGCACTACGGAGAATAATTTAAGCAAAAGGTTGGACTCAGAAAATTGCACAATTTAATTACCGCATTATTTGAGCACTGCAAGTGACACTCCTTCTTCATCTCCACTGATTTCGCAGTCGCCTAGCAGTCCAGACAGCACAAATAGTTTTCTTGATGTAAACCCAGTGAAAGCGGTAAGAATTAGCAGCTATTAATCAACATTCGTGTTCCATTCAAGGAATTGACGGCGGCCTCCGAAGAGGTGAATGGCGGCGCGTGGATTGATGCGCTGTGGCAGAACTTGTTCAAAAATCAGAACACTCAGATGACGCCTGACGTGATGGTGGTTCAGCAACCGATCGCTATCAAGCCGGAGATAAAGCCACCACCGCCGCGCACCAGCAATGAAGAGTGGAAAAGAAGTCGGCCCAAGAGGGGGCAGTACAGGTAGAGTATGAGAAATAAGAAATGTTGATATTAAAAAAATAATAATAATTCGCATCAAATTTTGGAACCTGACGCTATCCAGACAGATTTTTTTCTCCAAAAAAAAACACGCTGATATTTTATTAAACTACATACATTCCAATTTTCCTTTCAATTGGAAGAATTCTCACCCATTAAAAAAATTTGGTTTGAGTTTCCCAAACGTTTCCTTATATGTCCGCGTGGGAACATTGTGCATCTTTTTACGATAGACATTCTTCCAGAAAATATGACAAGCATGCATTGGACGAGGCTGTCAAAAGTGTGCGGCGTGGCGAGATGAGTGTTCACCGGGCCGGAAGCTACTACGGTGTTCCGCATTCCACCTTGGAATACAAGGTTGCTTGTTGTTGTTGTTTTTTTTATTGGTCACGAAAATTAATAACCCGAATGACATGTTTTCTTTCAGGTGAAGGAACGCAATTTGATGCGCAAAAAGAAGGAAAATGCGCCTTCTGAAGAGCCGACAAGTTCAACATTCAGCAGCGAGGAACTTCTAAAAGCGTTCAATCCACTTCATTTGATTCCACTAATCTCTCAATAGAGCACCAACCATTAACCTGCCTCCAAATTGACAGCCCACATTCTAATCTTTCGAAAATTACTACCTTCTTATGATTTCATTAAACCGCAACCAGCCATATTTTCAATTTTCGGTAGTACACATTTTCATACCATCCTCGGATTTACGGAGAAATTATTTTTCTTTATTTTTTTTATTTTCGAGGAGTTTTAATATGTATGTTATTTATTTCATCGCATAAAGTTTTCTGGCTTCGGAGGAGTTGATAAGAAAACTGAAATGTTTGTGTAACAATTGAATACGGAGATTAATCGATCATCGCCCTATTAAAAAAAGGATAATCATGGAATCTAGATATTCGACAGTATAAAAAGTTGTATGCTAGTTGTTTAATTCTAAAAAAATTGTTTTTTTATTTATTAGAAAATTATTAAAATATTCGAAGTCCGACCTTATTTTGTACCCTTGAATAGACAGACTGGAACCTCCATCCTACTGTTTGTTCATGACAAAAAGTTCATGACACAGTTTCATCATAATAATGCAAACACGCAACGATTTGTTAAATTTAGCATACACGAAAAACCGTTAATGCGCAAATATCTCATTCATTTCTCCACGAAAAAGCCGGTTGATTTCATGCCACATTCATTTGGACACGATGAAGAAATTCGCAAATGAAAAGGAAAGAAAGGGGTGGGATACCCAGCAGTGAATCCGACCCATATAGCCGGCGAAGATAAACCGAACATATCAGCCATTTCGGGGTCGTCCGATCGTCCAAGACGCTCGACTTTCACTTGTCTCACTTTCTTTTCTCGTCAATTTTGCTTCTCGTTTTTGTTCCAAGGTTAATCCTCACCAAATCATTTTTTTTTGCGTCGTTTCAGGTGTGCAAAAAATGCGGATATTCTGGCTCATATTACCGCTGCTCAATTATTGCAATGCACAATTCGACATGTTCTCATCGCCAATGCGCGAAGAGTATCATGACTCGTTTGGAATGCGAAACGCCATCGACGTGTGGAGTGAGACGCTTCGCAAAATTGCCATGCGTAATAATCCAAAATTGTGAGTAATTATTGAAATTCTCTTTTTCAATTGCGCGACTTACGCAATTCCAGCTATAAACAGCCAAATGTCAAAGCATTTACCATTGAACCGCCACGAGTCAATGCAAATGAGTTGGATTTGTCAAAGTTTAAAAAAGATAAGAGCGATCATATTATCAATGAGAAGCTTTTAACACTCCTTTTACCAAGGTATCGAATCATCGGGATGTTTGAAAAGAAAACAATGGGTAATGTTATAGAATCAAGGGTCAAAATCCATTCACCACTACCACAACGACCACTCAGAAGCCACCAACTAAAAAGACGACTCCTCAAACGACTACAAAAGCCACAACTACTACTGAAGCTACCACAACGACAACCGAGGAAATTCAGAAAAGGACAATTGCTGGAAGACTTGTTCAGAATGACAATGATAGTGAAGAAAATGAGGATATGAAGGAGGCAAAGCAAGATTCTGTGGAGTTCACGAAGGATGAAAAGAATGTCAGCGAATCCTCTGATGAGAGCACCAATAAGCCGGAAACAACGACAACAACTACTACCGAAAAACCAACGACTACTGAGAAATCCACTACTACCACTACTACAACGGAAGCCGCAACGACTATCGCAGAGGTTGCGGAGTCATCAGGCTCCGAAGATGAGGATGAGACAGCGAAGATTAACGTGCTGGTTCATACTGTAGATGATGATAGCAAGAAAGAAGATGATAGAAGGCCATCTTATATCAAAAAGCTTGAAGAAATTTATAAGAAGGAGGAGGAATTAGTTGAACAAGAGCTCGCAAAGATGTCGGTTGCAGAACTTTTTGAAACATCCACTACTAAGAAGGCGACGACAACAACAACTACTACTACTACTACTAAAAAACCAACAACGACTACCACGACGACGACTACACCAAAGCCCACCACTACTACTACTACTACCACACCAGCTCCCACCACCACCACAACCACCGAGAATCCGTTGAAGAAAGAAGAACAATTGGAAAAAGAGGCGCTTGAGGTGTTCGGCCTATCATTATTCGGAATGCTTATCAAAAACAATTCAGGTTCTCAAATCGCTCGATGAAGAAGAGAAGATTGATTTGAAGAAGAAAGAGGAAACGAAAAAGCGGCAAGAAGAGCGCGAAGCGGCGCGGCAAAAAATCAAAAACTTTTTGAACAAAATGAGTATGTCATCAAGAAATGTGAAAACGTCTAGAATCGAAATTTTTCAGAGAAGATTCGTGAAAACATTCAAAAGAAGGCGGAAACGACAACTGTGACTAGCACTGAATCGACAACTACTGAAAAATCGACAACTACAATTGATGATACTACAGAATCAACGACTGTTGAAGCCGAAGCTGTGACGGAATTGCTCAATGTTGAAGAGCTAACCACAACAACTAGGGCAGCAATTCCAGAAGCTGAGGATGAGGAAGAAGAAACAACAACAACCACAACAACGACGACTACAGAAGAGCCGACCACAACCGAAGAGCAGGAAATTGAGAGTAAGAAGCCTGTGAGTTTGTCAATTTGAGTGCGCTCATTAATTTCAGCTAAGCACATTTCAAATGAAGCTGAAAAAAGTAGCGAAGACGATGACGCCAAAAAACCAAATTTGAATGTAGATTTTTCAGACGCAAAATTTTATATTAATTATTGTTAAAGATTCCACGACTCTCTGGACCCGAACTTGCCCAATTAATGACGCCAGTTGCTGGAATCATGGACGACATCCGACCAATTCTCAGTAGTCTTCTTGGGACTTCCAGTCAAGCGGCTAGAGCGAGAGTACGCATGCATTCCGTAATTCGATCTTCAGTTTTATTGGTTTAGGCAGCTTCGGTTCGAAGTTATAACGCACCAAATCCGCAGCAGAATTTAGCAACAGGTGGCCGAGATATTCTTGCTGACGGCTACTCGGAAAATTCTTTAGTTGGCTTTGGATCGCAGCTCGCGCGCGAGATCTTGAATCCAGGGTCTCTAAGAAAAGATAAAATCGTATGAATCGTTCAGAAATCAATGATATTAATAAATGGGATTTAAGACAAGGGATAAGGCACTCGCTGCAAAAATTGAAGAAGCTAGACTTAGAAAAGCAACGGTATTCTAGCTAATTACACAAAAAGGGAATGTTATGACGAAATTTAGATCGAAGCAATGGCCACCGGTGCTCCATTAGATCTTGGAAACCCTTATCCACAATATCCTCAACAGAAGCAAGTCGACAAGACTGTAAATCTTAGAATCTATTCTTACAATTCATTTGCATATCAAATGTTTAGGCTGAAAATCTTCCATACTTCGTCCCACCGCCTCCAGGATATGTTGGTCCACTTCCTCCAGCTCCACCACCACCGCCACCATTTAAATCTGAAAGCTTCAAAAGTGCGCTATTATAATGATAGTTTCAGTCATACTGTAATTTTTCAGCTGCCGAAACATTGCCAATCGTCAACACTCCTCAAAGACCACAACCAACACCCTCTCCGCAACCATTGCCTACAACGCCGCGTCAAAAGAAAACGCGTAAGTGTTTCTATCTCTCTTTCATGTCTACCCCGTAAGCAATGCGGTTTCGTGTGGCCGCCATAGCTCAGTCGGTTAGAGCGTGGGTCTAATAAGCCCAAGGTCGCAGGTTCGACCCCTGCTGGCGGCAAAACTTTTTTGCCATCATATTTCTTAATATTTACAGCGAGACCTAACGATTCCGGCTATGATCAGGGACGCGATGAAGTGAAATCGACATTTTACGGCGATTCTGGTAACATTTCCACGTATGTTAACTCGTTAACATGAATATTTCAAGGAGTTATGATGGGTGGTGGAAAAACTCATCCCACGTCTGACTTCGAAAGCATGCAAATGCCGATTAGTGGAGAAGGATTCGGTCTAGCTCCAGTTCCCGACGAAAATAAGCCAGCTAAGCCAGCTCCAGCTCCAAAAGCCAGCGTCCCTCAAGGATTCGGCGGAGGTAGCAGAGGCGGCGCCTTCGGAGGAGGACACGGACCATCAGATGCCTTCGAAGAAGTCATGAAGAATTCGGAAACTGATATGTCATTCTTTACCTCTGGCCGCCGAAAAATGTAAAACCAAACAAGAAGTGTCATTCGCTACCTGCCATCTCCCTTTAATAATAATTCCCTAATAATAATAATAATAATTGCATAACCCTTAATAAGATTCACTTTTTTATTGGCGACGATTGAGCAAAATTTTTGTACAATTCATAAGAAAAAGAAACAACTAAATTCAACATCCAACAACATCATCAACAAACTAGAAAGCTAGCCTATTCGAATTTGCGGTGACGCATTGCATCACCACCGCCAATTTGGAAAGTGGCTCTTGGCGACGGGCTCGATGGACGCATTGCCGATATCTTACGCATCATTGCCGCTTCATCATCCTGCTCGTCAATCTTCTTGAGAAGCTCGTTTCGTTCCTCATCGGTTATACCCTACAACAAATATGATAACCATGAAACAGAAAATGAAAACAATTACCTGCATAATTTCCAAAATATCGGTAGTATCCTCCTCAATCATAGTTGTCAAACTCGTTGTTCGGGCCAATCTCTCATAGTAAAGCTTTTGTTGAAGGCTTACTAGTTTGCTGGACACCTGAAATAGGTAATTGATGAATTTAAGCGACAAATTGTGCTCATACTCTTTCTCTCTTCAACATTCCATCCCATTCCAAGTCAATCAATCCACCTTTTTTGGCAATTGCGTGCTTCACACGACGTGCGAAAGCAATCGAATCTTCACCTTCCTGAAATCAACAAACTGCAACATTTTCCACATTATCGCACATTCCGATGTTTCATAATTCATTTTATTAATTAGGCTATCCAAGAGGTTTTAGAAAGTGGTGTAAACATTAATTGCATATGAGCTTTTGGTAATTTTGCAGTAATTTTCAAAATTTGAAATATTGATATGAAATATTGCCTTCAATATCTTATTACTGTCTATTTTTAAATATATTCATTACAACACCAACCTGTTTTGTCATTGGTGGCAAATACCAAACATCGCAAATAATTGCCCACGACGTCATCATGTTCCACAAATATTTCCCATAAGATTCACGACTGCTGTTCCAGAACGCGTCAGTCAATCTTGAGTCATATTTCATTGCAATCGGATAAATTGTGCTGCCAAGCTTCAGAATTTTACGCACTTCTTGAGTGGTTCGACAAACTATACCTCAAACGATCCCTTCTTGAACATCATCACTGATGTATTGTTAATACAGGTTCCTTCAGGAAAGATGATAATCGGAAGTTTGTTCTCATCATTGACATGTTCGCGCATGATCTCAACGACCTTCTTTCTGTCCTTTGCTTCTCCTCTTTCGAACCAAATATGATGTTCAGCACGGCTCAATGTGTTTTGCAGGAATCCTAGATAGTTGGGCGAGGGTAATGAAGTAACCGAGTCAAAGCTTTCTTACCTAGCATTCCTCCCTGCTTCTGGCCAATCATGGCATAGCAATTATCGCAACTTAGAATCATAATGTCAATTGGAGATGTATGGTTTGCAACGCAGATTCCGCCCTTTTGTGCTCGATTTTCTCTGCAATATCATCATACACTTACACTATTGTATAGATGTTTCCCAACCTGTTATGAAATCTAATAACACTGGAAAATGCACGCGAATAGATTCTAAAGCACATGAGCATCACTCTTCTGTTCAACCACTTTTTAACTCTGAAAAATAAAATATTTATTGAGAATTACAATCTGATAAAGAACGTACTTTGGATGCGGCACTATTCCAATAATTGTTGTGCAGGCGATCATAAGGCCCATCGATAACACAAACAAAGCAATACGGAATGGCAAAAAAACGTAGTATCGCACCATAAATCCAACAATCCATAGCGCAGTGAGTTTCCAGCTAAAAAAAAACAATAAAGTGATTTTCTGAAGTTTTTAAAGAAATATTAGAAAAAAACGTCTCGCTGAAAGAATAGCGCATTTAACAAAAAATTTACCCGAATTTTGGTGTGTGGTCCGTAATTTTACATTACGCGAAAATTCACAGAATGTTTTTAAAGCGCAAAACATGAAACAAATAAATGATAGTTTTAAAATTGTATTATTTGAATTTGAATTAACCAACTTGTAATATTGGAACGAATATCTCGTTCGGCTCAAAAGATTCCAACAAGGTAACTGGGCAGCAGCAAATCTGTTTGTCACTTGATCTTCAATGATCGCTTCCATTCCGGCCTATAAACAATTCCCTTTGATATTTTATCAATGACTTCTACAAATGATAAAAAGAAATCATATTTAAAACGCTTACGGTTATGAAATCTAGTGTATCATCAACGAGAACGCTAACAGTTGTCTTCTTGGATGTTGGCACATTAGTTTCGTGAAGCTTCGCATCAATGATCTCCGACTTTTCTCGATTGATAATGCCTAGAAAATGAATTTATTGAAAGGGAAACGCCAAAAAATCTTAACCTAAATCTGACGCCGACGAACTTCTTCTGGGTTTCCTTTGAATTGTCTCGCACTCCTCACCATTTGGAGGTGGCTCATCATCACCGACTTCTGTGCAAACCGTGGCTCCCCACTAAATTGATTGCTTATCACAAAAGAATTGCAACTCAAATGAATTGTTGATTAATACCTCAAATATTCTGTCCAACGTATTCACATAGAGCTCACGAATTCCCAACGTTTTGCCGGTTACCGCGAGAAATATCAATGTAACGAGTAGGAACTCGAACAAGTAGAACAAGAAGAGAAGAATCATCAGAAATAATTCGAATATATTGAATTGTACGTTGTTTTCAAGTTGAAAATCAGGTGTTCACTCTGTTTGCAAAGCGAGAGAAACGCGAAAATAAGAGGACCACGACGAAACACTCTGTGAAAACAACAACAAAAGTCGCTTGCTATTGATTCATCAACATTATCGAAAATCAATCAATTAAGACCAAAATTAGGTGACCAATTAAAAAAAAAACAATAGAGTGCGCTGAAAACGCATAGGGCGAAGGTGCATTGATAAGACATCAGAATGATAAAACATTTTTGAAACATTGTAAACAGAATGAGTGGCTGCAGTCGATCGAGGGATGATAAATCCCGAGAACGTAATAAGACGCTCGCACAATGAATCCATCCGCAACTACAGCGTAGCGCCGCTCACGTACGCGTTTTGCGATTTTCACCTATCGTCATGCATGCCACGCATATCGAATAATAGAACAAAGTCAATTTGCGAGTTATATGAGCAAATTCGATCTTGTGGTCAAAGATTTATTACACATCACTGAGTGAGATTTATCATAGAATAATAAAATTTCTATAAATAATTTTAAAAAATTTAAATCAAACCATAGATTTTTGTATTAGCATTTTAGCTTCAACGCGGCAAATTTATACGGAAATTCAATAAATGGAATCTCTCTTCTTGGATTATTCCATCTAAAATCAGTTAATTAGTATTCTGTCAATTTTTATTCTCTTATACAAATTTAAGCAGGCACCTTGATCTCTCAAGCAACGTGCTAATCCGCTTATCTACTTATTTAAACCGTTGCCGGTCAATCATTTTGGACGCCGTCGGCTTTCTTTTATCTATATAATTCTCGTGTAGCATCTGGTTTTTCTGTGTTCGTTTATTAAGACAAATGTCGAATGTAATAAGAAGAGGGGTTGCGGAAAAATAATATTCGTTTCAACACAGGTTTCAATATACAACATGTTGCGTAGAATTAGATCAATGGAATCGCTTATGATAGATATGGTAAAATGTACAGTAGCCGGGTCAAAACATTCACAAAGAATCCATACACACAAGAATAACCTGGGCCAATCATTAAATGGTTAAATACAGAGCATAAATAAAAGAGTTACAGATCAAAAAAATAATGAGCACATTAGTGCTGGAGAGCGAAATTAGTAATAGTGGATTTTTCAGTAAAGGATGGTTAACTTTTGAAATCGGGATTGTATACTGGTTTGGGGTTAGTCAAATTTTACATGATTGGGTTATAAGCGAGCACGGAATAATTATTTCATTGCGAATAGGACATTAGCCACAGATTCCAATCTTCTTGGCGTAGTATTTGAGTTTGTACTTGTCCGGATTGCGCCACCATTTGAAGACCTCATTCGGCTTCTAAAACTCACAATAAATCAAGATATTCATCAAGAAGACATACGTTTTCCATGAGTGTGAGCTTCACTGCGTGAAGAAGCTCTTCGGGCCAATCGATGCACTGCTCGAGCTGCTTGTTAGTGCAGCATTCGCAGAACGAGACGACAGTGTGACGGTGATGGAATTTGTCTTTGATCAAAATGCCACCAACAATTTCCTCATCATGAATCGCGCAGACATACGCCGAATTCTCATAGCTCAAGCAGCCGATCACGTCGAAACAGTTTACAAGACTGTTTGGGCTTCGCATTAGAGCAATTTGTTCGGACGTCTATAAACAATAATACTAAACGTTGTGCATATTGAATTTTACCAGAGTTTCCGGTTCCGGATTATCAATCATATCGGTGAGATAGTCAATGTCGAAGCGAGGCTCGATGGGACCGCGGACCATCTCGGCTTGAAGTTTGGCCTTAACCTCAACGTTCCAAATGTGGCGAAAAACGTCATTAGTGTTTTTCTAAAATTAGCAGCTACATTAAACTAAAAAATGGTAATAAAAATACCCCGTCAAACGGAAATGTCTCCTTGATAAGTTCGATGAGCGGCTCATTGAACATGACGGTGAAATTGAGAAGGTCGTCATCATTTGGGCAGAGATCGCAGAACATCACCGACACATTCTTGAGAGACTCATCATCCCTCAGAATCATTGCACAGATGATCGGCTGATCAAAGTGTCGAAGACAATTCATCGTCGGTGTGACAGTGGCCACAGAAACGAAGGAATACGCGTAGAAGAGTGGAAGCTTTCGCTAAATATTAAAAATTCAATAGATATACGTTATGTTTCCAAATTTTCATACTTTCAAACTCGAACTAGGCAACTCGTCGGTAGTCGGAAAAGCGGGCACAATTTCTTCAATTTCATCTTCGTCGTCCGACAATTCCGCCAAAGCGCGTTTCAACTCTTCTCGCTGAAACAACATTGCAAACTGTAATACCTGCCAATATAGAAATTTACCAAGCGCTTCTCTTTGAGACGTTGTTGCTCCTCTTCATCGGATAATCTTTTAACGGTTCTTAAGTCGCTGGACATTTTCTGAAAAAAATATAATAAATAAATATATATAAAAAAGAATTGAAAAAGGAAGGAAATGTGATATGCAATTCGTTAAAAAAAAACATCAATCGCGGAGAGGAGAGCATATACATATGTCGGCGCGTCGCATGGTGATAAATTTCGCACGCCAATATACTTCTAAGCGAACGACGATTGATTGTGTCGGCGGCAAGATCGTAAACACCATATGCATTTTCTCGCAAAGACGACAAATGTGGCGAACGCGAAGAAAGCACCTGCCAGCACAACGCAATTGTTTGGCGTGTGGAGAGGGGTGGGACTGGCGGTGTGCGACGCTTTTTTTTCTCTGCGTCTCCTTGGCAACATGCCGGATAAAAATTGTTATTATTTGAGGTTTTGAGCCAAAATTAATAAAGGATATCAACAGACACAATTATCTTTGGAGAACAAGAGCATGTTGCTTGACGAGGGAAACAATGAATCATTCAATTGAATCGCCGGCTATCCTCCTCTCTATTCCATGTTGTTTCAATTGAACCAAATAGGAAAACGTATTAAGTTTGATGCATGATATTCAGAAATTTGTTTGGGAAAGTGAAAGAATTGCCAAAATTATGGAAACAAAATGCGAAACGTGGTAATTATAAAGACTAGTGAGTATTTCAGGGTGGCACTTACGCTTTAATTATTAGAAAGACGAAGCTCAGGAGAAAATTGCAAAGGATTAATAGCTTTCGATGAAAAAGAGATTAGCACTTATAAGCTCTTTGAGGACAACAAATTGTTCAATTATTATGTAAAATTATTTTTCGAGAAAGGGAATGCTAAATATGAAAAAGAGCGTTTGGCAGATTCATATTGGCGATTGCAATTTCGGGGGTCGTGTCAAGACAATTTCAACGTGGTGATATCATTTCAAAGCTATTAATGTCATATGAGTAAAGCTTAAAGGAAAAAAAGAATAAATAGTGATTCTGACTCGCCAATAAGGGTGCAAATAAACGCTCATTTATATGTTAAAAGCTTCATTAACATGATATTTGAAAAGTGAAAAAATTTAATTCTTTGAATGATTCACATGCTTAATTACTCCTAATAATTTTGTGCACTCTGACATGCTACTTGGGTGTTAAAGCACTAACCATTAAGACAGTTCTACACGTGTTTTCAGTTTCTAGATGGAGATATTTTAAAATGGTCCGACGACTTGACGTAATATTCCTAGGAACTAGAATTCGAAACATTTAAAAGCACTCGGCAAAATCTCATAGAAAAAAAAAGAAAACTGTCGCTGTGTTTTGCGGGCAACCTCGGGATGAATCAGAACCTCCAATGTTCCGTGTCATGCGATATTTTTGGTTTGTCTTGACTGGTGAAAATATTTTCACAGTGGTGTACGTTTTTGAAAGATTATCTATGCAAAACCATTAAAAAATCCGTAAAAAGAAAAAAAATGACTAAAATTGTCAAACCGTCTATTTGAACGTTAATCTTAATGACAAGTTATTATTTCTGCACAATTTTTAATATATGAATGATAAAACTCTATATTTTATTTTTAGATTACTATGAAGCCTTTTAATTAAAAATTTGATAATCCAAACTGATTCCTCCAATAAACAGATTTGTCATTTTATGAAGCAGGGGATTAGAGTTGCAAAATATTTTATTTTTTCAACTATTCTAATGAAAAAAAACCCCCAAAAATACAAAAAAAATCAGAAAATACAAAAAAAAAACCCAAAAATAATAATATCAAAAACACACAGAACCATTTTTTAATACCAAAAGAGAAAGAAAAAATGTCTCCAACTTTTGGAAAATAACAAAAAATTTTAATTTCTAGCACAATTTAACAAGTTCAAACTACTTCCAATCATACATTGCCATTGCTTTTCTCATAAAAAAAAGATGTGACTATAAATTGGAAAATCGTTTTTTTTCTCTAAATTTTTTTCGATAAATTTGAGAGCGTCGCGATATTATTCTTTTGAAAGAAAATTTGATAGAATCAAAAAATTCCCTATTTTGTGGCAATGATCTATGAATTAGTCGATTTCTGCTTCTTGCTTAACGACATTTTTCTTTATTACCAGTGAGAATAAAACATTAAATAAAACATTTAAAAAGAGAAATGATAAGGAAAACGAAGGCGAATTTTCAGGGAGGAATTATTTTAATCATTGTGTTGGTTGGATGGGAACGCACAGAAAACGTGTTAAGGGGTCATATATGGTCATATCTAAGTTTTCAAATGACTGATCGATTGCGGGAAAATTCGATTTCGTAAATTCATTGTAGGTATATAAATTAGTTATTTAACTCGCGGCTGAATGTAAAATGCGCGTACGCTAAAATGCAGGGTACGCAGACACTCCCAATACCATCTGCCTCGAGACATCACGGCACATCACCAATATTTTTTAAATTTTCGATCAATCGTTCGTAACCGAAAGATTATATTTAATGGCGGACGCTAAAAAAAACAAAATTTCGCAATTCCTGTTTGTGGGACGTTGGGGTTGTGGTTGGAAGAAAATAAAAAGCACAAAACAATAAAAACGACCAACAATGGGCACATCGTTAAATAGAAATTAATAATAGTCATTCTTGCCAACCGCATTTATTTTGTTCCTCGCGCGCGAGCGCGTCAAAATTGGCGTTTCTAAACGGAAAACGAGAGTCGAAACCATATCAAGTTGCCACTAACGGTTCAATATTTTTTGTGGATGGCGCAAAAACGAAAAAAGGAAAACGTCTCAAAGAGAAAACAGGTTCAGACATTTATCAAATAAAAAAACCCTACAGCTTCAATCAATCAACACCGATATAAGGCGGGTATTGGTTAGTTTATCTATATATCTGTTATCAATGAAATGTTCCTTCGATCGTTTTCAAAAAGTGTTGAACTTGATAATGTAGAGTGTATTGTGAAGGTGAAAATAGTGTTAAACCGAGAAAGACTAGAAAACAAAAATTTTGTCGTTGCAATTATTGAGGAACATGAAAAAAAAATTTTTCTCAACGTTTCTTCTAACTTTTTTGGTAACTCGAAGACAAATGGTCTTTTCAAATTTGTCGGTTGGAAAATCGACGGTCGCGAAGGTATTCTTTGTCGCTTTTTGCAGAAATAGTAAAAAAAAGAATTATATTTTCATTGAGTATTGATCATCGTCGAGCATACTGCTTGAAAATATAGCATAATTAATAAGAAAAAACATTCTCAAATGTTTTTGGTCTGCAGGGTCGTTTTTATTGTGTTTCAAAATTTGAAATTGTTCTTTTGAGTTGATATTCAATATCCTAATTATTGAGGAATAAGATCGATCTAAAATCTTTAAATTTTAAATTGAATCACTGATATTTTTAAACTATAGGATTTGGAATTATATTTCGAAGATACTGTTTAGGCATAGTTAAAAAATACTGTTCTCCATTGATTCTTTTAATCGTGGAAGGGCTTCGAGTGACGTCATTGACATTTTCAAAACAATCAATTAAGGAGCAATAATTAAGTAGAAAATATTCGCATTGACGCCTTTCCCATCAAAATATTTGTGTCTACCATAAAGCGAAACATTGATTGACGATTTATTTCCTTCCAATTGTGTTCCCCCAACGTGAAGCTTTGTTTCTCATACAAATTTATGGTCATAAATTTCTGCCGGCTTTCAAAAAAACGACTCATTTTTCAATAATTTGAAAAGGAAATAGTGCGCCCACTTTTGAATTTTCCATTTTGACTATTGTTTGTTTTCATATTTATATTTCGAAAGTTTTTAAGCCTTAAAAAATCCGTCATCCTTGAAAATCTTGGGGCTAATCCTCCAATAAAAGTACCAGTCGCAAATCCTCCGCCCGCAGAGCTCATATGAACGCATTATCCACATATCTCGTGTTAATAGCACATATATGGAATTTTCAATAATAAGTGCCCCAAAATTGATTTAAAATTTAAAATTTTTCGATTTTCGCTTCTGTTTAGTGGTGTTTCGAAGTATGGCAAATCTCGCAATTTTTAACATATCCGTTTGATTCAAATTGGCGTTCATAAAATTTCCACAACCAGAAAAGTTGCGCGTGTCAATGTTGACAGGTGAAACACACGATTAGTATGACCCATAATGTTATTGGCACCTTGCGCGATGAGCAATGTTGGCGGAAGTGTTACCTGCCATCATTTGATGTGCTAGTGAGTACGCGAGTTATTATAACTGATTATAACATACCTAAGGGGGTCGCCTCATATTTTTCATTTGATTTTCTCCCATGTATTTCTTTCTAATCATTTTCAGTACCAATTAAAGTAAGCTCGAATTTTATAAAAATTATTTGATCTTTCCCCCACATCCAAATTCTGTTCAAATTTTAGAATCGGTTTGCCATCTATTTTAATGCTGTTTAATTATTGCAAAAGCAAATTCAACAATGTATTGATTAAAAAGGATTTTCGGCTTCATATCCAAAGTCTCTCAAGTTGGTGGCTCTCGTTTAATCCGGCGAAATGTCACCAATAGAAACACCAAGAAGATTCTCCAATTATTTTCAAAAATCTTCGCTGTAAATTTCATCGATATTTATATGTGTATATAAATTCAATAACTCCTATAGTTGAATAATAACAACCTTCTTTCGTTTTCAAATATAACACAATCCCTTTTTTAATAGCATGTTTCTTTAAAATCTTGTTATAGTGTTTTATGATTTATGCTGCTATTTTTCTTGCTACAATTTTTATTCTTTTTTGCCAATGTATCTGAAAATGTGTGAAATGACGGGATACAAAAATGTGTTGCGTTGCGATGTTTCCGAATGAGTGACATGGTGCCATATAGGGATGACCTGATACAATTGTGCTTTCGCAGTTCATTTACCGAATGTGATGAAAAACCAGCACTCTTTCCATTATAATGCCGTCTAAGTGCATTTTTTAACTACTTCGGTGGCTACTTTCGATAAATTATTTCGTATCTTTTTTTACGATCTTGCCAAGTGTACTGACTTTTTTGCATTTTTCAGTTCGAGAACTTCATCATGTCGTCACCGATCGAAACTCCGATTATGGTAAGTTATTTATTTATTAATCAAGTTTTTATTTAATTGGAAAGTATAGTTGTCAGCATAGAATGCTTAATTTTTCAGGATGTTCTTGACCGAATCGAACCGATGGATGTAACTACATCTTCGAATAATGGCCAGATAAAAGTAATAATAATTATTATTTTTTGAAAATTACACTACTTGAAATTTCAGTACTTGTACCCGTTGTACATGGCACATTCATTCCTCTCGACGTGTCGGCTTGTCAGCAGTATCAAATGCCAACAGCACAATGCAAAAGCCAGGGGAGCATTGCTAATGCGCGATACCGAAACGAACGGATTAGTTGCACTGGCCGTATGCCGGAAATGCTCTAGAGACGGACAAATGCTGAATCAGAATGATCGAATGATCAAGCCAATCAAGTGTTGACAAAAGCAATGACAGTGTCGTATCCATTTAAAGCGGTATGCGTATTTACGACAATGCTGAAAATAATTCGATAGATTTTCAGTCTTATAGTGACCAAATTCTTCACAATGTTTGGGAAACGCTAGTCAATCTGTTGTTGCATTCTCATAATGGGCTCATAGGTAAAATAGTCATTCATCGATATGATTTTTTTTCAATCAAAAATTTAGGAGTCACTGGCATGTTATACAACTGGGATGTTTTGAGAGAAAAGATTAAAACGGATGAAACGAGAATCGATCGTGAAGAACATGCAGTTCGTCGCATTATTTTTTGTTGCCAATTTAGTTAGTAACTTTAAGAGCAACGAAGAAGCTGGCATGATGTACGGTGACGACAGATCTCTAGACAAGGTCTTTTTCTACTATGGCATTGTCAAGTTCATTCTTGGCGAGTACGCGTGCTATAAGCACAATGAGCGTATCATCTTTGGCATTGCAATTCGAGATAAACTGTTTGATCGCCGCTTCATTATTCCGTTTTGCCATGGTTGTCTCGGAAGATTCGAACCAACGCATAGCAAACTGCCAGAGGATCTCCTATTTGCTGTCAGACTCGCACACTTTCGCGATGTAAGCAGTTTCAGACAGATTTTTTTAAATAATCAATTTTCTTTAGGACGATAAGCCAATTCGCGAATGGTTCCAAGACAAAAGCAAGTTTTGGAAAGATTACTACGGAAACAGAATGGAATAATATAATTGGAATTATCATTGCTGAATCACTCAATGTTTTGTGAATCTGTCTCAACTTTTTGTTTCATAACTCTACCTTTAAGATGTGTTTCCATAATCTCAAAAATTGACATCATTTTTTTAGAATTCTAGTCTCAGTTTGACATTATTCATGAAACAAAATTACTTCTATATAATTACCGAATAAAATTTTCTATTATTAGCTTGTTAATCAACACAAAAAATGTAATCCGTACTAATTCTTAGAAATTTTGAAGCTACAAATCATAATTGAAGTTGTCCTTTTTTTTTGAACCAATGAATCAGCTTTGTTTTTCATAATTCTTTGATGTTTTTAAGCATGCACGTTTCGAAAACAATCGCTCATATTGAACCGTTTCCCCTTTTTCAACCATATAACCAAGAGTTGAATGCAAACGGCTGCACGCGTTTATGCGTCCATACATTTGTTTAACGATAGACGCTTTTTGTGTCGATGTTCTTTTTTTTTGGGAGGAAGGAGGGGGCTGGGTTATTGTTTTAGCGCGTACATTTTATGATTTAGTGAGTTCAATCGGTCGTCTACCATTGCTCTAAATTTATTCAACGGCTTGCCGCCACCTGCTTCCATTGTGCCATCTTACATTTTGCTGGCCGCGGACGGAATGGAAAGAATTGCGCGGCCTAATTTCGGCATTCGCGCCCCAAAGATATGGTGATAAATATCTCTGACTGCAATTTTTTTCTATTTCCCCCTTCATTTGCTGTTGCGATATTTTCAGCCGATTTGCTTCAAGACCTCGTGAAAAATTATTCAAATTAGCATGATTCAATAACTTGATATTTTCGCAAATTCTCCTCATTATTCATCAGTTTTTTTTGGATTAATCATCCGTTTTTGATAGAATTAATTAATTATTTTTCATAGCGAACTCAAAACAACACACCTGCTTCCTTTTGATTGTCGAATATGGGTTCAACTAGCAATTCGAAATTTCTCTGCGTCGCTGATGACGTTGTCGACATACCGCTTCCAACTCCAGAAACGGATGAAGCAACGTTTTCAAATTCGATCGAGAAACCGCAGGAACGGCCGAGAGGTCGAATCATGGGCATCCGAAGTTTTCCAGTTTCTCTGCCGACAGAACCGCCTGACGTTCTAGAGGCGAGACAAAAAGCGAGGAGTGATGCCTTGAGAAATGGTAAGTTGATATTTGATCAAACGTTAATTTTCAAATATTTCAGCCTCGCTGAACGTGATCAACCAACTAAAAGCTGATCACGTTAGACGCGCCGGGCGATACGGATTTAATTATTACGAAGACGAGTCTCAACAATTGTGCTCGTGTTTCGAGAAGCTCACAGTATCGAAAGAGCATCCGGTTGGTTATTTCGCCGCGAATTTTCGACAAACAACCCGGTTTGCTTCGGATCGTAATGAATTCGAGCCGGCAACGTCTGTTCTAAGACGGTTGGAACGCGAAAATCCGGAATTCATCGAAGAATTGAAATCGGTGAATAAAGCTGTGAAAGAAGCAGCTGAAAAATCGCGAAAGAAAAAAAATGCCAACCCGGCAGCGGATAATATTCACGATATTTTGAGGCGCAGTTATAATGGAAGAGGATCGCCGATGAATTCAGATTCCGTATGTCGCATTGTAATAACTAAACACAGCAAGGCAGAACTTTTTAAGGAGAACGACACTACTGGCAGCCGTGAGAAACCTGATGAAGTTACATTTAGCGCTAAGGTAATTTCTACAATAAATTACAGCAATTTTTTCAATTTACAGTACTCCATCCCACTATTTTGTGCTCATTCTTTCCTCTCGACAACACGTATAACAGGAGACATTAAATGCGGGCCGCATAAGGAACGTGTCGCTGGCGGATTACTGATGAGAGATGATGAGACTGGAAAAATTGTATTGCTCGCAATTTGTCGCAAATGCCTTCGAAGTGAGAATCATTTCGATAAAACGATCGTGTTTGATAAAACTCTCGTCAAGCTAATGAAGATAATGTATCCATTCCAAGTGGTAACATAGAAATGTACTTCTTTAAAAGCTGCAAGTTGATTTCAGACTCCACGCGACCACCTTTTTCGAGATATTTGGACGGCGGGGAAAAATTCAATAATGGGTTATCGCCGACTGCATGGTTTGTTACATTAAAATGAAAAAAAAAAACTTCAAAACTAGATTCAGGAGGTGAACGAATTTCAATTAAATGGAAAACTTTGAAAGAAGCTGTAAAGGAGGAACAAATCAATTTATCTGTTGAAGACGATGTAAATTCATTCAGTGAATTGATATAACTGTCTTTTAATCGGTTTTAGATCGAAATGCGATTGGTAGGAAGCAGATCATTGCGGGAGAAGTTCAACTTTGTTGGCGTGGCAACGTTTATTAAAATCTACTATCAATGTGATCCTCACAAAGAGCAATTGCTGTGTGGTCTAGTAGTTGGCGATAAGTTGACAAATCGACGACTAGTTTTGCCATTCTGCAAAAGTTGCGCAAACCATCAGGATCCTTCTCATCGCAATCTTCCAAGTGACTTACTCACTGCACTAAGCAAGTTTATGGAAGATAACGTAATAGAACGCCGGAGAATCTGTTTATAGGTTTTTTTTTCAGAATGACGACCACGTACACCGATTTTTCAAGAAATGGGACGAGCAAGACATTTGAATTGGCGACAATGCTTTTTCAAAAAAATGTTTATTTAATAATTATTGTTTGATCGATATTCCGTAAATGACTTATATTTGTTTTTCCTAAAATCAAAATAATGTGTATAATATTGTTTTTTTTTTACTAAAATTGGAATATTTCCCAATATAGAAACATTTAGTTCGAATAATATTTGTCTCGTTTTTTGCCAACTTTTGCACTCGATTGAACATTTTATCCTTTTTATGATTTTTTTTTTGCTCAGATGCCAAGATGCATCAATTATCAAACATTTCAATTTGATATTTCTTATTTATTGTTTTCTGATCTCAAAAAAGCGTTGAAATTATTGAATTACTTTCGCACAATTTGTTTTGTAAAGAATTAGGCACTCATTTTATTATTTAGAAAAAAAAAGAACATTTCCGTCCTCCCACCACCAATCATAACATTGTTCCGTCATGTTTTGCTTTTTATTCTCTTCTATATTATTTTTCGCTTCTTATTAATCAATAAATCAGCATCAAAGAGAATGTGTGTTGAAATCTGATGACTAATGGACAACAGCAAACTGGTGACTTACATAAAGCTGTATGCTTCAATGTCGCGTGTCTATTGGCAATCATTTTGTGAATTTCGGATGGATTTTTTTTGAAAATAATAATCGAATTACAAATATATGTCTCGACGGTTCCATTTTTTGTTAATGTGTTTGTCCGCACTATAAAAGGCGTCGCTTGTGAATTTTTGTCATTCTTTTTGTTTCCCCCGCTTCTCGCCGTTTTCATTGATCGATTCCCACGTGTTCATATTTTTTTCTATTCTTACAGGTATGTCGTTAAGTAAACCACAAACGAGCATGGCGAGCGACGAAGATTGCTGTACCAGGTTGATATTAACTCGCAATCATCTCTCAATTAATAGTGATTTTCAGAAATGGCGGTCTCGCTGAATTCGCCGATGCTGAAAATAATGCTAACGGGGATCTGGCTTGGGACGATCTCAAACAGAACGAATTCTCAAATGTCGGTAGTAAGGAGAAACAAGGAATCGCGAAAGCGCCGAAGAAAATCGTATGCAGCCTTCAATGCGTCTTGTGCATCGAGCCAGGCCACACGGCTGCCTACTGCTTCAAGTATCAAACGGAACTTCAGCGTCTGAAAAGAATTATCGAGCTCGACTATTGCCACAAATGTGGTGGGAAGCACGTGGATGTCACTTGCAATCCACGCATTGCATGCAGCGTGTGTGGTAAGAATCACTATTCGCATGTTCACGCGAGAGAGGAGTGCGTTAATTGGACTATAAGTACTGACTAATTACCTTTTAATTTTATTATTATTGTGATTTGATCTTAAAATAATGCTCGATTATTTTTGTATGGAAAAATTGTTTCAAAGTATGTTAGGGGACAAATGTCACGCACCAGAAATTATATACAAATATGATAGGAAAGCACTTTTATTTAGCACATGTGTGCAGAAAAAGCAACTTGTATTGAACTCTGACATGAAAGAAGAAGAAATATGCAGGAGGAAATGGGGAAGAGGTTTATCATTTCGTTGGAAGAAAAAAAAATTGAATTTGTGAACATAAGGCACACTGGTCACTTACTCAATCATATCATGTGGCCGGATATATTTTTTAAACATAATTTTAAATCTATTCTTTAATTTGTTTCAATATCATTATTATTATTCTTAGCATCCGTTCTGTTCGAAAATCGGTAAATTCGATGAAGCATATGCAAATGTGCGTTGTAAGCATATGATTTTTTCATTGCGACATAAAACGACAAAAATTCCGCAAGTGCAGACATTCGTAACTCAACCCAATCTATCGTAAGGAACAATTTTTTACTAAAAAAAGACTGCGAGTAGAGATTACATAAGCACAGCCCAAAAAAAGAAAAAACGGTTGCAATTCTGTAATTTCAATTTAATTGGCTTATCGTCTAATTAACGATTATCATGAAATAACTAAATGATAATGAAGTGGAGAAACTTAATTATTTTTTTTATTGGCTAAAAAAACTTGGCTTTATGGATCCATCCAACCTACGCATTCGCCAACTATTAATTTTTTACAGCCGTTTGTCTTCACTATCGCACGGGTGTTTTGTGTTGTATTGGGTACGGTAGTCACGATGTATAAATAAATGTGATCAAGATCAAACTGCCTTATATAGACTGAAAAATTACGAGCAGTAAAACCAATGGAAAATAATTCAAATTACATATTGTTTACCACAATGTTTTTGTTCGAAAATCTTATGATAGCGTTTCTTTGGGAACTTTTTTCGAAATTATTCGAAAATTGAAAACAAACGAAGAAAATTAACCCAACTTTTCTGCTTTTTGTAGATGTAAAAAAGTTGAAGATTTAACAACAGATTTATTAAATAAAGTTAATATGGATTAGATCCGATTGATCTTAGATGCCACGGTAGTTGCGGTCGATGTTGCGCATGTCGTTGATGAAGGCCAATGAAGCATTCAAGGCATGCTGAAAGCAATGTTATTTAAAAAACGCTGTACATATTGGATTTTATTACACGCATTACCTCAATATTGTGATGGTGATGATCTCCGCGACAGCAGTTCGCAAACTCCGAAACAATCTGGCCTACGAGGCGAGCAAACAAGAGAAAACCAAAGTTGGCAGCTAAATTAGCCGGGTCGCATTCCAAAACCAACTGAAAATATTGAATATGCTCCGAATTATTGCAAAAATGACAAACCAAGTCTTCGAAGACGTCGGAAACCACTCCAAACGCATGACCCCAATGAGCCGCACACTGTTCGTTCATCTGAAAATATAAATAATTTACAAAAAATGTGCTAGCTGTGAATTATGGAAAAATTACCTTTCAAGAAAATCGAAGAAAAAAAGTGATGGAGAACCTTAGCTGTAGATAACGTACAGACTGACAGTAAACCGAATATCGGTCCCCTTTATAGCATAGCCCGGACATATATTTTACGATTACCGTAATCATGGTGGGCGGGGAGGGATTTCGGGCGGGAGCCTTAGGCTTGTTAATTAGATCCACCTTTAATATCTGTAATCTGAACTTGTTAATTAATTTTTTATTTCGGAATTTTAAAATTTGTAAATTTTTTGTTGAAATTTTCATTTTTTAAAAAGTAAAATTTATTTGCAAGCATTTGAAAAATAGTTTTTATGAAGCCTTGCCAAAATAGTTTTGGTTATATTCGTATTATTTTTTTCTGTCAAAAAAAATAATTCAGGTTCCCTCTCGTTCTCAAGATTCTAGTTTATACAACTGTATACAGTTAATTTTTATTTCATATCCCGGTAGAAAAATAAATTTATTTAACAAATATGCTTATATTTTTGTCGTCCTATTTTATTTTGGTCACAATTTTGTCACTTTAATGGAACTTTTTGGTTCCACACAGTTTCTCCAATAAAAATTTAAAATTTTCTCCAAATGAATAGTTGCTCTTTAAATTAAATTTGAAAAATTTTTGAAATTGCTTTCAAAAAAATCTATATTTTTTTCACGATTTGAAATTCTATCGGAGCTCGAATTTGCGAAGAGCAACATAAAAATTTGAATTTGTTTTTGCGAGGCTGTGCAATAGAGCGCACTTGTTGGTGCGCACCAACCACAAGATTTTGAACGCTGTTTGCACGCTGCCTTGCTTTTTTTTAATGATTTTCAATTTCATCTGCGTATTTCTTAGCGCAATTTCTTAGTAATAATTTTACCTACTCAAATTTTGTTTATTTATGCCGTTTGTCTCAACGATCCATTTTTCAGAATGGCTTCCCAAGCTTGCCCGTCAACTCCTTATGTTGGCACAGGAATAAAGCAAGATTTGCAAAGCTTATATAAAAAGTTTGCTGATGTTTCATCGCTTCGGTAATTACTTTCAAAACATTCAAGCATTCTATTAGATATTGTTTGCAGAATCAAGGATTTTGCTGAAGTTTATCGAAGAAATAATTTTGACAAAATTTATTCGCGCCGAATTTCACAGTCTGAATATTATGAGGTACGAACATAATGATTTTCTTGCAATTTTCAATTCGAATTTTAATATTTATAGTTTGCTGAGCTACTTCTTCAACATGCTGCTTCATACTTTCGAGAAATCGATAGCGTTGGCGAAGTTCGCAGTTTGCAGCAACGCATTTTTGGTGTTTACGCAACATATGCCTTGTATTCGACTCAACCAAAAGATCTAATGATTCCGGTAATATTTTAGAGGGATTAAAAAAAAACTTGCTTAAATTTTTAGGTGCGTGTGACCACGACTCATGTGCGTGAGCTCGTAACCTTTCAAGACGAGGTGTCAAAACTTCAATTGTTTGATGTCGTCGCGTGTATCCAGAATTTAATCGGCAAAAACGCTTTTCAAATCAATCGATTTCAATCTGCGGTAGGCATTTTACATATAAAAGACGTTTGCTATGATTAAAGTTTTTCAGTACGACCCTGCCGTTCATAAAAAAGAATTAGTCGAAGATAAAAATTCAGAATCCATTGCTGCAACAGTGGTTTGTCAAAATATGGAAATATTTTAAAATAAATTATTGCTGTTTAGGAACCGTTTGAAGAAATGGAGCGAACTCTCAACAAAGACCTTTTCAAGGAGCTCGAGTACTTGCATAAAACATATGTCCACGTATAGTTTCAACTAGAAATGCTAAGATTTGATAGATATGTTTAGGTGAAAAAACAACTTAATCTGAATCAATCCGGAATTTCGCTTGTTGATAAACGCAATCCACTTGAAGAATGTCAAAAGATTATGGAGAAATTTAAAAATGGACTCGAGGCGTCCACCAGTGGCACCAGCAGTACTGAGCCGTCTTGCTCATATGTATGCTCATTTAATTCAACTTTTATCATTGATTTTTTTTTTCATTTTTTAGGGAAATGAACCGGTGGGAACTAGCCGATCCAATGTGCGAGCAAAAGCATATTCAGCTGAAATGAAAGTGCAGAGACATCGCAGATACGTGGATCCAGGCATGGAAGGTTTGTGGATTTAGATATCCAATATTGGTTTCCCTTCTACATATTTGTTTTCAGAGCCGTCGCAACCAAAAACTTTTGGTGATATCGCAAGGCAACTGCTTGCAGAATCGGAGCCCGCTCAGGGAAGTAGTGAAGGACCCAGGTAATCATTCCATTGGTCGAATAGTTCGTTTAATGCAATCGATTTTAGTACGACTCCATTCAAGGAACCGAAAAAGCAAAACAAACGAAAAAGTACTTCTGATTTTGCTGCGGGATATCTTGATGATGACGCGATTGCAATGAGCACCTTAATTGAATCGCAAACGGCACTCTTAAAGAGATTCCAACCAGAAGCGCAAGGTATGATTTTCTTGCAACAATTCTGACACGATTTTGCAATTTTCAGTTGAAAATGAAGAAATTTCGAAGCGACGCACAATCGCCGCAAAAGTGCAAGCACCGAAGAGAAAATCGAATCCAAACATTCGCGAAGCTCTCGAACAAACTTTCGGAGCCATGCCGTCAACTTCAATTCCGATCAACTTGTGAGTTATCCGCTATAATACTGGAATGTTTAATTTTTTTGCAGGTTCGACCTTCCACAATCGTCGTCGAGCAATTTTGAAGTACAAGCCGGACCATCGTCAGGAAAAAATCAAACTCAACCCGGGCCATCGCCAAAGCCGCACATGTCAAGTAAATTTTATGCTAAAGCTTCCATTAAAATTTGTATTAAACAGCTGTTTGAGTTTAAAAAAAAACTTGTAAAAAAACATAACAGTTTTTTTTCATTGCTGGTCGAAACATTGGAATTATTTTAACCCATCAATGTTTAATTGTTCTTCAATTAGCAATTTATATTCAAACAAAATTTTTCAGTTGATTGGAGTGCTCGATTGAAGCGAATGAATCAGATGGAGCGGGCCGCCGATAAAACTTTGGAGAAAATACAAAGCAAAGTGAAGTTGGATGGAGATTTGAACTAAATTGGCGTTTTTTGTATTAATCATCCTTTTTATTGCTTGTTATATTTCATTGCATTGCCCAATAGAATAAACTGTCAAATTGATTCATATTTCCCACAGTAAGTCTCACAATATTTTACCATAGTACATTTTTTGTTTGGAAAAAAAACTTTTTTTCTCAAAAAACTGGATGAATATTATTATTATACCTATTTCTAATAATTGTGACAGCATTGGAAAGAATTTTATTCAAGAGGACACAAAAAAGCTCAATATGAAATGAAGAAGTGTCTTTTGTCCGCGGCCGGTTTCCAATAAACTATGTCATGAATTTCAGAAATCACGGGCAACTGCTTTTATTATTAAATAATAGTCTCATAATAAATAATCGGTATCAATTTAATCAAAATGATCCATAAAACCGTTTTGAGCTTTTCGAATTAGGAAAAATTTAACAAAAATTTTGCTGAAAATTCTCCACTAAAAATGTTTTTTTTTTTAATTTAGTCAACTCATGTGCTTGTGATATAAAAAATAAAATAAACTAAAAACAAATTTTAATAGTTCAAAATGATCAAATAATAAAAAACGCGAAAGTTCAGAAAAAAAGAAATAAAATGTGGATCTAATTGATAAGTCTGAAAAAAGTCCTCCGGCTCCCACCACGAAATCCTTCACCGCCCACCATAATTACGCTAATCGTATAATGTGTGTCATTTCTATCGATAAAAAGTAATTATTTAGAGATGTATAAACTAGAAGAATAGCGTTTCTTTTGAGAACTTTTTTCGAAAATTGAAAACAAACGAAGAGAATTAACCCAACTTTTCTGCTTTTTGTAGATGTAAAAAAGTTAAAGATTTAACAACAGATTTATTAAATAAAGTTAACATGGATTAGATCCGATTGGGCTTAGATGCCACGGTAGTTGCGGTCGATGTTGCGCATGTCGTTGATGAAGGCCAATGAAGCATTCAAGGCATGCTGAAAGCAATGTTATTAAAAAACACTGTACATATTGGATTTTATTACACGCATTACCTCAATATTGTGATGGTGATGATCTCCGCGACAGCAGTTCGCAAACTCCGAAACAATCTGGCTCACGAGGCGAGCAAACAAGAGAAAACCAAAGTTGGCAGCTAAATTAGCCGGGTCGCATTCCAAAACCAACTGAAAATATTGAATATGCTCTGAATTATTGCAAAAATGACAAACCAAGTCTTCGAAGACGTCGGAAACCACTCCAAACGCATGACCCCAATGAGCCGCACACTGTTCGTTCATCTGAAAATATTAATAATTTACGAAAAATGTGCTAGCTGTGAATTATGGAAAAATTACCTTTCAAGAAAATAGAAGAAAAAAAGTGATGGAGAACCTTAGCTGTAGATAACGTACAGACTGACAGCAAACCGAATATCGGCCCCTTTTATAGCAGAGGCCGGACACATATTTTACGATTACCGTAATTAAGGTGAGCGGGGAGGGATTTCGCCGCGGGAGCCTTAGGCTTCTTAATTAGATCCACCTTTAATCTCTGTCATCTGAACTTGTTAATTAATTTTGTATTTCAGAATATTAAAATTTTTAAAACTTTTATTGAAATTTTCATTTTTTAAAAAGTAAAATTTTTTTGCAAGCATTTGAAAAATAGTTTTTATGAAGCCTTACCAAAATAGTTTTGGTTATATTCATATTAATTATTTCTGTGCAAAAAAAATAATTCAGGTTACCTCTCGTTCTCATTATAAGAGTTTTCAAAAAAAAACATTGTGGTAAACAATATTTAGTTTGAATTATTTTCCTTTGGTTTTACTGCTCGTAATTTTTCAGTCTATATAAGACAGTTGAACTTGATCACATCCATTTATGCATCGTGACTACCGTACCCAATACAACACAAAACACCCGTGCGATAGCGAAGACAAACGGCTGTAAAAAAGAAAATCGTTTGCTAATGCGTAGGTTGGATAGATCCAAAAAGTCAAGTTTTTTGTCAATTTTGCAAAAGAAACTTAGTTTCTCCACTTTTAATTTTACTGTAATCGTTAATTAGACGATAAGCCAATTAAAAAAAGCTTCCTCGAATTACGATCAGAGTGGATGCGAAGAATAATAATAATTATATTGAAACAAATTAAAGAATAGATTTAAAATTATTTTTAAAAAATATATCCGGCAACATGATATGATTGAGTAAGTGACCAGTGTGCCTTATGCTCACAAATTCTATTTTTTTTATTCTTTCAACGGGCTTAAAAAACCCCATCTAATCCATGTTAACTTTATTGAATAAATTTGTTTTTAAATATTAAATTTTTTACACTTTAAAAAGCAGAAAAGTTGCGCTCATTTTCTTCGTTTGTGGCCTTCGAACATCAAAAATAAAAATTTTTTGTCATCGTCTGGAATAAATATGAGCACAAAAGTCTCGCAAAAGAAGTCATTTCATCTCCCTTTTTGGAATTTTTTGTAACTTCCCTGTTGCATATCGACCACTCGGCGCTCCAAAATTCGGCGTCGAGATTGATGGTGAGGTTAGTGCGTAGGCCAATGCTTTAATTGGCATGCAGTTTTCACACCTTTAAGTAACATTTTTTGAGATACACTTCAAATTCGGACCCATAAGGACACCTTATAATTTTTTGACATGTTTTAATGAAATGTTCTATTTTTCACCCCGCTTCGAGAGTGTGAGTTCGTTTAAACACAATATTGATTTTCAGCCGAATCTATTCTTCTTGAGTGATCCCGAGCGCTGGAAAAGATCTATCAGTACAATTTCAGTCGTGATATTTCCAATATTTTGTGAATACATTTTCATAATGTTCGAGTTTTGCTTCGTAAATCATGTAATTATAATTGCAGATCCATTTTCTCAAATTTATACTTTTCTTGCGAATTTGCTGCTTTATTATTTCATCAAGAAATTCAATATTTTAATCAAACCGGGCCTCAGGCAAACATTTCTCATCATGCTAATTGCCTGCAATCTTCGGACTATTTTTGCTGTTCGAGCACTTCCGTTTATCAGCAGTCATTCAGAAAAATAATAATCAATCAAATTGTTTCTAAACAATTTGGCTAAAGTAATTTCATTGAATACACAAAAAAGGGGGAATGAAAAAAAAACTACTTACATTTTCGAAATGCTCAAAATAACACAAGAATATCTATTGCAAAGAACAATGGTCTTATGCAAATTTGGAAATGTTTGTACAATTTTTAAGTGTTTTTGGCTACAGTACAAGAATATACTACATAAAAAAAAGTTTCTACACGAATTACGAATTTCTCTTATCTTCAAGTCATTTTCAGTGGAAAATTGTTATTGAATTTTAATTTCAATAGCTGAGATTTTTATAATATAGTACTTTTCTATCAAGAAATTTTTTTGAGGAATCATGACGTCACCGAATTCCAAAGTGCCCAATTTCACAATTCGTGACGTCGAAGGTTATTTCTGCTGAATGTCTGTTTGCCATTTTTTTTTCGCGTAAACCATCAGCGGCTCGTCATCCTCAAAACGCCTTTTCATTCTTATCATCCATATCGGCGTCAAATGATAACGAGGGAAAAATGAGAAAAACTTCTAACGTAACACATTCATTTGTGGAGGAAGGAGGCAGGACCGAGCCAGACAAAAAAATAGCCGATGGAGAATGGTAAACAGTGTTGGCGGGGAAGAGATGGAAAAAACCGAGAGCAGCTCCCAATGTTCGACACACCCGTCCGATAAGTCCATTCCGAAGCGCCTCCCTATTCAGTCTTGATTCATTTGTGTCGTTTGTAAATGTCAGGGTTTAATGTTCCCAGTCCTGATTATGATATCACCGTTCGCCAGAAAGGCCCTTATATTCCAACACCAGATTATACCACAATAAAATACTACAAGGCAAAATCAAGGCCATCGTTGGACAATCTCAGTTCCAGTCCTAGCCAAAATCTCTACATCGATACCAATCTTAACCGAAATTTCAATAACAATAATATCTCGAGCCGACTTGCGCCGCTGAAGCAAGAAAATCCGCAATTAAGGCCATCGCTTGCCGGAAACGAACCAAATTACAATCGCGTAGGTTCTTCATTTTTCTTCGTCATTATTACTTTTGATTAATGCTGTCTAATCTGATTAGCGTGGTAATGTCAATGTAAGATTAAAAAAGACAATAACGGTTTTTGCGTGTAAATATTTGCTTTTAAACGTCGCTCACACTAAATATGGACAGCTGAAACAAGTGAATTTATGACAAAGAGTTTTTTCTTCTCGGGATGAGCGTTCAAGATTAATAGGTCCCGAAAAATGTATGAGGTATTAATTTTTCACATTTTCCTGACTTCATCACTGAAGGCATTTTTTCATTATATATATTTGAAAATTGCAAAATTTTGACAATATCTATTATTTCTAACAAAAAAATGGAAATTTGCGTCATTTGGATGAACTCTTTTGCAGTTTTCCAAACATTCTTACTTGGAAGATCATATCGAGAACGGCGTTCATCCACCACGTAACACAAAGGAGCACATCAAGCATATTGGTGTACCAGTAATTCCGGGTATCATCCCAGGTCCGGTCTCTGCTCCCAACGATATCAACGGTATGTTTGCACTTCATCAACAGATAATTCCATAATCAGGCGTCTTTTTCGCGATTTCACGCCGTAATAAAACAAGTATATCGTATGATAATATTGGAATTTCGCCATGCCGGCGTCGACGTCTATTCTTCCACTTTTTTCTGTTCGCCATATTGTTAGTGATAAGGAGAAAAGTACTCGATTTATGCGCTTTGGAGAGACTATAAAATTTTTATTTTCCGGCTGAATTTTGAAAAAAAAGGCGTTTATTTTGTAGCTCCACACGTATCGTCCGACCAAAACAAAGCATTTTTGCGTCATCTGGAAAACCATCAGAAATATGATACGATAAAAGGCAATCGCGGTATCGATGATTGTGAAATTTGCCACATAATGAAACAACAACTAGCCGAGGAGCAGAAAGCATCAAGGTAAAGCAGCATTCATTGTTTGCGCATGTTTTCGTCCGGAAGACCGTTCTAATCCCTTGTGCCAACATTGCTCATTAATCATGTTCGTATTCCAGCAATTATGCGGAGGCGGTGAACATTGCAAGCAGGCGGCAGCGAGCTGATGTGTAAGGAATTTCGGTAGCATTGCAGAAATTATCGTACATAAGTCAAACTTGATAACAGAACTCGATTTTGTAAAATATTTTTATGAACTCTATTCTATTCGATCTTATTCACGTGAAGTTACACGTGAATACATTTAGAATTTATCAAAAAAAAAAATGAAGGCGTTCACTTAAACAAACATTACAGGCGATACGTGTTCCCGCAAATTGAAGAACTTCCTGAGCCCGAGCCGACATTCTCTTCAATGTCTGCACGTGCACGTTACAATTACGAGCAAAAACGAGAAAGCGAGCTAAGCGTCTACGCGTCCGAGGAAGTCCAGGTAATCAATGATAACAGATTGAAGCAATCAATCAGTTCAACATTTTGCAGATTCTCGAGGTTCAACAAGGTCTCGCATTGTGCCGAAAAGCTGATAACACCGTGGGATGGATACCGAGTCATGTGTTTGGCATTTAATTTTATCATTGGTTCCGAGTCTCATTATGTATTATTAATAAAGAAGTACAAACAGATTAACATTTATTTCGGTAATTAGAGCTGGACAACATTTTGCAAGCAAACGCAAAGATATGTTCGCAAAAACGGTCTCGTCAGAACAGGATATTTTATGAATATCAGCGCATAAGATAGTAATGAAAAGAAACATATAATTGGGAAGGGGGGGGGTTGTGGGATAGGTGAAGAAGACAAACATGAAAATACGAAACAAATACAAGTAAAACGCATGTTGCACAAGTAAAGGGAACATTGAAGAAAGAAGAACAGAAGAACATTAGAAAGAATATTGGGGCGCAATTCTACAAGTATGGTTTTCACGACGGGTAAAAATCAAGAGATTAACTAGCAAACTATGGTTTCTAAACAAGTACGATGAATACAAAATGAGAAATTGCTCGAATAGTATTTGTTGATACTTTTTGATGAATGGTTCAATTTGCAAGATATTCATGGTAACAACTCTCGCGGCAATTAGAAGCGATGATTCCAAACGTTCTGATCTCTTCTCTTGCGGTACATGTCGTAATCGGACGAGTCGTAGCGAACGGTTCTGGTGCTCTCCCATAAGCCACCATTTTGGGAAATCTCACTGACAGTGAAATGAGTTGGCTCGGCTCTTGTACAATCAATGAAGGTGCATGAGGCTCCACTAAAACAAATACTATTAATTTTATTTAATAATTGAAATACCTGGTAAGCGGACCAGCGGAGCTGTATGAGGCGGATGATCTGGTTCGAGAGGACAACTTGACTGAGCCGGATAAGTCAGATGAGGCAATCGCTGCCAGTCTGACGGAGGAAGACGATCGAAAAACTGTGTTGATCAATGCAGATGAGGCGGCAGGAGTCGAAGCTCCCGATGAAGCAATCGGCGCCGGTAATCCAGATGAATGTGTAGGAGCCGAGGAGACTGATGAGGCCAACGATTCCGAAGAAACCGAAGAGGCCGATGGTATTGAAGTTTCCAATGGAGCTGAAGATTCCGCTGGCACAGAGACGGCCGATGGAGCAGAAGGGTCAAATGAAACCACTGATGTCAACTGAGGAGACGATGCGCTGGAGCTTCTCGCGTCGAAGCGGTTGAGGAAGAGACGCGTCAAGTTTCTTGGGCGCGATGTGCTTCGGCGACGTCTTGGCGTCTCGCGAATGGCGGCTGGCATTTCGGTATCCTCTCCATCCATGATAATGGAGAGCTCTTGCGTGGAACGCTGGCGGGCATTTCTCGGCATGTAATGCGGCGGCGGTGAGAAGCTAGCAATATTGCGATTGTCCGGATTGGTTTGCTCATAAGCCGGTGGGGCATTCGAGTTGCTGAAATTATTGAAAAAAATTTTCATACATTTCAATCATAAAAATGTATTTTACTTGGTGATGCGGTCATTCTCAATTTCAGCGCTCTCATTGTAATTCGGAGGTCTCATACTCGGCAATGGAGGCATACCACCGTTGTACATCATCGATGGTGTCAATGTAAACACGGAGCCTGTAACGAATCGTCTATTTAATTAATCCACTTTAATACGTATAATTGTATCTGGTGTCAGGTTGGGCAGCCCTCATTGTTTTCCTAACACTTGGGGCTCATTACTGCTACGGCTGCTACTGTGGCCAGATGTCGCCAATTTTTCTCAAGGTCGGGAAATCGCGGAATATCTCTCCCCCGCCAGTATGTCCAGCTCGCGTACAAAGTGTTTTTCGCGCGACAATGTCATGAAATCATACGCTCTTTCGAACAGATGCCCTCCCCCGCACTGCCGCGGCTGCTGAATGGTAACTGCTTGCCACCATCATTAAACGACCGTATGGTGAGCAATTGTAATATGATCGCGGATAAGTGATGTCTGGCGACCTCCTTACCTTCTCGACGTCACACACTGCGCAATTGAATTAACCCAATTATTAATTATTTGCGCGAAAATTCGAATTCAGCCAACTAATTGGAGGTTCTGCGCTCAGACCGCAACCGCGTTTTCAAAACTAAGAGAATACTAATTTATTGCTCTCGCGCGCTCATATACAATGCAACAGGATGTGTAAAATTTACGGCTATATTCGTGTTTTTGCGCGCATATCAAGCCTCACGCCAAAAAATAAAGACGCCGACAAAAGCCGATGAAACAGATGGCTTGTATTTTATACGACTCGTTGCGTGTATGTATAAGATGAATAATGCGAGATGGTGGTTGGGTTGATGGGGCGATCGCTCGCTTGCGCGGGGCGTGTTGGTGTCGATGGGCGCGAAATGCTCCCGCTTGCTTTTTGGAGAACCGCAAAAATTTGAATAGGACGCGAGCCAACGAAAGACAATTCCTGTTTGAACAGAGGTGAATTACCAAGGACGCGGGCAGTTTTTGATATTGGCGCACTTGCGTAATGTGTCATACCCGAAAACGGGAAGTAGGATCCTTCGAGGTAAACAAGCGCAAAAATTTTGGAAACTTTTTTCCGAATGTTTGGGACCAAATTAGACAGCCTTTCTCTTTGATGGAAACTAACTGACCTGCGCCATGTCTGATGGTACGGAATTGGTACGGAGGCGGACGACGTTGGGTACGATACTTGACTCTTCTATTCGAAGACGAGACACAGAGGCACACGATAGCCATCGTGAAGAAGATCACAAAAATCACTAAAACAACTGAGAAGCGAAACTCTCACAAATAAATTTTGCCACTTACCCAAAAGGATGATCATAGTATGATACTCTTTGTGAAGGTAGCAGATTACCGCGCAGACGATGTCGAAAATTGAGCACGCCAGGAAGACGACAAGAATAGCGATTTTTGACCGACCAGCCGAGTTCATCGTGTGAACGCTGGCCCGTCGAATCTGAAAAAAAGGCGTTGACTCGTTTTGGGTGGAGCGTGAATAAGGAGGCGGAGCACACGCGGGACGGGAGTTAGGGAGAAAGTTTCTAATCCAATTTTGAGCGCGAGCGCTTACGCGATTTGAGGGGAAGGAGACAAAGTAATGTTGTGACTTATTCGAACTCAATTGATGAAAAATTTTTAAAACAATCTTAAGAGAATGATAAGAAGAGGGAGACTATGATCTTCGCCAGGACGAGCAACTGCGCGTCGTGGACTGGACCACAACTTGTCGACAGATGGCGCGACGAACCCCTCCCCCCCCCTCCCATCCACTCCCTCTTTTTACATCGCTACCAATAGAGGCCATATATCTGCTCGTCCTGAATATGCGCGGGATGAACGGGTTAGAATCGAATGGATGGAGGTTTAACATCACTATTACAGGCTGCGCGCAATTCATTATTTAATATCATGCACATCTGCCCCAGAATATGAATTCATCAATCTTCGCACCTAAAGGCAGTTTGTACAGGCAGCGCGGCTAACGAAGATTGATCGATTTTGATAATTCCGTTCGAATTTTGAAATCTGCGAATTGTTGAAGCAATTCTTTGTCAGCCAAAAATGGGCTCGTCTCATATTTTTAATGGAAAAGTCGAAATGCGTCTGCGCTCGCCGTAATCCTATTAATAAAATTTCACCCTTTCTCGGATGGAAATTCATAATTACATCCCGGCCAGTGTTCACCACAAATGACAGTAACTTGGATCGAGTAAAAATAAATACTTACCTCGACGGATGCCGGGAAAATTGGCCACGAATAATTGAATAGTAGTAGTGATTTGTTGGTAAAATGTCCTCCTTCTCGATTTTTATGAGTTTGATAACCTGTTTCCCATAGGAATAGCTCGCGGAGCCGCGCTCTCCACAAAGGTCACCAGATAAGGTCTGTTGTTCTCAATGCCGCACGCCCGCTAAAAAAAATGGGTTTTTGAACAATGAAGCGACGTAACAGAGAGAGAGAGAGAAATAGCCAATAAAGTACCGTAGTCTTTGGGGATAATTTATTCGAGAATAATTGCCTTTATTTCACACAACGAAAATCTACCGTAGCCCTTTAGAATGGCATCGATTCCGCCAAAGCATAAATGAATATCAAAATTGTAGTCAAAACGTTTCTAAAAACTTGTCGATTGATGCACATATATTTATATTCATTATTCCGCGGGATTATAATTTTGCTCGCCTCATTAAATCAAAATCTTAGCCATTGAAAGAGATGCTATATTTTTTCTGGGAGAAGTTGGGAAAAATTGAAGTCTGCTCCTTTAAAGGCTTTATGGTAACACATCAGATATTTGTTTTGTGGACATATATGGTAGGCTTAATTGTTCAAATTTCAAAATGATCGTGCGTCTAGAATTTTCCAATAGCTTCATTGTTTTCGGGATTAAAAAAATTCAAAATTCGAATAATACAAACAAAAGCTATTGTGGCGTAACCGATTTGAATAGCGCGCAAAATTGAAGATTTGAAATCGCTTTGAAGGTGCCGAATTGTTTTATTTGATTGTTCTTGAAAATTTGAGCCGATTTTGCGTAACCAAATTTTAGTATTTCGGGGGTTTTTGAAAAGAAGAGTTCGATTGTCCAATCAATTCAATAAATTGAATAAGTCGACGGTTTGAACTTGGAAACCTACAAAAAAATTCATCAAGAATTTGAAATTTAAATTTTTTTAAAATAATTCCCACAGCTTAATTCTTTCGGAAAGATTTTAGACAAAAACTTTTCAATTTTTAATAACAATTTTTTTTCAGAAAGTTTTAAGTTCAATTGCATCTGAACCATATGTCATCTATCAAATGCCCAGAATAGGATGAAAAAATCGAATAGAAAAAGTTTGGGGAGGAGACGAGTTTGAATAAACCTTGGCCAAGTGCCGTGCAGAATTTGATGAGATGCGTGGTCCGAAAGTTGCACATCATCTTTCGATCTCTGCATCAACTTTGTCTTGCGATTCGTCGAAATTTTTGGTGAAACTATTCGATGCATATTTTGTATGAAATGCCTGATCGCACATTTGCGGAAACTCCCACTAAACGCATCAAACTACTGTAGTCATTGGATTAATGAAAATATGCAAATGCGAGTTTCTCTCAAGAGTGTGTAATGGACTATGATGGCCTCTAATATATCACTCGAGCGTTTTTCTTTATTGAGGTTCCCTTTCTCTTTCTGAAGAACTATTAGCCGTCTTCTCTTATCTCTTCGAACATCACGAGCTAATTGATAAAAGAAGTGAATGAGCCTCACATGAGTTGATGGTATCTAGAATGTATCACGGAACGGTGGGATGTACGTGAATATGATAGGTACACCATGATTAAGTGTGAAAGGAAATGAACATCTTCCAGAGGTAATAACATACTTAAGAATGAAACAACTGAAAATGTCTTACTGAAGAGAGTAACGCACTATTCCAGCTTTCAAAAAGTAATAAATTGGATAGCGCAGTTTTTTTCGGGAAACACCTCGTGCCACTCCGGCATATTTATATAGAAGGATTTTCATTTGGAATATGTATCTTGTTTTCGTGGTGTTTAAATTGGATGAGCTTTCGCTTGAGAGCAATTTGTTTTTTGATGGAGTACAATATCCCTTTTGCAGCAAAAAAGTAGCGGAATAGTAAGCATGACGAGATAATTTGGAAATAAAACTCTTTTTAACCCACATATCAAATTGGCGACATAAATATCGCATTATAGAATTTATTGGCTTCATATTTGGATGTTGGTTTTTATTGGAAAATCACGTCAACTTGGCATGTTTGCGAAATTTCAAGAAAATTTGAAATGGTCCGAAATACCGAAATGGCGCAGTTGAAACCAATGAGCCAAGTAGCATTGAATTAAGACGGCTTCCCTTGCTTCGTCATCATTTTTTCATTTTTTTTGTGCCATCCATTTTTTGTCTTGCTATTTAGGTGGACGCGCAATAATCTGGGTTGTTTAAAAGGAGGACAAGAAAAAGAAAAAAATGTAGAGCAAAAATGAATGGTGGGACCAGACTCAATCAGATAGAAATATTCACCAAAGTGCATGTATGGCCCCCGAAATGAATTAATCTAATTTTGGGGAGGGTCCACCGACCTCTATTATTTTTTTTGAGAAGCGTGAAACGGGGCATTAATTGAAGGATCTCGTGAAAAATTTATGACCTGTTATTGAACCTTACCTAGAGATGCGTGATGAGACTCTCATAGATTATATGGTGCGTCGAATTGGGGGGCGAGTCAATAAAAATTATGGGAACCTGATGGCAACAAACGCCAAATATCGCACCTGAATCTCGTGCTCCGCTTTCTACTCCTCACACACACCCAAAACAGGGTAATCTATTTTTGACGTATGGATCCTGAGAAAATATGAAATTTTACTTTGATTATATTGTGCGTGCGAAAATCATGATTCACATCTTGCAAACGGAAAGGGTTTGCGAGCAAGCTGAATAGCAAGTGAGCTCGAAATTATGTAAATTTAATTGGGGCGTTGGAAACATACATTCACAACAGCCCAATTGTTTATAGCAAAAAAATGCGAAGGGCTATTGAATGGGGGGAGGGGAATAGATAGGAGTGGGAGGGACACGGCTCGAACAATTTCATCAAAAAAATTTGGCATTCTGCATTACTATTGAATAACGAGATCGGTGAAATGCTCAGCTCACCTTCACCGAGCAGCCAACGCAAATGTGCTGAAAACATCTGAACCCCCTCGCCCATCAAGTTTAATATTACAATGCCAATTATCGGCGAGCGAGAGCAAGGGGGGATAACTGGCTTTAAACCCAGGAAGATATTTTTTGATTTATGTATTCTTCATGAGATTCTAGGAGATGGCTTTCTTCAACGAAGAAACATCTGCGTTCTATTATATGAATAGTTGATGATTTCCAAGAAGCTTCGTAGGCACCTCTCCGAAAATTGTTGAGATTTTTATAGCTCTATCTCACCATTAATAGGCGTCTTCGGCTTCATGATAGATTTATCGGATTCGAGATTGTAAAGCAACGAATCTCGCTCCCAATTTACTCAATGAAAGTGATAATCAAATTTCTCTCAAAGAAATATTCTTAATGTGCGAATCATCGTGAAGGATCTATGAATGATCTATGATTCTCAATTCTTTATTCAAAATGGAATTGTCGCAAAAAATTCCTAATTAGGCAACTGGGACTCATTTCATTACCCTTTCTCTTAAAAGTAATTCGGCGTCCAAATTTTTGCTGTTTGCCAAAATGACACGGAACATTGCCATTAGAAAAAAGCGAAAATGTTGCACTAATAGTTTGAATTTCACACGGGCAAAGGGAATCGTCTAGGTTCTCAAGCAGTGACGACAAAAATCATTTTTTTCTGCTTTATTTCATTTTATGAGATATAAAGAAAGACATTCGACTAGAACTCTGACAGGAAAGGATGCGAAAAAAATGTATAGTAGATTTAATGGAATTTCAACAGGGAATCAATGTGCCGGAACAGGGAATTAATGGCGATTAAGCCTCAAAATAATTATGAGAGAGAGAGAGAAAAGTCACCCAAACATACAAACATATACAAATAGTTAAATGTACAATTAAAAATATTGAACGTGGTAAAAGTGAAAGATTTAGAATGAAAACTGACATGAACTAGACAAATTGTTTCTGAAACATTCTAGGCATATTGTTGAATTGGGACGGATCGGCGACCGAGTCTCTTGATGATTCGGATCGCTCCGAGAGTGGCGTTCGATCACGAAGATCCGCGAATGAGCGGTGTGTTCTGCAATCCAATTTTTTTTTATAATACAATGGTTATCCATTGGTTAGATCACCTTGAAGAGTAGGGTAGTTTCGAATCAGGCTTCAAATTTGTTCGACCCGAATTGTTGAAGAAATTTTGAATTTCGATGACCTTGCTGCGAGCCAAATTCAATCTCGTTTTCAGCCGGCCGAGTTCGCATTGCAAATGGGCTTTATCCTGAACGACAAAAAAATAGAGTTGTGTTCACTCCGTATAAATCGCATTTCCGCTTACTTGACTAGACATGGAGGGCACCGGGTCTTCAACTGTGAACTCTTTATGAGCACCGACGATCGATGCAAGCTCGCCGATCTTCGGCTCAATTTGTGAGCATTTTGAGCAATGAGCCGAAAGCGATGCTGCAACACGACTACGAACACCAGTGTTTTTCTCAACACCCAATGCGACGCTTGGCGTCTTATCATTTGTTTTTCTGAAATTGCATATCACTAATGGGTTGCGATCGAGAACATCGATACCTGTAGTTTTCGAAAAGTGTGTAGAATCGGGCTTTCGGAGCCTCCGGCGGCTTATGCTGCTCATTTTGCAGCGATGCAACCTTTCTCGACAAGTTTAGTATTTGCATTTCGTACATTTGCTTTTGAGTGGCCAACGAATTTTGCAGCATCTGAAAAAAAAGTTGAAGGATTTATGCGAATAGAGATGAGAATTAAAATTGAAATTGAATGAATTAAAATTTTTAAATCAAAAATTTTCTCAAGATCGTTAATATCTCAATTTTAAAGAAGAGAAACATTCAAATCGTAGTATAAGAATTTGATGCAAATAATTTAATTTTAATTTATAGGTAACTAAACTGAAAAAAATTTAAAATTAACCTTTATTTCAATCGCATAGTTTTTTTCATTTGGCGTTTCATCTGACTTCTTTCCTCGTTCGCCGGCACCCTGAAATCCATTCCATTAAATATTTTCTCGACGTCTTTGCATATCACAAGCTCCAACTCATAACAGAACGAAATAATAGTATATGGCTATAGAGGAAAATAAATTGATAAATGTTTCGAGCATGACAAAACACTCTAGACAACAACTGAACCGGAACACTTGCCTTTCTCTATTTCCGAAGCAGTGCCTAACCCAGAATGTTTAATTTTTGTGAAAATCTTATTAAATTACCTTTGCGCGAGCAATGAGCTTCAAGTCATGAGCAATTGTCGAGTCACTGTCTTTCAAATTGTTCAACATGTCGCGATTTCGTGGAGATAATCTAAAAATATCAATATTTGATGATAATATGAATCAATTCTGGTCATTACATAATCTTTCTACCGGTTTCGTCATGTGTAGAGGTAGCATTTTCTTCCGCATCTACATGTTTTCAGATTGGTTTTTATTTGAAACAATTGAAATGTTACCATTTTCGTTACCCGTGATATTATGAATCTGTTCGTATCTCTTCATTCGGTCTTTTTTCTTGTACAACCGCTTCCTTCGTCTTCGATAGAATATTGACTCCGGTTCGCTTTCCATTTCAGAAAGAGTATCGCCTTTCTGTGAGCGGCGTTTGCGAATTAAAAGGAGCTGCAAAATCGTCGATTCAAGCGACACTCGATTCAGAATTGTGCTTACTTGACTTTTAAACGGCGGTGTCCATTGTACGAACGATTCTTGATCGGTGCCGGCGCTGTTCTTCGACTTCTTTGAGAGTTCCTGCATCTTCTCACGTAGACGTTTATTGTGCGCAACCAATAATTCAACTTTTTGCTTCCATACCATTAATTTTGCATTGTCCTCGGAAGAGCGGAATTGTTGTTTCTGTAGTAAAAAAAAACTGGTTGCTATAAGTACAGTTTAAAAAATATATCGATGAGGTTAAGGCAACTTCAAACAGCAAGAGATTGCAATTTGGTGTTGTAAATTGACTGGAAATTCAGTCACATCGATTTACATAAAATCAAAATACAACATGCTAATATTTGTTCTAGAAAAGTTATTTGGTTGGAAATTATTCATTAAAAAAAGTTGCAATTTGTGCTCAGAAGTGAACTTTTTTTCCACAATGCATTTTTTTTTACTAAACTCAACTTGTTTAATCAGACTAGCTGGAATAAAAATATTTCACTGCTCTCTGAGCAATAAAACTTAAGATTGCAACTAATTAACACAAGATTAACTATCAGAATTGATTTTGACATGTCACTGAGATTTTTGAATGTTTCGATAGTGTAACAAACATACTTTTCGCGCTTCAGTTCTTAGTTGACGATTCTCCTTTTCCAGCGTGTTCACGTTTTCAGTCTGCTCCTCAAGCTCAGAACTGATTCGTTTATTATGGCGCTCAACAAGAAGGAGTTTATTTTTGAGCGATGTTTCGTTATGGCGCACCAAGGACAAGTCCTTCTCGATCTGCAAAAACCGATGATCAAAAAGTTACAATAAATGAAGAACGAAAATGAGAACGCATTGGACAATCGACGGAATTCGACGAGAAAAAAAAGTGCGACATTTAAAAAAAAACTCCCGACCGTTTCGAATTCTCTCTGCATTTCGACGCGCTCTTGTCGGAACTTCTCTTCCATAACAGCAATCCGACTGCGGCATCGCTCTTCCATCTCTCTGCAATTCAACAAGAAATATTATTGCCAAAAATGAGAGCCCTACAGATGTCCCTTGAATGGATTAAAAATTTCGAGAGAGAGAAACACCATATTGTTTTTTTTTCAACATTTTGTTGTGAATTTGAATAATAACATGAAATCACTTGCCGATCACCGTTTTCGATACGCGGAACGTAATCGAGTTTGCCTCTCCAATAGTCAAAAATACTCGATAATATAATCAACATCGCGTCTAAATCAATTGTAAGAAGTTGTGGATTGCACGAAGCAAAGATACAAAATGAGTCACATTATTATCAAAACATAAAGCCAAGGGTCAGCATCCAACAATTACGCACTCTCTCATCGCCTACAATTTGGTTCTCTGAGTATTCTTCTAGACATGAAAATATGATTCGAGTGAACATTATAAATGGTCATGATGAGATTGTGAATGCTATTGCTAACTGGTTCTTGCCTATATTTGTTTGTTTTTTTTTTGTATCAAAATCGAACCATATCGATTTTCTCGAAATTGCGGAATAAAAATGAAATTGACGTGACAAAATACGCAAAATCTGGATAATCGAATATGATTTATTTTTTCCAGATTTGTTTTGTTTGCTTTCTCTCAATGTCAATAAAACTGGCAAGGGTCATCCATATGGTGAGAAACGTCAGGAGTGCAAAAAACTAACTTGAGCCGATTGTTGTAGCTCGCTTCAATGCTCTGCTGATTCTGATCGAGCTCCTCGATGAGCATTGTGCGTCGCTGATTCGCAATATGAATTTGTTTTTGGAGATGCTCGCAGCGAAGCTCGAACTCTCGAATCGAGCACCTGAACAATTGGTGGGTTTTGGCTGGATTATTGAATATTTATGAATGCGAACCTATAATTTTCAATGAGCGACTTCATGCAAAACACGGCAGCACGAGCGGGCACCTGCGACGAATTGAGAGTATGCGACAATGACGACTCGAGGTAATTCCCCAATGCAACAAGTCCAACCATGGAAGAGCTTGATTGGCCAATGTCCTAAAAAATTTGAAAGAGTTCAATGAATACCGAATTTTATTTTAATTGGCGGGTCCCAGTTTGATTTATTCTAAGGCAGCGGTGCATAGTTGAATCGAATTCACATAATGTGAAATTTTTACACAAGCCTTCAACTTTCTGAGTCATATACGCATATTGGCTTCACCCCAATCCTAAAACTAATATTTACTGGTGAAAAAAACTCTTCAGAGACAAAATCAAACAGTATTTGAAGCTCTATCTGAAACAATTTGATCGAAAAAAATGTTTAAGTAAAACGAAAATCAATAGAATATTATTTGTTGCATTGTGAATGCAAAAACGATTCGCACCATACGATTTTATTGTCGATAAATGTTGTACGAACGATTTTCTCGAAATTCTTAATTTTTTTAAATATAATCAATAGAAAATAAACTTTCATTATTGAAATATTGTAAATCGAATTAGATGAAGTAGTTGATTTTTTTTTAATAAAAATGGGTAGTTTTAAATTGAGTAATGTAAATTGTGATTTTGGAAAAAAACTGTAGGTTTATCGAAAGAAACTGATTTCATTTTTTTTTTTCGCTTTGAAGTGAAACCACAATCCAAAAAGAAGATTTCAAACCTGCAGATGTTATCTTTGAATTTTAATTGCTTTTAGTCAGAAAATTTTGCTAAACACGATCGATGTCGTAAAATTCTTGATTGCGTTTTGTTTTTTTTTTATTGAAAAAAAAAAAACATTTCATTTTGTTTGCTTTCTTACTTAAATCCCTTTTTTGATCTGAATAATCGGTTGTTAGTTTAAAACGAAAGCGATTATCTAGTGGTTCTCATCCAAATATGAGAAAAACCCGTCATCAATCATTTATCAGCAATCCACAGATCCGTGACCGAATCAAAAACTGTCTAACCTTGAGAATTGATACCGCTTCTTCGACTTTGAGACCAGAATTTGTCAAATATTCAATAACAGTTGAATGGTCGGCCTCTCTGAAAATAAAAATTAAGGAATACAACGGAATAATTTAAGCGCAAAGCAAAAAAAAACTGTAATACTGCTTACCCGCTGCCCAATGAATCCAGATTCTCAAATAGATGCAATGATGATATCCGATAGGAATCGGCAATAAAATGTATCTCATCCGACATTTTTTCTTTGGCACGATACTGCGCGATGAAATCAACCAGCGACACTTTACCGCCGATCGAGCTTTTCTCGAATAGCAAATTGATGTCGAGCACCGAGAGCAAATCCAATTCCGATGTTGATTCGCATATCGCGTGAACATCATATTTTGAAAGCCTACAATAAATTCTATTATTTCGTTGAACGGTTTTTTATATCAAATGTTGCTCATGAAGAACATTTTTCAATTCAAACAGTTTTTTTTCGTTTTTATTTCCATTAATAGAATTGGAGAAAACGTCGAAAAGAATCTTGATATCAACGACAATATTTAGAAATTACATCTGTCGTCAAATAAAGTGCTTGCGGACTTGCGTACCTAGTAGATATTCTGATTGAATTTCTCCGAGTAGCCAAGATAAAATGATCATTTCCACAAATGTGTTATGAAAATAATAATTTTTGTGAAATAAATAAAAATTTGTACGTTATTCAAAATGTTTTTATTGAATCTCCATTATTGAATGAATTATTTTCAAGTCTCTACTTCTAAAAATAAAAAATGCTTCAGATTTTCAAGCAGTGTTACTTTTATTAATTTTTTAAAGATTCCTTCTTTTACATAAAAATAAAAATATCATATGTTGAAAATAAAATGATTATAATTAAATTCTGCATTGTAGTTTCATAGTTCGCAGAAACTATTCTTTGAAAATGCATTTTTTTTCAAAGTTTGTTTGAAATTTCAAACCCCCGCTGCCCAATTAAAATTTCAGAAATTTCTCTTTTTTTTTTTGCATAATTTTGCATATTTCGCTCGTTTTTCTATTTTTCCCACATAATTTTTTATATTTCTTCATGTGACAACTACAAACTTATTTGAACCTTTGGGTATCCTTGATGCCAAGCACTGAACATGTTTTGTATGCCGCAATTAGTAGTTCGTCCGTATTCCCAGAGGCCAGATCGATTATCTCCGGCAGAAATAGTAGAAAGCGGTCTTTGAATTGCTGAAAACCTCATTGCGAATGCTCGGAAAAAAAAACAACCGCTGTTACCTTGAAGTTGATGGCGTTGTCCTCGCAAAGGACACGATCTACGATGCTCTCCGAAAAATCTGAAAGATTCAGCTTCTCGCAAAGCAATTGGAGGCCGTCTTTTTCGAGAAGACCGTTCCTGCCGACATTGCAGGAATGGAAAAGCTGAAAAAAATTAAAACATGACATCAATATTTATAAACAATTACCCGTTTGAGTTCTTTGACGTGTACGTTATCATCACTTAACTCGTCATTTTTCTGCGCCATTGAGTGTTTCAAATCATATCGCGTCGAACTGCAACCCGAATATGTACGTACTAGCGAGAGAAAGGAATAAGTCGAAAAACACAAAGAAGAAGTTGAAAAAAACCAAAATGGATACATAATTGAAAGGATGTGTGTGTGCTTGAAAAAGGCAACCTCATTAATAATGTATTTGATACAAGTTTTCCTGGCAAGTGTCTGTTTGCGTTTTTCGAAAAAAAAACACACACACACATTAAAAAAAAAACAAATATGACGAGCATTGTGAGAAAATCAAGGCATGACCACAAAAATGTTGCAAAATCGAAAAAAATAAAATGATACGAGGCTCCGCTTTGAACAGGGTCGCCGCTGTTTAGCGTAAACCGTTTATTGCACTCTGCGAGCTTTTAAACGCGTTTGATTACAAAGAGATGACATATTATTTGAATATTTCAGAAAATGAAAGTCTTTTTCGATTATAACGTGAAAATAGAGAAAGCGAGCAATTCACAGCTTTTTTTGAAATTTTCTTGAACGTTTTGAATTATTTTATTTAAAAAATGAACAAAAAGGTATGAACATTTCATTTTTCTAAAATTCTACCTTAATTTTAACTTATTCGCTTTTTTTTGTGCAAATCCAAAAAGTTGGTTAACTACAGAACAAGAGAAACGAAACAAAGTTTTACTAATAAAAATTGAGCGTTCAAAAAATACATTCCAAATTCTCGTTTTTAATGGCCACTCATTTTTATTTATTGTGAATTTTCATAAAAAGCGATATATCGAAAAATGGAGGCGAATGGAATACGGGGGGGGTGGGCTTCAAATGAGTGAAATTTTATTTGTTGAAATTGACCTTCCCAGTTTTTTTCTTCTCATCATTAGAATAGAATCTTATCGAATCGCCGCGATAAAATCTGTCGTGCGATCGTTTTTTTTCTCATGCATCGGTTTCGTTTCACTCGTTGAAAATTGAAATGAAGAGATATGAAACATGAGAGAAATCAGGAATGTAACTGGTGTGAAGAAGTAGACTGGGGGGAGGGGACCTTTGAGGCCATTGGGGAATTATTGGATTGATGCGGATGAATGGTTGAGTGTGACCGATCAATGAAGAGGCACCAGAAGGGGGGAGGCGAGTCCTCCACAACAAAAAAACTAGGCAGATGTCGAGTGAGTAGGCGATTCGAGGAGATTTGACGCGTACAAACATAAACGGCCGCCGCAAATAGGGACCTCCCTTCTGGCGAATAGCAATCGGACACAATGCACGTTGATTGACACTTAATATTCGCTACCGTGGTGACCTTCCGCTGAGTGAGGCTGTCACAAGCAAGATGAACATGTGTTCCGATTTTTTAGACGCCCTCACTCTCCTCCGGCGGCATTGCCACCGCTGCTATACCTTGTTGTCTAGCCGAGAAATTTGATATTGGTCAAGTACAGAAGACATATTAAAAATAGAAATGTCGATCACAGTTCTATTGAGCAAATATTTTCACGACAGAAGACCTTCATGCGATCTTTCAACAATGAGGATAAGAAAAATAGGAGACCTCAGTCTGAAAACCAGAAAACGGAAAATGAAATAATCTAAACAATAGTAGTAAATCGGGAAACTGGTTAGCCATTTCTTCGGAAAACCAAATTAACTTGAGTACCACTACTACTACCTTCCTTCTACCAAAACTATAAAAAATATATAAATTCCAATTGTTTTAGAGAGCATATTTCATTTAATGTTTACTTTTGAGTTCAAATGGACCAACAGAAAAACCAATATTGTCATTCATTCATTGAAAACTGGTTGTGACGTGCTAATAATAAGGTTTTTGCGGAACAATGCAGACCGGAAAACAAGAAAAGTGCAAAATACTCGCTGCTTATATTGTTTTCACTACATCATTCAAGTATACAATATTTAAAACTTACATCTCCGTAGAAATATTAGTTAGAAGGGATTGAGTCGAACAATGGATGTTGTCTTCCATTCTCGTGGTAAAAACAAGAAATAAATGGGCCAACTCAAAGTTTCATGATTCAATTTGACATATGTGCAATAGTGCATATCGGAGGGGTTTTAATCTTTTGATATTTCAGTGATTATCGGAGAGGCTTTAAACTGAACATGCATTTTATTTTTGAAAAAATGAGAGGCATTGTAAATGACTGCCAAATAAAGGAAACAAACCTATAAAAAGTTCACACATTATTTTGTAACGGAACATGTAAAACGGACATATAGATTGATACTTGAAGGCTTGCAAAAATCTCTCGCGAGGCAAAAGCATTGCGCGATCTTGTTTGCGCAACGCTTTTTATCAAAAAACGATTCACCGGACAGCTAGCCGACTTTGGATTTTTCATCGTCTTGTTCTTCTTCTTGCTGTGAGTGGCATGGGAAACAATAGGCAAGATTTAAAGCACAGTGGGAGGTGAATGTTCGAAATAACCGTTTGCGTTTTTATTTTTATGACTTGATCGAAAACTGGTTGATGAGTTTTTTACGATGGGATCATCAATAATTCGAAAGTTGCGGTGGAAGTGGGCTAAATATGGAAATGTGAAGTCATTTGGCATAGTTATGAAATTTCAGCATTGCTGTTTTTATAGAAGCCTTAGCGGAATTTTAGGGTTCAAAATTTTCTCTTTTGTTTCAATATTTCCTTGATAAACATTATTAAACATTTATCTTTCTCAACCATAAGAGGAGGGTAGTGTTAAAAACAAAGTGTTTCTAAAATTCGTTATCTCTTTCGCTACCACTTGAAAGATAACAGCTTATAATTTGCAAGGGGATTGTTTTGTTTTATTAGCGATATTCAGAAATCTTAAAGCAAAACGAGGTCATCATATAGTTTCAAAATTAATGAGCCAATTTTTGTGGTCGAATGTATTGAAGTTCTGTACGAGCAGCTGGAACACATGACGACGCCCATTTTTTATGAGCTAATATTTCAACTTACAATTTGCAACAGATGTAAAATTGTACGAATTGGTCGTTGGTACACATGAATATGCATGTACATCTGTTCGACGGAATGACAGAAACTATCAAGCCGACAAGCAAATTGGCTCCTTTTAAGGCTTGTGGCGCTCCTCAGGAAAATGCAAGAAAAAAAGTGAAGACAAGGCAAAAGTGGGACAAGTGGTTGAGTGTTTATGTTTGACTGGCAAACATACAAAACACAAAAATGTCACAGTTACAATGGGAATCATTTGAAATGACCGTCGATTTTAATATGACGCATTGTATAGGTTGAAAATATGCGAATAGTCTGCATGAAATGAGCCCGATTGGATATCATATAGCATGTATAAGCGTTTTCCAATATTACACAGCGGGATGCTCATTGCTCGGAGATTCGAGATTTTTGATGATGTTGCCGGCAATTAATAGCAAATGGAACACGCGTTCCTTTTACACAACAAATGACAGCCCCCCCCCAATCAAAAAAAAAAACGGACGTGCTGTTAATTCCCAAGTTGAAGAGAGAAACCGGCCTCTCAGGGTGTAATTTAAAAAGGGGGAAAATGTTATAAATCTTCCACATTTCAAATGACGCAACTTTGCGAAATGGAATAGGGAACGTGAGAATTTCAAAATGTTTTGAAGAATAGCGACTAAGATTATTATTCGAGTTTTGACGGGTTAAAAATAAGCCGGAGAAAATTTAATTTTTCAAATGTGGAAACTTTAAGTTTCAAGCAATCTTCTTAATTTTTAGTCACTATACCTCTTTATTCTCTTAGAAAATCTAATGCTTGTTGATTTCTGACAATCTCTTTTGAATGCGGATTATATGTTTTCACATTAAAATTTCACAAAAGTTTTTCCAATAATTTTCTTAATTTATGTCGTGCATAATTAATTCAAGTATGTACATAATTTTTTGGAAGAGTATGCAGTGATTCACTTTTTTTAAAACTACAGTCTTTTTTTCCAATAGGTCAATATGAAATTCAAACAACTCTTTGTACCTTTCCTAAATCCTTCACTAAAATCGCGCTGGCCAAATATTGTACAAATCGCGTTTGCTTTTTAAACCTCTATAGACTTCGCAAATTATTTGTTCAGACGATGATTCAATAATTAAAAAATATGCGCGTAGTTCCTTACTAGCGATCTGAAAAAAAACGGTGTTGTTTGAGCTGTGAACATTGGGCACAGCGTCTAGAAATAAACTAGCGGAACATTTAAAATCTAGTGATGCTTGTGGAGGTGCGCCAGCCTGAATGGCGGCTTCTTGAAAACGAACGTTTGTTCCCTCCCGCACGCGCAAATACAAATGGACACAATGGGGGGGGGGAAGAAAAAGGAAGAAGGTGGGTTGCTGAACGAAAGTGGTATTGCACTCATTTTCATGTAAACACTGAAAGACTGCCGAGCCGCACCGAATGAATCCTAATCAGCAAATATTGAAAGGCGCACTTGCTCAAACATTGTTGTTATTCAATCAAAAATTTGCATAAAATATCAATTTGATTGCGACCCGACTAGCGAATAATCTGAAGAATTTTTTTTTGGGGCGGTGTCGAATATTTGAAGAATATGACGGAATGGCAGGATTCGTCAAACCAAACTAAAGTATTTCTGGGAATTTCCAAAAACAAACAATGTTTTCTCTGTGGCGTACATATGTAGGCATGTGTATATAGCAATGAAAAGCTATAACAGAAAATAAAAAAAAGCGAGTGAAAAATAAAGAGAACGGAAAATAGTCGAACAAAAAAAGTGTATTTGAATGAGATGGCGCTTCAAACCAAATTTTGTCGACATCCTCGCACCAAAATGGAATCAATTCACATTCCCGGAATATACAAATAAAACGAAATGTATTTTTGAAAAAAATTTTAAAATGCGAAACTTCTTGTACAAATTCAAAATCTAAATTTGAACAAATTCTATAAAAACGATTTGAAAAATAAATAGAAATGAAGAACTAGTTTGGGGGAGTACTAGTGGTTCATAGGTATCGAACTAGAGGGAAATATGACCTCGAAAATGCGTATACAAAC